TTTTGGCGAATTCATAGGAGTTGGTTGTGAGTGATCGGCTCTTGTGCAGAAAAGTCTCGGATGCTAGGCCCCTCAGCTCGGCTTAAGAGAACTTCATCTTTACCTTTGTGTTGGTAGAGACGCCTGGCCATTCGCAAGTACTTGAGGGCAAGAAACACCGCACAGATTCCATTGATAATGAGCTGAAATGGTTAGATAGACTGAAGTCCGTTGCCGACGATCGACCCATGGAATGCTACGTTGCTGCAGGCGGGCTTGAAGGGTTGCCTCCACCACCACCCCACGGACGATATTGCTTGGGTACCTCGCCATTCACCACACAACTTATCAGTGAATCAGGGGATTGGAGATTACCAGATAGAAAGACTATCGCGTCCGGGAAGTGGGTATGCTTGGTGTGTTATGTTGTTGGCTACCTTGAGACTGAGTACCTTACATGAAGAGGGCGTAAGAGTGGTCGAATTTAAGGTATAAGCACATACAACTTACAGTTTGTAAAGACGTCCAGCAATTTCAAACTCCGTGTAAAGTGCTCTGTAGTGTGCTCTGTAGTGTATTAGAGTTCAAGTTCGTATAGACAAGAGGACTAAAAAGGAGCCCTTTCTGACTCTGGCGCGACCGTGCTGGTAGGGACCCCACTCGACCAATCATATCCCCCAAAAGGTAATCAAACGTTTTCCAGCCTCACAATCCAGGCCGCAAGGAAATTAACCGTCGGAAGCTCCACAGTCCAATCCAAAGCTCCGACGACATTTCAAGATCCAGAATCCCAATTGACCATCGACGATAGCCTCATTCGCCCATTACAGACCCCAATTGTCGTCACAATGGCCGGAGACTCAGCACCAAGGGGTCCGTATCCCCGTATCTCCCATCATGCTATCCACCCATCCGCAATGGCTGACATCCCTCTACAGAAGCGACCCGCGAGGAGATGCGGGAGGCGAAGCTCCCCCTCCCCTACCGCGACAGCTGCGCCGGCCTCCTCATCCCCCTCAACCGCTGCCGTGTCGACACTTGGTACCTCCCGTGGAAGTGCAATGTTCGTCTCCCTCGTCCTTACCATCCGCCACTATCCTCTCGACCTCAGAGCCGCCCCGTCCGATCAATCCGAGAACATACTTTGTCGCTAACCCAGAATCCAATGGAAACAGGACGAGCGCCACAGCTACGAGAAGTGCCAGTACGACGAGTTCAAGAAGCGTGTCGCCAAGATGAACGAGCTCCGCGCGGAGAAGGGAACGAGAAGCAACTAGAGCGGTGGCAGCCGGGACGAGACGAACGAAACGAGCCTGCGACGGCGAGCGTCTGTGTACATAACCTGTTATTTGAGGACCAGGTGGGCCAGAAAAGGGCAGCATGGGGTTGGTCTTGCCGCGAGGGTCTTAGATCGAGCCGAATTCACGTCTTTTTTGCGATTCCAATACGGCCCGATGATGAGGATGTTTGAGGGACGAATTTGGCAAGGAATGCTTCCCTTGCGAAGAGGACACATCGCGAGAGACCGAGATCTTGAAGTACGGAAGTGAGAGAGACGACTGTGGCCATGTACTCTCGCAGCGGGAGATTGACGAGACCAAGCTACAGGCGGATGTTTAGCGAGACTATGTGGGCATGCAGGTTGTTATCCGAAGACAATGCCAAAAACTGGCCTTTCAAGCCCGGATGGCCGGTCGACGACAACGACATTGTGGTAAAACTAAGCTTTTTGAATCGATTGCGCTAAATTCCAAGACTCTACAGTGGCTCGCCCGGATGTATCAAGACGCCTTTACCCGATCCAAAAAGTCCAACAGTCGCTTTTTGAGCACAACACCCAGCACCCTGGACGTCTCGGGCTCGACAATGATGATGTACCTCGGGCCCAGCTTCCCGAATATCTCCAAAACGTGCTCCATGGGGGCCTCGGCGCAGGCTGTGAGTGGCGTTCGATCAACTAAATCAGGCATGATGCCAGTTCGCAAATCGATTTCCTCCGCTTCGCCGCCATTCAGCACCGCATACTCTACTTCTGCCTCGGGCAAATAGCCAAACAACAGTCCGGCATCATTGACAAGAACTAGGCCCGCATCCATGAGCCCCCTGGCCTTCAGCTTCCGCAACTTCTCCGAGAGCACATCCCTGCGGACACGATACTCGCTGGTTACCCGCAGAGTGATCTCCTCCATCGTCCTGGCCGGGGGAACCAACTCACGGGCGGTCGCTTCACGTTTCCGCACCACCTCGTGGGCTTGCTCCGCATCGAGGAAGGGATGGCCCAGTAGGTGTTGTGAAAGGTCGTACACGGATTCTCCCGAGATCGCGTCCGCCACCCATTTGGCCGCAAGGATGGCGCACATAAAGGCGGGCACGTACGTCACCTCCCCAGTCAGCTCGAACATGATGACGGCCAAGCTCACAGTCATCCTGCTCACGCCTGCGAGGAAAGCCGCCGCGCCGACCATTGCGAAAATTCCGGGCGAGATCCCACCGACGAACTGACCTACCAATCGTCCGAAAAGAGCGCCGCCATCAAGCGCGGGGATGATGATGCCAGAGGGCACTTTACACCCAAAAGTGATGATGGTAAGAAGCAACTTGATAACCGTGCCGCCTGCCAACCGCAGCATGTACGCTGTCTTGTCATTGCTCCTCTCCTGCTGACATATCCAGTTGCCGTTTGGCTCCTTACAGTCAACAAGTAGCCTCAAGAGTGCCACGTCGCCCGTGTCGCGGATGAGCACGTTTGGGTACTGCAGCAGAGCGGTGGCCAAGACAACACAGCACAACTCAAGCACGGGATGCTTCTTGACGATGTGGTATCTGCGGAAACGATGGGACCAAAGAAAGTTGGCCTTGCAGAACACTCCGCCGAATACACCGCCAAAGACACCCAGCATCACAAACACCAGGTAGTGCACCGGGTCATAGTCGACTCCATAGCTCGTCTCGAAGAGCACCAGCTTCCCGGTCCCCGTGGGATTCAGTGCCTTGAGAGCAATGGCTGCGATGAGCGAGCAGAGGAAAGCGCGCCATAAGACGCGTCGTGGGAAGTACGTGCTGATTTCCTAATTGATGGTTTTTGTCAATATCATCAACCCCAGTCCGATTGGAACCACGAGACCAGATGCATCAAAATATGAAAAGACATACCTCGTAGCTGAACAGCACACCGCCAATCGGCGCACCAAAAGCGACGGACAGGCCGGAAGAGCACGCCACGCTCAGCATCTCCCGCATCTTGCGTGGGTTGTCCCTGTACTTGGGGAACTGGTTGGCCACCAGCCACCCGACGCATGTCGAGATGTGGACAAAGGGGCCCTCTTTGCCGAGGCACATGCCCGTTGACACGGCAAAGGTCGCGCCCACCGCTTTTACCACCAGGACCTTGAAGTCTAGGAAACGAGGGATCACGAAGCCCGATAGAATCGTCTTGATCTCGGGGATGCCGCTGCCGGCGGCCATGTACATCGTCTTACCTTCCGTCATGGCACCTGCTGTCACGGCACCATCGGCGTCGACGGCTGGCAGGGAGGCTTTGGTGGTCATGGTGACATTTCCCGCGACGATGCCAAAGAGGAGGGCACACAGAACGTAGACCGCATAGCTAGCAGCATACCCCCCTCCATCGCGCTCATCGACCCATGTTTTCCACGCATCGCAAACCTCCGTCTCAGACACCCCCCAACAACATCGCCCACGGTCCAGAAGAACATTCGTCCTGCAGTGCCCCTCCTTCCAATCGCTCACCGTCGCCACGGAGACGTCGACGACGAAAGCGACGAGGGCCGTGAGCGCGCCAATGACCGCGGCGGCGATCCAGCCCTGGCACTGGTCGAACCAGCGCGCTGCGGTGCCGCGGATGCCAGGGCGTGCGCGGAGACGACGGGCGCGGGAGGAGTCTTTTGTTAGATCGCGGAGCCAGTCTATGGTGGTGTAGTCGTTGTAGGGGAGGCGGTCGCCTAGAGGAAGGGATTGGCCTAGGGCTTGGTCTGCTTTGGAGAGGGAGGGTTGGTGGGATGGTGTTGGGAGGAGGGCGGTGGTTTCGTTGGGTTCACTTTCGTCTGCGGCCATGTTGTCGTTGGTGGTGTTTGTTGTAGTCCTATCTACGATGCGGGTGTACGTCAAGGGTACCGTCAGGAAGGTGAGAAGTCATCGGCATTTCAATATTTGGATTCTCAGGTTTAAGGGGGCATTATTACTCTAGATATGAATATTTCTACGAAACGCCAATTTTCATCCATATCTCAGTCTTCCAGTAGAGATCCTGCTAGAGTCGTCTCGGTCCTGAAGCCCGCGGAGAAGCAGATCGGCGCGAATGCACATGGTCGAAAGTCTGATGGAGATAAGATTGTGCGGTAGATAAGGTCTTGCTTGGTGGTCTGGCCTCGTTAGCTCGCCCTTCCCGTTTCCCCAAACTCCAAGCCCGGCTTTCACCCCAGTTGCCGGAGATCTCCAAATGTGGCGAGGGCGAGTGCTGTGTGTCGTCTCCGCGGGGTGAGCTTCACGTAGCAATCCCAAATCTCTCGAAAAGTTCTCCCTGTTCACTTGAGGTAAAGTTGGCGGAGTTGACGAATGCGAACGGTGACTGCTAGCTGTGGTTTTTGATATTTTTTCTTGGGCTGTTGTATCCTATATACAATAAACAAAGGAACGGGACGCCATGCGAATGGGGGTATCTGTTCTAAATGTCAAACGAAACAGAGAAGAAAACCAGAAAAATATGCGTATTAAGATGAGAAATGAAATAATGCCAATCTTGAAAAGGGGGCAAAAAAAAATGAGTGTAAAGTGCCGATAGCTCCAAATCTCTCTCCCTTCCCCCCCCCCACCCCCCCCAAAAAAAAAACTCCAAAGCAATGAACGAGAACCAAACGCCTTCCAGTGCCAGCACCGTTGGGACAGATGTAAACTCCACAAGACCTGATTTTACACAAGGGGGGGGTTTGCGTCTTTTTTCACGCCTATTCCTATTGTCTCTCATTGGACAAAAACGTATGATGCTCCTCCTTGCGGGAAGCTCAGCAAGCAACCTTGACCATCGGCTCCCAAGGCCGCGCCGTGTTCCAAAGATACGTCTCTGGCGGTGCCCCGTCGTCCGAGGTGAGCAGGTACTTCACATACGCGGGCGGCACGACGGAAGGGATGGGCGGGAGGATATCCATCTTGTCCTCGTCGGCGACGTCGTCTACCATTTCGTCGTCTGACATGTCGTAGTCGAAGTCGTAGTCGCAGTCGTAGTCGAGGTCGAAGCCGAGGTCAAAGTTGAAGTTGTAGTAAAAGTCGCAGACGTCCTTTTCGTCGCGGCGGACGAGGTGGTCTTCTTTTTGCGAGTGTGAGGAGGAAGAGTGGGAGTGGGAATGGGAGGCGAGGATGGAGGCTAGGATGCTGGCGTCAAGGTCTGGTGTCTTTTCCTCTACTGCTGCTGCCGCTGCCGCTGCTGCCTCTGCGACCATGCTGGCGCTTTCGAGGCTTGACATGAAGGTCTCGACGTTCTTGGCGTAGATCTCCGGCCGGAGGACGTGCGCTTCGTTGATGATGATTTGGAAGCGCACGGTTTGGATGTCGATTACGACGCGGTCGACCATGGAGGGGAAGCCATAGGTGCTGCCTGCGCTGAGGACCCAGGACTCGCGGGTGCGGTCGCCGGTGCTGGCGTCGTCGTACCAGACGGCTGTGCCGGTCTGCGAGGTGTCGATGAGAACGAGGCGGTGGGAGGCGTCGAAGGTGATGTGGCAGTGGGCCGGGGCGATGCCCGGGAGGGAAGGGAGGAGGATGTCTGCGAGAGAGGGGTCGGTGCCGAGGATGAAGCCTGGGTTGGATTTGGGTGGTGATGTGAAGGTTAGAGAGAGGGCTGGGCGGGGTTTGGTGGGCGATGCTTCGAGGGAGGAGGATTTGGTGAGGAGGGAGGGATCGATCGTTGGTGTGGTGGGCGGGAGCTGGTTTGGGTTTGGTGTTTGGATGATGGGTTCGTAGGAAGAGGGGATCGTGGAGACGATTCGGGATGCGTTTTGGGGCATGCGAATTGTTTCGAGGGCTGGTTGGTTTGTGGAGGATGGGAGCAGCCAGGCGATTACGTTGGAGGATTCCATTTTTGCGGGTTGCTTGTGAATTTTTTGTTTTATGGTTGTGGTGACGGTTAAAGATTGTAAGAGGTAGTTAAGTTCAGTCGATAAAGTGAAGCTGGTGTTTGTCGAGTAAGACAACGAAAGTGTGAGATGAAGTATTATTGAATGAAGGTTGGGCGATGAGATGAGTAAGATGCTCTATTACTTTAGTGACCTTGAAAGTAGCCGGTATTATCGAGGTCCTCGAAATGAGTGGTGTAGTATTTGTCAGATGAGCTGCAGATTCTTGTTTTTTGAGATACAAGAAGAAAAAAAGCAGTGAGACGAAGAAGTCACTTGATCCTCTTATATCACGAGAGAGAGAGAGAGAGAGAGAGAGAGTGTGTGTGTGTGTGTGTGTGGTTGTGTGAGGGACCTGCCAGTTGGCGATGTTTTCGTATCCCGGCTGCATGGAGCACTCCACTGGACGAGGGCGGCGTGTTGGCCACAACAAGAAACAAGAAACAATGAGGCCTCGACGAACCGCTAGGCCATCGCATTAGTCTGGGTGGATCACTTGAACCGCAAATCCGAAAGTAAACAAAAGAAGGGGGTGAAGAGAAGCCTCATAGCCTGGAGGTGGTCGACATCCCATGAGATGCCTGGTATCTGGCATGGGAGGGACTGAAACGGGATGAGGGACTGGAGACTCGGGAGGAGGCGACAAGTGGTTGCAGCAGGGACGGGAGGGTGTAAGCCAATGGTACCCGCGCCACCCGCACGGGCTTGGTGGACATGGCATCTCAAATCGGTGATGGGACAAGCTGGATTGAGACGGGAAGAGACGAGAAACGAAACGGGGTTGCATGGGGTGATGATGGGGGCTGCTGCGGATGTGACTCACGTTTGACAGCACATCCAGAAACGCGAACCACCAATGCAAGTGGCCTGTCGAGATTTTTTGGTTCGATGCGCGTTCGCGTTGGTTGTCTCGGCAAGGAGCGTTAGCAGGATGCGGTGAGTTTATTGGTTCGGCAACTTGGCCAATCCGCGCCTACTCCAGCAAGACTATGGTGATTTTTTTTTCGAAGAAAACAAAAGACATGTAGCTAAGTCAGACAGAGCTCTGAGATATTGGAAAGTCATCAGTGAAACTCATCTTGGTAAAGGTGGCCACACTCCTGCCGAGATCTAGGTGCTTGGTACCTACCTTAGGAAATGCCATTAAAGAAGGACCTTCGAAGAACAGTTGAAGGAGCGAAAGAAAACAGTGCGGGCCAATCAAACAACACGCATCTCAGAGGTCAAGTCTGAATTTGATGACACCCTCAGATTCTGTTTCGACCACCACGAATAACACTATCACGGCTCTTTATTGCTGGTCCTCTCGATGGGTCCTCTGCGTAATGTATCTTAGTTGGTTCAAGAGGATGTCTAACTAGGTATTACCCAGGATAGAGATGGTTGGAAACGTCATTGATTATGTGTTAACCGGCGGATTCCTCGTCACCAATTTCCAGATTCAACAAACCATCAGCACCAAGCTGCCCCCATACAAGGAAGATCATGAGAGGGACCAGGTGGGTGAAATCAGTCAACTATAGCAGATAAATGCCCTCAACTCGCCATGCAGCTGCGTTTAAAGTTGCGATGGCTACCAGGGATGGGGCCGGGATAGACAAGAGACGCAGATGCAGGAACCCGCGACGTCCCGGAAAATAGGATATCGGATGGGAATCTTTGTACTCGCACTCTAATGGCCTTTCGGGCATGTTAGACGTGACGCATCCTAGTTGACGAGCTCAGGTCGGAGCCGACGACGGGTGGTTCGTTGGTTATGAAGAGCTTGGTCTGAGGCACCGCGCGGTTGATTTTTAATGCTGACGCAGACATCCTGGGCTTTGGCGGGAGCGGAGCATTTTATTGGTCCATCTTTCAGGATGCTGAGTCTGTTACATTTCAACAATGGAAGGGCGAAGGCAGAATGGAGATATGTGAAGGACTATATTTCATTTTGTAGAAGAAGGTAACAAGACATGTCGAGAAGTATTGACCAGTAGTGACTTGCTTAGGGCACTGCTGGACTTTAGGGCAAAAAGCACATTCGACAAAGAGGTCCTATCCATACTTGGATTTACCAATACCAGGATTTGATGATGTAATCAGGAGAGCTCCACAGGATGCGTGCAAAACGCTCAGCGCGGAAAAGAGCCGACCCCGCTAAAGAACCCCTGAAATCCAAGTTGGAGACGCTGAAGTGGGCTGGAATCTGATTTTCTGACCTAAGCAAGGAGGAGAGCACCAACACCCCGAACTCTCCGCGCGCGCGCGCGCGCCCACCCCACCTCCAGCTCAGGTCCATACCCGTCGGGTCGCTGGAACCTCGGCGAAGGGCTGCCCACTGGCTTAGGAACTTCCGCCGCCTGTGGAGGTTCTTAACCGACTCACACGCAGATTGCCATGGCAGGCCGCAGATGCACCCGTGCTGCCATCATCTTCCTGCATGACTAATTCACCAACAGCCAGCCACCACCACCACCACCGCATTTCACCACCCCTCGCCGTTCGGAGCGGAACCGGTCACCGATTTAATGTTCTTGCCGCTCACGCCGCTGTTCCGCCGTTGAATCTCTCTCCCGCTCTTGACATCTGGCTTCTTTCCAACCACTTTTGGAAGTACTTCATCCGCCATTATACCCTGTGGACGCATATACCCCATTGGAATTGGCTGTCTCACGTTCCAACACATTTTGGTACTCTGCACACCAATTCCCTCCCCCCACTTCCGCGACTTTCCATTACCAAAACCCCCGCCATGCCCGACTTCGAAGGCAAGCCAGACGGCGCGGGAGCGCCCAACGACTGGCGCGAAGACACTCACCAGCTCCCATCCTTCTACTCCCCGAAAACGAAGACAGTTGACGGCCCATCAAACCATGCCTCGGCCGCAGCGCACCCAGAGCCCGAACAATTGAGCCTCTCCGACCCCGCCGCCCCCGTCGCCGCCCCCGCAACAGCCGAAGACGACGCCGCATCAACAGCCTCGGCCACTCAGATCCCGCTACCTTCTCTCCTCTCGCCAGCCTTCACCCCGCCCGCGACGCCCGCGACGCCCGCGACGCCCGGCACATCGACGCCCCTCACAACCGAGGCGGCCCCGCGCGGCGTCCCCGTCGACAGCTCCGTCCCTTCAGGCGGCTGCGGCACCAAGCGCCCCCGCCTCCTCGAGACCTTACCGGAGGTACAGTGCATCGTGCGCGCGCGCATCCCCACCGTCAACGGCACCGAGATGTTCCTGCACTTGTATACCAACAACGTCGACAACAAGGAGCACCTGGCCATCGTCTTTGGACCCCACATCCGCAGCCAGTCGCTCGATGCGCCGCGGCCGGGCGAGACGGAGATGGACCGCATGATTCGCGGCGCGTATACGGGGCGTCTGTTCCCTGGACGCTCGACGAGCGGTATGCCCGGCGGCGTGGCGACGCCCGTCGGCGAAGAGCCGCCTTCGCTGCAGCGCGGGCCTGCGCTGGTGAGGATTCACTCCGAGTGTTACACGGGTGAGACGGCGTGGTCGGCGCGGTGCGACTGCGGCGAGCAGCTTGACGAGGCGGCGAGGCTGATGAGTTTACCCGGGAACACCAACGGCGGTATTATTATCTACCTGCGCCAGGAGGGCCGCGGTATCGGTCTGGGGGAGAAGTTGAAGGCGTATAACCTCCAGGACCTCGGCTCGGATACCGTTGAGGCGAACTTGTTGCTGCGTCACCCCGCGGATGCTCGGAGTTATGGCTTGGCGACGGCGATGCTGCAGGATCTCGGGCAGAGCGAGGTGCGCCTGCTTACGAACAACCCTGATAAGATAAGGGCGGTGGAGGGCCCGAATCGCGAGGTGAGGGTCACGGAGCGTGTTGCGATGGTGCCGCTTTCGTGGAAGGGCCGGGGTGGGTTCCGGAGCAATGAGGTTGAGGGGTACTTGAAGACAAAGGTATGTTTTGTTGCGTTCGGTTGTCTACGTGTTGCTGGAGCTGACTGAAATTTGCAGATTGAAAAGATGGGACATATGCTTGATATGGGCGGCATGCCCCATTGAGGAGCGATCTAAGGCAGTGCAAGGAATATCTAAAGCTGACATCTGGGAGCTGATGTTGAACGAAAGGAGGTGACGAACATGGTTGAGAATCATCAAGCATATGGTAGAAAAATGGCGTTCGGATTTGTTTTGACACGAATACCTGGGATATTGGCGTACTTGGCATACTTGTCCGCTGGGATCCCCGACGACTGGAAATGTTCATAGCATCGTTGGATAACTGGACTCATGGCAATTTATGGGAAAAGATCATTGAGGTGGCGGCTGGTTTTATCTGCATGCGACGTAGGCATCTGCCAGATACATATACTTCAGCTTGAGATATGTCTGCCCAAGGTATGTATATAGTTAGTTACCTTGGTGTTAGGTAGTGCGTGAACAGAATCGTCGAAATGACGGCTTGCTGCATACTTTCTTACAAGCAGGTTGCCTTAATAGGTGATCAAAGTTCAGAAATATGAATTGAAGACTGTTGTTACTGAGATAAAGTAAATGCGAACGAGGCCAAAAGGGAGGTGAGGTCGGAAGCCTGGGAGGGAGAGTGTGTGGCTGACAAGTCCTCCGCACGTCCGCACGTCCCTGGAGGCACCGCAACGGCCCGGCCCCACCTTCCAGAATTTTGCGTTAGTCGCGGTTGGAGCTCTCCTTCCCCATGCGCGTCAACTCAACCTGGAAGGCCCTTTCAATCCTGGGCGGCTACCTCCAAGTTCTTTTCAGAGCTCTCTGATTGAGGTCCCCAACGTCCAAACCTTCTCTTCCAGCCACCGACCTTTTGTTCCTTTTCCACATTGTTTTCCTTTCTCGACTTCAATCACATTGCAGCGAACTCGGCGAACTCTACCCTCCATGGAATAGATCGCGCGCGGCGCAGAAAATCATTCGACTCGGCGAAGATGGAGAAGGACTTGCGTTTGCGCCTCGTGGTTCGACGCCACGGCGTGCCTGATGTCAAGCTTCTCTGGAACGTCACCGCCAACGAAGATCTCACCATTTCGAAGCTTCTCACCCAGGTCAACGATGTTGTTCCCCTCGAGGGCGGCGAATGGGGTCTGGAGGACTACGCCGTTGAGCTTAAGGACGCCTCTGGCGACGGCTTCGAATGCGTCCACTACCACCTTGTCTCCAAGGTCCTAAAGGATGATGACCAAGTCCTGTAGGTTCTTGAATTCCCAAATCCACGTGCTTGCTTTCCGACAGCTAACACTTGCTAGTATCCGCCCCCTTCTGACCGGCGACCTGAAGAGACGACGACTTAGCGGCCGACACCAGATTTCTGCCGACGGAAAGCACCTCGTCGACGGCCTCGCATTCGGACGCCCCTGGCTCAGAGCCCCCCGAGATCGCCCTACTGTCGCCCTTCCCCCCAGAAAGAAGGCTCGCATCACATACACAAGTGAAGATGAAGAAGACTCCCCATCCGAAGCTGAGGTTCAGCGGCCCATGCTGGAGTACGAATCCACGAGAGCACAGGAGGATTCCTCTAGCGTCCAGCTACGTACGCGATTTTACGACGCAGATCTAGGTGGCGACTCTGAGGAGGAAGAGGACGACTTCGAGCCCGCCGCCGCCCACGACGACGATGACGAGGGCATGGATTCGGAAAATGACGATATCCAGGATGAGCTCCGTATGCTTCGCGAAGACAATGCCGCTGTTAGAGAAGGTGATATTCTCGAAGAGCTGCGGAACATCAGAGACAGAAGAACATCGAGTGGAACCGCCAGCAGCAGCCGCTCGTTGGAGACGTCTGATGACTCTCCAGTGCCGTCAGCGAGCAACGCGCTGGTCAGATCTGGAGGGAGGTCGAACAGGTTCCAGCTAAACCTGGACACACTCGATAAGATTGCAGCTCTGAGAGCCGCGTTTCCCAGCGCTCGGGTCTCCACCATCGAAAGGACCCTGTTGAGATACAGTGCAAACTCCGCACGAGCCTACCGTAAACTGGACAAGACTTTCGAACCCCGTCTCAGCCTACAGCAGACTCTGGATCATCAAGCGAGGAGCCTATCTAGCAGTCCAATCCGACACGCGAACTCGAACACGGGACGTGAGCTCGTTCTACGGGAATCGAGTCTACTTGAGCGATCCTCTCACGCCACATCCCATGACCAGGATGAAGAGGACGAAGATGTGGACGAGAACGATAGTGATGAAGCCTCAGAGACGCTCAACCACAATGCTCACGCCGATCATGCTTCGATTGGCAGTAACGATGTCTCAGACTCGGACTCCGAATCTAGCTCCGAGGGCGCAACATCCGGGTCTGATGAGGATATGGGCAATACTTCCGACAATGATTCAGTGGCCTCCTCTTCCGAGAATGAATCCGACGACGAATCGAGTGAGGTGGAAGGTGGCGGGCCTGTCATGGACGAAGACGACTCAGACTCGGCTGACGAAAAAGTCTCGAGCTCAGACGACGATTCGAGTTCGGACGGTTCTTCTAGCGATGAGTCAAGTGTTGCATCTGCAAAGGAGCGATTGTCTGCCAGACAGGCTGCGATCGTCGAGGTCTCATCGGACTCGTCATCAGATTCAGACAGCAGCAGCGAAGATTCTAGCTCGGATTCTGAACCCGAGGAGCTTCCTAGCAAAACCCTCTCTAGCCAACGGATTCTGTTTGACACGGTCAAACCCAATGAGACTCTGAAGTTGCCTAAAGCCGCACCAGGCGCTGCAGCTCAACCCAAGCAAGAGCAGCCTGACGTGCCTCCTGGTCAGGGATTGAGCAAGACGCAAAAGAGGAATGCCAGGCGCAAACTTGCCAAGAAAATGGCCGTCCAGACTAGGTCCCCATCGGCTGCGAATAGCGCAGAGTTATCCCCGGCAGGAATGTCTGAGGAGCTGGCAGCATTTCAAGCACGGAAGCAAGCCCTACTTAACGCCCTTGCATCCGACGGCCCAGCTGAAACCAGTCAGGAAAAGCCACTGGAGATACCTGACTCAGCACCTCAAGATGCCGCAGCATCAACTGCTGACGCCGACATCGACATGATGGAGACTTCACAGAGCCCCTCCGCGCAAGGAGCTGCCTCTGAGCGGCGCATGAAGCCTAATGTTGGAGCTGCCCGCCGCATGCTAATGGGATCTTTGGGTCTCAAGAACCCGAAGAACAAGGCTGACGAAGACAAGATTCGTCAAGACCTGATGAAAGGTGTTCGACCTCACACCAACGCTCGTCTGTCGGAAGGGGCTTCGCAGCCTAGCGAATCCGCACAGACCCAAGAATTGGTAGAGGAAGACTCCGAAGCCTGGCGCGAGAAAATCGCTTACCGAGCCGTAGAATGCTGCCACGACGGCGTCGAGCTATCGGAACCGCCCTTCCCTTTCGTCCAGCGTTGGGACCCTCAACAGCGGGTGGAAGAATGGTTCGGTTCGAAGAATAAGCGCGGGGGCAAGCGTAAGCGCGTACAGCGCGATCAAGCTCAATATCACGAAGGCGGCGACTCTCAATCGTCGAAGAAGCGTCGCGTAACCGATGAAAGCTTCGGCGTTGCCTTCTCCGACGCGGTTGAGTCTGCTCAAGAGGGAGATACGACACTCAATTATGATGATCCGTCTGACGATCCGCCGGTAACTAAGAAACCTGCCGAAGAGAGCCAGGCGACGGACATTGACGATCTTCCTTCACTTCCGTCCGATTTGTCTACTCTTCAGGACCTTCGTCCAGGAGAAGCCAAACTCGGCATGGTCATCACTTGGAAGCAACTGGCTTTGTCATCGCAAACCAATTGGCAACCCCAAGTGGTGAGCTTGACCGGCGTGCTCGTCAGGATCTATGATGAGGATGCATCCGATCTTGAGTTCATCTTAGCTCATCGCGATCGAGGCGTCGATCGAACCGAGAAGACGTACGACGAAGAGACTGGAGAAAGGGTGTACGATCGCTTCGAGGCCCCCGATGACGACGAAGACGAAGAGGCAGAGAACGAAGTCGAAGAGGGCCATCGACGTGTGAATTATTTGGAACTGATCGAGCCCAAGATCGTGCAGCTTCCCCTGGACGATGACACAAAAGCGGGCGGGAACGAGAAACTGAGTGCCTCGGAGGGCGAAAGTGATCCTACGGACAGCGTCATTCATGAAACCATTTACGATGGCCAAAGTCAGCCTTCCCAGCTCAACGGAGAAATTTCTGGTCAGTCCGAGGTGGGTGAAGTTGGAAGTCAGTCAAAAGTCGATGCAAAGGGAAGTCGAGCCAGGGCTAATACGGATACGCAACAGCCTCAAGGCGTCGCGGGCAGTAACCCCCGTCTTGATGCTTCCGCAGACGGCGATGAGTCTAGTCACCCCGGTGTACACTTGGAAGGTGATGACCACAACATGGACGAAAGCGATATGCCTACCCCCCGAGCCAAAGACCAGCTGAAAGACGATAATAATACGGTGCCGACAACAGAAGACGACTCTCAGAACTCCAACGGCAATGCCCTCTCCATCTCATCGGATCGTCGTCATGAGATCAGCATCATGATCGAAGAAGCAGGCTTTCGCAAAGATGTATCACCATCAGTCATTCGCCGCAAGACTAGCAGCCCTTCCCGCCAGTTACTAGACCAGTTGGAAGCTGCCGATACCCCCCGCGTGATTTCAAAGTCCCCGCTATCCCAAGAGAGTCTTGTGAACGTTACTCCAGCGCCGGATAACAGCAGAGATGCAGGTACTGGGGTCACCGACGACGGGAGTGTTCCGCCGCCGTCGTCTATGAGTAGTATTCGCAGTGGTCGGCAAGTCGACCCGGACGACTTTGGCTTCAATATGGGAGACGACGACGTACAGCAGATGAGCGACAATGGCCATGGTTCTCCTTCTGTCGATGCCTCGACTCCAAGACCCCAGGTACATACGCCAACCAGAGAGAAGGACACTCCTGAGCCGAACTCGGGCGAGAAGTCTTCTCTTCCGTCACTAGAGAGCCTGTTCAAGACAGCCTCGCAACGAAATTCGCAGAAGAACACCCAAAGCCCATCCAAGTCTCAGGTACTATCGGCGATAGAGTCACGCAAGTCCATTGTCTCCCGCGATGAAGAGCACGAAGCCGCAAATGCGCCAAATTGACGAGGCGGACGAAGACGAAGAGAACGAGGAAGAAGACGATGAGACGCCGCGGAAATTTGGAAAGACACGAAAGACGTTGTTTCCCAACTCGAGCCAGCCAGACTCCGAGTCACCAGACTTGCCCGATCTCAAGCCGACTGCCAAGTCAGCGCCCTCGTCTTTCATCGAGACGGAGGACGTTCAACCCCGTCTATTGCGTGAGCGAGTCCGGACAGGTTCTCCATTCGTGGTTCCTCCTGGATCACAGGTAGTCACCTTATCCTCGAGCCCGCCTAGCTCGCCACTGGAGGAGAATTATGCGGAAGACGACGTTGATGAGGACTATGAGGAGAACAACAGCAGTAGCCTTCCGCATGGATCCGGTTGGGTGCAGAAGAACAAGCCACCCAAGGCCAACCCGCGAGCGAAAAGTGTGCCGGCAGCAAGACCCACAGCCAAGACGGCGACTACGGGTCGACCCGTTTCTTCGAGCTCGATGCCCGCGAGACCCGCCGCGAAGGGAAAGGGGCCATGCAAGTCATCAGCAAGGTTCTAGGAGATGTTGTATGGTGGTAGGAAGCGTTGGGCAGGTAGTATGGCGGGGCGTCTGCATGTGTATGTAGGAGGGGGTCGAGAAGTTCTCGACATGTTTACTAGCTTTTTTCTTGCTTTGGGAAATGAGGATACCCGTACCCGGCAGGGTACTTTGCATCAATGGAAACATATTCTGTCAAAGTCGCTGTCCGCTATCCATTCTCGTATAGGCTGCGGTGCAACCGTGCAAGAGGTCCATTAAATCGAAACGGTCGGTTTGTGGGAGTCGAGACTAATATGGTGCAGATTTACGGATGTGCTTTGCCGCGGGTAGCATCGCATTGGACGCTGGTGTCTGCATTGATAATTTGATGCGTGTACAAGAAAATATCACTCAATGTGGGCGTCTTGTCAGCGGTCTGCGTCTAGTCCCGCCATGTGGGCTGCGGGCCGGGTCCGAGAGGGAGAAAAAGAATGATCGGACAACGGAGTTTGAGGGTGACCGATGGGGGTTGGTGTTTGGGCCGGCGAAAATGCCGACTTGGGCACAGCCGATAACCCTGTGTCACCTGTGCAGTAAAGGATCCCTGTGAGTTTGGTAGTTCGTCTTGAGTTTTGATTTTGCATGTCAAACGAATTAAGCTTATTCTTATTACTATCATAAACTTTCTCGTTTGCGAACCTTATGTGTCAGTAGGGTCTATACTCCGTGTTTAAATCTTTGGACATCTTCCAAATTCGAAACCTCATACGATGACGACTAGCAGAGAAGCAGAAGGGAAGGGACAAGCTCTCTACCAGTGTTCTCGATGTCGACGTCGCTATCACCGTACGGAACACCTTACGCGCCATGTCAGGTCTGTGCATACCAAGCAGAGGCCGTATATGTGTAGAGTCTGCGGCAAGGGGTTTGGTAGGTTGGATGTTTTGAAGAGGCATGAGGGAAATACGCATGGTGGCGGTGGTGGAGCTAGGCTTGGGCCTGAGTATGAGACGGCGGTGGCTGTCGTGGAAGGGGAGGGCGATGATGTGTTGTCGTTGGAGGTTGAAGGGAGCGAGAGGGTTAGGCTGGCCTGTAAGGGGTGTAAGGTTGCCAAGGTAAAGTGTTCTGAAGGGAAGCCTTGTGCAAGGTGTGTTGGACGGACAATTTTGTGTGAGGTCGAAGGGGAGAGTTGCGTTGAAGTTGGGACCGGTTCTGGTCCGTTGCGGGAGGATCAGGCTGTGTATGTACAAGAGGATTACACGCAGACGCGGCTGGCTGGCCAAGATATCCTCGACGCGGTCATGGATGAGGATTTCCCCTTTGGCGCGGAGTGGGATCTCGCGATGATGGATTCGACGTACTTGCAGACTCGGACTGATGCAGTTGTGACGGATGGGTTGGAATCCGCTCCTGGGGAGGAGATGCAGAACGACAACGTCGAAGGCGTTGGCGGCTTGCCCATGTCGCCTCCCACGACCCCGGAGAGCCGCGGAGCGGGGTCCTGGGAGCCTTTGAGTAGCGAGAACAGCGAGATGGAGAGGCCGCACCTCGCTGCGGACGAGGAGAGTTTGAAGGCTGGGGGGATACCGCGGACGCCGGGATCACTTTCCTTTGGTGACGGTGGCTGTGGTCTTGCCGGTCTGTCCTTCTCGGCCGCGGCGCGGAACGCCATTGTCGGTATGATACTCGACAACACCTCTCGCGCCAATGCTGGGCCCGTATTGGCTGCTTTCCCGTCGGTCGCGGCGCTTGATGCGCTTTTAGACGTGTATGCTCGCAAGTGTTGGGGAGCCACGTCGTCTCCGTTGGCGGATTCCAGGATCAACGATGTAGTGCACCTTTCTACGCTACGGCTTGACCGGCAGAGGCCGGAGTTGCTGGGTGCCTTGGTCGCAATGGGCGCCATCAGGGCTGGTTCGGCTGTAGCAAGGAGGTGGGGGTACGCGATGCAGGACGTGGTGCGAGTTTCTTCTTTTCGGAGTGTGAGTGTCTTCCTCGGCCTTCCCCTGCGTCTCTTTTCATTTTCCGAATAGGGAGGGAAACACGCTCCCTGGTGTTTAGTTACTGATGAGATTGAAAGTGGGAGGAAAACAACGCGAACCTCTGCGACATGAGCCGATCCCAGGCATTCTTCCTCCAGCAGCAAATCGCCTTCTTCAGCGGCGTCCAGCGTAAAGTTGCCTTTGCGGAGGCCTGTTCTGGGTGTATGCAGGTGATGATCAAGAATGGTGGACATCTTCAGGGGGCGATGGAGGGGGACCAGGCCCTCTATCGGCTCGAGAATCTTTCTGACCTGGAAGATGGGCTGCTTGAGGACGTTTGGCTGAGGTGGTCTGCACGCGAGGCGAGAAGGAGGCTAGTGTATGCCGCCTATATCATGAATAGCCATGTCGGTATGGCGCATGGGATTAGGGGTACGGCGAGGTACGGGGACATGAGGATTCCGTTTCCTGCGCCAAAGAGGGTGTGGAGAGCCGAGTCGGCGGCGCGATGGAGGGAGGAGATGAGGCGTTTGGTCCCAGGGTCAACAATGTCTCCTTCCTCTTCCTCTGCATCCTCCCCGCTACCACCAGTTCTGTCTTTGAAGGAGGTGATGGGCGATCCGACCCTGGTTGCTAGATCACACTACCGCGGTAAGGTTGATGAGGACTTCGTTATCCTGGGCTTTTATGCCGGTCTCTGGGTGCTTATTGAAGAATGCCGTCAGCTGAAAGCTATCAGCGGCCACGGGCAATGGAGCACCATGATCTTATCTTCGCGGCGGTTGGAGCTAGCTTCCATGCTCAAGCTCTTTGATTCGTCTTTACGAGCGGCGGGGTGGGAGGTCTCCTCTGGTGTGGAGATGATGTCTGAGGTTCTACATATGTATATCTCGACGTCGCTGGATGGGGATGAATTGCGCGGTGCTAGTGTGTCACCGCCGCTGTCGCAACACATCAACAGCATGGATTCAGGAAGCGGTGGGGGGCTGGAGGAGCGAAGCGCGGTGTGGAGGGCCGGGAGGGTTCTTCGTGCGGCGAGACGATACGAGCCTGGAACGTTGTGTGGGGTTTATTGCGTTGCTGTTCGGGATGCTTGTGTTCTTCTTTGGAGAGTTGGAGGGCGGATGTCTCTGCGGGAGACGTCAACGTTGACGGGTGTAAGGCGGTATTTCGGGCCAGGATGTGGTGTAGACGCAGCTGCTGTCTTGGTGTTGGACGGGGAGGAAGATGTGCAAGAGTATCAGGTATTGGATAGGAACGTCTATCTTATACTGCGTGGTACTGGAGCGGAAGAGGAGTCTGTGGCGCTTGAGGATTCGGCGGGTGTAATGAGATTGGTGAAGGGGATGGTTGAGGAGAATTGGAGGGAATGGAGAATGCCGGGTGGTGTTGAGGAAGTTTGCTGTTTGTTGGATGGTCTAGGGAAAGTGTCCGGTTCATGACGTCTGTTCAGGTCCATGAGATGCTGCCCCCAAAAAAGGGAAGATGAAGTGGGAACTTTGGTGAATAAGTGTGTCGTGGATGAGCAGGAAGTCTGTGTCAATACTCCTTCCGATCTTCTGGTTGAAGTCGGCAGTTGGCAACTGAGTAGATTTCCGTGGACAGGATACCAATCGGCTTCACCCTACCAGCCGGTTCGCGGTCTGAGATGTGGCGTCGCCTTCCATGATTTACCTTATGTTATGTTAATATAGAAAGAGGTCCCATGTTCTTGCATTGTCATTTGCGGTTTCCCGAGCATTGCTCGCTCAACTATATTGTACTGTGAATTGAAGTAGCTTGGCGTTCCCGCTTGTCCCTGTTGACGGTTTGAGTATCACAGGATGAGCACATTCGAGGAACATATTCCAAGATTCCAAATTGAGGACTTCATGGATATAGTCCCCTTTCAGGTATTGAGATGTATTAGAAACACCCGATACAATCTCGGGGCTGCTCATTTACTAAATCGTCAACCCACGACTTACACGAGATGCACAAAACCTCCGTCTCCTTGAATCTACCTCTCCTCCACTTCCCTAAAGTCCATACGTCCCGTAGTAGTTGTGCAAAGTAACGCTAGCTGCATCTTCGGAAGGTGGTGCAGCGGAGCCGAACTAGCTTGCCCCGTACCGTACTAAGATCGCCGGCTCGGCTCTCCACCTCCGGCTGACCCCTCCAAATCGAAGGGAAGCAGCAGTCTTACGTCAACATAAGAATTGTCAAGGATCTTCTTCGTAAGCCAACGTTACTTCTGAAAGCTAGCTCGTAGAAGCTTGATTATCCCCAAATCCCAAGATAGTCTTTGTGTCTCGGCCCTCGACTTACTCCCATCTGCCAAGCATACCCGTACTTTCCACCAGCATGACGTCTTATTACAACACACGAGATGAGAGATGGAGGCATCCACCTCGAACGGCTCTTAATCCTGAAGCGAACCAGAAGCTTCATATTGGCATCATTGGAGCGGGTATAGGGGGTTTGATGGCGGCCATCGCCCTGTTGGAGAGCGGTCACGATGTCGAGGTGGGCCTGGAGACAATAGAACTTGCCCCCGTCATCGAACATCCACTGAGATCTCTGAATGTTTCACAGATTTATGAGAGATCCCAATTCAAAAGCGAAGTCGGGGCTGCAATCTCGACGCCTCCCAACTCCACAAGAGTGCTCAACTACTACGGATTCGACTTCGAACGGGCCAGAGCCACCACCGCGGAGAAAGTAAATTTCTTCATTACTACTCAGATTTAACTTATACGATTAAAGAATTTCCGTCCTGCTGGTGCTAACATCTATGGGGAAAAGTACATATACTACGACGACCCCAACGACATTAACAAAACGCGAATGGTGACATGCACCGACTACACCGCCAGATACGGCGCCCCCTGGCTCTTTTTCCACCGCATTGATCTTCACAATGAACTCAAGATCCTAGCCACGGAGCCGACGCCAACGAGAAAGAGCGTTGCTCGCCTGCATCTCGGCGTCAAGGTGTCTGATGTCGATATCGACGGGACGATACACTTTGAGGGTGATGCGAGCGTCCAGAAGGACCTAATCATCGCGGCCGATGGCATACGAGTACGTTACCATAATGAACTCCCCGAAAGCTATGTCCAGAGATGGAGAGCGTAATGACGACCGATCTTGGTTCCAGTCTTCCTTCATCTCAAAGGTCGTGGACGATGCCCCGGAAGCGCAGCACTACATGTCGATGCTCCGATTGATGGCTCCCGTAGAGGATCTCCGCGATGATCCGGAAGTCGTAGCTCTCTTCAAAGATGGGTTGGCTTCGATCCGTATCAGCTATGGGACCATGCGAAGTGCCGTTATCTACGGATGCCGAGGGTAGTGTTGCACAGGTCAACCCCCATCGTATTACTCAAGGCTGATGGTTCGTTCCATCACAGTGGCTCTCTCCAGAACATCGGCTTGCTGTACCCTCCTGAACTTGCCATTGATTCGGAAGGTAAGTGACTCAGGCCAAGCGTCCGTAGAGAGCTCTCTACTCACCTCTCACTACCAAGGCAACGACCTTTCGGTAAGAGAAGACTTTGTCTACAAGGTCGTCGAGGAGTTTCCGAAGCCTGTACAATCCGTCTGCACGTAAGTTGCAAGGTCCCAACCATTCAAAGCTTAAGATTCTCATTGACCACCGCCATTTCTTCCCCATCACAGTCGTGCAAGAGGCGTCGGACAGTGGAAAGTCTTCACCCGCAAGCCTCTCGACAGGCTCGTCCGGGGCCTGGTGGTCCTCATAGGAGACGCCGCGCATCCCATACCCCCAGGTAAGCAGAGGAAACTGTAACAATAGCAGATATCAGCAAAACTCTTCAATTCAGAGTCCCCATGAAGGCTGACGATGATCTTTTGTGCCCACCTAGTGCGCGCTCAAGGCGCAGCCATGGCGATCGAAGACGCAGCGGCGCTAGGCGTGCTCTTGTCAAATATGACCTCGAAAGACGATATCTCGACCCGACTGGATATGTTCAACCAGCTGCGACTGAAGCGCGTGGCCGCGACGCAGACCGCGTCGTCGCAGCATCAGTGGGATCCGACCCGTGTTTCCGAGGAGCAGCGGCAGTACTTTGACGGTGACATCCCGCGTAAGGAATGCCCTAGATCTATTTCCCAAGACCTTTGCTAATCATCACTCTTTTACCGGCGGTGTAGAAACCACGGAAGACCTGGAAAGATTCAGCTACGAGAACGATGTGATCCGCGATGCATTTGACTTGTTGGGAAAGGCTTGAAGGACGATAGAAGGAGACGGATCAGGCAAGAGAGTGCGGTGGAATTTAGAAAGAAACTGCATTACAAACTCGCTAGTTGCCTACTCGGTAGACGGTATACATATCCTATGTTTATTTCAAGGCATCACACAGCCACGTGACGTACTGCCCACAAGAAGCCTTTATACCCCCCCTCAACGCAATTCCTGCCACCAGCCAGCAGGCGCCCCCTTGGGGATCAGGTCAAAACTGGCTGGGTGGTGGTCCCGTGTTCAATTCCCAGCATGTGCACCAAGAGATGTAGCCCCCAGCTCGCCACCGGGGGGGGGGGGGGGGGGGGGGGGCAACTCTTTTAGGTTCTCTTTCTGTCTTATGACCCCCCTTTTTACTGCTGATTTGGAAGGCCATTAGAGCACCCGGTCTATTGGGATGTTTTTGATAGTTTACAGTGTTATACTTTTGAAGGAAAGAACGAATGGGCCGCGGGGTGGATGCTGCCTGCCTTGCAATCGCCCTTCCGGGCAGGTCCAGCAGGCGACGCGAGACCGTTGCCGTTCGCATTTTGTGACGTGACTCTTACGCCAAGTAAACACAATATACATCTCCCGCGAGCTCCTTGCGAAATGATTTGGGTCATGTGGGAAATTGGAAATGGCGCCGTGCTGTTTGAAGTTGTGTGACGCGTCAGTGTATATTGACGGAACGGGCCACGATCCGAAGTATGGGGCCCGGGCCCGGTCGGTCTTTCCGCTGTTGGTGGGGCCGTAACCCGGTAGTTGCAGAGGTACTCATCCCGAACGGAGGCACAGGTATCGGCTCCTGATCCGAGAAACCCCCCTCGACCGGTTTGTTCTCATTGACCCAGAATCCTAGATGTAGCTGCATTAGAGTCGTCTCCAATCCGAAGTCATCGCTTCCAATAGAGTCAAGGTTCGCGAATCATTGCACTGGCGAATCCTCCCCCCAAAGCACACCTCCAAAAACCGTACAGTGATCTCCCACCCAATCATTCCCCACACAACACCAACACCTCAAAACACGCACGCAAATAAAGCGACAGTAACACCAAGCAAACCCCCAACGCCATGCAATCACCAAACAAGAAACATGCAAATTTCTTCATCGGGGCTGATTCGCCTTCTAGAAAGGTAGACCACGGTGCCTGATGGACATGCCAAACGCGCTTTAGTCCAGTCGCACCCAACCCACCCCAACCCATCCATCCTCTGGAACGTGAACCCCCAGTGACTCCTCCTGCATACCAAGCGCAGGATAGAAACCTCCAATTCACGACCTACCTACCACTCTTTCCTGTCTCCCGCGTCACGACTCACCGTCTACCAAAATGTTCCAGGTGCTTCTCGCCGCAAACCACCTAACCACAATGACGAAAAAGTGATAAAGGCACAAACGTGGCCGGTCCAAATTTACCCAAGACTTTTTTTCCTTGTCTCACTGATGTTGGTTGACAGTCAATGTTCAACCACCCATTGTTCGACTCTTCATTCCACCTTCTCTTCTAATCTTACATATACTCTCTAAACACCGAATAGCCTCTGGAAGCTATTCCCATTCATTTGCTACCTGACTTATATCAAAAAGAGAGCCGGTCTCACTCACCTCATCCCCCCCTTCCTCTTAATATACCATCCACCAAAAAAACCATCAACGACTTCAACCAACTAAACCCGCGATGCATTCCCTCTTCGATCTCATCCTCCTCCTCCTCCTCGCAACCTCAACAGCAGCTCTCCCGGCAACGCCAGCAACACCTACAAACCCCCCACCAACATCAACATCCTCACCAGACACACAACGACCTCCAATCCAGCCCTTCCTCCCCACCACCGGCGCAGCCCTCCTTCCAACAGGCATACCCGCCTCCCCACGCCCAAACCCAAACAACTCACCAGCTCCATCCCCAATCTACTCAACCCTCACCCCCAAATTCCCACCCTCAAACTCCTCCTCCTCTCCCTCAGGGCACCACAACTCCACATCACCCTGCGCATCAGGCCGACCCCTCCGCCTAGGCCCAGCCCGCCTCCACAAGAACCCTCACAACCGAACTTCCTCCTCCTCCTCCTCCTCCTCACCCTCCCCTCCACCGCCGCCATCAACCACAACCCCCACCGAAGCAGCCGTCGCCGCCGCCGCCATCGCCGCAGCAGCAGTAGAAACCCCAACAGACGGCGGCCCAAGAAACTACGCCTCCCTCATCCCCCCGGCCCCCGGCGTAACCCCCCGTCCGGAGCCGAACCTCGCCGAGATGGGATACTACCAGACGACCTACTACTCCTGCGCGACGCGAGGCACCTCGACACACTGCGGCTGGCATAGACCCATCATGGTCGCGCCCGCCAACAACGCTGGCACCGGCACTTCCGTGAACCGCAAGGCCGGCATCGGGGCGTTGGCAGTTGCCGTCGTCGGTGTCCTCGTGGCCGGATGAGATGATCCGACTATGGGAACGGTAGAATGACCTACCTCACGAATCAATCGTTTCCACCCGGCGAGACCTCACCGTTTACGCTGAAGCCGGCTGTCGGTCAGGGTCTCGGGACCGGTGGCGTCCTGCCCCCCCCCCCCCCCCCCGAGCTTGCTCGGAGAAATCTGACTAGCGCGCCTAAAAGCCGGCCTAGGGCTTACGATACAAGCGGCAGGAGCCGTGGCTTGGGCGCCAGACAGATGTCGGGCTGAGATGCCAACGATCGGTAGCCTCGTGCGGCTGGATATGGAATGTCAAAGCGGCTGGGGGAGATGAAAAAAGAAGCTTAGCCTCCCTTGGGGCCCCCTGACGAATGATGATAATGATGATGGACATAACCGATTCGCCCAGCTGGCTGGGCTAGTATGAACTTGAATAGACAGTCCACATGCCTCACGGCGATGGCACACATAGCGCAGGTACTCAACTTCTCTTTCCAAGAGGACCCTGCTTCACGGGAAAGATGCAATGGACGGGTGAGGGAACCGCAGATGGGCGAATTTTTGGACAGTTTCTTGTACATCATTTGAATACAGCTTATGAAGATAAGAAAACAAAAAAAAACAAAAAACAAAATAAAAAGGGAAGAGAGAAAGAACACTCACTACCTGCCTTTTTGGCCCCGCCCCCAAAAAAACCACGTTCTTTTCTTTCACTTTCTAAAGCTCGGGTATTTCAGAACAACATTGGAACAGAGAAACCAGAGAAACGAAAATGTTGAAAGGAGGAATGATGAATAAAAAAAGCCAGCAGCCCCGGGAGGAAGAAAAACGTATGAGAATATGTCGGGAAGGCCGACCCTGCTCCCTTCTTTTTTTGGCTCTTCCTCCTGATTCCCCCTTTCTCTCCGTCTTTTTCTCCATATCAGCGTAGTTAAAAAAACGTTACATCAAGAGGTTTGAGTTAGTAAAAAAGAAGAAGAAAAAGAAAAGGCATTTGGTGTAGTTGGGGGATCCCCCATTGCTGCCGAGGATTGGATTATGAGGGAAGAATCGCCCTGTTCTTCGATGTAGGCTCCTGGCAGCGCGTTCTTGCAAGAAACATATTTTCCCCCTGCGTCCATCATCCGGGCCGCGGCGGATGCTCGGAGTGTTGTGATGGACCTGGAATTTCGCCCCGGCGGACTCGGTTCGGGGAGGCTTGATGCCTCGGTACGCATTCTTTCGAGTGGCACACGGATCGGAAATTGGTGAGATGGGATGGATAGACGGTAGGCTTGGAGGATTTGTCGGTGAGTCGGTGAATCATGAAAGAGTCGGATTGGTAGTGGATGAGGAAGGCATTCGCCGCTCGTCTTGTCGTCTACTTCTTGGCCGGGGCAGGCGGTGCCTTGACGTTGTTGGACAGCCAAGCCAGACCCTCGAGCAGGCCCTCGCCCGTCGTCGCGCAACTGGGCACAACGTACCAGACCTTGTCTTTTAACTTTGAAAGGTTCAGGGCCTCGGTGACTTCTTGCGGCTTCATGGCTATGGTTGTGGACACGCACGGTCAGTCTTCGAACGTGTCCATTGGGAAGGGCCAACGAGGGGGAGAACCGCTGGGCGGTGCGGTCACCCGTTGGGATTAATGGTACGGTCTAGACTTACCTCCGTTGACGTCCTGCTTATTGGCGAATACCAGCAGCAAGCTGTCCTTCATTTCGCGGTCGTTGATGATTCTGTGCAATTCCGACTTGGCCTCCTCAATTCTCGCGCGATCCGACGAGTCAATGACGAAAATAAGACCCTGGGTTCCTGTGGGAGGGTGATGGTATCGTCAGCACACCTGAATCACGTAAAGGAACAGACAATCCTTGGAGGGGGGCGGGCATAATTGAGGAGAGTAGAGGACGGGCGAGAACTCACCGCTAAAGTAATGTCTCCAGAGGGGACGGATCTTGTCCTGACCACCGACGTCCCAGACGTTGAACTTGACGTTCTTGTACGTGACGGTCTCAACATTGAAGCCGACGGTGGGAATGGTGGTGACGTCCTGGCCGAGCTTGAGCTTGTAGAGGATGGTGGTCTTGCCGGCGGCGTCGAGACCCAGCATCAGCAGGCGCATCTCCTTTGATCCGAAGATCTTGCCCATCATCTTTGAGAGTTGACCACCCATTGTGACTGCCGGGGGATTGTTACCGTGGGATTCGTGGTAGTAGGGGGTTGAGTCGGTCGGTCGGTCTTGTTGTCGAGGGTGGGAGGGGCGACTGGCGGTGGTGCGGTGCGGTGTCGGGCTTAAAGGGGACGTCGCAACGTATGATGGATCGCTGACTCTGGATTTCCTCGTGTCGAAACTTTGGGGACGGCAGGCGAAAATTGTAGGTTCGGATGGTGTCGCGCGCAATTGAATTCCAAGACGCGGCGGTCGTCGGGGTGGGAAAGATTTCCGGGGATGAGCGAAGGAGAGTTGCGGGAGAGAAGGAGTGTGTGGTGAATGGCGAATGGCAGAAGCTATCACAAAAAAAAAAACGAGAGCAACTTTGCGATTTGCTGGAGTACTTTTGGCAGTGGTGGTCGTTGGTGCAGGCGCTGTGCGGCGTACAGATAGATACCTGGTCGGGGATCGGAGGTTGGGGGTCGAATGGAGTTGGGCACTTTCCACTTTGCAGCGACCGGGCAGCCGCCTTTCGTTCGCTCGGGCGTTGCGTGGGACGTGGGATTGGCGACGTGGGATTGGCGACGTGGGACGTTGGACGTGGTACAACCGTATGGGGACCGAGGCGTGTGCGAAGGCTGGCTGGGAGACAGCAGACTTGGAGCAGGGAGGGAGCAACGACGCCAAGACGGTATCGAAACGGGCCAATTGACAGCTATATTTGGGCTGTGATTAATGCTAGCCGTCATCTGAAACGAAGTGAGATGCGCTCACTAAGGAAACGTACCTTCTTGTCAGATGCCTTAGTGTAAGGTAAGGTAGATACTCTAAGCACCTTAACTAATCAGGTACGAGAATACCTGCTACCTGTCATGCTACAGAATGCCAACTTGCTGCTTACTCCAGAAGCGCGGTATGAGCGTACAGCCTACCTCCTTTTCCGAATTATCTGACAGAGACCAGAGTCGTCTGGTGCTGCCATTTGGAATGGGACATGGGCAATCAATGGCAATGGGCATATGCGGCTCGGCTTCTCATGCGTTTCAACCGTTTGCCCAAGGAGGGTCAACTCTTAGCCCAGCCGTTTGGTCAGGCGGGCAGAACCACAGACCGAACCACAGACCGAACCACAGACCATCAAACACTCTTCACCTCATTGTCTACCTACTATGAGACCATGGCACTATGGGTAGTTACATCAGCAATTCAAAAAGTTGCCTCGGGTTCGTAACTCTCTCAAAGCGAAGCGGGGGACCCAATTGGAGGGAGAGGGGCCGCATCTTGTATTCGCAATCACGTTTAGATGGAAATATTGAATCTCGAGCAATGCAGCGCTCGCTCCGGGGCGCATGCACATTGCACATGACATGTTCAACTCCAATAGAAGTCTCCAATTCTCAACCGCTGTCCACATCAGTCATCATCGTCAACAACAACAACAAACGCAGACCCATGGCCTTTCCCAAAAGTTTTTATTGTGGAACACGATGGTCGCTCTCTCGTCTCTTTTTGTTGCCCTCCGCTGAGGTATCCGGATTGTATCCCCCCCTGGTCTATCCATCTTAGGCAAGGCACGAGAACTGCGTAAAAAGACATCTCGGAGATTCAAACGCAGGTCCGCGGGTGTTTTCAGGTACGTACCCGCTCCCGCTCCCACACCAGAACATCTCCAGTTCAAACGGAGACTTGCAAGCCGTCACGGAGCCAATCAGCCTTCTCGTGTACCTTTTTTTTGAGGTGGATCCCAAACAGCAAGGGCCTCAAGGGGTCTCTTCGTTGTGCCTTCCTCACCCCTGCGTCCTTCAGGTTGCCTCTTTCTTGTCTCCCGAGTCCCATCTGATTGCTCAACTTGCGATCTAACTCTTCTTCGCAAGTCTTCCTCTTGCGTCTTTTCCGATAGAGCTGGACCGAATATGATATCTTCCCATCCCTCTGTAAGACTACACCGCGAACCCCTTGTTATCGTGGCTGTTGCTCTAGCCAATGGGCAGATTTAGCGACCTGCAGGTACACACCACCACCTCACTCCATATCTGCCTTAGCCAAGTCACGGCATTCGAATAAAAATACATGCACGTGCCATGCCAGAGTCAGGGGCGAAATTTGACACTTTGAAGCCAACCTCTGATAGTTTGGTTGCAGCGTCTCCTTGCCTCGCATATCAGTGCATCAGTGCATGTATGTACACATCCGAGTCGCATATCATGAGTGACAGACCCAAAAGCCACCAAACAAAAGATGACTCGTCTGCAGGTATTCTGGCCTTACCTTACGAATACGTAAGAAAGTTGGGACAAAGGCTCAAAACATCTAAACGTTCATAGTCATTTCTATCCGTACTACTAATACTGTCACTGGTACGGATACCCGCTAGCTGCTACCCCTGCCTTGTATGCATAGTAAGCATGTTAAGTTCCGTTTCGACCCGCCACGTCATGTCCCCTTTTTGTTTGTTTAATGAGGCTTGACAATACACCAGACATCCCATGTCCGGGCCGTTGATCTCTCGGCCAATATGCACTTTCTCAACTCAATACTTTAAGCGAACGCCCGCTCATGGCTCTCGCTAACACTTCGCTAACGCCATGCGCTTCCCGACTCGAGAGTTTGGCCCTCTCATTCTCCGCATCACCAGATCTGGATCATCTGGTGCATCTGCATCTCGGGGCCCTTGTCCTCTTGAGCTCAAGGCCGATACTCCAGCACGTAGCGCCGCTCCACCTGATGCGTAGTCGATGAGTCGTTTTCGCCGTGAAACTTGAGATTGACCGTCTTGCCGTCCGCCTCCGTGCCGACAACGTCTGCCGCGTAAAATGCCGTTGTCTGCGGGTAGAGCCCGAGGACCATCCTGCCCGCCTCCAGCTTAGCGAGATTGTGCGTCTGGTTCTCCGCCGGGATCGGTATCATGCCCGACGCAAACGTCTTGTACTCCTTCGGCTTGACGTTATCCTCCGGCTCCACGTCCAAGCACTTGTACCGCCGGCTCTTGCCTTCGCCGATAACGCCCACCACCTCACCCAGTATCCAGTCGTACGGTGCTTCTCCCTGCTGCGGCTCGTCTTTCTTCCGCTTGAACGCTACCTTGTCCCCTTTGGAGAACGAGATCTTGCTTCGAGCTGCAGAGGAAGCGCTTGACCCTAGGGCACCTGACGATGAGCCTGCCGTGTTGGAGCCCGTGGACCCCTGCGGCTCGACGCTATCTGCCTTTGGGGGCATACTATCGCGGTTGCTACCCCGGTCGCCGTACTTGCGTGAACTTCCGCCAATGGGACTAGGCACGGGAGAGTCCCCCGCTCCATCGAAGTCGTAGAGCGCTGCCGCTGCGGCGTCTCGATTGCGGGTCGAGCTGCCGGTCCGTGATGAGGCGCCGGTTATTGCTGGAGCCTCTGCTGCTTCCTTGGCCTGCTGCACAGCCTTGAGAATTTTGAGCTGTTCAATGAGGTTCTTGATATTGTTGGAGTTGTTCTCCGACAGCTTGACACCGGAACGGCAGTTCTGCTCCATCTTGTTAAGATCGCTGCCTGATGGGTTTCCGCCGTCCATACTAGCCATAGCTGCCTTCTTGTCAAGCTTCAATAGCTCGGCCAGATTGTCATTCTCTTGATTAACACCGTTGACAACCTCGTGTATCTTCTCCTTGGCAGATTCCCATAGCTGCACTTCTTCGCCATGGCCGCTGCCATTGTTGCGATTTGAGCCGCGGCCGCTTCGGTTTCGCTGAGACATCTTGGCTTGCAAAGACTCCAAAGGGCTGGGCTGAACCTTGGGCGGGTCGCGCTTCTTCTAGGTGGACTCGTCGCGGGCAGCCGGAGCAGAGGATGTGCTCGCAGGTATGCTCGCAGATGTGCTACCGGGCGTCGGGTCGGCAGTGGTAAACTTGTCTATTCGACCACCGCGAGTCGGCTTCTTGGCTTTGTTCTTTCGACCCTGCGGCATTTTGATATCAGTTCTGGGTTAACCTGATGATGGAGATGAATAACTGGGTGTTGAGGAGGATGAAGAGGATGAGGTGGGAGGAGGGGAGAAGAGATGTCCAGAAGGAGGAAGTTGATGCAGGTAGGTAGGGGTAGGGTAGCTAGGTGCAAGCAGGGAGGGCAAGCACGAAGGCACTCACAGGGAAAGCGCAATGTTCACTTGGGTGTTGCTCTGCCAGCTGTCGCAAGTTGGGTCACGTTCGGTTCCAAGGCTGGAGCTTGCCTCGAGCTCTTTCTCTCTCTTGTGTTGCTGGGGTATCTAGGCGCAAAGACGCTATTTAAAGAAACAAAAAAGAACTCAACTGAAAAAACTTAGCCCATGACGCGACGAAAAAAGAAAAAAATCAATGGTTTAAGTTTTTGAATTGGCCAGGTCTCTGAATGCCATGGCAATCAAGGTGTTTGGATCTTGGAGATGCTGATGGCAGAATGTAGGCGGTATCGGGCCACGCGCAGGAAAGCGGAGAGTTGGAAGCTTCATTGGCTCATTAACGCGCCTGCCAACTGCTGAGATCCGTCGCGGTGTTGTATAATACCGAGGTGGGTCTGCCGATAGCTCTTATCGCATTTATTAGCCAATCAAGGTTCTTCAAATGGCCCTTCCATCCTGCGGCCCGACCACTTCCCCGGGGCCCGTGCTCTGGCCTGATGATCGTTTGGAGGGGTCCGGAGGTACTGGCTCCATTCTGCGGGGTCCTCCAAGTGAAGCTCTCCCTGACGTCAAATCTAATGGTGGGGTGAGCATACGCACTCCCAACCTTATTAGTACGACATTGTCGTCGCATCTTGCCTCTCCCTTGACACCTTTGTTTACTGTCGTCTTTCGATTTCTTTGAGCTCTTTTTCGGCTCGTCTGTTCAGTCACAATGGTCTTGCAAGTGCCCCTGTTCAAGCTCCAATGCGGAGTGAACTCTTACGAATGGGGAAAGAAGGGAGAGGACTCAGCAGCTGCGCGCTTTGCTGCCACAACACCAGCTGAGGGCTTCAGTGTCGAGTCGGAGAAGCCCTATGCAGAGGTGAGCTTCATGCTGTGAACTATTCACAACAATCGCATTGCTAATTGGTGTTTGTAGCTCTGGATGGGCACTCATCCCTCAAACCCCTCAAAAGACCTCCAGTCTGGTCGCACCCTCCTCGAACTTGTCCAAGACAACCAGCAACTCCTTTCCGCGCCCATTTCCTCCAAATATGGCTCGAAACTCCCCTTCCTCTTCAAGGTTCTCTCCATCAACAAGGCCCTCTCGATACAGGCCCACCCGAATAAGAAGCTCGCCGAACAGCTACACGCCCGCGACCCCAAGAACTACCCCGATGACAACCACAAGCCCGAGATGGCCATTGCCATCACCCCTTTCGAAGGTCTCTGCGGATTCCGCCCACTTTCCGAAATCTCACATTTCCTCGCGACAGTCCCACCCCTGAAGAGCCTGGTCGTCGACGACAAGGCCGACGAGTTCATCAACACCGTCAAGAGTGAGGAGGAGACCGAGAACCTCGAGACCAAGGACCGGAATAAGAAGGCTCTGCAGCATATTTTCGCCGCTCTTCTGTCCGCCACACCCGAGGAGGTTGAAAAGCAGACGGAGAAGCTCGTCGCCCTCGCTAAGTCAGAAGGCAGCGACTTTGCCGCCGGCGGCGTATCCACAACAGACGGCGAGACCCTCTCGGAGCTGATCCTACGCAACCACGCCGAATTCGGAGCAGACATTGGCCTTTTCATCCTCTTCTTCCTCAACTACGTCAAGATGGAGCCTGGTGAGGCCATGTTCCTCGTCGCCGACGACATCCACGCCTACCTCTCCGGCGACATCATCGAGTGCATGGCCGCCTCAGACAATGTCGTCCGCGCCGGCTTCACCCCCAAGTTCAAGGACGTGCCCACCCTCGTCGACATGCTCACCTACAACTACGCGCCCATTGACGAGCAAAAGATGCCTCCGTCCGAGTACCCCTACGCCACTCTCAACCGCGCCGCCTATAGCTCCGGCTCTGCCGTCATTTTGTACGATCCGCCCATCGAGGAGTTCAGCGTCGTCCGGTCGCTTTTGAACGGCGACGGCTCCAAGGTCACATTCGAGCCCATCGAGGGTCCCAGTATCGTTATCTGCACGTCGGGCAGGGGCACCATCGCTGTCGGTCCGACGGTGCAGAAGATCACCGAGGGCAACGTCTTCTTTGTTGGATCGACGGCGGAGTTGGTGTTGCAGTCCGAGGGTGACGAAGATGATGAGTTTGTCACATTCAAGGCGTTCTGCGAGATTGAGGAGAAGCCGGAGGAAAAGTTGTAAAGAAAGGTTTTCAGAAGTGCAGCGCACACATCATCCCTGTTGCCCCCCGTGTTTGAGATGAGGGGAGCAGTTGTTCATACCCAATATCCATACGAGAAGACCACGAAGAAAAAGCATCATGAGAGAGATTAATTGATCTTGCCCGAATCCTGCCTACCATGCAAGGCACCACCCCAATCCTAGCCGGGACTCTGTCTCCGACTGCTGTTTGAATGAATGCTTTCTGGTCGTTATGATTCATGTCTGATTCTGACCAGATATACATGCAAGACTCCTCCGCGTATCACATCGGGGATGTCCACACGCTGGACATTAGGGGTACACGAGCAGGAGGAACGGATGCTTCAATGTAAGTTTTTGAAATTTCCAACCGGTGATGGCTTGAGAGACCGGACCGCCCTTGGTGATTTGATAGATGATACTGACCCCTTACCCATGGCGGGCGGCTGCCATGGTAGGGACTCCCTAATGTAAAACAGGGCAACATAAAGCAGCCATCCCAACGCCTCATGGTGCCGTGAAGTAAAGACATGTAGACACAAGAGAAAAATAAGCCCGAATGATGCCCCTGATTATCCTCAATCTTTTGTGAAGCACCACGTTCCAAGCTCCCCCAGCCTTGTTCCCCTTTCCCCTAGGTATCAACCAACGATGAATGCCCCTAAATTCATAGTACCATTCTTTTTTGTATCACCGTTCTTCCTGACCCCCGATATCTTAGGAAGATCCATCCGTTCCGTTATCCGAATGCCCCCACCACTCCAGGATATCAAATTACAACAAGTGCTGATAGCAGAGTATCGCTTGTAGATGAGAGAGAAATAAAAGACTCAAGGAAAATATGCTGACTGGTACAAGATTACCCAACGTAAACAACGTAATAGCGATGAGATAAAGAAGATCATAAAGAGTGAAATGAATGGCTTGTGCGAAAGGGTAAAGAAATAAGCACATTGATGACCCCAAGGAAAGACGAGGATGAGGAGGGGAAGCAATGCCTCGAACAACTGTTGAACAGAGAGGGACCAGGGAAGATGGACCACGCTCTCGCTGGCTTGCTGCCCTTCTTCTTCGGGCTGAAATCCTCTCCCCTCACAACGACCCAAGCCGTACCGAAAACGGAGTGGGGAGGAGGGCGAGTAGAATGCAATTCGTCCTCATCTGGGGAACACGAAAGGAGGGGCCGAAGAGGGGAAGGGAAAGGAAGGGCGGGGGGGTTTGAAACTCCTGTCTGGAGGTGTTGGTTCAACATTGGAGGAACCTGAGTGCGAGCCTGCGAGGCGGGAAATGGAGGGAGGGAACGGGACGGGACTGGACGGGTGTCAGGGGGTGGGGGCTGCGTTGGGAGGTTCCTGGGCGGGCGTCCCGGGTCGGATAGCTGCATCATGCCGCCGGGGTCCCGAGGTGATCCTATTCGGCTTCTTTTCCCCCCTCCCCTCCCTCTTGTTCTCGATAACAGCCACCATCCACACACACACACACAAATGCGTCCCAAGATGCCATTGATGGATGCAAGACCACATTGGGTAGTATTTCCCAACGGCTTCAGTACAGCCTCGTCAGCGAATCTAGACCTCCTTGCATCGCATTGCCGGAGAAGCTGGAGTTCTCCCCGCGCACCCTGATACCTCCGGGAACGGCTGTACGTTGGTGGCGTAGACGTCGCTGTTGTCGCTGGGTACCGTTGATGGCAATGGCAAGCAGGGCTGAGCCACACACATGCAGCAGACCACACCCTCTTCACCGGGGAAGAAAGAAACCCTCAATCCGGTTCCTGCACCTTGCAAGCCACCTCGCCTCCTGCTGGAGAAGAATGGGGGGAAGTGATGTATGCCCCTGCCTGCCAACGAAGCTCCCCCCCCCCCTGCAAAAGGCATCTTCTGTTTCGACGACGTACGAGAAGGGGGGATAAGGCTGTGTGGCGTTCTCTGCTTCGACATCATACGAACAGGCGGCGTTTTTTCCTCAATGACAATCTGCATCTCTCATTCATCGTTGGAGTATGCATCCCCTTGGTGTGGGATGTTTCGTATTGATGAAGTCGTGCAAGAACCCAGCGAGTCGAGAGTGCGCCACGGCTTATGCTGTAGGTTTCCCTTATCCCAGAATAGTATTCGTATTGTCCATTGGGGGAACTCGGTGACGTTTTTTTCTCCTTCATGGTCTGGACTTGTATTGCCCTCACCGAGTAGGGTCGGATTAGAGACGTTCATCGGATCTTCGTATCCCTCGCACCGGTGACTGTCATGGTGTGTGTCTTCATTTGGCGAGAATGAGCGTGTCGCAGTTATCGCGAATCGGAGAAATGCAAAGAAAGGAGTGGATGAATAAAATAAAGCGAGCGAAAAATGTTGGATCAAGCGGTAACTGCCATTGTGAAAAGGGGGCCCCCGATCCATGTGCTGGCACCACCAATAGTGAGGTAGGTATCAAGCACTCCAGCCGGCCGGCCGGAGCAGAAAAGTACCCCCTAGGAGGCGGATAAGCCACCCGCAGACCTACGACCCGAGTGGTGGTGACTGCTGTGGTGGTGGCTGTGGCCGTGGCCATGGTGATGGCTGTGATGCTGGTGCTGATGATGCTCGGCCGCGACCTCCTCGGAAAGCATGTACTGGTTGATATGATGCCTTCCGTGATGGCTTAAAGCAGGGTACATGCCCGGAGACGGTGTGGTGACGGTGTACTGCTGCCCATTGGATAGCGAGCCTCCACCGGCGACGGGGGTAGTTGAGGACGAAGACGTGGAACTCGAGGTCTCGCCGCTTCCTCGACGGCAGTTAACGTCTCTGCTTACCCCTGACGGCGCAGTGGAGGCGTCGGTGTACTTGTAGCTCAAATCAGAATCAGACGCGGATCGGAGACTCGTTTCCGGAGCACTAAAAACGGCCTCGCTGCTGCTGCTGGTCGTGCACGGTGGGTATCCCGCCAACTCGGCGTTGGACATACGCTGCTGCTGCGTCATGGAGGGGAGAGTGTGCGAGGGAGGCGGGTACGCCGACACGGGCGACGTCTCGAAGCTTCCTGAGCTGCCGGGGCCCGAAGCACCGTAGCTCGTCACGTCTGAGATTGGGGAGGTCTGAGACGTCGGGCTGCCGGACGACTTTGTCGACGTCGATGCCGCGGAGGACGGGGCGGCGGCGCCTTCTGTGCGGTAGGATAGGACGTTTGCGTTGGCGATGGGCTGACGCGTAGCCGGGTCGGGGAGTCGACGGTCGCCGGCGGGGGGCAAGGAGGCGGCGACGCCGGTGAAGGAGAAGTTCTGGCCCTCGCTCTGCTGCACCGCTGCCGCTGCCGCCGCGGGCCGGTGGGGAAGCTGCGTGACGGAGCCGGCGTTACTGCCGTAGGCATATCCCGCTGCCGCTACAGCGTCCGCCGTGTTGACGTATAAGTCGCCCGCGCTCGGTGCTGCTGCGGTAACCTTTGCGGCGGGGTTTACGCGGTAGTAGTAGCTCGTGTCTGAGGCCTGCTGGTAAGAGTACGGGTATCCCATGGTGGCCACCGCGGCGGGGCCGTAGTCCACGGCGTCGTCTGAGTAGCCCGGCGTGGCGGACCAGCTCGGCATAGTTGCGGGCGAGGGGTAGTACTTTCCGGCGTAGTAGCCAGTTGATGTTGACGAGTAGCGGGGAAGGCCGTCGTGAATGTCGGAGGCGTAGTGGTGAGGTGGGGACGACGTCATGGGGGAGGTGCCCAGGTGGGCTTGATACGCCCTTGCGGCCTTGAGGTCGTATGAGAAAGATGCTTCTGTAGATACCCAGGGAGCTTCTGTCGAGGCGACCTTTGGAAAGCGTGTTAGTCCGGGACTCCGGGGGAGGCAGCGTCGAGGGCCCCATGGAGGTTGTTCGACTTACTCGTAAAAACATGCAGGACTCGGCGCCGGCGGCCTTGCAGTTCTGACATGGAAGTCCGTTGCCCGTATCTCCGCTGCAGCGAATCTTGCGCTTCCGGCAGCGGCCACACTGTCAATCTTGTCAGATCTTTCTTTTTTTTTCTTTTTTTTTTCTCCCCTTTCTACTCCATCAAATAACGGTTATACAAGTTGCCTTGCTTCGTACGTCCTCCAACATCTGAAGCCCAACCTTTCAAAGACTGTTTCCTTTTTTGATGTAGGAACATACTTGAAACACAAGACCAAGGAAACATACTTGAGAGAAAGAAATTGAAGCAAAAAATGCAAAGCACATCAGGGTTGGCAGCAAAGGAGTGGATAACGAAAAGACAACAAGGACTTACAGCGACGGCAATGCGCTTGCGGGGAGGTGTATCCGTGTCATTCTCTCGTTCAGCCATGTTTGATGTCCGCGCTTCAGTAGAATGCGAGTGATGTCGTTGCTGACGTTCCGGGTAAACGTACGTCGGGTCGACGCGGCTATATCGTCTTCCCTCTGCGAAGTATGCCGGACTGGGCATCGTGTGTGGATTGCACAAAAGATCACTTCGTCTCGGATGATCTTGCTCTAAATCAAGGCAAAAGACGTAGCGAGAAGTGAGGTAGTGTAATAGGCGATGACGATGAGGTGGTGGGCTTCGATCGTGCAGCAGTGTCTGATAGTGTGGGCAAGATTTGGCGCGCCTGTTACAGGAAGCGAGGGGCTGGACTGGGCTTTTTTGGTTTGTTTCTTGTTTCGGTGTGTGTGTGTGTGTGTGTGGTCAGTCTTTTCTTTGGAGAGAGGTGGGATTGGAGAGATGCTGTGCTTCGCGTTCGTCGATGGAGGGGGGATAAGCCTCTTTTTTTTCGATGCTGCTGATGTGATGCTGTCGTGACCAGGCGTCAAGGTCCTTGTCTCGTTTCAGAGAAGGATAAGGACGTTGTGCTTTGCTTTTTTCCCTTCTTCAGCAAGTCTGACTTCCTTCGAGGCTGACTGGAATGGGGACCTAGGTGATGTGCGTAGGAGAGAGAGGCAGAGGAGGAAGAGAAAGGAGGAAATAAGATGTAGTTGATGGATGGGGGTAGATTTTGTTCTTGTTTTCTCTTCACGCCTCCTTGTGAGACGTTGCTGTCTTGAAGAAAGAGGAAATTATTGAATCAAGTCCGCTGATGAATACCTTTCCCAGATGGCAAGTCAAAAGCTCGAGAATTATTCAATGTTCCACATGGAATTTCGAGAAAAAACAAAATAGATCAACAAGAGAGGCAATGACATGAGTCCAGGCCAGCTTTTGAGGGAACGGGGGAGAAAAGATTGATAAAACCCCCAGCATAGAAAAGAAAAGAGAGGGAAAATAAAATAAAAACACCAACGAGAAAACATGCTTGAAGCTGCTGCTGCGGGCGAGTTATACACATCCTGGTCTGGAAGAAACGCATCTTTGATTCGCGTGCAGGAACAGATAGCTGGTTGTTGTTCCGGTGTTTGCACCGTATCTTCTAATGCATCCACACCCTCCTACTGTCTGTCCATAACACTTCTATGAGAGAGACATTTTCCACATCTTGAAGATTCTCTCCACACAGAGTTGATTTCCCATGGAGATGAATATCAGGTCACCCATTCCATACACGCCCCCCCCCCCCCCCTCTTTTTCGACATCGGCGCCTATGCCTTCCCCTCTCTTCCCTTCCCCCCATGGAAGCTTGCGGACCACCAGACACGACATCTGTCATCGGACGGGCGAGGGAAGACAAGGCTGCTACAACATTTTTTGGGGGTCCCTTGAACGTAGACCGAAGCAACAGAGAAGCAGATGATGGTGTAGATTTTTTTTACATACGCAAAAAAGAGATGCATGTAGTGCTGCAGTGGCACCGGGAAGCCGCAGAAGACAGGGCACCTGGAGGGGGGAGAAGGAGAGGCCCTCACTTCGGCTCTGGCAGTGTAGTGACAAACAAGCATGGCACACGGGGGTGGGGGATGAGGAGTACCTAGGGACGTGGGAGTAAGGAGAGAGGAGGAGAGAGAGCCTCTAGGATCAACGCCCCTCCACTCTTTTCTCCAGTTCCTCCTCCATCAATGCAGATTGGGGGAGATACTTTGAGGCTGGAGGGACGGGACGTGGAGAGCAAACGGAAGGGGGCGGCGGCGGCGGCGGAGGGGGAGGAGGACGAGGGGCGGACAGCTTGAGCAGGGGTGGCCTAGTCCTGCGTTGGAAGATCTTGTAGGGCCAGACGGGAGGGAAGGTCGATCTCATCTTGGTTATGTGGGCACATCTTGAAATCTTGATGAGGAGAAAAAGGGCCTGGGGTTCTCGGGGCTAGGCCAACCTGGACCCGAGAATCTCGCCCATTTGGTAGCTCACTGGGAGACTTGGAGTGAAAAGAGCTGAGAGTGAGAGCGAGAGAGAGAGAGAGAGAGAACGGTCTAAGACCTTTTGAGACTGCATTATTTTTCTCAGCCGTAAAGATGACTTGGAAACCTTCCACATCCAATCAGACTGGCATTTGATATTCGTCTTGCTTGGAGAAGCGAGACTGCTTTTCCTGTGTTATCGCCACCATTCGTAAGAAAGAATCCCCATCCTGGGCCTACCGCTCGGGATCGAGACAATAATTTTGAGGTGATGAGAGGCAGGAAACGGCCCCAACACTGTGAGTACATCATTCCTCGACGTACCCCCCACGCGGGCAATTTCTATTGCTGAAGAAAACTACCGAGTTGTTATGTGGTAACCGAGACTTGTATAAACGCTCGGTGCAAGTGCGTCCAACGGAGAAGAGAACATGTATTGGACGGATGATCTCCCACGATGAGGAGGTACATGTATCATGGGAGCCAGGCTGTCCGTTCCCCCCAACAACCCATAAGTCCAGACTCACCAGCCGTCAACAGAAAAGAGTGGAATACGGGATGGAGGCACAGAAGAAAAGAAGTAGCATCTGCTTTGAGAAAAAGTGCTTCTGAAATGGGAAAGGTGCTTTCCATAATGACACCGAAGAAACCACACCGCAAACACTTCTGCTCGATCATCGTCGGGCAAAACGGCCGTCTCGGTCCCACTTGGAGGGTGCAAACCGTGGACGCTTGATCGTCTGACCCTGTCACGATAAGTGATTTGATTGAAGGCAGGCAAATCATCCAGCGAGAGACTGAGTGTATGAGGGCAAGTCACACTTTTCCCCCGTTCATGTACACCGAGGCAGCGTCCGGGGGTATGAAAAGTACTACAACAGCAGGCAGGAAAAACGTATGAGGGAGTGAGACGCAGAGAGTGATAGGAAGAGAGCGAGAGACAGAAACTGCACAAAGGTGAAGGTTACGTGACGCAAGCCATCGTCAGTGAATACGCTTGTGTGGGTGTCGCTGTCCCCTGTGTCACCATACGAAGCGGCCTTCGCTGCAACATACACAGTTCAGGATGATTGAACCGAGAGGGCCAAATGCACAAAAGAGAACTGGCCGAATATCTCTCCAGCCAGAAGCAACGGCGACAACCCCAGGACGAGCCACCAAGCGGTACTGGCTGCCACTTGGCGCCCGGTTAAAGTGTAACACCGCCAGCTCGCTGAAGAAGAAGAAGAAAAAATATTCAAGGGGGGCCAGAAAGACTCAAAGGCCGAAGGAAGAAAAAAAGCAAGAAAAGAAGGAAAATCAACGGTGTTGCTGCTGCTGCATGGCTTCGTGCTGCATGGTGCGTGCAGCGGTTTCGTTCGCCAAACATCTCCCTGACCGGCCGAGAGAGAATCCTGTAAGAAATGAGCATCTCAGGATGGACCATGGGCCATGCTGCAAAGCCCGTCATCTGCATAATTAACAGCAACAAACTTGAGCCATCATTTGCCAGCCGGCACTGGGAGGTTCCGCGAAGAATTCTATCAGGCAAACCGACACCTCAGCTGGCGAAAAAGACTACAGGGAGATACGGCCGGAGGATTCACAAGAGATGCCTTCCGAAATAGCTGGCGGCGCGTCACGGTGTTTTGCCTTTCCCCATTTCAAGTACTCTTACATGGGCAAACGAAATACATGAATATGGCCGCCAAAGACGGCCGCCCAAAGCCGCCTCAAGAGGCCCAGGAGGGGCGAAGGGGCGCACACCTGCGCTCCAAAATGGGATGGAAAGCTGCCAAACAAGCCATCTTTGCTGTTGCGCCGTTGTACGCTCTGAAAGTCTTGAGCCAGGCTCTGTGTGCAGCCCCTTCTCCAAGCCTCGCACTCTTCCTCGTGGCAGATGAGGTGTCCTTCTGCACGTTTCTCGCCCTCGCTTGTGCTGCAACTTGATCGTCCACGACTTGGCGACCGGGATTTGGTTGCCCCTCCCCTCCACAACGTTGCAGTTCCGGCCTGGGCCGCGCCTCTGCTTTTGGATAAAGATAGCGGGAAGAGCTTCGATACACGGCACGCGGGGGTGGGAGGGAAACAAGGAACAGACAGAAATAGCAAACGGGCCGCTGAGGCACAGAGCATTGGCAGGATGTGCGCGTGTATGCGTAGTAATGTGTCGGTGTGTGTGGTTCTCTTTCCCGCACCTGCGTTGCCGTTGTTGCTTCGCCCGTGGGCGGCCAACTGGTGATGCATGCCCGTTAACGTGAATTCTGTACGAATTGATAGGCATGTATGCCATGCCTCTGCCTTCTCTTGACGCGATGCACTCTCCTCCGCCCGCTTACCGCGAAAGGACCCCGCATCGGAGGGCGGTTGGTACCTCGACGTTGACGGTGTTGGCGATGAGGGTTTGAGAGGAAGAGGCTGCAATGCTACGTCGTCCGATACCCCCGTGCATTTGAATCAGGGGTAGATATCCTGCTGCAGGAGTTTAAGTAACTAAACTCGCCCGGTGTGGCGTCGTCGTCCCCAATGGCCCCAAGCCCATCAGCAACCAGGAGAAAAGGATTCTGTCATGGATGCAGAGCCCATGCTCGAAGCCGACGGATCCTATTCTCCATCGTGATCCTAACGACCGTAACGATGCGTTTCTCAGGGGTGACTTCGATCCGTGTACGTGTAAGAAGCTTCTTTTGCTCCCTACCGTCGATTTTGACATGCTGGTGGGACTGGAATCGTGAAGCACAAATTTGCCGCCGCAGCGAAGTTTTGTCCTGCCATCGTCTCACGGCGTGCAAGGTCAACGAGGTGCAAAGTCTCAAACCTAAGCAGGACTTCGTGTTTCCGCATGAGCTTATTGCCAAAGAAACCCTCACAGTGTTTGAGACATCTCCTCGCCTCGTCGACCACCGTCTGGAACCACGCAGGTTTCGCGGGATTACTCTCATCTCGCTCTCTCTTTCTTAAAAGAAAAAAAGAAAAAAAAAAAAAAAAGAAAAAGAAAAAGGGATAGCCTGCGCCGCGATTCCAAGACAAGAGAAACGAGCTTCCCTCGCTGAAATTCAAGTAGAGCAGTTCGTATCGAGAGTCGACTGAGATGTTGTTGGTAGCGTAGCACAGCGTCAGACTGATATCATTTGCAGCAACAAAAGCTCGCCCAACAAGGTGAGGCCGTCATGCCGGCGATCAGGCTGTCTGTCGTGATGCAGATCCCTCTTCACCTAGCCTGTTACCGGGCATTTCTTGTGCGTGCCTGCTTCTGGGACGGGAGGCAGCAAGCAGAACGCACATGGCTCGACGGCTTCGCTGACAACGGAAATTTTTTGCAGCCATCTTCGGAGCGCTGCATCTACCCTTGGGGAGCTGCCAGTCATAGCCAGAACCAGGGTTTTTTTTTTGCCCATATGCGGGCAGCCGTTTGCAACAGGACACAGAACGTAAGCGATTGGACCGGCTTCCAGGGACACAATGTCATCTGACAGCCCATGCTAGGGGCGGCCACGTCCGGAGCAGATTGATGGAGGTTGTCAGCGATGGAAAGCAGCCACCAGGGTCAGGCACTGAAGGAGGCGAAGGAGGCGCAGGAGACGAGACGAGACGAGACGAGCCGATCCGGGCTGCCTCCACTCCGCAATAACACATTGGCGATGGAGAATATCAGATCCATTGGTTTGGGCCTTCGAGTTTGTCCAAGTGCCAGTTCTCGACGTACTGTGCCAACAAAGTTGCCGTGCCGTGGTTTGGCTGCAACGAAATTCTGCATTGGGAAGACAATCGGCCTCCTCCGCCTCAACCTCAGCTTCATCGACCGACCATTGAGCCCCACGGAGTAGCACAACTGACGAGCTTTGATCTTCATGTCTCGCTCGCACTGAGGGAAAGGAAGACCGGTCGCACAGGATTTGGGGAGTTGACGCCTAGCGGCCAGACGGACAGAAATAACTGCTGCAGCTCTGCAGCAAGACTCGACGTGCTGTCACTCTCGTGATCCTGTGCGACATTAGCAGCTGATATTACAGGACGCCTTGAAGGGGGGACTTGAGAGGCCTACACCAGAGACCGCATCTATTAGACGCCGCGACGAAGGTTGCAGCAGGCGGCAGAGGCAGCGGCAGCGAGAACGAAATGCGAACGATAAAGGAGTCGGTCAGGTTCGGAAGCAAATTTACGAACTGCCACGAACTTAAGTCATCAGCTTTCGTCCCGAAGGCAACCTCGTTCTAGGATTCTAGATGTGTCTTCGTAGAGCTGAACTCTTGAGGGATGCGAGGATGTGATCGGAGATTGTCCTGACAGGTCGAAGACGTTGTTGCACAATGCCGGCCTTGCACGAGGCGGCTGCGGACTTCAATTGAGATGGCGGTCCATGGCCCATGGTCCGTCTCTCAATGCCGCTCCGTTGCAGCTTCTCCCAGAGCACAGGAACTACCTTGAAGATATGACAACTGACAGATGACAGCTTCATCAAACGCAGCAGGCTGATGCAACCTCCCTTGGCAACACCAAGGAGTGCATCGATCCCCACTTCCGCGGTGGCTTCCGGCCGCTTACTTGCATGGCCCTTGCGAGTGTGGAATAGGCTTTGATAGCCATGTTTGCAACGGCGAAACGATGAGACCAATCCTACTTGGGGCGAGCCGTTCGCCATGTGCGACATCAAGTCGTGAAGTCAAGCCCCACGGCCTCTGCTATGGCAATCTCTCTCCCTTGCCTAATTCCCCACATCCGGACTTCCCTGGTCGACGACGAGATGCGACGGGGTGGCTTGCAAGCAGGTTGCCGTGGTGGCATCTCGACAGGTCAACGAGATATTGTTGTTGTTCATGAAACACGAGCCTTACGCGGGCGGCAGTGGCGATAGTGGTGTCAATTTTTGTATTTCTTAGCGTCTACATCTGTGGCTGACCGGGCTGCTGCAAGCTGCGGTCTGGTCAACGGCGGCTGGGTATAGTTTGAATGTGCATTGTCGGTGACGAGAAGAAAATGAGATGCGCGTCTTGCAGTTCTACTGCTTCTGCTGCTTCTGCCGCTGCTGCTGTTACTATCTTCGTCTGTCCGAGTCTCGATCCCTGCCTCGATTCCGATTATCCCAGTCTCTGCGGTTTCTGCGACCCGAATCCCTATCATCACGTCGCCGTTCGTATTGATCGTGCCGTCGGCCGGAACCGCGATCATCGGATCGGTATCGATCTCCATCTCCTCGTCTGTCCCTATCCATGGCCCTTGAGCGTCCGGGGCTTCGACTGCGTCTCCGCACCTGTTCCGATCTGGGTCGATCTCTTTCCCGTTGATCTCTGTCTTGCTCAGGCTGCTGCTTATCTGATTCGGGACGTCGGTCTTTGGCGCTGTGGTGGCGACCCTTCATTTCCTCGTCTCCGTACACCAAGTCATAATCATCTCCATTTCGCTCGTATTCGTCACGGTATTGCCGCCTCTTTTCGAGCTCGTCGACACCTCCGAATCCACCCTTGGATGCGTGTTTTCTGCGCTTCTGGTTTGTATCGTCTCTCCAGACCTGTTGCAACTTGCTCACACTCTGCGAGAAGTCCACGTGAATACGACGGTCGTCAATCAAGACATCCTGCATCTTGGCATAGGCAGCCTCACAAGATGCCTTGTCGGCATACTCGATAAACGCGTACTGAAGACTGTCGCCCGTCTTGGCATCACGGATGACCTCGCAACTCAGAATCTTGCCGAATCGGCCAAAGATGAGCTCCAGATCGGCGTCTGTGGTGACAGGGTTGAGCTTGCAGACGAAGAGGACGTTTTCAGGGGGAGCGACCTCGGCAAACGGCAGGTCACCCATCATTTCCAGAGTGAGAGCCTGGGCCCGTGCCTCTCGGTCCCTACGCCGCTTCTCGATCGCCTCCTCGTCCAGATCATCATCTTCGTGTAGCGCAGCCTCGTCCGCGATCCGAACGGTATCGAGTTGTGACTTGCTCGGGGGAGGCGAGGCACTAGGCTCTCTCAGCTCGGGGGGATCGGGGTACGGGTCATCGAGAACGATGGTGTGCTTGATTCGAATGTCAATGAGGGGATGCCCCTTGTCGTCTACGATGGCCTCGTTGATCTTCTCCAATACGTCGAAGCCCTCAACGACTTTGCCAAACACTGCGGCCTTGCCGTCTAAGTAGTCCGTCTCATCGCCCAAGGTGATGATGAACTGAGAAGCCGCCACACGAGTATCCGGGTCCGAATCGAGGGGCGCCGTGGCCATGCTGACGGTGCCTCGCTCGAGATGCTTCAGCTTCGGATGGAAGAAGGCCGGGAACATCTTCTTGGAGCTGTCGCCCGACAGCAGGCCCCAGATGGACGTGCCTCCATCAGATTGTTTCGACAAGGGTCCGAGAGGGTCGCCGGTCTGGAAAGAGAAGTTCTTTTGAACAGAGTGGACGGGTGAAAAGTTGTAGTATTTCACTTTGCAGAGCTTTAGAAAACTGGAAGTCTTTGGTTAGCTGAGCAAGAGCGTTGCAGCGCTGACGGGCAGTCGCCACTTACTTTTCGCACAGCTTGGGCGCGTAGTCGACCAGCAGGTCAATCACGACATCGCCAGAGCTGGTTTCCAGAAGCACTGACATGATGTCAATAGGAGTCTCCTCTCGATCGCGTCGGTTTCGCTGCTATCGTCGTCTTCGTTGTCGTCGACTGGCTAGCTGTCGGTAGCTCTGGCGTGGACGGAGCTTTCCACAACGGAAATTTTCCTTGGCGTTGCGAATTGACCAACACAGACAGATCAGCCAATTTGAGTTGTCTCGCTTCGCCGAAAGACACGAAGATCTCCCAAACGCGAAGCTTTCCGCTAGGCTCGGGCGGGCGGGCGGTGGTGTGGATTGGACCTCGTGCGTGCGTGTTGGCTTGATGATGTTTGCGGTCAAAGTGATGTAGGTGCGGTGCGGGCCTGTACTCTCGTCACATAGTGCGTGCGTCAAACTTGATATGTAGTTTGCACGGTGGAAAAGATCGGCGAATTAGAGGAGGGCAGGGACAATGACAATGTTCAAAAGTTGTGCGGATTGCATCGCCCCGTTTTTCTGCGTTTGGGAGCTTTGGAGCTTGGGCGCGACTTGTGGGAAATTTTGGATGTTTTTGGATTCGTCCATTTTCTTATTTTTGATAGCGCAGTAGAGCAGTGGTGATCATTTTCCATATCATGGAGCTTCCAGAGGTAGGTGAGTAGAGCTAGACATGTATCCCCAACTCCGCATGCATCATGATGATCTCGGGAGTCCCGTCATGCTCAGACCACTGCAACACCACCTCAACACCACAGAGTTATGCTTCCATCTCACAAGTCTGGCCAGTCGATTCAAATATGCAACATGATATCAAATGTCAAGATATCAAATGTCAAGGAACAATTACATGTATGGTAAGGGTTGGTAATTGGTGTCGTTTCAGTCATTACAAACTCTATGGACCAGATGGTTGTTTGTGTGTGATATTCCTGCAACCACCAAAGAAAAAAGAATAGGAAATCAGAAGGAAAAAAGGCAGATTGACTGTTGTATCCAAACCAGCCTCGCCAGTAAAACACCAAATATCCGACAGGCGAGATGAGAAGAGCATCTTCGCCTGTATGCAAACCCGGCTGTTCCCTCTCTGAGATGGGCAAATGACCCATGTTCGTGCCATAATCCATGCCATGCCTGTTCTCGGCAAAATGTCGCAATTCCCACACAAAACCCCCCTTCAACGCCATTCGACGAGATGGTTAGTTCATCTCATGTCGAATCCAACGCCTCATGAAAAAGATGAATCCGGAGCTAATTAGGTAGGTCGAAATAAGGGACCCCAAAAAATTTTTTATTCTACTCAAAAATGCTGCGCTTTTTGTGTCGACCCGCAAAAAGAAAGAGCGTGAGATTGGCGATGGCAAAGCTCACGGGGAACTCTTGCGTCGTCTCTCTGAACGGAGTTCCTTTTCCGTATCCATGAGACGACACTGCACCCACATGCGAAACGAGCTGTCGCTCCGCACCTGGTCGCAGTTGAGGAGCTCCATCAGGGCCCGCTTCATGCCCTCGTTGACGTCGAAGAGACGCTGCTCCTCTTCGGCGACCGCCCAGATGGTGGTCTCGTCCGCGATGGGCGCGAGCGAGCTGCTGCGGCGGGCCTTAGGACTCGATAGCGACGAGCGACGGCTTCGGCTGTGGTGCCTCTTACCGCCGCCGTTGGGGTACTGGCCAAAGGGCGAGCAGGTGCTGCGCGTCGGGGATACGGACGGTGATGAGGCGAGCGACGTGTTTGAGGTCGTCATGGGGCGGATGGTGTCCAGGTGCTGGCGGAGTTCCTCATGTTGAGATTGGAGGAGGAGGTATTGCTGGAGGGCAAAGTTGGAGGTTTGCTCCTGCGTGGATAGAGTGGTTGCGGCAGCCATTTTTGATGTTGGTGGGTGTGGTAATGATAGTGTGCAGGTAATGTGTCTTTGGGCTATTGACGAGCCCATCGGAAATGTGTGTGATTGTGGGTGTGGATGGGACGAGTATATGGGCTTTCCAGATTACTTGGGACCCAGGCGAAGACGATGTTCGGAAGCGATATCGAAAAGGTGCGTGTATGTGCGTGTGCCTTGATGAGATGTTCTCGTAGTGACGGAGGTGGGTAAGTCGATCCGATGTCGTCAACGTGATGTGATCAAGAACACCGCAATGGTTCTCAATAGGACTTATATAGAGTATAGACACCTGTTGGTTTGTTTATGATTCTTCTTTCCGCCTTTGATAAGGAAAGGTAAAAAAAAAAAAAAAGAGGCGTTTGTTCGGTTTGGCGTTATGGCTGGGAGACGGGAAGAGTAGTTGACTCGTGGTTTTGGACCGAATGGTTCGAGGAGGTGTCGAGTACTAATACCAAATGAGGTACTTTGAGCCTTCTGCGTCTCCTGGAGCTACTGCCCTGTCGATGGTGTCGATCAATGGTGGATCCGGCGTCCTTTGTCTCCTTTCAATCGAACCCCCGTTGGCGTGCGAGAAGAGGAGAAGGCGGGCGGGCGGGCGTGCGTTGGAGCTTGCGGGGGTCGCTGGTAAACGGTCTCGAAAAGCCCCTCTCAGCTGTCGGTAATAAATGTGAAAAAGAGGAGTAGATGCAGCAGGACAAGAGGGCGTGGCCGTTGTCGGGCAGATGTTTGGTCAGAGATTGAGGGCCTCTTCTGGGGGAAAAGCAGAGGGCAAGGGGGGAGGATCAAGTAATATGTATGTAAGGTGTGCTTGTTTTGTTTCTCTACGATAGGCGTGTGAGTGGACGGTGTGGTTTATTATGTGCCTCTCTCCTCCTTTTGCAGTTTGCGGTGTGCACGTCCGATGCAGACTCGATGCAGACAGATGCAGGATAACGCAGCTAAGTAGCTTCCCCGGCAGTCGAGTCGATAAGTTGATGATGGCCTTTTGCTCTTTTTGGTTGTATTTTATTAATAGGCACTTGTGGATGGCCCGGAAGTGATAAGCGGAGTCGTGGGCGATGCGTAAAGAGGAGAACTCTGGAGACTCTCTGTAAGAATCGCGTTGTCGCCGTTCTCCGATCTTGTTTCTCTGCGTGGCCGTGTAATAAGGTATTCCGGGATATGGCAAGAAGACAGGTACAGCAATCAAAGCTTGGACTCCCTCGTGGAAATGGCACGTTCAATGGCGCCAAATAAAACCGAAAGCCACAGGGCGTTTAACCACCGGCCGGGATGTGGTTGACAATGTTCAGGTCCCGGTCCAGCTTGTGTGTGTGTGTGTGTGTGTGTGTGTGTGTGTGAAAGTCCCACTGCTAATATACAGCGTATGGAGTACGGAGTACCCGCGTTGCAGAGAAAAACAGGGTAATGGGGGTGGGTAATAAACTCGGTAGTCAAGACCAAGGCTCAGGAGTAATAGATTATGTGAAAAAATAATAATAGAGAATATGTGCGCGAGCTTGGTTGCCAAGTCCGTAAGGGAATGGGATGGCGAAGGCCGACAACCGAGAGATGGTCTGGAAGCTTTTTTGAGAGCCCACGAAGCCTTGGATAGACCGGTTCAGGCCTGTCGTCGCAGAGTCAAAGCCCAACCAACTAGAAACTTTGCTAGCTTGAAAGTGGTTGGCGGTGTTTCCGTCGTCCGTGACAGAGATGAACCGAAAACTTTTTTTGTTGTTTCTTTCGCCTCTCCTTGGAGTATGCTTTTTGAGGAAGGAGGGGAGATGTAAGTGACCCCTGGCCAGACAACTTTTGGGCTGGGTGTGTGTGAGTGAGTCTGTCTCGGTGATGTGTGCGTCTGTCTCTGCTTCTGATTTGTGCGTGATAATAATGATACTGATAATGAGGGGAGCCCAACTGCCTAATAATGGCGGCGGATAGCGTAAGACGGGATGGGACGGGGGTATGGATGTCTGGGAAATGGGTGTGGAGGGAGATACTCTCCACAGCCCCTGGTCCAATTAATAGACCCGGTCCAGCCCGGGTGTGATGCTGAGCAAGGTGGGAACAACAGCGTAATACGAAGAGGCACCGCTGAGAACGAGAGAGACTGAAAGAGTTGCGTGCTGGCTGCGTCAAAAGTCGTAGGCGCGGCCACCGGTCAGTCGGTCCCAGACTCGGAGGGGAGGAGGCCGGTTCGCTGTCGGTGGTGCAATAAACCTGTTCAACGCTGCGCTATTCCGACAAGAATAAGAACGGCCACGGCGTGCGTCTGGTTCATGCAGCTCAGGGGCGAGAAACGTCGCGACTAGTTGGTCCACGTTGTGGCTAGGCCTTGTTCTGTTTTCCGTAGCGCAGCCCGCCGGAGACGATAGCGCTATCTTTGGCTTGTTCTTTTTGGTGGTTGTTGGCGCCCTGGTACGAGTTTCCTACCCAAAGGGCCGACGTGATGATGATACGCAGGGTCGTGTCGGAGTGGCGCTGCTAGTGCCGACTTGGGAAGATTGTGATACCGACGATGTGGTCGGGAGAGGCGATAGCAACAGACTTTGCTGATTAGGTGTGAGAACCCCTGGAAGCGAGATCGACCTCAGCTGGCCGCTCGTGGGTTCGCTAGTGATCTGGTTGCCGTCTCGATGATGTGATGCCAGAAAATCTCTGACAAACGGTAACCGGGTTCCTCTCAGTTCTTGCCCGCGGCTGTCGGAGACTAGAAGGTTCACGAAGCTGAGATGATGATTGTGTTGTTTTTGCTGTTGCTGGCGCTGCGCAGGCCGGTGGCTATGCGTCCTCGTGTCTGCGGAGACGGCCTCTTGTTCTCGTGATTGTCGTTGTTGATGCAGGAATTGTGGTCCGTGTTCAAATTTTTGCTGGTCTTCCGATGGTTGTTCGGGGGTGATCCAAGTTATATCACAGTGATACATAGCAATGCAGGGAAGACTGGCGATAATCAACAATGTCTCGTCGAGGTCTGGTATAGATGACTTGTATGTGAACTCTGTCTCGAGAGGGGGCTTGACGCTGATGAGGCTGGTGGCATTATGTATCTGAATCTCTGAATCTCATCCCTCACGAAATGATTCTGAGCACAAGTGACGTACGTGCCTTCAAAAAGCCCATGTGGCTCAACACCGCTTGGGGTCTCACATAGGTACGGACATCGATCCCACGTTTTCCAGCCTGCTTTTACCCCGATGAGGTATTCTTCGGGCAATTTCTTTTTCGTTGTTTCTTTGGTGGCCCCGGGCTATTTGCCCATGGGCCCGCTAGCACTCGCTTTGAATGGAAGCTCCCCGGCCGGCACACGCTTCCGAGCAGACAGAGTGTGGCCAATGCTGGAAGGTATTAGGTATTCCCGCAAGCGCAAGGGTAGGATCCTGTTTTTTACTCATTTCAGATGAAAGCTCACAATTCGTGTCGCGGGAGATCCCTTGAGCGAAACGCCTTTGATCGGCCATCTGGTTGGTGTCTCTAATCTCAAGTACAGCCCAGGGTCGAGACGGGCGGGAAATAGGACGGCCCCCAAGAAGACGGCTGGACGGTGGACGGGTGAATGGTGTACACACCGCGCGGCTCGGGAGCGATAAGATACTTCGGTTCTGAACTTCTGACAGGTCGGAGAAAACCAACCTCGTGTGTGGGTGCATGGGATGGGCACCATGGGGTCGTGGTGGCTCAACACCAAGGTCGAAAGTGGGTATGCAACCGGACATACGTCCGGAGAGAACTTCACCTTCTCAGTTCGGTTTACTGGCGACTGTATACGTAGCTCGACCAAATCTTAGGCGTTGCTTCATCGTCAGATGATCGGTCTGCGCCAGATATCTCTGACAGTCCAGGCTCTGCGATCGACGGACAACGTACGCAACCCAACCGCAACCACAAGACCAGGAGCCTGGAGGCACGGGGTTCGTACCTTGCAGCGAAGGCGGCTTCGGGTTCCAACAGAAAGAATGGCGGCTGGCGGTCGATCCAAGCATGTTTTGACAAGTCGCGGACCACACCCTCCCAACACACAATCAACTGACCGATCTTTCTCGTAGGGCCAGCGCCGGCCCTTTCGAGCCGAGACATTTTGATGCTCATCCTCGGCGGATGCGATGACTTCATAGCCTCGTTTCAACGGCTTCACGGTGCCCTGCTCGTCTCCGCATTTCTTCGTTCCCGCTGGCCGCTGGCCGCTGGGCCACTCCTCTGTATTCCTCTTCGTGAGTCCATGCTCACTTCCCATTCTTCGAATACCTTGCAAGCCAGGAAATCCTCAAGGGCCAGACCATAGTCCCAGTGTATTGGCAATACGCTTGTGCTCTGGAAAATACCAGTCCGCCCAATCATCGAGCTCCCCAAGACTTTTGGCACTTTGGCCGATGTGCAGGGGTCAGCTCCTTCGTGCGAGCCACACGACCACCTCCAACGTCACTGTGACTGAGCTTGCTGGCGTGGTGTTTGCCGTCCTACATTCTTCTGGTCGCACTTTCAGCCACATCGCCAGGAATCGACAAGATGACGTTCAGCTGTTCCATCAAAAGGTCGTTTCGTTGTCCACGAACAAGCCGGAGCGTCATGTCCGTTCCCGGTTGCCAGCGGAGCGCCTGGGCCTTACGTAAAGTTCATTCCTACTCAACAAAGCTTTCCATATCGAATTGAGTTTCTAGGGTGCAGACCGAGGGCGAGGGTCAAGCAAGGTGACCCCTCATCTCAGAACGCATCCGGTGCCCTTGAACTCTCTCCGCGTCCTGAGACTGCCGGAGCATCAGACCATTGCTTCTTGGCCCCAGAATGCGGGGAAGCTGGCACTGGGGTGTGCATGAGGTTGACAGGCGATGACATGATAATCGACCGGTCCACGGGATTCCTACTGAATCTTGTTCAAGATGGCATGATGATTGAAAACATTGGGTGCATCTTCATAATCATGACTTTGGCCGGGGCCGTGGCCTGACTTCAGTTCCGAATCTTCATCGTTGGTCCGGAGAACAGGTGCTATTCGCTATTCGAGGCGCCCATCCAAGGTCAACTCACCAGTTTTCCCTCTGCAATGTCTGCAGATCCTCGGTTTTGGGGAGGCTTGCTGTTAGTTAGACGGCGAATCGCCTTTTCCGGAGCTCGGCTTGGACCCTGATTTTTTGTTTGTGACTTGCGTTGTAGCTACGTAAGTCGCGCGCGTACTATCTTCGCGTTCCACAAACTCCGTATATGAATTACGAGCTTCTGTTTGATGTGTAGTTCTTTGCCAACGATCAAATGTCGGAAAGCTGACAGAAAGGGACTGTAATCATGACCATAGTAGCATGCTTAGGCAGGCGTATCGTCTCACCACATTGATCTGGCGATCGGTGGTGCCGAGACTCGACAAATCCGAATAGGTACGCTGTCGTTGTAGAATGGACCTTTTTGCTGTTCCCTCGGTGGTATAGGAAAATCGACGTAGCTCAAGTCCATCTCGCGCTGACGGCAACGATTGCAAAAGGCCTCGAATGTGACCTCGTTCCGCTGCGTCGCGGATATCAAAACTTGCACGGCAGGAAATAAGGCAAACAGCTCCTCGACGGTTGCGATAAGAGCCGGGATGATGCTCTGGTCATAGGTGATATCTGCTCCGATTACCACGTCAACGTTCTCGCCGTTGTTCCACTTCTGGTCCTCTGTCCCTACGAGAGCATGACCCCATCGCAATTCCATTGGCCTGATGAGTGTGCTTTCTTGCAGGTCGTTGAGGAAGAAGCTCTCTGGGAGGTTATTGATCACATCATCAGATCCATCGGAAGCTACAACATGCGTGGAGCCGAGATGTTTGACACAGAGGATCGCCAGGTATCCAGTACCTGCTCCGAGTTCGAGGACTCGCTTTCCTTGAACGAGATCTGGGTTCTCGCACAGGAATTGCCCGAGGTGCAGCGCGGCTTCCCATGTTCGGAGACCCGTGGTGCCAGAGGCAGAGATCAGCGAGCGGGCCTCAAGCAGTGTGATGTCAGGCGGAGGCGACTGCTGTGGCCGGAGGCTCTGCTCAAGACCACTCAGGTGATACGTGACGTAGGATTTCTGCTGAGCTGAGGACATCTCGGACGGGACTGGAGTTGCGAGAGATTCGGACAAGGCAGTCATGAGATCCTCGGAAACTTCCTGGGCACAGTCAGGAAATGCCGATAGCTGACAGCAGAGCGTCATGCCATGGCGCCATGAACAACGAGTTGAGACTTACATGTTGGTCCCAGTCATCGATGCTAGACTCTATTCTTGCTACCAGCTCCTTCAGAACCCGGAGGCGATACCTTGCAGGAGGACTGTAACGAGGGCCCTCTTCCGAGAAGAGTTTCTTATAAATCGCGTCTTGCGCAGATGATTCGCGAGTAATTTCCGCGGTAGGATATTCAAGTGTTGGCTCGAGTTGGAGATACTGGTAGCAGAAGCGGTTGACAGACTCTGGTGCGGACTGGGTTCCAGCCATGATGGGGCTTGGTGGTGTTAAACTCTGATAAATATCGTATGTTGCCCGATTCGGTGTAGCGTAGAGCCTCACTTTTTTGAGGTTGGTCCAAGCTCCCCTCTATGAAGACAAATGCTCCTCTGGGCGAGAAGTAGAGAGTCCACAGAAGAGTGGCCTTCCGAGTTTGAATGAAACTACAGAGTCTCTGAGTAAGATTCCAGAAGCATGAGATCTTGAAAAGGCTGCGATAGTCGTAGCTTGAAGTCGGAAATGCTCTCGATCTCTGATTTGGAGTCCACAAAATGCACAACGTTTGATGCTGACTCAGAGGAACGTCGACTACTGTGCAAACACCGTGTCCGAGGAGCGATCCGTCACATGACCATCTCGAAAAACAGAATGGCCCGTGCATCAACGGACCCCACGTGACTTTCCATTTTTCGACCCAGGCAGGTGCGGCGGATCCTGAGGCACTTTCTAGGGCTTGCCCACCCATTAAGCGACACCAATCCCCGCCCAGGAAAATTCACGTCTGTAGCCCCGTCACAAACCTCTCGAATTTGACGATATCACACCTTTCGACTCTTCTGTCTCAGCGCCAACCCATCTCGACAGACAGATCAGCCCCCCGACCGACAAGATGGCGGACGTCGACACCCCCGTCACCCTGCGAACTCGCAAGTTCATCCGTAACCCCCTGCTTGGCCGTAAGCAGATGGTCGTGTGAGTTTGCCCCTCCAGATTTATCATCATTTTCCCCGAGAGAGAATCGCGCGCGCACGAATGGATATATCGAAATGGGAGGAGAAGGAACATGAACAATCGACACTGCGGTACATGGACAACAACTGGAACGAGACACGAATTGGAAACAAACGGACGGACGCGCGCGCGACTTATGGGAGCGATGGAAATTTCTCAAAAGGGCACATCGAGAGAGGAACTGCATGCTGACGGTTTTCTCAAAGTGATATCCTCCACCCCGGCCGTGCCAACATCTCCAAGGATGAGCTCCGCGAGAAGCTCGGCTCCTTGTACAAGGCCACCAAGGACCAGATCAACGTCTTCGGTCTCCGCACCCAGTTCGGTGGCGGCAAGACCACTGGTTTCGCCCTTGTCTACGACTCCCCCGAGGCCATGAAGAAGTTCGAGCCCCACTACAGACTGGTCCGCGTTGGCTTCGCCAGCAAGATCGAGAAGGCCAGCAGACAGCAGCGTACGTCGAGCCTCCAGTCAGCATTTTGCCACCGCAGCACAATCATATCGTCGGGTTCTGGGACCAGCCTTTGGCCTTCCGTCCCGGAACTTTGTCGTGATATATATGCCGCGGTGACGAATCTGATAACAACCTCCCATATCAAGCACTGATAACTGACATCACTCGCGCTCCACAGGCAAGCAGCGCAAGAACCGCCAGAAGACTCTGCGCGGAACGGCGAAGGTCAAGGGTGCCAAGAAGAAGAAGGAATAAGCGGTTCGCCCTTGTTGCCTGGGGTCAGGCCAACAAAACGAGGGGATTCCCCGGATCATCCGCAAGAGACCGTGGGGCGGCGTTGGTGGAACAATCAAAAAAGAACAATTCAAAATGTCGTCTTGGGCCAATGTGGTTGTTTCTTCCGCTGGGGGGATGTCCTTTCATTTTTCCGAAATGGGGAGTTTGTTCCAACTCTGGCTGTGCATCTTATTCGATGAAACAATGCGGCTTTTGCATCATCCCCATGCGTTGGTCCGGCTGGGTTTATGTCGGCCACGCAAAAACAACTAGAGTCTACGCGGCGTGATACGGGGGAATGGGTTCATGATTCTCTCAAATATGAAATGCATCAAAAACACGTATCCCGATGGTCCCCCCTACTTTCATTCCAAGACGTTACCACCTGCGGGGTGATGGTCTTTGTTCACTATATTGTCACTGCGACTCCCATGGCCCTCCGCCAGTAGTTACCTACGAATCATTCGAGTTCATCGGTCTGGAGATGCTCGGCAGTTATTGCGGCTCCCCCATACCCCCGACCGGGGCCAGGTTCCGCAATCCTTGACATTTCTCGCAGCGGATATCCGTGTTTCACATACATACCTGCTGCCAATGTCAGTCTAGCTAGTCGCCTCGCAAACGAACCCATCCAACATGAGTTTACACTCTATCTAGACACTTCCTTTACTTTCTTAGTCCATGACGTTACGACTTGCGGGGTGAACCCTTCCACGTCTGACCGTCTGACTTTCGTCGCCAATGTTGCCACTCGGGACGTGAAGGTCTGCCAAGCTCAACCTTGCATACCGATGTATGTCGATGTATTTCGATGTATGCTGAACTTCGAACCTTTACTTTGATTCCCTTCCTTGAAAGAGGCCTCGTAGCGGCGGCGTATTCCCTTCGTGATATTTCTCGCCAACGTCTTTGCAGCTGTTGGGGACTGAAGCTCATCACTGATGAATTTTGTAGCTAGTTGTCAAGATGGATCTGGCATCCGTATGGTGTTTCGTGGCTCTCGCAATTTCTCTATTGTAACTTTTGTGCTCGCTCAGATTCCATAACTCGAAATGTACACCCATTGTGACTACCAAGATGAACAAATAAATCGATTAGAAAAGCTGTATATGGCCAGCTGAGGTTGATGAGAAAGAGGATGTCTCCATGAATTACATAGTATATTAATACAATAAACCCTTAGCATCTTTTGCCCGTTATGAAAACCCATCTCCTGAACATCTATATACGCCCTGCTGCGAATATTCGCTCCAACGACGAGATGCCGTTTTAACAAAAATCACACAAGTGCCCATCTCAAGTCAACTTTGATATTCCACACAGCCGTCCAGTCTAATCTCAAACACTCCTTGGCCATTCCCCGAGCCTCCAACAACCAAATCACCACATCTCGCCCAACGGGCAACGCAGAACAAACCAAACCATTCACTCAATCTCCATGTCAAACGTTCTTGGTTATCCTCTATTAAACGTATAATGGTGGTATCCATGCAAATCTCATCCCCCCCCAAGCCTCCCAAAACTCAATCCCAGAGAAACCCCCCAAGACGCCAGTCACAGTTGTCTATACAATGTATCTTTCATCGACACCGATTGAAAACGCCATACCATGCCTCAATATGCCCACACACCAAGACCAAAACACAACAAAACCACCCTCAAATCTCCCTCAACTTCTTCGTAGGCCTAGAAAGCGAATCATCAGGCAACCCGCTCCTCTTCGTCCCCGGCAAACTGCTCGTCCGGATATCATTATCATCCTGACTGACCCGCCGATGCGGATACTCATTCTTCAACCCCTCAAAGCAGTGCGCATTCAACCGATCCCCCGTCGAGAAGAACGGATGCTGCAGCGCCTTTGCCGCCGTCAACCTCTCCACGGGGTCATACTCCAACAGGCTCGCGAGCAACTTATACCCCTCGGCCCCCAGACTCGCCAGCGGCGCACCGCCTCCGTTCCCGCCGCCTGGCGCCGACGTCGCGCTGCTCGAGGCCCCCTGCGAGATGGTGCTGTAATACCACTTCTCCAGGTTCGAGCCGCTCGGCGCGGGCGGGTGGTGGCCGTACCCGTGTCCGCGGTGGTGACCGTGGTGGCCGTGGTGATGCGGCGCCATGGGCGGCTGGAGCGTCGCCAGCTGCGGGTACTCGGGCATAGCCCCCAGCAGCGGCCAGCGTTCCTTGGACGGCAGGCCCATGATGTCGACAATCTTCTGCATCTGGTTCCGCTGGAAGGGCACCGTCTTCTTGCTGTCCATCTTGGCCTCCTCGCCTTTGAAGATGGGGCGCAGGGAGAGCAGCTCCGCAAAGATGCAGCCGATGGCCCACATGTCGATGGCGGGGGTGTAGTGACGACTTCCGAGTATGAGCTCCGGCGCGCGGTACCAGATGGTCACGACGACCTTGTCGCCGCTGAAGAGGGAGTGTAAGGGTTTGTCGAAGCGGCGGGCTAGGCCCAAGTCGCCAATCTTGACCTCGCCGGCTGAGGTGACCATGATGTTGGCGGGTTTGAGATCGCGGTGCAGGACCCAGTTGGCATGGAGGTACTGGCAGCCGTTGAGGAGCTGGAACATGATGCTCTTGACCGTCTGCGGCGGAATGGGATGGCGTGGATTTTGCGTGTGGTGGTGAATGATTTGCAATAAGTCGTGCTCGGCATACTCAAAGACCATGAAGATGCACTTGTCTTCCAGTATGATTTCGATGAGCTTGATGACATTGGTGTGCTTCAGTTCACTGCACAAAGACATCTCGCGGATGGCAGACTGAGAAATGCCCGTGTACGAAATCTGTTCACCCTCCTTGTCGGGCTTGAACTTCTTGATGGCAAACTCGCCGGTTTGGCCCTGGCGGCCAAGGGCCTTGTAGACGCGGCCATATGTTCCGGAGCTAATGAATCCGACGACCTTGTATCGCTCAATAACCCGGACCTTGGGCTGATAATTGATGTGGCCGAGGCCGCGGTCCGCTGGGTCTGTGAGATTTAGGTCAGCGCGCCTGAAAGCGAGTGAGAGGCAGAAGCAGAGATGAAGATCAGGAGAGGATGTCAAATACAGGAGCTGTAACTGTGCAGGCCGCCGTAGCGTATTCCCTTCCACATGTTTAGAAAAAATGTGTGGTTATGAGAGATCCCTTTTGTTAAAATAAAATAAAAAAGGAAATGAGACGGACGATGCGAGCGACGAGAGGATTTAGGGAGTAAACACAATATGCACTCGCTCTACAGACGACACATGTCTCTTTGGTCCCGAATACAACAGGGTGGAGGAATATCAGGTGAGGCTTTCGGGAAGCAACACACGTGGTGACAATAGCCACGGAAGAACACCCGCCAAGCAGACAAAGCTCACCGCCGATCCAAGGGCAGATTCAGGCTTCGGGGTTCTGGGTCCGGGGCTGACTGAGGCAGGCAATAGGCAGTGTGGGCTGGAGTTCGCGGGGTGGCTCTAAGCTTTAAAGAGCAAATAGGCAGAGAGCGGCGCCGACGGAAGAATGCAGCCTGCCACCCGTCGAAACACACACACACACACACACACAGCACGCACGGCACAGCTCGCGAAGTTGCGCCGGAACCCTTTTCCTCTCGGCTGAGTGCTCAGTGATCGTGTGAGATGCAAGGTAGCGGTGGGGAAACGGAAAAATGAGGAGACGGCAGATGCAGGACCCCCGAAAGTTATGTATAGGATGTATCTCTCACGGCGGAATACCCGGTAGGATGGGACAGGAGGGGTGGAGGTCGAGGAGGATTAGGATTGGATTGGATTGGAATTGGAGACGCAGTAAGGATATGTGCTGGGATATGTCTCTGAATGGGTGTGAATGAAAATTCTCGGGAAATGGGGCAAAGGCGAAAATGCAGAAGAGCAATAACAGGCGAGCTGCCGCTTGAATGATGAACCCGATTCCCGAGAGCTTCGATTTCCCCAACGTGTCTTGCTGAGAGGAGTGAGCATGGAACTACTGCGCAATGCCTTGGTAGTAGCCCAGCAGACGTAGGGGAGGACCGCGGGTGTGAAAGTGAAAGTGTGGTGTATGGTGTATGGCGTGTGGTGAGTGAGAGTGAGAGTGAGAGTGAGTGGAGTGAGTGAGTGTGTGTGTGTGTGTGCAGTGCAGGAGAGATGTGCAGGATTGCGAGTGGGAGGGGTGCATTCGACTAGATACGATTCGATACACAAGACGGATGGAACACCCGGGGTGGTGGTCGACGATCGACAAGAGGAGAAAATGTGGATAAGATTATACATTAAAAGAAACGGGGTTCGCAAAATAGGGTACGAGGCGACGGCGGCGTCCGCGGCGACAACTGCAACGGATGGTGGAAGCGAAGCGGGATGAACAAGAAACGTACAATACTCTGTGTCCGTCCGGAGTGTACTCTGTATCTCACCAAGAGTCTGAAGTGTCAAGTATGCCTTTTGCTTCACTCCTCATCCAATCTGTCTTTAGCCGCTGCTATGCTCGCTCACTTGTTGCACCTGATGTCTGTCGCTTGACTCTCGGGTTGCTATTCCGAACGACACATTGACATTCAACTCGAGTCAGGCAAGCCGCAAAAAAGAGCAAAAACTGGGTAGCCAAGGGGGCAAAAAGTGAACGGCAGTTACGGACGAGAGCGTTTGCAAGAAAGGTATGATGAACCCGAACCGACAAGCAAACATCAAAACTCACCTTCAAACGCTGCCTGAACGCTTCTCTTCAGCGTGCCCGTCCGTACCGAGCCAGGGCCCGAAGCGACGGATGGCGGGTTGGTCAGACTCATCATCCGCCGGGGTGGTGGTTCGCTGCTGACTTTAATGTCCGTATTGGAGTTGCAAATTCGAGATTCCAAGGTATCCGATTAGGTATCCTCCTCCCAAAATAACCCCCGTTAATTCGTGGAGTCTTTTTTCCTCAAAAGGGTCTTGCGGTTTCTTGCCTTGCTGGGCTCGAGTCGGGACTTTCAATGCGACAACCGTTAATTGCGGCTTGCCTCTTTCTTCCAAGTTCCCTCACTGTAATGGTCTCCGCCCCAGTCTGTGAGACTGAACCGCAACTGCAATATCCCGGGAACCAGGACTTTGCTTTCGTTTGTCCCAAGGAAACTCCGCCGAAACGTGGCGAAAATGGGGCACGCACACTTGTCAGTGGATATTGTTCCGGCGAAAGTCTGAATCTGGGTTAGGAAAGGGAAACCGTAGCTCCGGCTTGGGTCTCCAAATAAGTCAAGGTTGTGTCGGCGGCGGCGCGGGCAGGGTCAGTGATCCAACAGGAAAGAGATGTCGAGTCCGCAGTCCGTCAAAAAAAAAAAAAAAAAAAAAAAAAAAAAGTCAGCTCCAGCTCACTCAGGGACAGGCGTCGGCGCCAGACCAGCCAGAGCCTCGTGCGCGGCGCAAGAGTGGATGGATGGCGCAAGATCCCGATCCCGCAAAGGTGTCAAAGATGTAAAAGGTGTAAAAGGTGTGCTCGCGTATGCGTCTGCGCGTAAGTGTGGTGTGTGTGTGTGTGCTATGGTTATCTCAGAGTAGCGACGGTCCTGTGCCGCAGGAGGCGGGTGTAGTGCCCCGAAACTAACGGCCCCGCGCTGGACACGACAAAAAGGAATATGTCAACCCCCAAATCGAGTCGTGGACGAGCTTATCCTGAACGACGTTGTCTAGGGGTTCCCGATGAAGGCGCGAACCTGCGTGCGCGCGCGGGGGTCAACGACTCTTTGGTGTGAAAGTCCCGTCCCCTCTCAGATTCGGAGATCGGCCTTGCGTAGATGCGCCCACGCGGCAGACTCTATCGTCGCTGAGCTGAGCAAGTGGGCTGGCTGGGATCCTGTCAGATGCTTCGCGGATCCTTTGGCGAGTTGCCGAAGTGAAAAGCCCAATGCAATATGCGCGACTGGGTCAATGTCAGTTCCCTTTGAACGGCGATGCGCGACCGCCCTGGTGACCAGGAAAGTGACTGTATGCGATGATCGGCGTCGCGCGTCGGGCACGAGTCGCAAAGTCTCTGGATTTTGTGGTGTTTACTGTGTGCGATCACAAGCGATGACGATTTGAAGTGAGGTGAAAACCCTCCCGGGCAGAAAGTGCCGCAAGGTTGAGGAGAGTAAGAACGGGTATTAATGAATGGATCACGGAGGGGGGCCCAAGAATGCGCTGGCGGGTGGAGGATGATTGATTGAGTGCAAGCGAGTGAGAAGTTGAAGTTCCAGACGAAAGCAAAGAGTGAGTTGAAGTGACGTTTCACCAGCAAGCAACAGACGAGGCGGCGTGGCTTCCGTTCGACTTGGGCGTACTCCGTAGAGGCAGGCAGGCGCATCGCTTTCTCTGGTAGCTGCCTGGCTGTACAGTGTCGAGATGGTGGCAGATTGCACGGTGTCGACATTATTCAAGCTCAAGCTCACTCAGACTCTAGTTGCCAAACACTTGCCAGATTCCCAATACCAGGGCCATCTCTATCAGACAATCTAGAGAGACGTTTTGGATACCAGTGTCATAATAGAGTTCATCAACTTTTTCGTTAGAAAACAAAACGAGGCTCTAAAAACCTGCCACATGCATGCTACGTCTACTACCAAAACCAAGTAAGACGACCATCACATCACCTTGACAGACCATCCGACTATCGCGGCCCAAGCTTCTCAAGCACACGCGATCCCTGTTCATCCCACTCCTCCTTGGTCACCCACATGCCCTCCTTGTCCGCCATAATGTTGGCCAATACCGCACCACCGAGGAAGACCATGTGTCTCCGGCGAGGTGGGTCTTCTATCCGGACCTTGAACTTGTTTAATCTCTCCGGGTTGCCGCCAAGCACCCGCGTCAGCCACAGCTGCTTCAGCTCCTTCTCCAGACGTGACGGGAGACCAGGGTACATGCTGCTGCCGCCCGAAAGCACAATGGCCTTGTACAGCGATGATCTCACGTCCACGTCCGCCGCCTGGATCGTGTTGAATAGGAACTCGGCAATACCGGGCTGTTCGCAGTCCACCAGGTGAGGCTGGAACAGGCACTCTGGTGCCTCGAATCGCTCGCTGCCCACTCTAATCACACGGCCGTCGGGCAGCGTGTAGCTCTCCACCAACACCGTTGTGTCCTCGCTCAGGCGCTTGTCCAGCTCCAAGTCGTACGAGACGTAGCAGAGCTTCTCCTTGATCTGACGGACAGTCTCGAAATCGGCCGTTCGGTTGAGCGCGTAGCCGCGGCGCAGGAGGAGCGCAATGAGGTTGCGCGTGACGTCTCGGCCCGCGACGTCCAGTCGGCGGGTAAGGTGGTTCAGGACGACCGACTCGTAAACGGGCACGATGTGGGTCACGCCGTCTCCCGAGTCGACGACGACACCGGAGCTGAGACCTGTAGGGAGCAGCCAAGGTCAGCTTCGTTGCATATTCTCTCTCTCTCTCTCTCTCTCTCTCTCTCTCTCTCTCTCTCTCTTCAATTCAAGTCGGGTGTAGCTAATACGGTCAACATACCTTGGGCGTAAAGGGCCAATACGGCCTGGATGGCAACATAGACGCCGCCGAATCCGTAGCGGTCAAACATGACCTCGCACATTTGCTCACGGTTCCGCAGCGGGTTCATCGGGGGCTCGGTTAACAAGATCTTGCGGCCGCGCGGGTCGACCTTCATCTTCTCGAAAAAGGTGTAGTCCCAGAGATGCTGCATGTCATCCCACTTCTTGACGATACCGTTTTCCATGGGATAGCTGATCTGAAGCATCGTCCGGGCGGCGGCGGCTTCGTCACCGCACATGATATCCTTGATAACCAAGTCATTGTCCTCGCCCTTCTCTTCGGTTCTCAGGATCGGTCGGCCGACGATGGATGGGTATTGGAATTCTGGGAAGTTCTGCGCGGCGTAGCCGACCTTGAGGAAACCTGTTCCTCCGTCGAGGACTGTGGACCTTGCGTCAGCCACCTCCCGAACACAGCATCAACCACTTGGGGGAAAGTGGTCACAGGCATAGCTGTGCAGCCGAAGCTGCAGTATCAGGGGCATTGCGTCTTACCGATGGGGGCCTCGGCTGCCATTGTGAAAGCAGAAGCTGCAGGCGTTCGAGATTGGAGCTTCTATCGATTTGGGGGAGAGGTGAGGTGAGGTGTGGTTGGGAGAGCGTCCGGGAAGCTGTTACGTCTGTGTCGTCGATAGTGGGGTTGGGTCAAGTCCACTGCCTCCAGCTGTCCTGCCACTGGATCGTCAGCCAGGTCGTGGCTGAGTAGCGCCTATCACGTGATACCCCGCAGCCAGCAGGCGACACGGTCCAGGACTCCAGTGCACTGTCACTGGAGGTAGTGCTGAAGAGGAGCCGTAGTCGGCCCATTCGGGACAATGGAACCACAGCGTCACCGGACCGGCAGCCCCACCTTGACGGGAGAACCTCCACTTGTCGAAGGCCGCTGGTCGGCGGGACCAGGATGATTCACACGCCTGAGGGATGAGTAGAAGGGTAACTTGATGTTCATTCTCACACAGATTCGACCAAATCAGCATCTCATTTGAGACAACTCCTCCCTCCAGTTCTATTTCAAACAAACTCACAAAGAAGCCATGGCGACCCGTCTCCTTCGTCGGAATATCAAGATTCTCGTGATCAACGCCAACTCGTCAGAGGACATGACGAGGGGCATGGAGAAAGCCATACAAGCAATGCCCTTGCACGATGTAAGCCGGATTAGATTACCAATACACTACATCTTAACCACAAATAACCGGTGGCTGACTTTCCTCTCTCTCTGTGTTAGTCTCTCGAGATTCACACCTACACAGCGCCAAGTGAGAGCCCAGCAAGTATCAATGATGATGCCGACATCAAACTGAGCACCGAGGTCGTCATGAACGATCTCGTCAAAAGCGGCAAGCTCCAAGACTACGACGGTGTGCTCGTCGCATGCTACAGCGTCCACACCTTGGTCGAGCAGCTTTCCCAGCAATTCTACTCCTCGCTGGCCGTTACCGGCATGTTCGAGGCCAGCATCCTGAATGCGACTTCGCTCCTGCCTCACAGCTCTGACCCTTCGCTCGCATCCAAATGGGGTGTTGTCACGACGGGCGAGTTCTGGGAGAAGCACCTTAGTCAAGGCGTAAAGGGCTATCTAGGTCAATCTGACCAGTCAGAGAATGTCAAGTTCGGGGGCGTTGCGTCGACCGGCTTGACAGCTGGGGACTTCCACCACGTGAGCCCGGCTGAAGTCAGGGTCAAACTCGAGCAAGCTACCAAGAAGCTGCTGAGTAGCGGAGATGTGAGGTGTGTAGTTATGGGTTGTGCCGGTATGGCCGGGCTCGAGGAGATCATTCGCAGCTCAGCCAACGAGGTCTATGGCCCGGAGAAGGGCAGCCAGGTTTTCATCGTTGATGGTGTCAAAGCTGGCATCTTGCAGCTCGAGCAAACGGTCAGAAGCAGACGCTTGTTCCAAAACTGATTGGTCTATTAATAATACCCATGCTATTGGCACCCGTTTCCAACGCCATACCTTTTATTGCTCTATTCAAACCAATGCAAAACCACAATGATCAGGAAAATCGTCTTAGTCGAGCCGTCTAGTGCGCCCCCAAACTTCGTCTGCGTCTTTCTTGCCCTTAGTCTCGGGCACCTTGACGGAAACAAACAGGGCAAAGAGTACAGCGAAGCCGGCGAAGAGGTAGTACACCCAACCAGCTCCCCCGAGCCAGTTATTGAGGGCATTGTTGACGATCGGGAAGAATTGAGCAACCAGGAACGTCGCAAGGTAGTTGGACCCCAGAGACCAAGACTGGACGGCGCCAACAGCCTCCTGTCCAACCATCTCGGACGCAAGGATAAAGGGAACTGGCCCAAGTCCAACAGCGAAAAACGCTACAAATGACACGACTGACACAGCTGATAGGATCTTGACCCCGAATTGGATAGAAAGAGCGAGGATCAGCGAGCTGGTTCCCTGTCCGATGATAGAGATCAGAATGCAGGTCTTTCTCCCGAGCTTGTCCGGCAGCGGAGAACATGCTGCAGTGGTAAGGAGATTGATGACAGAAATCAGAATCGTCACTAGGGCGGAGCTGACGGGGAGCAAGCCGTTCAAGAGGGATACCGAGTACATGATGACAGAATTGATGCCACACAGCTGCTGCGCAAACATGATGCCGATAATAGCGGCGATGGCAGGTCGGTGAAGCGGGTCTTTGATCACGTCGAAAAATCCGAGATGGACAGGCGAGGTGTGCTTGGGAAGGCCAGGAGACACTGGCGGTACATCGTCGCTCTGGGCCAAAAGACCCTCTTGCTCAGCGTTGATCTCTCCATCCCAGCTCTCGACTTCCTCTCTGATGTCGAAGTCCTTGCCACGGATCCGCTGGAGAGTACGGCGAGCCTTTGGAACGTCGCCGTTGGCAGCTAGCCATGCCGGGCTTTCGGGAATCAACATGAGGCCGGAAGCCTGAGCCAACGCAATGAAGACGCCAGCAGCCAGGATCCAGCGCCAGGCCTTCCCGTAGCTCAGGAAGAAACCCAGAGTCTGGACGGCAAGAATGCCCACATTGATGGAGACCTGAGTCATGGCACCAAAAAGACCACGCTCCTTTGGCGGTGCGATTTCACTGATATAGAGCGGGACAATGACGGTGGACGCGCCCGCCGCCATACCAGTGAAGAATCGGCCGATTGCCAGAGCGGCAGCACCGCCAGCAAGGGTCTCAATGATGGCACCGACGATATATAAGATGGACGTGACTCGCATAGCAGGACGTCGGCCGCGCTTGGAAGAGAGGGGTCCGGCGCAAAGAGCACCTAGGAGGCCACCGACAGTAAAGATGGAGGAGACGGTCGCGAAGACGGCATCGGTCATGGGAATGCAGTCGGGGAGCCAGCTCTCGGTATCGGGTGACTTGGAGTGCACCCAGGTGAGCTTCACGCCCTTGGCCGCAATTGACTTCTTTCGACAGGTAAGGACATCTTGAGGCGCGTTGAGCTCGGCCTGGAAGAGAGGCACAACAGGTTAGCAAGTCATGTTTCGTGGGGATTGGCGAAGCAAATCGACGTTGGAGCGGAATGATGCAATAACGTACAAGGTGGAAGCCGAACTGCAGGGGGCCCAAAGTCGAGACAGAAATTAAGACAAGCAAGTATAGGCTGACATCGTGCATGCACTGTCGAAGACCCGAAGGAGCCATGGTGACGGACGACGCTGTCTGCTGCTGCGAGAGAGAGAGAGAGAGAGAGAGAGAGAGTGTGTGTGTGTGTGTGTGTCGTCTAAAGTGAGCCCCGGGGTTGTATCAATGAGGACGGAGGTTTGTGTTTGGAGCAAGTAAATCAGTTGAGAACAAGGAACCTGCCTCGCTCAAGAGGGGGGGGGGGGGGGGGCCAGTCGGGACGACAAAGCGAAGCTGGGAAAGCTGGGGAAGTCGCCGGCGGTCATGGGGAAGCTGCCCACATGCCACATCTGCCACACCTGCCACACCTGCCACACGTCGTTGTTACGCATTTCAGCGCCGCTAGCAGCCACAGTCCCTGGCACGCCGGGCTGTTCCAGGTTCCGCGAGCGGGCCGCGACCTGTGACTAAGGTACCTTACCTTTCTTAGCGCTGTCATTCGCTGCACTCTGCTATACACCACATGAGTTATGCCTCGAGGTTGATGAGTCCATACCAAGGATGTCAACATTGGATTCATGAGGCAATGTTTGGTGAACCTCTGTGTAGATGGAGGAGAGTTAAAGTGTCATCTTGAAGTAATGATATTCGAGTTACTTGACATGATAAATAATTAGGCGTGAACAGTTTGCCAGTACACAACCTTTCTTGGTTCACAACTTGGATTTAGAACCTGTTCAATAAATGAGTTCAAAATTAATTATAACCTCTTCCGCGCTCCAAATCTACTGAATCTTACCCAACGATCTCTTGACGGCCACCTCTAAGCTCTCGACGTCGTTTGGTCCGAGTCCGATCCTCTCGTTGTCCGTTTTCTCGTACAACGTGCCGCCCTCAGCCCAGATGCGTCGCAGCGTGAAGATAGTGGCGTAAGGGATGCCATCCGCCCAGGCCTTCTCTTCGGCTTTCTTCAACGTCTCCAGCGAAGAGTAGACAATTTCCCATTTGTCTCCAGTCTGCTTCTCATACTCGGCCACAATTTCCTTGCCGGTCGCAACAAAGGACTGTACTTTGAGAGCTCGGTTGAAGGATGCCTCCGGGTGACGAAGGGATGCCACCAATGTTGTGCCGACACTTTAACCCATTCATATTAGTATTGCGTAACGTAGTCGTGGTATGAAAATGGATACTTACTCTTTCATGGTGATCAGTCCAGTCTTTCCTTCACCGTCCTCAATCAACACCGCCTTCCGGGCTGCTGTATCAAACCCACCAGCCTCTTGCGCAATCGATGGTAGAGTCAAGAACATGTCGACATAAGGACCCGTTACCAAGTACGTGTACTTGAGTCTCTTGACGTTCTCACGGATGTACTTGCGCACCTTGAGCTTGGCCTGGTGAGGCTTCTCGTTGGGGCTCTTGGGACCGTATTCGATATCCGTACCGTACTCGGAGGGGAAAACCCACTTGACAGAGTCGGTCTCCTCAGCCAACTTGATGAGATCAATCTGCTTCTCAATCACGTTTCTACCCAGCGCGGATATGACGGTATCGGCATCCTTGTAGGCCGCTTTGATTTGCTCCGTGTCGTCGACATCGCCAGCGATGACCTTGAGCCCCTTCTTCTTCCATCCATCGAGCAAGCCTGCTTTCCTTTCTACTGTTGTCGGCGATGTGAAGAGGGTGATTTGGTCAAAAGAGGGGCTGGCATCCAACAATGCTGCGGTGATGAAAACACCAATCTGGCCAGTCCCGCCAAATACGAGAATCTTGGATGGTTTGAAGGTAGCCATGATGTCGTGTTATGAAGATTACAGTTTGTTAGCGTAGAAGGTGTGTGATAGTTGTAAAGGTTCTCTAAATTCTTGAGAATCACTGCCTGTGGCCGGATGCCCGGTTCTTATAGCTTCAAGTGCATTACAAAACACAGAGCGATAACGGCTCAATCGTTCACCCCGCTGAAACTACAAGACACATGCAAGCTGTGCTTCGACCCCTCGAGTCTGACGCCATCTCAAGGTGCGCTTATGAGATGGAGGGGCATTGGGGAAGCAATGAGGGGAACGGATGCGAGAACCGTCGAGCCCCACGCCGTTCATCTCGCCCACTCGCACTCCCCAAAGGAGTAAACGAGCTGTGAAGAAGCCGAAAGTAAGCGGCCTTTTGGTCCGGGCTTCTCCACCACAAGCAACCATCTTGAATCCGACCTCCGATAGAATGAAACTCTTTCTCTTGTGCTCCCGGATTCAACTGGAAGCGAAATGTTCGGATGAGGCACGCCATCGAACCCAGAGAGAGATCCCCGACTCCGGGCCGGGTACGTACTTTCAAGGCCCCACCAACACATCCCTGTCGGCACGGTGTTTTCTGAGAGGACGACGGACCCACACGCGGGAGACGGGCGACCCCACCACCGATCGGTCAAGATTCCCTAGAAATTTTTTTGATGTCAACTTTTTTTTTTTTTGGTTCGACAGTCGGGAACGCAGCTACCTCGCGACCCGCCGGGCGAGATTCGACGACGACGACGACGACCACCACTACCCACAACGACGAAGCACCGGGCAACCCTCCAATCCGCAAACTATGGCGTCTACCGACTCACCAGCGACCAATGGGCACAAGTCCGACAAGAAGATCAAAAAGGACAAGAAGGAGAAGAAGCGCTTGCGCGAGGAGGGCGACGATGCCGCTGAGGAGCGCAAGCACAAGCGCACAAAGAGCCTCGGAGTGACCAAGGGTGATGCCAATGACGACGACGAACAATCTCCTCAGGCTTCCCAGGACCTCTCAATGGACGCCCTGGCAACGAGCAACATCAATGGCGAGCCATCATCCGAGAAAAAGAAGTCCAAGAAGGACAAGCACAGAAAGTCAGTAGGCGAGGCCGAACAAGACGGCTCGGACGCCGAGCGCAAGGAGAAGAAGGACAAGAAGAAGAAGCGCAAGTCAGAACAAAAGGCCACAGAGGAAGCCCTCGAGGATACCGCAGAGCCACCAGCGAGCGAAGGGAAGGAAAAGAAGAACAACAAGGCAGCGTCCCCCGAACCCGTCGCCGACGCCGACGCCATGGACGTCGACTCCCCCGCAGATACGAAATCAACAGGTCGAGTCCACCAACCCCCCGACGCGCCCTCCAAGCCCCAGTTCCCCTTCTACAACCAGACCGTCTCACTATACCTCCCCATCTACCCCATAGGCTGGGACACGCCCTGCACCGCCGCCGCGACGCAGCACCTCGAGCCCCTCGTGAACCGCTACGTCCCGCACCTCAAGGGCGTCCTCCTCGCCTTCCGCAACGTTGCCGTCTCGGAGCAGCCCGGCCGTCGTTACGCCGCCACCAGCGACTCGGAGCACTGCGACCTCGCCTCTGTCGACGAGTACGCCGTCGGTTTCGGCTACGTGACCGTCGACATCGACCTCTTTGTCCCCCGCCGCGGCGCCTGGATGGAAGGCAGCATCAACCTTGAAAATGAGGGCCACGTCGGCGTCGTCTGCTGGGGCAAGTTCAACGCCAGCATCGAGTCCAGCCGTCTCCCCCCCGAATGGCGCTGGATCCACGCCGGCTCCGCCGAGGCCGCATCCTACGTCGCCGACCCCTTTGACGTCGATAACACCGACGCCGCCGCCGAGGACGAGCACGGCGCCGTGCGCCAGATCCATACCACGGGCTTCTGGGTCGACGGCGCCGGGGACAAGGTCAAGGGCCGCGTCCGCTTCCGCATCAAGGCGTTTGACGTCGGCGTCAGCGGCGACCACGGGTACCTCAGTCTGGAGGGCACGATGCTCGACGCCGCGGGCGAGAAGGCGGCTGTCCAGGCCGACGCAGAGCAGGAGCGTAGACGCAGAGCCGGTAAGAGCGGCGGTATCCTCTCCAAGGAACGGCGTCGTATGCCCGAGTTCAGCGTCACCAAGTTTGGCGAGGTCGAGGATGAGGAAGACAAGGCGTTGAGGAACGATGTGTGGAAGACGACGGAGCCCGTGACGGACAACGAGGCCGGGGAGGGTGCTGAAAAGGAGGCGTTTACGGGCATTTCGGCGGAGGAGGCATAAGAAGGGGGGGCTCTGTAATAGATAGCTTTGCTCTCTGTGTCTTATGATTCCCCGTGGGATGACTTTTCGGGCGTTTTGAGGGTCAGGGAAAATTTGACAATGATACAATACTTTTGCGTATACTTCAGGACCGCGAGGTGCTCGCTGTGAAGATCGGTTGGTTATAGTTTACCTCGCTATTGCTTTGAAACTAATAATCCCCCATTGAACGCTGCCAAACTCTTCGCCATCTCTAGGGATTACCGCTTGCCTTTCCGGTGAAGGACGATTGCCTCGTTGATGAGACATCCTTCTCTCCCGCAAGGTAAGATGTTGCATAGATCGGGGTATCGAAGTTCAGGAAGACAAGATGACTACCGCGTTGGCAGGTCTTGCACCAGGGAGATTTAAGAAGGCCGAATAATGTGACTTATACCATCTTGATTATGATACACCAGGTCGAGCAAGGGACATAATGTTATTACTGGGCCGTCATTCGTTTGAAAAAGACTTGGTCAAGTCGTAATCGCTAACGATGTGTGATATACAAGCGCAATAAAGCAATTGGTGAAATTGAAATAGGTTGCAGGGCGACGAGATTCATCTGGGATCTTAGCCGTCGGTCTACCAAGAGTTGGCCATTAACTAATTATCCTTGCTCAACGACATCTCGCGATACCTTGTCCTTTCCGCCATCCTCGAATAAGTCCAGCTGAAAGCGCTAAAGCTTGGCTCGCACTCGAAACCCTTTTCCAAGTAACACAAGGAGTCATTTCCAAGTCATTCCCAGGCGTTGGAGGAAGGAGAAGAGAGATCCCTTGGGAACGTATCCGGCATATCGCGCCTGCCACCACGAGGCAAAGGTATCTAGATTGACATTCGTAAGAACTTGATCTCGGAAACAAATTGAGAGTGTTGACGAAGATACTTACCAGCAATCGGTCCAAGTTCACCGAAGCCAAGGGCCTCAAGCACCCAGGGAGCGATAATGACCAACACGCCAATGGCGATGATAGTCACAAAGACAGGATGCTCTTTGGCAAACTCGAACACGCTCTCAGCGGCTTCGGTCGACTTGTCCACAGTCTCCCTCACAACTTGGCCGATGGTATCGCGGTGGCGGACGAGGCCTTCGACGCCGGAGAGGATATACTTGGCGAGCTCCTCGGTCCAGGAGTTGACCGCCACGATGTTTCTGAGGCGGCGCTCGAGGTCTTTGCCTCCCTTTTCGGCGGTGCGAAGGATGTCAATGAATTCGGAAGCGGCGTCCTGGGCAGAACGAAGGGGTTGGTCTTTGATGATGCTCGTCTGCTTGTCGGACGTGGCTGCCTTTGGGCTCGACTGGAACTGCGGGAGGCAGTGAGCGAGGAGACCGCAGCTGTCCTTCTTATCGCGCTCCATCTTGGTGCTTTTTGTGAATGTAATTGTTTGTGAGAAGGTGAAAGTCGAGGATCTTAGAGCCAAAAGAAAATCGCTGTGTAGGAGAGAGAGAGGGAGGGAGTGAGATTCGACTTTTCCTTCCTCTCCTTTTTTCCCCCAGATGGCCGAGAGAAAAGGCTTCGCCGCTGTTTATTTCCATTTCACCACCGAATCAACAGTCAACTCACCTTCACGCCCGGTGCCTCCTCATGGTTGGCCTCCGGCATGGAGTGCGCCCTGCTTATTCGTCCGCAAGCCGCCTGTTGGTTTCGTTGGTTTCAACACGTCTCACCTGCACAATTGGTAGACCAAAAACACATGAACCAACATCTTGTGCTCTAAGCAATCCTGAACCGGAAAGCTACCTGCCCTTGAGAGAACATATCCAGTTTCTCTCTCACCTACATGAACTCGCTTCATCCTTCAACTAACCATTTAGTGGTGGAGTAAGGTGGGATGGTTGAACCTGATTCGCGGTGCTTTTGCTCCCACTAATACACATATTGAGCGGGAAACCACTCCAACACCACTTGCATAAAGCGTGTAGTCGGCCTCTATCTTCCACACAACCACCACCAAACTCTTTTTCCGTGCCAAAACTGAAAAATCGAAAGGTCATGAACCTATCTGACCGGATCGAGGGCATTTAGTAGCAAAAGCAAAATAATTGGGCCCTAACCAGGATTCGAACCTGGGACCTCTCCCAGACGTGTCAGGTAGACCCTAAGGGAGAATCATACCGCTAGACCATCAGGGCTGATGCGATTATTGATCGATAAAACGCATTTCGGGCTACAAATTCTTCAAGCCTTGCGGGCTCGCGATTATGGCTTCCCCCGCGAAAAAAATTTCTTCCCAGATCCCGCAGTTGAAAAGCTGCAAGCAGAGTATTTGGCGCACTCTTCACAACAAGCGCAAGTATACGGATACGCTCCTCACATATACATGACGAAACGCCATCCTGTCCGACGCCTCCTCCGTATAGGGTACGGCATCATTGGTTGGGTTAAGCTGGCCTTTCTCCCTTGCGTCTGTGAATATCCAGGCTTTCAGCTCTCCAGACCTTACTTCTCTCGAAAGGTTCTAGAATTGTTTTCCGAGACCTTGGTCAACGGCCGTTACATGGCCAGGCTGGTCAGCACAACCCGCCACAGCGGCAATTTCCTCTTGGCTCAGGGTCCCCCTTGGCAAGTTCACGTCGCTTACCGCAGCAACGAACGTCAGGATTCGAATCCTGCAAGCTAGAGGGAGGGTCTCACCTGCACAACCACCTTGCCGCATACAGCATTCGTATATCCAACTCATTCACCTTTCCATATCAACGTCCGGCAAGTATATTTGTACCTTGATGAAGGACTTCCATTCATGTGAGTTCTGCGTCGTCTTGGGCCAAGCGGTCTCAGACGCCGTTCTGCAAAGAGCCATTCCCCATTGCCATCGCAGCGATGGCAACATCTTTGAGCTTTTCACTCTCCCGGCCTTATCTTGAATGACCCTGGTATCCCGAGTTAAGCCTTTCATATGTGGGGTTTTGATTCTCACTAGCGTGAAGACTGCAATCGACGGACATGATCTCCGTGCCATGTTACTACATGGTTACTGCTGATAGGCAGCTCCCGCTGACCCGCCTCTATCACCTGCGGTGGGCAGTGACACTAATTGCTCGCCAACCAGGTTGTACCTATGATTTCCAGAATAACGACTGCGAGTGCAGACTTGTCAACGCCAAAGGACTGCCGTCGACGGCACAGGTTCCCGCTGACACTCGCTATTCTAGGTGGTTCTAGCCAGGTTCATTGAATGTAACGGTATTACCGCTGCTTCTGCTGGACAAATTCTCGCTGCCTAGTCTCTAGTTCATCTGCCCTTCAACTGGACCTTCTCTTCTACTCCTAGCCTACAATGCTCCCATGCCGCATCTACGTCGAGCCCATTCCTACCGGCTCATCAAAGCTATTTCTGTCCTTTTGATACGAACATCCAATCACGTGTGGACCATGTAACTTTCACCGCCAGCGGCCCGTCTCTGAACCTTTCCCATGGATCCGATGCTCGAGCCTATCAACATCGTCTTGGCCTGGTTCTAGAGACTAGGAGTTGATTTTCTGGGACTCTTATGAGATGAAGTCTAGGCATCTTCTATAGCCATACTTGTCGGTCTGATCCCTATGAGGCGATGAATGCGACGTATCCCTGTGAAGCTTGATCGTTCTATCGCATATGAATTGTTGCCAGCTCCAATCATGTAAGACCTTATCCGACTTGCCCGAATAGAAGCAGCACAACGGGGCACGCGCGATGTTGCAATGCCCACAAGTTAGACCATGGTCTTTGAACACCCTCGTCATCCATTAGCAATGCTCCATCAACACTGTGGCTTCGCGCAATCCTTCGTGGATGCTTCGGAGTTGAGTTGAAGGTCAACACCTTGCAAGTTGACGTAGCTTCCTCTTGCGATACCCACCCCGAGCTGAGTATTCCGTTCTTTCGTCTTTTTCATGAGTGACAACTACGAATGGGCTGAGAATCCCATGTCTTTCCGGGCAGCTGGACGCCGTTTATTGCCTTGCTAGTGGTATCTCGTGTGCCTTTTCCAGAAAAGCCATCTCTGATCCTAGGTATATAAGGCAGACTACCTGCCCGTCGACTCCAACTCTCCTCGCCACTCCTCACACAAGGCAAGCCATCTCAGCAACCTCACCTCTTTACCCTTCTCAAACAAACCATCATAACTTGAACCGCCAACATGCGCGTTTCTTCTCTCCTCGCCCTCGTCTCGGCCACCCTCGTGGCCGCCGCCCCCAGCCCCGTCCCAGAGGACGCCACCTCCTACGTCCTCGCCGGTCCCCTCCCCTACGAAGAGCTGAAGAGCGAGGTCGCAAAGCTCAAGTCCGACGGTTCCAACGCCGCCCGCAGCCTCAACAAGCGCATCTGCGAGGGCGTCTACATGTGCGACGGGCAGAACTTCAGCGGCTCCTGTTACTACGGCTGCTACCCCATCAGCGTCGGAATCTACCCTGACTCCTACTGGGTCTCCCGTATTAGCTCGGTTGGCCCGGACAGTGGAGGCTGGTGCGATTTCTACCAGTACGTAACCCCTTTAACAGTCTTCTTGATCTTCTGTGACTTGGATGTACGAAGCTAACGATACTGTAGAGCTGGAAGCGGCTGTGACGCCACGAAGGGCTCTCACCAGATCTTCAGATACCCGGGCGGTAACTTGGCCAGTGGTATTGATAACAACATGGGTTGCTTCTACTGCAACCCTAACTAAAGTAGGCCTTGATGTCATGTTGAGTTCGATATGCTTAACAGTGCGCAATATCAAGATGGCGGCCGACAAGTCTAAACACTTATAACTTCTCTGTATCTATTCATATCCATAGACTGATAGTCTAGCTATGTACTCTCAAGATGCCGGTCTTTGGGCTAGTCTTGAAACGTATCAGGCAGCTTGTGTTCCCTTCACATTCTCTCAACTTAATGAAAGCACTGAAGCGCCAGCCATACGTTGGAAGAAGCAGGTTCGACTAGTCCATGAAGGGGTCAGCCGGTGCAAGTGGAGTGCCAAGTCTGCAGGCAACGTGAAGTATCACGCCGACTCAATCCCGTCCACTAGCAGTTCAATGAACAGCTTCAAGTGAGGCATTCATTTGCAGGTAACTCTTTGATTGAGAGATGTCCCAAGAGACCCAAAAGCCGTAGATATAGGTCTAGTATTATTTGTTCGACTAATCGCCTAGCGCCATGTAATTAGTACTTCAAACTATCATTGCCATCTCCAACAAGTGATCATTGAGGCTGAGTCAAGTCCTTCAATAACTTCCGTCCTCTCAATACGTCCTTCTCATGGTACGGCTCCCTGGCCGTCTCAGCAATACCCTCCAAGACCCACTGATTCACAGCAGGATGCTCCAACAACGTCTGCACATACTTCATCGCAGGCTCCGAAACCTTCAACCCAAACGTCTGAATCCTCGTCGCAACGGGTGCAAAGAAGGCGTCCGCGGCGCTAAACTCCCCGCCCGCGAGGTACGGCCCGCCGAAGCGCGTTAAACCCTCCACCCAGAGCTGCTCGAGCCGGTCAAGATCGCGCTGCAATGCCGCGTCGGGCGGCCCGCCGAGGTCGATGCGCAATGCCACGTTCATGGAGCACTGGTCTCGGAGGGCCTCGAAGCCTGTGTGCATCTCGGCGGCGGCGCTGCGGGCAAAGGCGCGGGCGACCTTGTCTTGCGGCCAGGCGGCTGGGTGGTCTTCGGCAATGTACTCGACGATGGCGAGGGAGTCCCATACGGTGGTGTCGCCATCTTGGAGAGTGGGGACTTTTCCTGTGGGGGAGAAGCTGAGGAAGGCGGGTTGGCGGAGGCCGGCGACGAAGGTCTGGAGGCGCTCTTCAAAGGGGATGTTGAGGGCTTTGAGGAGGACCCAGGGTCTCATAGACCAGCTGGAGTAGCGCTTGTTGGCGATATAGAGGACGTAACCCATTGTGAGTGTCTAGGCGGGGAACCTCTCGGAAAAGTTTGCGGAAAGTCGGAGTAGAAAAATATGTCGTTTGACGGAGGGTGGGTATAAGCCAAGGGCGGATGGGTATGATTGAAGCCTGGATGTGGTTTATACATAAGTTAAGATTGACGACCTGATTTGACTCATCCGACAATGCGAGTTTCCAGATATCTTGTCACGCCCTTGGATCGAGGCTCGTGGAGGTGGGGTTTGTCAAGCTGAGGCAGACAATGGACACTAGTCCTCTCGCCTACAGACTCAACCTCAATTGATCCAACGCTTCGTTAGTTGAGCTGCAAGCTCCGCCAAGTTCTGACGAATTGAGTTGGCATCACGACTGGTCGAGCCGAAGAGGCAGGTCAAGACCGGCAGAATGTGGAGGACGGATGTCAGTGGAAGGGCGCTGCGAAATGGGGGTTTGGGGTGCCAAGAGATTTTGGCTTCCTTAACTAGACGCGGAGAGCCGCCCTAAAACGTGTAAGTTATGCCACTTGGCGCTCGCTAAACTACCCAAACACGCCAAAGTAACAGGGCCTATGGATGCCTAGAGGATACTCCACATGGTTGTTCCAATGATGCTTGATGACTGTCTTCAGTAACCAAGGGTATGTTAAGTGCGCGTACAGGAATGAGGAAACGACACCTTACCGTGCCTCAATGGGAATTTTACTATTTATCAGATGCCCATTAACGTGAATGATAAGCGAGTGAGACAGACAAGCGAGTGAGACACAAAACTGCGCCGATGATGCTTCAACACAAATGGAGACGTTTCTTCCACAACACATCATGGCATCCAGAAGTAATGAGTCAGGCATACAGCTGGCCCTTCCAAGCTATCAGAATCAATCCAGAGCTTAGTGCACGGGCTGCAGCTACGATCTACTCGGTCAGCCATGCAACATTGAGTCGACGATTGAAGGGCTCTACATCTCGAAGCGACAGGATACCGAACTCGAGGAATCTTACTTTGCTAGAAGAGCAGACGTTAGTTGATCACATTCTCGATCTAGATGCCCGATCATTCCCTCCCCGGATCCGTGGTGTGGAAGAAATGGCTGATCGACTGCTTGCTGATCGCGACGCGCCTCCGGTTGGGAAGCGCTGGGCCTTAAACTTCGTCAAACGACAACCACAATTGCGGACGCGGTTTTTTCGGAGGTACGACTACAAGAGGGCCCAATGCGAGGATGCAGAGGCTATTCGCGGCTGGTTCGCTCTTGTGAAGAACACAATCGCGAAGTATGGTATCGATGAGTTTGATATCTACAACTTTGATGAGACTGGCTTTATGATGGGCCAGATTGCATCTGGCATGGTTGTCACAAGTACTGAAAGGCGTTCAAACACAAAAATGGCGCAGCCTGGTAATCGAGAATGGGTTACAGTGATTCAAGCCATCAACTCGCAAGGCTATAACGTCCCGCCGTACATCATCGTTGCAGGCCAATATCACCTCTCAACCTGGTATACAGAGTCAGGTTTCCCGGACGACTGGGTCATTGCGACGTCAGAAAACGGATGGACAACAAATGAAAGAGGCCTAGATTGGATCCAGCACTATGATCGTCATACGAAACCACGTTTGAGAGGCCAATATCGCCTCCTCGTCGTCGACGGGCACGAAAGTCACCACTCAACAGACTTTGAGCTATATTGCAAGGCAAACAAGATCGTTACACTTTGTATGCCGCCTCATTCGTCTCATCTACTCCAGCCCCTTGACGTTGGGTGCTTTGGTCCGCTAAAGACGGCGTATGGGCAACAAATTGAGGATAAGATGCGGCGGGGCGTAACCCACATCTCAAAGGAGGACTTCTTTCCTGCATATCGCAGCGCATTTAGTCAAGCGATGACTGAAAAAAACATCCAAGGGGGTTTTAGAGGAGCTGGGCTTGTTCCTCTGAGTGCAGAAAGCGTCCTATCAAAGCTGGATATCCGGTTACACACTCCAACGCCTCCAGCATCACTACCACAGACACCTCCGCCTTGGGTTTCAAGGACACCAAACAACCCAGTAGAGGCAAGCTCTCAATCCAACTTTATTAAGAGTCGGATCAATCGTCACCAAAGCAGCTCCCCAACCTCTATTTGCGAGGCTGTTGAACGACTTTCTAAAGGTACAAGAGGCATCATGCACCAAGTAGCCTTACTTAGATCTGAGGTACAGATTCTTAGAGACGAGAATAACCAACTCAGTCGACGACGGAGAACTAAGAAAACACGCCTACAACATGGAGGAAGTCTTACTGTAGCTGACGCAGCAGATATACATTCACAGAAAGATGTGACTGCGCAGGTTCAGGAGGAAATGCGTCGTACTAGTGGTCGCAAACTGAGGGCCGAGACAGGTCAGCGACGGTGTGGCGTTTGTGGTCACCCGGGACACAATTCACGAACGTGCCAGTTTATTGAAGAGATGTCTGAAGATGAGGATTATGAGTAGTTTGAATTGAATTGATGCTGTTGATGTTGATATGGAAGCCAGTTTATCTCATCGGCGCAGTTTTGTGTCTCACTCGCTTGTCTGTCTCACTCGCTTATCATTCACGTTAGCTACAGGAACTAGAGTGAAGTACCAAACTCTGGCTGACATATTACTTTACTGGACTAAGAAGAAAGTGGGTAGTTGATTGACATTGAGTTGACCTCCAACTTGATGTTCTAACTACATGTAAGTTTCTCACACATCGCATTAGAACAAACTCTCAAGACATTAAAACTTTTATTTGATACAAGTATATCATTGACTTGATTGGTTTCTTGGATGACTAGTGATCTAGGTCGGTATGTGATGTTGGAAGCCATATGCCACATTGAGAAGCAGCGGCTTGCATTCAACAGGTTGAACTCAAAGATTAAGTACCCGTTATTGCACGTAATCGAGTCGAAATCCCAGCAGTCAAGCCAGAAGCTACTCTCTACAGCTTTATGAAGAGCAAGCAAAGTCGAAAGACAAAGAGCTGCCGTGATAGTTGGAGCAGCCATCCCCAAGCCGGAACGGCTGACCATCCACCAACACAGGCGTGCAGGTCTGGACAGTCGTCTGCGACGTTGCGTCCACGATGGCAGTGACCTGCGTCGCCTGTCCTTCACTATTGTCATCGCTGCAAGCCAGTTCGAGGTTACGGTACGTGACGCCCGTTTCGTCGCTTGTGATGTTGAAGGGGTTGCCGCAGATGGGGCCCGAGGTGTAAGTGCTCGCAGTGCGGACGGCGGTCCACGTGGCCGTGCCCTTGATGGCGCCCGCCGCTACGCAGACGTCGTCGAGCTCTTGGATCGTGGTCGGCGTGTAGGGCGACCAGGCGACGAGCATGTTGGTGTGAGGGAAGGAGAAGTGGCCTAGGTTGATTTTGGGGAGGCTGCAGTTTCCTGCTGACACGAGGGCCAGTGAGGAGGCGCCGATGATGGTAGAGCACTTCATTTTAATGTTTAGCGAAAGTATAGCTTCGGAACTAGAAGCCGTTGAAGCTCGTGGGTAACGAATGCGTAATTGCAGGGCTGAATATGGTTTATAGACTGCTTCTGGGACTTACTTAGGGAGGATTAAGCTGAGTTCTTAAATCCCTAGTTGAAGGGATGATCTTCACTCGCTAGGGCTGCGTCATTGGAGGTGAACTTTCAGCCCTGGTTTGAATACGAGCAGCTCAATATCCACCTGACCCTGGTCAAGCCACTTTTAGCGTCGCTTCTGCCTAACGCTTACTGAGAAGAGCATGGGCCGAATAATCCTCAGAGAGAATTCCGCATATACGGGAGTTGTGATGCTATTTGAGAATTTAAGTGGTTAATAGACTTGTTTGATCCCCAACACTAATTAGAGCACCGGGAAGATAGTCTACGGGAAGGATTCAGCCGTTGAAAATGCCCGACTTCTAGCCGATTTGTCTTCGAGAAGCCCCGCGAAGCCGAACACGAACTACCTGATATTGAAGCATCCCTAAGGTGGTGATTGATCATACGACTTACAAGTTGAAGTACTCTTGTAATATGGTAGTTCTCCTGGACTATCAAGGATGTTGAGGGGGCTCGGCGCATATATTGATTGTCCAAGTAATGGGCTTAATTAGTACTATAACCAGAAATAGCAGGCTATCTTGAGAATCTACCGAGAATCAAAGTCGAAGCTACCACTATCACTGTAATCCCAGATCCGAGTGACATTCATGATGAGAAGACAATGCGTGGTCTCAGAATTATTGACGCTGTAACACGCCTGTACCCCGTTGCAGAAGGATTAGGCTCATGCTGAATAGGAATATCTTGACCGAAGTCAAAACAGCACTTAGACTGCAGATAACGCCGGTCGGCTAATGAGCCGATGACCTTGGTCCTTGAGTTGAGGAAACAGGTATCCCCACCACGGCCGGATCATGCGTGCCGTGACCGGAATATACTAAGTGAGCATGGACCCGCGATGCAAGCTAGCTTGTTGTTTCGCTAGCCACGTTCGGGAAACGAATGGAGAATGGTGTTCGGGAATTAGTTGGTGCTGAAGCCTAGAAACACCTTAATAGGTAGGGTAGGGTACTCCGTAGTTACAGCTCAAACAGTCTGACGACGAAGGAGGCCGGTATCCGGAAGTGAAACTTGGTTTAGTAGACAAAGATGTTTTCGTAAACGAAAAACCCATTCAAGCCATACGAGGCAGATATTCGTAAGGTTGTCGGTAGGTTAAAACCAAGGCCTGAGCTTGCTTGACTCGGAAATAGGATGTGGCTCAGCCGTGTTGCGTCGCTATTTCAATTTCTTGGCATGGATGTATATGTCATAACCTGGGTCCATACTAAGCTGCATGGGCTTGGTTCATCGCCTTTATGCTGCCCGGTTCGGGATGACTCGAGCGAGGAGCTTGGTGATTCACGGTCTCTCGTGAAGTCGATGCCTGTGAAGCATAGGTGTGCCCTGCTAGGAGAATTAGGGAAACCTCGACCCTGGAAGGCCAAACCGGAGGCATGAACACGGCTTGGATGTATGGATTTACGAGAACCCTTTTGGGAAGAGGGAGAAAAAGCATTGATGGCGCGTGATGAAAGCAGAGTCATGAGCATAAATTGTTGGTGGTAAAGAAACCCGACGAACTCGGGGAATGACAAGTTGAAACTCGTTCAGCCCCCATCGAAAGCCGTTGGAATAGTGGTGCGCTCGCAAGGATATATGCGAACTCTGTAAACTCAATCTTGCGGAACGGGAACAATCGAGCAGATCAAAAGATTGGATGACGTTTTACATGATCCAATTTCGCGGTTGTGATTGGGCAGCTTCATAACACGGTGAACGTTCGGCGAAGCTCACGCGACTCATCTCTCGCTCACACAGAGTTCTGTCAGGGGAAGGCAAATTCGCAGTTAAATCAGCCACAGATCTTCTCACTTGTAAGTCCTGCTAGGTACCTTGGGTAGACAGCAGCTCGAGCAAACACACAGCAATGGAGTTCAAACACCCAGCAGCAACGGATCTGAAGAAGATCAACAAACTCATCGCAAACGCCCAGGCCCATAATGACGAGCTCAACAGAAAGGTCCTCTGTGCCAAGGCCGTGAGCTTGTGCGAGTTGGCTACAGTAGTCGCGAAAGCTGAGTTGGAGAACGTGATGGACCATTCAACATCGTCCAGCGAGTATCTCACCGAAGATGACCCCTCCGAGGATGAAGATGGATCGGACTCCGACACCAAGTACGACGCAAAGGGCAGACGTCGCGTACCACTCTTGAGCGAGCGGGAGTCGGCGGCGCCGACACGCGCCGTGTCTCAACGCTTCGAGGATAACCTCAGAAAGTTCCCTAGACTACAAGAGTCTATCAATTCCGCCAAACGGAATCTGGGAATGCCAGTCGACGATGACAACGATGAAGACGGACACGCGAGAAAGAAAGTGAAGACTGCCTCCTCACCAAGTCTGGCGCAGAAACCCGCCATCAACCACCCGGCCTGGCTCAAGATGCGGTCGACTGCTTCAAATCGTCGACAGCAGAGGATGGATGAGGCCATGGACGCGGGGAACATCATCCTCGAACAGTTCGCGGCCTTTGTTAAAGCCATCACGGCGGAAAGCATGGATACTCGAAAACGCTCCATCCAGGAGGCCATGGACCATGTCGCGCACCATTTCGGGGCTGAATTTGTGCCCAACGGCTTGGAACTTATTCGAGCGGAATTCGAAAGAACAGATATGGGTGCGATGTACCTGATATATCCGTTGGACGCCAAACGAGCCTACTTGGAAACGAGGGGGGTCTTGATGGATCCCCAAGAACTCCGAGAACGCGCGATTAAAAAGGCTATAGCCGACGTCAAGCTCAATTTCGGGCACAAGCTTGTGCCTGATGGGTTACAGGTCGTTCGTGCAGGCTTCAGAAAGACGAAATGGGATGAGATATACTTGATTCTCCCGATGCCGGCCAAACGAGCTTACTTGGAGAGAGAAGGGGTCCTGACAGGTCCCCCTGTGGTCCAGAAACCGTTAAACCAGTATGCGATACCCTCAAGCGAAGAGAAGAAGGGCCGGGTGCGTGAGTGGCTTGCAGCTATGGATACTACGTGTCATAGTGTTGAACGTCAAAGGACAGTATGAACAATACAAGTTAATGCCATCAACTCAACGACTACGCCACTATGCGTAGTCCGCATCCAATGGGTAAACTGGATGAGATGAGAAAAAGCTGGTTGTGGGAGTGCAACTAAGATCTGCGATGGCGCCACGCGATGAAGGCTCAAAACAAAGCCAGTCACCAACACATAATCCAAGGTGAGAGACAAGATTGAATGGGAATCAAGATAAAAGTTAGGTGAATAGTATGAGAAAATATGGGCGAGAAGAAACATTCATGTTGAGCTGTTCATGAGATGAAATGCAGAGTATTACCTAATGCACTTTTTTTTGTTTTGGGCAAGAGAATTGATGTCACTGGCGCGGAACTTTGTACCGAAGCTCAGGAACATCCCAAACTTTTTTTTGACCACCACCTCGAAAAAGTCACCCAATTCCAACCAATCCCTCTCCCACCAGTCCACCTTGCTGTCCGAGTATGCTCGCGGCACCATGGGTGTGCCGTCGCTGCCTGGGAGGGCTCCTCAAGCCCAGAGGGACCCAATTCATCCGCCACGCTAGCTCCGGTAAGCTCTTGATTCTTGGACCCTTTGCGATCCCTCCCTCCCAGCTAATACATCCTCAAATCCAGACGCAGCAGCAACCCTCCCACCAGCCCTCCTCCAACGAGCCCGCAACATCGCCAAAGAACACGACGCCCTCGCCGCGACCCTCGAAGAAGACTACGACTCCAAAACGGCCCGGCGCGTAGGCGAGCTCTCCAGCGTCGTCACCGCCCTCCGAGAATGGGAAAAGGCACAATCCTCCATCGCCGAGCTCGACGGCCTCCTCTTCTCCAAAGATAAAGAACTCCGCGAAATGGCCGCGGAGGAACTCCAGACCACAAACGGCCAGCTCAGCTCCCTCTCGCGCAAGCTCTCCGCCTCGCTCACGCCAAAGGATCCCTACGCGCACATGCCCTGCCTCCTCGAGGTTCGCCCCGGGCCGGGCGGTCTCGAGGGCCGCTTCTTTGCAGACACGCTATTCAAAATGTACAAGGGCTACTGCGCGCGTAAAGGCTTGCGCATGACGGTCATAAAATACGACATGGCCGACGCAGCGGGCGATTCCTCCTCAGCGGCAGGCGAGAGCCCCCTCCAGGAAGCCGTCATCGAGGTCCAGGACCCGGGCGCGTACGACCTCTTCCGCGGCGAGGCGGGCATGCACCGCGTCCAGCGGATCCCGGCGACGGAGAGCAAAGGTCGCGTACACACGAGCGCCGTGGCAGTCTGGGTCCTTCCTTCGTTTCAGGGTGAGGGCGGTGACATGGAGGACATCAATAACCCGGAAAGCGACTTCTTCATCGACCCCTCGGAGGTCAAGATCGAGACGATGCGGGCGCGCGGCGCGGGCGGGCAGCACGTCAACAAGACCGAGTCGGCGATCCGCATGACGCATATTCCGACGGGGACGGTCGTCAGCATGCAGGACTCGCGGTCGCAGTCGCGGAACCGAGACGACGCGTGGAAGCTGATCCGGTCGCGTGTTGCGCTGCAGCGGCGCGAGGCGCGCGAAGAGGCCGCCGCGCAGTTGAGGAACTCTGTGCTGTCCAAGCATAAGATTACGCGCGGGGACAAGATCCGGACGTATAACTATAACCAGGACCGGGTGACGGATCACCGGGCGGGAGTTGACGTGCATAACCTGCCTGATGTGATTGCCGGCGGGGAGTCGCTGGATAAGATTGTCGACGAGGTCAGGGATTGGCTTGTGTCGGGGGATATCGAAGCCATGATGGCTGACGAGGAGGTTGCTAACGCTGATGCGAAGAAGGCGCAAAAGTGATGCGGAAACAACTCTCGTATAGACGTGTACTATACTGTAAACTTGTAGAGTAAAGAAGACATGATCAAAGCAAGGTCGATATGGGCCATGTATTTGAAGAGCTGGAACGAACTTCGATATCGATGAGGTCCATCAAAGTGAATATGAAGCAGAATACGCAGGACAAAAAGGACAAAAAAACAAGCTATCCATGGCATTATGTAGGACCGTGAGCCAACATACAATCCTGCTAATGAAAGCTAGAATCATACCGCTCGGCCATCGACTACAACAGACGCTGCTTGTTGAAAAACAGTTGCACTTTGCGTGCCTATGAAGGTCTGCCAAGCGGCACATCGATACTCATCGTGAATAGTAACCATCCTAACCTCGAGACGTCTTGCAGATCGCCAAGATCTGGGGTCGCATGCTTAAATACGTTGATCGCGGCTATGCATCCGATGACACTGGCAGGAGCAGCCAATGCCAAGCTAGAATGCCCCATCGTTTTCACTGCTTACATATCATCAGGCATATTCTTATAAAGCCATTCGTCAAGACATAGAAATATTTGCACACATCAAGGGGGACCAGATGGTAAAGATTCAAAGTTTTTACATGATTGACTACATCAGTGCCAAATACAAGAGAGGGGATGTCATACAGAGACGACATGACAGAGGAGTCCAATAATTTTCCGTGTCCGTCGCCCATTTTTGCCGTGTCCTCCCTGACTGCAATGAAAAAAGCCATAAAGACGCCACGCTATGGTCATAAAATAATGTACAACAAGTGGTGTGATAGGGGTACAGCAACCTCGGAACGTGACCCGCGGACCAGGCAATGTCGTCAATGGCCCCTTCGTGAATGGTATACATGGGCACTCTCTCCCCTCCAGTCCAGGTCACGCTCCAAGATGCGCGTTCGTCGAGCCGGGTTTGGCCATCAAGCCAGTTGGCGTTCCCGTCTCATCATCTCCAGCACGCCCACGACGCCGTTCTTCCGAAGTCGCTCCAGGACGACGCGCATGCCTTCACGGCTCTTGCCCATCTGGTCTTGCGTCTTGCTCGAGGCAATGCTCTCAATGCTGCGTTGCACGCCGCGCGCGCCGAGTCCGCTCATCCAGCCGGGCATCCAGCGACCCTCCTTTTGCTCCGGCTGCTCGACGGCAGATGGCATCTGGTCCTTCTTGCCGCCACGCAACCTCTCGCCGAGACGCGACTTATAGACAAATGTGGTTGTGACGTCGGTGGTCGCGTCAGCTGCTTCAGCGGGAAGGCGGAAATCCTGCTTCTCGACGACGGAGAGCACGTTCATGAAGCTGAGGTTCTTGCTCTCGGTGCGCATCCAACCCTCGCGCATGTCGATGACAGAGTTCTCAAGAACATAGCTCACTTTCTCGCTGGAGCCGCCGCCTGTGATGGAGGTTGGAAGAAGCTTGAAGACGGGCGCGGGCATACGGGACTTCTTCAGGTGGATGCGGGTGGTGTGCAGCCTGCCTGTCACTGGGTCGAGGCGGCTGTCGATGGTGTCGGTGCTGAGGACATGGGTGGAGAACGGGTTGAGCTTGGGTGAAGAGTAGCGGAGGAAGTAGGCGAGTGTCACGGTCGCGAAGGGGTGGGAGTAGGTGTGGTTCGTAGTGTGAGAGAGGACCATGTTGTCTAGGAGTATTCGGCTCGGTGGGTGTCTTGAAGAGGTTCAATCGTCGTGGCTCAGGGATTCGATGCGAGAAGGCGCTCACGTTCGTCCGAATGAAAGAGGCGTTGGCATTGAGAGCCTCGAGATGACAACCCAATGCACGTGTTGATATTGTTGTTTCGAGCGATGAGAAAGAGAAGAAATTGAAGTTCCGTCCAGAAGCTCGGCCACTAAGTCGTCGGTTTTTGTCGGGGTCGGGATTTGATCAGCGCCAATCGTCGCCGCAGTCGTAAATAGTATGAAAAGGCGAAAGAATGCGAGAAAGGAAGAAAGGGAGGTGGCCGCTGTGGAAGAGGGGGTAGATGGTGACGAACAGGAGGAGATGAGGAGGAGAGGGGGAGGAGAGAGCGGCTGTAATGATGTAGTGCTCGTGCGTGTATCGTTCGATAGGTCGATGATTTTGGGGAATAAGCTTCCCGTCCGGTGCGACTTTCTTTTTGGTCTGGGTCCAGTGCCTCCTTCCCCGACTATGCCGCACTGTCCACACCGGGTCCTTCCAGCCACTGAGAGGATGCGCCAATTGGCTTTGTCTGCAGATGCTACGGGTTTTCATTGGCTGAAAGATCCCTTTGCGCCCGCTTTCCATCAGATCAGGTTGGGCCGTTCGAGTGGCAAAATCACATGATGTGGAGTACACCGAGTTCACCGAGAGCTACACCGAGAGCTTTGGGGACGAGCTGTCAGTCGTTGGTTTAAGCCTCACCTTGGCCCCACCTCGGAACCCAACCTCAGCTCAAAGGAGGAAGCTCGTTGCTCGGACTTTGACTTTACGTCTGAAACCCTCCACGTGTATGCCGTATGGTGGCTTATGGGGAAACGTTTGCTCTGGCGTGGTTGCGTGATGATACGAGGCCTCTGTACGGAGTACCTACGGGTGGGATAATCGTGGATGTGAGAGGATATGGAGAGCCGAGAGTCCTATCCTGACCACAGCTCGGCTCTACGCTGGGCAGCCAGGGCACATCGGGATATTGCACTTAGGAGGTTATTGAGGGTGTTGTACAACGCACACCATCGTTCTCACCAAACAACAAAGGAGAGAACACTTGCAGCATAATCATTCGGTGAGCCAACGTGGTAAGTAGCACATGATCTTCAAACTGTAAGTAAAAAGCCTCAAATTTGAAGCTAGTAATTGCACTATGATTCATGTTTCCAATCTATCTTCCCATCTCCTGTCCTTTTAGGTTTCCATTATCGTACGTTATGCATCTAGCTTGCCATGGCCTTAGGTCGTTGCAGAAGCGTACCAATAGATGCTTCGTTGGGCTGGCCCACGTACTGTCCTCATTTCCTTCACATATCTTACAAACTCCCATCTATGGCCCGTTTGCGTCTCTCATGTAAAGCGTGACGCTAGAGACCGGCAGTGAAGCAATTCCGTTGAACGCCATCCGTCTGAGTTTACCCGGGAGCCTTTTCGCACCTGGTGCATTAGCAACATCACTCAGACAATGTTTGTGATCGAGCCGATCCTGGCGCCACTGACTGAGACATGCCGAGGATCGCACCGACGCTATCCTCGTCCCCTTCTCTCACGAATACACCCTCGCTCGCGACTCTCCACCCCTGCACGCCGCTGAACTGCACAAACTGCACCGCCATATCCCACGCCTCCTTGTCCGCCGCGTCGCCGCTCTCAAAGACGCTGAGGTCGAGCCAGGGACTGTCCGGACTCGGGTTGAAGAGCTCCCGGAAGAGCATCGAGTAGGACGTGTTGCGTTCCATCCAGAGGTCGGCGAGATCGACGTTGCGCATTTCGTCGGGGTCTGAGAGGATGTCGTTTCGGGGGACGAGCTGGACGAAGAGGCGGTCGAGGCGCGGGACGTTTTGTACGAGGGTGTTGAAGTGACTCGATAGCGGGAAGATGCCGACGTAGGAGAGGTCGCGCATCGAGGGTGAGATCATGGGCTCGTCATTGGGAAACTCTTCTGCTCCTAGAAGAGCGCCGAGGATGGAGGGCGGACGTTTGAGGTAGAATTCGTATGTCTTGTAGACGCGCGTTGAGGATCCTTCGTTGAGTAGTAGAGACTGCCAGGGCCGGACGCTGAATAGATCACAGGGAACACGTTTCTGATGGACAGGCTCCGATTCCGCCAATGGACTTGATAAATCTGTCACCGGTGCCTCTGATTGCGTCTCCTTCGTCCTTTTGTCTTTGCGCGAGAGTGATAGAACGTGCTGCGGCATGGAGAAGTTCCACGCATCCCCGAGGAAAAGCATGCGCGATAGCAATTGTGCCAGCACTCGTGGTGATGCGATCATTGTAAGTCGAGTGGGATCGATATGTTGAAAGATTGTCGTCCAGAGCCAGTTGTAGTCTTCGCTGTAAGAGGCCTTGTTCGCAAAGCCGGTTTCCATGAGAGTGGCACTGCTGGTGCCATCCGATATGCCGCCCATAGCATCCTCGACAAACATGGAGAGCGTGTTGACATAGTTGGTCAGGTTGTTCGCCCTGAGGAAAGACAAAAAGTCGATCGCGGACGCCGGGTCTCCCGTCTCTTCCATGAGCGGCAACTCGAATCGGTCAACCGTCCAGACCACATGGCGGAACAGCAGAGGGAGAACGGCACCTCGCCATCGCTTGCAGACGAGGGAAGTGGTCTTGAGATCACGGTCGAAGAAGAGATTCTGCAGCATGAAAGAGCTCGGTTGATCGTGGAGTTTCGAGTCTGACGGCGCAGGTCGGTCCAGGTGGGAGAATATCTGGAATAGAATCTCGTTTGGGAGATCATTGACGGAGGTCGCCATCTTTGCTTCTACCACAGCAGAGGCTGTCAAAATCGTGCAGAAGATGCAGAAATTCTCTCGGGAAATCGGCACGAAGGATCTCTGTCGTCGAGAGGAGTACAAGATATGGGCTGGAGAGCGATGTTTCACGGAAAAGTCCCAACCGAGGCAAGTTTCAAGTACAGATGAAGCGATGAAACGGCCCCCGGAGAGACGATTCGATAGTTCGCTGAAGGAAGGACCTAAACCTGTGGATTCAATCAAGCACTAAGGACAAGAGACTGCAGGAGAATAGAATTGACGATGCTATTATTGATATTCTGGCATTTGTTGAGATGCAGCTCTGAGGTTACCTGACCAGGACCTGGATGGGGCGACATGTCACCGCGGGGTCCTGTTCCGTTTGCCCCGCCACGGTTCGCCACGGTTCGCCACAGTGCACTCCACTCCACAAGAGCTCCTACCTACGATAAGGTAAGATAACGATAAGAGCTCCAGGTCCGGAGCTTCGGGCCTTCACACTTTCTTCCCACGGCATCAGTTCCAGGTTGTTGCCTCTAGTTCTGACATCTGGGATTCTCGAAGGGCAAGTGCTTGTAGCAGCCGTGGGTTTGATCAATTTGCGAGCGAACTAATAAGCGGACCATGCCTTGAGGTGACTGGTTGGGAAACGGCCAACACCAATCTGAATGGCATTATAGAATGCTGGAAACACGGCGGCCGGCGAATCGACGATATACTGAAGCTGCCCAGAGATCCAGTCAGCACTTACATACCAGACTATTCTTTGTGTTGAGAGGCTTGCGTAGGTATTTGACTCGAATGCAAGCTACATGTAGCTTTCTTTTCCTCGAACGACAATCATCCAGCGTCTCTACGGCTGTGCTGCTGCGGCGTATGACCTTGGCAGCGTCGGGAAGAAGCAAGCCAACTTCAAGAAAGATTATTGCGTGGAACGGGGCGGGAACCACGCTCAACCTCGAAACACTCGCCTTTACTTAAGCGGCTACTGATTGATAACCGATCCCGATGCCGCTCTACTCATCTGCCGTCAATAAACATATGATCAGACCCTCTCGACTAAGCTATGACAAAGGCGGGGAAAGCGGGGATCTTGGTGGGTGGGCGGTTCGGGGGAAGTGGTGATGGTGGCACGGGATGACATCGTCCTGACGGGGATCCACGGCCGAGGAGCGCAAGGAGCGCATGCTTGTTTGCTTTGTGTGACCCTACACCAGAATGTACGCTCGCGAGATCTGGTTGAATGGCCGGCCAACCTAGTTAACTTGAGACCATTGGATCTTGCAATGCCGAAGGCCCATCCCATTTCGCAACCCCACGCCTCGTCACGAGTACCAAAGTCTATATATACGCTGTGACCAGGAGGTCTCTTCTAGCTTGACTCCATTGCAATCCATTCTCTAGCTCTGCCTAACCAGAAAGAAATCATGGCGTCCAAGAACCACCAGAAACCGCCCTTCCGCGCCGAGCACATGGGCTCGCTCCTGCGGCCCAAAGCCCTGACCGACAAGCGCGTCGCCTTGGACGGGAAGAAGGCCGTGGAGCTTGCAGACGACAAGGAGCTCAATCGCCTCGAGGAGGAGGGCGTGCGAGAAATTGTCAAGACGCAGCTGGACCTTGGCTTCCACGCCATCAACGACGGCGAGTACCGCCGCCACCAGTTCTGGGGCAACTTCTTCCCTGGTTTAGAGGGGTTCGAGGAGGTTGACACGCCAAGCTGGGATATCTTTCGCATGTACGTGCCAGATATTGCGGCTTTCAGTAAGTCTCGGGCCAGGAAGACTCGTCATGTGGGATGGGCAGACTGACGGGAATTGAACACCAGTTGAGAGCGATCACAAGCCTGGCGAGTCCATCCTCTGCACTGGCAAGATCAAACACAAGGGTAGCACCTATCTGAGAGAATGGGAGTTCCTCAAAAGCAACATTCCCCCTGAGAGCGTCAAGGAGGCCAAGTTGACCTTGCCCGCGCCCGAGTGGTATCACCTCCGTTACCAAAAAGGGCACGCCTATCCCAAGGACGTCTACGCCAACGACGAGGAGTACTTTGCCGACATCGCCAAGGCGTACCAGACCGAGCTTCAGGTCCTCTACGACCACGGCGTCCGCAACGTAACAATCGACGACCCCAACTTGGCGTGTAAGTGAAGCCCCTTGGGACTCTTCCAAATCGGATCCTTCCTCGAAACACGGTTAGCTGACAGAGTATGTTGACCAGACTTCTGTTCGGAAAAGATGCTTCAAGGCTTCAAAGACGCAGGCGAAGACTCAGACGCTCTACTCCAGTCCTACATCAGGCTCTACAACGACTGCATCACCTCGCGCCCGGCGGACATGCACCTCGGCATCCACCTCTGCCGCGGCAACTTTGCCTACTCCCGACACTTCTCCGAGGGCGGCTACGACCGCATCGCCTCCCGCCTGTTCAACGAGATCAACGCGGACACCTACTTCCTCGAGTACGACACCGACCGCGCCGGCGGGTTCGGGCCTCTGAAGGAGCTGCCGGCGCACAAGAACGTCGTGCTGGGCGTCATCACGTCCAAGTTCCCTGAGCTCGAAGACGTAGAGAAGCTGAAGGAGCGCGTGTTCCAGGCTGCTGACTATGTCGGTCAGGGCGCGGGACAGACGCGCGAGGAGGCGTTGAAGAGGATTGGAGTTAGTCCGCAGTGTGGATTTGCGAGCCACCACCTGGGCAACTCGGTTTCGCATCAGGATATGGTCAATAAGTTGAAGCTTGTGAGGCAATTGGCCGATTCCATTTGGCCGGGGGAGCCTTGAGGGCATTTTGGAGGTTAGTGTGAGCAGTGGCGCCGCGGTGATTTTCTTGGGTATGAGAAGCAGGTGTGTTGGAGGGTATCTTGATCTGCTGTTCATAGACTTTGCGATTGCTTCAACAATGTAGCAGTAGCTTTCGGCTGTAGAATATCGAACAAACATACCGGAACCCCTCTGCGACGTCGTGCATCGACCGAGTGTAGACCGACCAGCGCGAAGTTCTCTAAAGGACAAGTGAAGGAGTATTGATACTCATCATGGCAAGTAAGAAGACAGCGTGCAGTCTCTACTCCAAAAAAGAAAGGGTATCATTTGAGCTCTAACCTCAATCAACGCACGCCAAACTCCTTTCCTATCGCGCGGCCATGTGCCATGCCATGTTTCTCAAAATTCACCACTCTAGCCGTGTCGCAGCTCTCTCTTAGCCTAGAACCGAGCTACCTCACGCAGTCAAGGGCTGCGGGTTATTCCCAACCGTCTTGTACAGCTCCCTGAGCTCGAACTCCTCATGCCCGCCTTCAGGCACCTCGCCCACCACGCGCGCAGGCTGGCCCGCGACGACGCTGAAGCTCGGTATAACCATATTCGGCGGCACCACAGTGCCCTCGAGTATACGAACATAGTCCTTGACAATCGCAAACTCGCCAATCACGCAGTCGCGGCCAATGTGGATGTGGTTCCCGATCGAAGCGGCCTGGATGACGACGTTTTGCCCGACGAAGACGTGGTCGCCCATGCGGAGGGGCATGTACGTGAAGGCTCTGTGGAAAGAAAGAGTCAGCGAGTGGCCGTTACGTTTCTCGCCGTCTTGAGTCATGACGCACCCTTTGTACATTCGTCCTGGGGGCCGGAGGAGTGCGCCCCTGGACAGGAAGCAGTATCGGCCGATGGCGACGGCTGTGCTGTTGGCTGGGGCGCCGCCTGCCGAGGGCTGCGCAGAGCGGGCGAGGTCGCCGCGGATCATGACCTCGGGTTGGATTACGGTCTTTCCGCCTAGCATGATGTTTTGCGTGCCGACGAGCGTCGCTTTGCGGGCGACCTTGTTGCCCGTGTCCTGTATTTTCGCGCGAAAGAGTTAGTAGGCGGTTTCGGTCCGCGGATTGTGTTGGAAGACGATGGATCGCGGGGAAGGAGGGCGTACGGTCTCAATATAGTCTCCTTTTGCCGTCCTGCGCGACATGGTGGGCTGCTGGTGGAAGCGGTCGGAGGAGCATCTGGCTTGAAGCTGAGAGGAGAGTTGAAGCTGGCGTTCGTGTACTGGCGCGTTAGGGGTGTGACGTTGGTTGGAGCTTCCCGTCCCGACTGTAGGGCGGGTCAGTGCGCCCACAGCCGTAGCGGCGTGGCCGGCTGATCAAAAGGGGTCCAGTTCAGCTCTGTTTCAATCCCGGGAGCCTTATAAAACACATGCCTTTTGCGGTCTGTTATTTCCTGTCACGAAGGATAAGTATTCATGAAAACCTGCCTACCCAGTTCCCAAAAACGATAGTCATCTATCTGATTTTTACAATTCAGTAAAATGGGATTATTCCCACACCTCTTCCAGCGCTCTGCAAATTCACTTACAACAAGATGCATCGACTCTTTCTGACTACAAACAAGTAAGCAGAGAGAGATCCTAGGTGTACTCTATAAGTAGGCATGTCATATTCTTCAAGTACACAAACAGCCAACTCAACATCTACTGATAAACATTCACTTAATACTTACTTACTCACTCCCCAATTACTTCATTTCCGCTGAATTTCCCCAATGGCTAAGGAACTTAAGAAACCTAACCTAATCGAGAAAATATCAGTCACGATGGCAAAAGGTCAAGATGCGGCCAGTGTGGATTGAACACACGACCTTCAGATTGATTGAATGAAGTTTTCCAAGTTCTCTTTCGAGACCCGCTTCAGTCTGACGCTCTCCCAACTGAGCTATGTCCGCCGTCCATCTTCGAAGGTGGGTCGAACCTCTGGGTCTAGTTGATTCCACTCGCGAACCGTGTTGCTACTACTTGCCGCTGGCGTTGAGGATCCTAACGATGTCAAGATAGGCCGACACTATTAGTAGAGATTAAGAAGTAAGGTAGGTCGAACTTCCCCTAAACCCTCTCTGGTCTACCTATAGATAGATTTACTATACCTTAAAGACATGGGCATCTTGGGTGTTATAGAATGAAGAGTAGCAGGACTCCAAAGGAGTATTATCTAGCATAATAGTTCAGCCTGAAATACCTATGATATTAAAAAAAAAAAAGAGTTCACCACCGGTGTGGCTACATCTCTTGGCGGTTATTATAGTGCTCATGCTGGGATCGTATGCGAAGTCGAACTCGGAGCCTTTCGATTAGGCTGAAGGGGTAATTAATTGTTGACCATTCCACCACCCAGCCAGTTTGACCTGACCAACCGACCTAGGAAGGCGCCTGCTGTACTGGTGACAGGAGTGGAATTGAAGGGGTATGTATATATGGGCTTGGTTGGTAGCATATTGTGTGGTTGTGGCTGAATATACGACCATGGGATGATTCACTGAGAGGTAGGTCTGTCGATCAAGTAGGCAGTTCTCCCCAACAATGTGGAGAAGGGATCATCTGTCAGTGTGTGACAGATACAATGAGCGATTTGACACACGCGGCGTATGGAATAATTATAATCTAGTCACTACGATGTTGTTGACTCGCAGCGTTTGGGGCCTGTCTACTGCTCGGATAGTGAGTAACAAGGTATACTGAACGGTGAATATTACTGTAATAATAGTGCATAGTATCTACAACATGTATCAAGTTTATCGTGAAGTGACTAGAAGATTGTTGTCATGTTCTAGTACAAACATGTGGCCAAGAATGAAATCATTGGTGAGAATACCGAGACGAGAACAAGACCTCAGTCAGGGTGTAAGTTGTGACCCAGTTTACACTAAGCTGTAACACTCAACACGAACACCACGTGATCTCAGGGCGTCCGGCATCAACCTCGGATCAGAGTTGATTACATCCCATGTCTTCCGACTCCGATACCGAGCAAAGTTCCACGGATCATTGCCCGTCCTCAGAGCCTCAAGCCTCTCCCACTCTGGCGGGTCGTCGCCAAGTCTCGGATCCTCCTTTGTCGTTTTGTCCTCGGTTACTGAGAAGAAATGCATGGAGTCAAAGAACCCAGACTCCCTGGCCATCCGTACCCTCCAGCCCTCTGGCAAGGGACCGAGAAGTGCCTCTGTGTCCATCAGACCGTGAGTGTACGTCGCTCCTACGACCCTGTACTGTTGCTTCTCCGAAGTCGAAGCTGGATCTGGTCGCACAAGTAAGGGTGACGGACAACCCAGCAAGACTACAAGCTTGTCTCCGATTTCTGAACGCGCGTGGGATGTGCGCCCATGTACCCCGTGTCCGTCTTGATGAAGTACCGATGCCGTACGCGGATGAAGTTGAGAGATTTGTGAGAGACTGTGTCGCCTTTGGTATCGATAAACTCTCTGCCGTAGAGATCTGCCGCCTCAGGTATCGTGAGGAGACTGTTGCACTGCGGCCACCTCTCGATCAAGTATCCCAGTCCGAGAAGTGTGACAAAGGCGTCTATTGCTCTCTCGTTTGTTGGCGCGTATCGCTCTGTTGAGAGTGCTTCTGCCTCCCACGTTTTCACAGCGGCAAGGAGACCGTCGGAGTCAGGGGGTGACTTTTGACCTACGAAAGACACGGTGCCGCAGTGGACTCCCGCAGCCTCCATGAGTCATGACTTGATCATCAGTCCCACCACTATCAGACCTGAAGCTGACTTCTGCGGCTGAAGCGCCGGCCGCATAGAAGATATCGGCATACGGAAGCCGCACTGCTCGATCAACAGGAACCGACCAGTCTGGGACCCAAGTAGGCCCCTTAATCTCACGAGCGTCGATGTTGCAACGGCCAAGAAAGTCCAGCCTCTCCAGACACTCGATATACGCCTTGCAGAACTGGCCATACACCGTCTCAACTGGCAGGGAATAGTCTGGAGTGATACGCTCCCTGATTGCCGCCGGAGCAGCCCCCAGTGCTCCGTAGATCTTGTCCCGGGGATTCGCGCATCCTTTCCAGTTGAGCGTCTGTAGCTCTCGGAAGAACGGCCGATTGGAGAATGCCAGCATCACCCCGACAGCGTCAAGAATCAACCCGCGCACCTCATTGCTCGGAAGGAACTTCTTGTCGCTGGCACAGAAGATTGCGCGACGGAATAGAGATAGTGAAATACTGTCGGGACCGCATAGCATGAAAGAGCGCTCGTCGGCTAGACGAACCTCCTGCCACATCCAAAGACGCTCGAACCAGGAACGCTGCAATAGGCTGGCGATGGATCGCCAGGTCTGCTCGTTGTAAGGGAGCGGAACCGATGCGCGAGCCAGCTCTGGGTTACTACATCCAGGTGGATTCGTCCTCCATGCCCCGCGCTCGGTGTAGACGGCCTGCTCGCCGAGATGGCGCAGAGCAGCCATAGCCATCTTACTGTCCTCCCTCTCAGGACCTAGCCAGACGGCGACATGACTTGCGCGGCGGTAGATGTCGCACATGATGTGGACTTGCTTGTTGCGCTCCTCGAGGTCGGTCTGGTTGATGCACAGGGCATCGATCGACATGCGCCTGGGAATATCGCGGTCCAGTCGAGATCACGATACTGGTATCTTGGCTTATCAACTGGGCTCTCCATCTTGAATAAGTTCGGATAAGGACTGGCCGATGGGATCAATTGCGTGATCAGGAGAAGACCCGAGAGCTTGGGCGACAACTAAGAGAAATACTTGATCACTTGGCTGGCCAGACACAGTGCGTTTTACATGCTGTGATCATTCATGACACCAAGGCAGGCTGGCCTTCAGTAAAGAGGGGGTAGATACACGTTGCATGCGATACCATGCAGCTAGCAATGATCCTTCACAGCCCGCATATCACCACCACAATTCGAGATGGCTTGGCTAATGAATGGCTTACCCCAAAGTCTTGTTCTGATGCCCAATACGCGCCTGGAACAACTTAGCGCATCATACACCTTTTGGTAGCGACTGGTCACTACAGAGTCGGTAAGCACTACGCAGCCACAACAGTTGGCATAGAGCAGGCTTCAGTCACCGGATCAAAGTCTCCAACGAGGTGTGTGTATCGGCGGCCTCTAAGGACACTGAAGATCTCTTCTAGTATGTGTTGTCACATCTCTGAACGATCGTTGACACACGACGATTGGAAGCTCGTTTTTCTCCTACTGAAGATCTGCCTTGCTGCGACTACTCAGGCCACGGTCTTTCATACCTGCTTTTCATTTGGGCAACAGCGGAGAACCTGGCACCATCTCACACTTGTAGTCAAAGTGGAAAAACTTATTGCAGCCACTCAAACTCATGTCCTGGTTCTTTTTCCTAAGCATCTGAATCTGCTTGAGGGTTGCTTATAATGTCAAGCTCGCAGCGGCGTTCATTCTGATAAATATGACCTGGAGGGGACACTTCGCTCATAGGAACCCGGAAAAGAGCTTTAGCTGCGATCGCATGGGAAGAAAAACGAGCAGTGATGATAGATCCTTAGTTAATTCTTTTTTGCCACGCTATGGAAACATCATCATGGCTTCCCAAGGCCAGCCAGTTAATTATGATTTTGCGGTCTCATTTTGAGACCATACCGAAGAGGAATATATCCATATGGCGGGTTCTTCCTCGCCTGAATAGAAGATTCTCTCCCAAGTGCTTTGGAAGACAGTGCACTCACCCGCCGCAGATGATTGTGTACGTGTGGACAGCGCGGGCTCCCTCTTTGGCTGAATCTATTGTTAAGCCTTCTAGGCAACAAGCTGTTGAAACATGATTAGATCCGTGTGCTCAATCCATGATACTCCACGTGGAGGATGACTTACACCAGCGCAGGCCATGTCGCCACGAGCGACGCAAGAGAGCTCGTTAGCGAGCTGCTCCATCTCGAGGTCGTGTTTCTCGACGAGCTTAGGCGCGGGATATCGTCAGTGAAGCTCTAGGTTCTTCCTCGATTGAGGCAGAAGAATGCTTACGCCGGTACAGGCCATGTCACCGCGGGCAACGCAGGCAAGCTCGTTGGCAAGCTCAGTCTCGGAGCGCTTGGAGACAAGCTGAAGATGTTAGTCGTCATTGTGTCCTCTGAGATGTCAGGGTGGGTACCTTCGTATTACTCCGGCACATGCCATATCGCCACGAGCCACACAGGCGAGTTCATTGGCGACGGTGTCAACGGTCTACATCTGCATGTCAGCATTCGATGTGACGAAATATACGGTGCTTGGATTACACCTACGCGGGCAGAGTTGGCGGGGATTGCGGTAGCGGAGGCAACAATGCCGGCGACGAGAGCCACGGAGAAGTACATTTTGTTAATGTTTGAGAGTTAATTTAGCGAATGATGTTTGGTAGAAGGTGATATTGCTTGGTGCTTGCTGTTGCTGCTGAAAGGATACTATGCTTCAGGTCATGTTCGATTCCTACGTCTATTATATGTCACCAAGTCTGCATAGTGCACCCCAGCGCTCTTCTGCGGATGCAGGCTGAGGGATGTGAAGCCGGTAATACCGGACTCCCGGAGTACGGCAATCCTCTCACGGAAATGGTGGCCTTACAGTAGTGTTCTCAAAGTAAATCTCAATCTGTTCTTCGACTCGATGGGTCTTGCGGAAGGTAATCTGGGAGGAGAATCTGCAAAGGGCAACACAACTGCTGCTGCAGCCTTGCCCAAAATCTCTTCGCTGCATTTGCGACTTTGAAGAAAAAAACTAGCATAAAAATCTGGATCAAATTACGCATGAACATATCGCAACGCCCGGCTCAGTCATACACCCAACCAAATCGAAACCATGAACATCCCCTTTGGGATAGTCCTTCACGGAGGTGCATCAGAATCATGGATAGGGGATGACGTCTCATATGCCACCACCAAAGCCTTCTTGAAGAACTTGGTAGAGAAAGCCGAGGAGCGGCTACGTGCGGGCTCCAGAGCCATAGACGTAACGACTGAGATTGTGGCAGATTTAGAGGACTTCGCCGAGTTCAATGCTGGCAAGGGAGCTGCCGTCAACCGAGACGGCGTTCACGAGGTGCGAATCAGACTCTCCCACAACACGGCTAATATCAAACTAATTATCAATAATCTCAAGCTCGAGGCTGGAATTATCAACGGCAAGACAGCGACATACCGAGCTGCTGCATGTCTCCAAAAGACCAAGAATCCTATCAAGCTCGGGAGGGCCATGCTTGACTCTGTGGATACCACTATGCTCGTCTTCATTGTAGGAGAGGGGGCTGACCAGCTCGCCAGCCGTCTTGGATTGGATATGGTGGACAAGAGTTTCTTCACAACAGAGAAGAGCATGAATTACTGGCGAAAGAACAAGAAGGAAGTCCTCGAACACGGCACCGTTGGTGCAGTTGTTCTAGATTCACATGGTCACTTGGCTGCGGCTAATTCGACCGGAGGTATGATGTTCAAACATCCTGGCAGACTCGGCGATACAGCTATTCTGGGTGCTGGACTGAATGCCGATCAACAGATCGCCGTGGCATGGTAGGTACTCGTCTTTTGCGTTTGTTTCCATGGCTGATTTTGCTATCTGTTAATAGCAGTGGTGGTGGCGAAGCCATTCTGACGTCTATGCTGGCTAGTCGCGTTGCGAACCTGTACCACAGCGGGCTCAAACTTGAGACCGCTGTGGACAAGGCCATGTGGGATGCCAGCCGACTTTGCCCATCCCTCTCTTGTGGTGTAATCGCCACCACGACGGACGGCATGCAGACGGCACAATGCAATAGCCTACTCTTCACTATCGGGTCGTCGAGGTCTACCTCTGGCTTCCAATATGGGTTGATAGGCTGCACAATGCCTGTTACCGCACCTCTATGCTGTTATGAAGACGCCCTGGTCCGAATCGGGGTATCAAAGCACCCAACGCGGCAATTTCAGCTCACTTTCTGCCTCAAAGAAGCCAGTCTTATTACGATGGATCGAAAACAGGTGGAGGATTTACTTGAGTCGCTTAGGCGCGCCCCCAAAGCCTTGTTGAGTCTCGGCGGGGCCGACAAGGTGGCTATGATGACTTTCGCGGGTGGTAAGGGCGGCCACTTATTTGCCACTCGTGGCACGGGCAACATGTCTCCGACATTCAATGACTTGAAGCAATCAGGGAATCCGGCTTTCAGAGCTCATATCGAAATTGAGAAAACGGCCAAGGCGTTGTTGCAAGTGGGAGATTTCTACAAGCTGCCCGTGCCCCGGAGCTACTCCGAATTTCTCTTGGCCTCGGCCGTTGAATTCCGGGCTATCGTCGCCGGGTTATGGGGCGCCCTGCCGCGGCTTACGGGTGGCCTTACAGACACCGCTGCACTGGGTTATCGACGCGAATTCGTTCCCTGACGATCTCATTTTGCTCTGCTTCACTCTTGTGAACACATTGGCCCAACCCTGCACCTTTGCAGTCTGAGAGCAGCGGCCAATGGAGTCTTACGAGCGCGTTAGGCCGGAGGATTACGGATCTCGAGCCTCTCTGCATCACGACCGAGAAGTTGCGGGCCACGCTAGAGTGCCTTCAGCCGAATATCAGATAGGCGACGAGAGCGAGTACGACTAAGGATTTGTGTGCTCAGTTGATTTGCGATTCTTCATTCTCTTTATTCATACTTCAATTTCTTGTTAGCTTCATCTTAGACTGATTGTTGAGTGTAGCAATCGCGTCTAAACCATATCAATTATTCTACCGTGAACTCTAGTAGAAAAATGACTACCTCATTGAAAAGTATCAAGAGGAGCGCTGGAAGATCCAAGAATCTTGGATTTTACCTAAGTATTGCCGGTAAGTCTTTCGCAGTTTAAGTTGCCAAAAGGTCATTTCTCAACGAGACAGCCATCCCGAGATTTATGTATCGTTAACACTAACACTAACTTAGCCATCCTCGTTTCCAACTTCGTGAGTACCTTGCTCCTTGGATGTCCTTCATACTCGTAGTATGTTGACAACAAATACGTGCTTAGGTCACAGCAGTCGACTCTGGACTGTCATCATCGTCACATCTAGCCATCGCCTCTCATTTCGATAAGACCAAGGTCTCAACGTGGCCAGTAAACGCCTTCCTCGTTTGTTCCATTACTGTACAGCCTCTTTACGTCACACTTTTCAATTGCATAGGTCGTCGTATTATCTATACCTCAACCGCCTTCTTATTTCTTGTCGGCTCGTGTCTGGCAGCATTTACAACATCTTGGACAGGACTGATATTAGCGAGAGGCGTTTGCGGCCTCGCTGTTGCCGGACTGACGACTGTGGGTATGCTCTTCAGCACAAGTCTCTTTAAGCACGGTTTATAGCAAATCCATGGCCAGCTAACAATCCGAAAGGATCTATTGTATTGACAGACATTGTCGGTCTTAAAAATAGAGGCCATTACCAATCGCTCAACTACATCAACTATGGAGCTGGGTCCGCGTGAGCATACATTGATTTTCTGTTTCACTTTCGTTGACTGAGACTTACTTGAATCTCCAGGCTCGGTTCAATCTCTGGTGGTGCCATTGTCGAGTACTTTGGATGGAGCTATGTGTACAGACTTCAACTTCCATTCTGTCTGCTTTCTGCAGTCATGGTGTACTTATGGATCCCCTCAAACATTGAGAATTCCTACAGAGAGCCTTTAAGCCAGGGAAAGATATGCCTTACGAACCTGCTTCAGACGTATGACTGGAGAGGCTCGCTGTTGCTTGTAAGTCTGGACTCAATTTCCCGCTTTTATCAAAATCTTACTGAACAGAACCATAGATGATCTCTCTGCTTTGCCTGGTTTTCGTTCTTAGAACGGGAGGTAACGTGTTACCTTGGACAAGTCCATTGATCCTCACGGCTTCGGCACTATTTGGCGCAGTGTCCTTTGTCTTGCTACGCGTAGAGGCAAAAGCGCCGTACCCGGTTCTCCCTCCTTTGATGATTCAGTTCCCTTACAGGAATATCATGGTTAGCGCCTTGATGTTTTCCATGATTAACTACTGTGTAAGTGAATCTTATATATAACACCAAGATGTTCGTTCCACGCAGCTGAAGCTGAACCCCTGACCCCTCACTCAAGTCATGTACAACATTCCATTCTTTTTTCGGGCTGTCCGGCTGGAGTCAGCGGGCGAAGCAAGCGCCCATGTTGTCATACCATCGATTGCATTCACGGCAATGAGTGCAGTCGCAGGGACGACGATCGCAAGACTACGGACGTCCAGGCCTACGTTGCGCGTGAGCCAAGTCCTCTTACTCGTGGGTGCCTTGGGGCTTGTAGCTATGGCTACTGCCCTACCGGCAAACAAAGCCTCAAATTCTTTGTATAGCCTTTGCCTCATAATGCCTTCTCTTGGGGTCGGAATGATGGCCCCCAGTGCGCTTTTGACGCTGCTAAGTCTTGGTGAGCAACGTGATCACGCCGCTATGAATGGAGGTTTTATTATGGTGAGATCCCTAGGCGTCTTCATTGCCACTTCCCTGAGTACGACAGTCATACAGAATGTGTCTCAGGGTGTGTTGAAAACGATGAGCCTGGACGAGCAGACAGCTAAGGTATGCCCCTGATCGTACCTGGCATTAAGGCAGGTAATCAAAGAACTACTTGACTGACTTTGAATTCAGAAGGCTGAGGCGACGTGACTCAACATCGACAACCTGCGGACATTGAGTGGTGATATGCAGTCCAAAGGTAAGTGCCACCTGCAAGTTCGGTAGTGGTTTGTGTATTATACCAATGCTGACGAAGAACAAGTCATGCAAGCCTATCAGTTGGGATTCGTTGTCCTCTTCAGTGTCCTTCTTGTTTCTTCCATGGGCATCGTCTTGGCATTTTCTTGGGTTCCGGAGGGACGTTTGGACAGACCTTCAAATCGTACTGAAGATTCTGTTGCGGTGGTTGAAATGGTCGATCTCCTCGATGATGAAGAGACCGATGACGGTCTATGATGAACCCAATATCGGAGAACGTGTTCAGCGACCCCTAAATGATAGTGTGCTTTTTTCGCTGATGGATGTTACCCGCCGCTGTTTTGGTTCAGGCTGTCTAGGGTCCTAGGCTCCGTGTCGGCTCATTCCAGATAGCTACCCTCTGTTATCTTACCCAAGTCGGTCCTCTTCGATCATGCTTTTGACCTTCTTCTTTAAATTATCTGCATGCTATCTATGCTACTTCTCTTCTAGCGTAGCATGTAAGCGATCAAGTCGGTCGCGCTCCGAGCCCAATCGGCGGCTGCCCGAAGCTGGGTGCCTACTAGGCAAAAAGTCGACTGCGGTGAAAGACTAACACCGCCAAGTTTCAACAAAGAGAAAATGAGAACGAGCAGGAAGACGAGAACCGTATTTTCAATACGCGGCGAAGCTATTAGCTTCAGTCTTAACAGTCTTCTGAGTCTCGATCTAAGAACAAATTTATGGGCTCGTTATTCCACCTACAGCGATAGCACCGTGATCTAGATTTAGCAAGCCAATGATAGCCCCCCCCATGGGCTTGGCCGGTAAAACTCGCCGGCCAGCGCGCTGTGAAGCGGCCGACGATGAGACTTTCATAGATACGAACATTGCAGAGAACAGTGAGTAGTACGGGACACCGCCCTCTGCAGCCCCAATTTTCGTCTTCTAGATGCCCGAGCGAAAGTAGAGGATGGGAATCCAGTACCGGCGGGGCAGATCCGAGGGTTCTCGAGTTGCGCGGGACTCGGGAGTAACGGCCCTCGTGATGGAGCTTCGTGTCACGCCAGTGCGGCCCGTGTTTTTCGTATCTTCAGTTTTGGTGTCTTAGACGAGTCTCCCACTGTCTCACTGTAGCATGGAGCCGAAAGCTTCTATCAGGTCGTAGTGTTTTACATGTACACAATTACACAAAGACGGATAGGATGCCTCGTACCGTAAAGTATGTTTAATTGCAAACTCGTGCTTGGCGAGGAACGGACCCAGCTGCAGCCACTGTACGGAATACTCCGTGCCTAACAACTTGCAACAGAACTTCGGAATATGCCAGCGCTGAGCAAACGCGCAAAGAACTCACTATTCTTGGGGCGTTCAAAGCCTCCCGCAAGATTGAACTCAGTTGCGGTCCACTGCTCACATACCTTTTCTGTACGAATTGGTGAGTATCCAGCTGATGCTCATACAGATCTTCCCGCAACACGTCTTCCAAGTTCCATATCAGACAACGAATCGCAGTTTTTCGTCCTGAATCGCTCAGCCGTAGCCTAAGGCTTAGAATCAAAGCCCCGATCTTGGCTTTTTTGGGCTAATTACTTATTCCAGGCACCTCAGTCTGGGCTGGTCCGCATGAGTCAAAATTAGACCTGACTCGCCTCCGGGCCGCCTAACAGGGTTTCAGCGTCTAGTAAGGTAGCCTGTAGGACTGTGTTTTCAGGGATATTTCAGAATGACCCGCCTGTGTCACGGTCTATCGTACCTACAACTTACAAGAGAACAAGGCAGCTGAGCGGTTCACTCGGACGGACATCGGGAGGCCACAGTTGGCGCTTGCGCTGTAAAAGCGGACTTTGACCACTGGAGTAGAAATTGAGATAATTGGTGATGTTTTCCATGGCGTACCATTCTATCCCATTCTGGCAATGCTTTCCACTATTTACTTTTGTGCAGTCTCTAAAACCCACTCTTTGACCGTGCGGAGTAGTTCATCTCAAAGTGAGCTCCCGATGAAGAGGGTCGTTCCCTGTACCCGAACATGTGGTCGATATTGAGGACTCATTACCCCGTAAGCCTACCTGTAATAGTAACTTTACCATGTACTCTGTACAAAAACGGAATACAGGATCTGATGCACAGGCAAAAAGACTGTACTTGGCAGGGTCTTGATGCCACTGGGTTCACTTGAACACCCTTTCAAGGGCGGGCACTACTTACATGTACTTTTGATACGCACGCCACATCCCATATCTTGGTCAACAGCGCACCGTACAATTGTGATCTTCCTGGTGGGAGGTTGCCGTGACTGCCGATGTGGCCGCCACAATCTCTGTACATGCGGGTGGGTAAGACGTGGAGAGGAAAGTTGGATGGTATTGTCGGATTGGAAGTCCAATTCGACCGCGAGTAGGGGCAGAGCATGGGCCACCTCGAGGGGGTACACTTAGACCTTGACTACCCACCCAACCTCCGGTTGGAATCTCCCTTCTACTCCTTACGCAGAATCAATCAATACAGAGATATTGATACTTCGTCACCCCCAGGACCCTACGGTTCGAACCAACATCCCTGTGATAGGGATACCAACAGGTATCTTGTTCCTAGAGCTCGCAGGGTCCTCTTCTACCCGACTTGACCGGCTCCCACCCGGGGTGATTTCATGACCGCAAAAATCAACTGATTCGTGCACCCCTAGGACCTACTAGGTCTCCTATTGCAATTTATACGACAGACTCTGGTTGGGTCAGAAGAGCCTGAGAAGGCATCGTTAATCTAGACTCTTTGCTGGGCCCATCAACGAACCTCCTTGGCGTCGACTCCTTGACCGGAGCCTAGCGACATGAGTACATGTGATCACTACCAGGTAGTTGCCTTCACGTGAAAACTACAAGAGGAAGCGGCCTCCAGTGTAAGTGTTAAAAATCTCTTTTACTCACCCAGCTTTTCGTGTCTCACCGCTAAACACAACTCCTAAGCCGAAAGTGAGTAACTCCGATGGCGCTTTAAAACTCCCCAGACCTCAAGAAGCTTATCGTATAACACCAGAAACAACTAGCCCACAATGAAGATCACCACCGCCATCTGTCTTGTTGCAGGCTATGTCAGCCTCGCTGCCGCCGCCGGTTGCCAGGTCGAGCTCCTCAACATCAACCAAGCAGTCGTAGGCACAGGTTGCGTGGAAATGAACTACTACGCCAACATCTACGATTCTACCAAACGCGCAGGCTACACCGTCAACGCTAATAGCAACTGTGGTCTTAGCTTCGGCAACATTCAAGTTATCCCTGATGGTTATTCTTTGCGTCAAGCGGGCTACTGTTAAGTGGGACATACTGCCGGTATTGTTCTTGATGATTCTCATAGAGAAGACTATGGAACAATCCTTAGTAATAATATCTCAATCCTACTCAAGAGCCGTATTTTTGTGTGCGCTTCTGTTGACCTACAGTGCGTCGGCTCATCATTATCATCAACTCCTGTGAAGATTGATTTGCTTGCCGTCAAGTCGCTAGGATGAGTGCATGTGTACGGAGTATAAGCATTCCCACACGCATTTGTTGTTGATTGCGGCACATGCAGCCAAGATCACGGACGGAACGACCGTGTGGTGGCACGCTGTGTAATCGACTCCCTTCTTATCTTTGCTTGTCCAATGTTGCCGACGCTGCTAGCAATGTATCCGCGGTTGCCCGCCAGCCAGAAGTGGGTTTCGGATCCCCAAACACTAAAGGCATTTTGCAGCGCTCAAAGTCAAAATTTCCTCGTAGCAGACTTCGCTGAACTTAGTAATAATAATAGAAAAAGATTGAAATGATTTAAGCTTAACTTTAGCTTCTTCGAATTAAAGTCGCAGGAAATTAGCTCCAAGATGAACGAGCATTAGCTTTGAGTTAGTGCCGGGATGATTCTAGGGAGTTCGATATTAAATACTATTGAATCTAGTCCGCTGACCTTGTGCTCAATTGTAGGCCGAGAACCTTTCTTTCGTGACCGTTTGATACACACGGGATGCAGATTTCTAGGTTTACCGGAATCACGGGTTTGAATCTCACCTCCCAAGTCCCATTCAACACTCATCGGGATGACAAAACGAGACACTGTGCGGATTGCCATCTCGCCAAGGACTTCTAGTTGCTAAAGTTTCCCTGTCTAATTACTTCACTAAAGTTGGTACCACGACATTGCCCTTTCAACCTCCGGGCAGACCCCCATAATATACTTCAGCATCCGTCTAGCCGCTTCGGTCGGAGTTGATTCAGTAACATCAACCTCTATACTCATCGTCCCTGGCTCATCAAAGCGATGGATTCTGACGCCGTTACGGAACATGCGTAGTAGTCCCGGGTCGACGATCTTGCGATGCGCCTTGCGATCAGCGGACTGTATGCGGGCTATGTTGGTTGCTTCATCGCAGGTCACGACAACGGACACCAGCGCTGCGCCGCGATCACAAGCCGTTTCGGAATATTCGGCACATACGGCGCTTCCTACGTCATCGTTGGATTGGAAGTCGGTGAAAACGTAGGCGAAGTTCCGACTGACTGGACTTTCGGCCAGCAACGTAAAGATGGCTTTGCGAATAGCGCGCCGTAGGTCTTGATAGCCTGTCTCAGAGCGGTGCAGCACTGCGTCCGCAGGGTTTATGAGTAAGTGGTTGTGCAGTAGCCGGCAGCATGGACCAAGCTGCTGTTGTAGAGCCCTCGCTATGGTGAGCTTGCCCGTGCCTGGGAAGCCGTTTAGATGAATGATGGGGAGGGGCTTTAGTGTAACTGGCGACTGAAAAGAAGCCATCATTGGAGTTCAAGATATGCAATAAGTGGCAGAAGGGAGCTTTGGAAATAATGGACAGAGAGAAGAATGTAATTTTGAAGGCTTGCTGGTCACTCCGGGGCAAAAGATCTTGGAGTCTGAGTACGATCTGTCACTTGCTTAACGCTCAACAGAAATAACCAGAGATAGGAATAAGCGTCAAAGATCCACTGTATTCATCTCACCCAAGCTGAAAAGCTACCTTCCCTTATGTCCGGCCTCTCGAGGTGTTGAAGAGTGGAGCAGACCATCGCCGTTCAAGGCAACCCTCTTCGAGTCAATGGCTTCGTTGCGAGTGACAACAGCAGACTGCATGCACTTCACAGTTTTATGAGGCACAGAGTTCAGAACATAGAGGAAAGCGAACGCCCTTACGGTTCAGGGGCCACTATTGATTTAGTACCTAATATGAAAAAGATCAGATTTGCGATGTTACTCTGGTGGTCTAATTAAGCCAACGAAACCACGATGATATTGATGCCAGATTTTTCACGGCGCGCAAGTTTGCCCCTTGAGTCTGGGTATCAACTGGATATCCCGAACATCGTCGTGCTGCAAGACCCAGCTGAGAAATCTTTCAGATCCAATGCCCCATCCAGTGGTTTGGAGAGGTTTCTGACTTCGCATATCGACGTACCAAGCGTAGTCGGCCGGGTCAACCCCGTGATGACCAAGAGCGGCCAAAGCCTCCTCAGCTGTGGTATGACGGTTGCCGCAGCCGACGACCTCCCCCAGTCCAAGCAAAAAGTCACCACAACGAGCTGTACTGCGTTCGGACCCATCGGAATAAGCCTGGTAGAATGGTACGCTGAGATGATGCATCTCGACAACCCAGCAAGCACCGCCATAACGCTTCACCAATGCCTGCTCGCCCCTTCGTGTTAGCGAACGCCCGCATTCAGGACGTCCTGTAACGGTGTACTCCCACATAATACCTTCGCCGCCCTTGATCTCTGGCAATGCGAGTGCTTCTTCTAAAGGTAACATGGGAAATTTGCCGCCATTTCTAGCAGCGAGCTTCAGGAGGTCCGTCATGTGGCGAGTTGAGCCGGCAAAAGACTTAATGATTTCGCCATGTTTCTCCAGTAAAGTCTTTGTCAGGGAGATGATGTACTCATTGGCGACGTTGATTCCCTCATGTAGGCCGCCCCTAAGCTCACATTCCACGTGGTAGAATTGATTGAGGTGAGTGCTGTCGTGGTCCTCCCCGCGACAACTGGTACCGACGTAGTAGGTGCCGGGTACATCATCATCGTAGCGAAGGGCGTATTCAAGGAGAAATTGCTGAGAATCGGCCAAGTAGGTATCTTCTCCGTGCAACTTGACGGACACGGGCTGCGAGTCTGAGCCGAGACCCATAGGCGAACTGATGCTTCCGGTAGTGAGCGGTACGAGGAGGTAGCGGTAGTCAAGCTGAGGACCGCGGAAGAAGTCGATAGAAGTGTGGAAAAAAGTGCTTTGGATGGCAAACATTGACTTGTACCACTCTGATTTCAAGGCAGCAATGCAGAAACCATCTTCGAGGTTCCAGATCCGCGGCACCGGCTTGCGTGATAGGACTTCTACGGAGGTTTCGATAGACGCATCTTCAACAGAGTCGATAGCGACACTAGATTCGATTTTGTTTGGAAATAGCTGTGTGAAAACTTGAGGTCTTATCTCGACCTGGGGTGCCATGTTGGTATTCTGATATTTTCGTTCAGAGAGGATTGATGTGAAGCCGTTCGAAAAGTGCTGTCGTATTGAAATTTCGGGCTGTGGCCAATTGGTGGAATGATACAAACGAGCATGTTGAACTTTGTCTTTTCAAGACGAAGATTCCTTTATAGAAGGTATCTTACTCCAGAGTAAATTTTCGATCGAGATGATAGCTACATGTAATTGACTGAAGCAACGAAGACATCCACCTCATGTCATTGGGGGCCTCACGTATTGAAGGGAACCGCCCCAGCCAGGTCATCATGGTTCAGTACCTTATTCGTAATTTTAGTGTGCCAAATTTGAGATGCACTTATCCATGACTTGATATGGTCACCGCCAGAAACCCCCTAAGAGCAAGAGGAAGTAAGGCCACCAGTACCTTTAGGATCCTGGCACCAGAGAGCCGAGATCGCATACCGCAGATCGCAGATTACCGGCCAGGATCCGTCGGAGGAGAAACCCTGAAGTAACTAAGATTGCGTCTTGCTCTCGTTTGATAGCTTCCCAAACAGTGTCCTCTCATGCTACGCCGAATTTCATATGTCGCCAATTGCTGCCTTACCCTCTCAATCGTCTCGTAGTTCATATCTTGACTATGAATCCGGTGCCTCCCTCTGACTTGCGACACACTGGCTGCATTAACAATAACTCCTCATTTTCTGCCATGGATCAGCAGCAGCAAGATTGCCATTATGAGGAACTCTCACCGAATACTGCAGGTTCAAAGCCCAGCTTTAGTGAAGAGGCCGAATCGTTTCTAGACAACATTCGTACCCGCTCGAGTGCTCGGGGATACAACAAAATCTTGGCAGCATTTTGGCCTTTGGTAATACTCCAAGTTGTGCTGTTGTTCGTTGCCACCGGATCTCTCTTGGTAGAGCTCAAGGGACGTTCTCAAGAGAAGAGCGAGCCGGCATACTTCTGTAGGCTAGACAATCACTTTCCAACCTAGTTATCGTCATATTGACAAGTTTAAATAGTGAGGACTTCAGCTGTGGGAAAGATTACCCGGAAACGACCGTGCGAACTTACTGGGACTATGACGACAATTTCCTGAACCACAACGTGACTATTTCTACCGAGTTCTGGAAAGGACTATTTCCTGGTAAGTAAGGATTTTGAATTCTTTGTTTCCTTGTACCATCTCGCAGGACAAATGATGACCATTTTCATAGAGGGCGACGGAATTGTGGCTCTAAATGACGATGAAGTCAAATCTATGGATCTCGTCCAATCCGCACGCTCTTTTCACGACCCCTCTAAGAGTGTTTACCTCGTGGCCGCCTTCCACCAGCTTCATTGCCTTGTAAGTCCCACCCCCAGACTTTGTCGGAAACTTTTAGTAAACTCTTCAACTAACCACTGGAACCAAATCTGACAGAGCCAGTTGAGATCACTGATCATCAAGGCCCACCAAGATCCCGCATTCTCGTTTTCTGATCCAACGTACTATCACACGATGCACTGCGTCGATGTAGTTCGCCAGCAAATCCTCTGCCACGCAGACGGCACGCTCATCTACAAACGACAGGAGGATAAATATCCTGGTGACGGCGGCATGCGAGTGTGCAATAATTTCGAAGCTCTCACTCACTGGACAAAGGAGCATGGGTAGAAGTCCTTTCCGGGAGGTGTACCAATTATTCCCGGCCACCCTAACTGATCTCTTATCTGATAATTGAGCTCAAAAGACCTGTGTACATAAACACGTAGATTTCATTTGACTAAATGGGGCTGTCGATAATATTGGTTGTCCATCACAGTTTCTTTACAATTTCTGCATACGTCGTGACCACGTAGATTCTGGATCTCGAACGCATCTCTAGATTGTTATTTACGTTATAAACGTATATCTGTTAGACTTTTGAAGTACCGCGTACTATTGAATTGCATCGGAGCTTAATCTCATGCCTTAAGCAACGCCTAATCAGCCAAGGTGACATGACCATCGGGAACTAGCTTCGCTTACACAAATCATAAGACTACCTCTGACAAAGATCTCAGATACTTGGATGCTTGCGGCTTCTCTCTGAGATTGCACATCTTCTGAATGACTGAATCCATATCGACACCGCAAGTGTTAATAGAGATGCAATGTACTTGGGAGGAAGGTCGGCAGTAACAATCTAATTGTCGAGTAAAATGCGTTCTAGTATATTTTATATCTCCATGTTCCAAAGACTAACGGCACTTCCCTATTTACCCCTACAAAGTGTCGATAGTGCTTGCATCTGATATTCCAAGACTCTGCAGAAATAGGTCACCTTCAGTCGCTTGTTATGTGTTCAACATTTGATCCGTCATTTCTTGACAGCTATCCCCTGGCTGCACACGATTCTTGCCCCTGTTTCGGCATGGGCGGGCAAACAACGTGTTTCTCTTCCGCCCATGCATCATACTGAAGTGGTTCCTCTTCGTTGGGCATCGTTATCAGTATTGATTCTGTGGAAGACGAAGCCATTGCAGATGAGCAAGACGATGAAGTGAAGTGGGAACTGGACGCGCGCAGAAAACTCACCATGTTATCCATTCGGCTGAAAACCCTGCCACACAAGGCGTAGGGACAAGGAATGATTGGTTCATGGGAGCGAAGATGACGTCTGTAGTCCTTGTGGTATGCGAAGCCAATACCAGAGGACGCACATTCGGGGCGCGGACAGAAGAAAGCCTGGTATGTGTTGAATGGTGCTTTCGGAGATCGCAGGCACGCTCGAATACCGTAAGGGACCGACATCCAGCGTAGCTACACCTCCAGTCGCCATTCTCATCTTGAAACCCCATCTGGTAGACATCCTGAGGGACCCAATCGTCTTCAACATCGGTGGGTTCGCAGCTGTTCGTCTCGCTCGGACTGGGGTAAACATCGTTGATAGTAGCGCCAAACAAGTCGTCAGGCCACGTAGCGATATTTTCGTCCCAGCCCGCGCTGCAAGTTAGCGGCGGCATATTGAACGACAAATCCAACTGGGTGTCTTGGTCGTCCCTGAGCGTCGTCGGAAGGTGGTAGTCGTCGTTGTTATCTCCCTTCGCCGTATCGAATGTAGCTGCCAGGCTGTTGTCGGCAACATCGTGGTGCATGGTTGCATTCAAGTAGTGGTCCGGATCGAATGTTGCTAAGTCTATCGAGCTGTGCCCGTCGAGATGAGAGTCTAACCCAGGCGCCATGATGTTCTAGGAGTTGAAGTGTTAGTTACTTAGTACTTATGTAGTAGCAAGATCTCTCTAAACCCCTGGCAGGTATCGCTATTGCGACGTTATCGATCAGTAAGGTGGTGCGTACACATGTGTCTGGAAATTCTCCATCGTTGAAAGAGAAGGTAGCAGCGAAGAAATGGTATTCGTTTAGAAATGATGTATCAGACATGGTGAATAATGGCATCTTCTGCCCTGTGAACGAGAGATTCCCAACTTGAAAGCTGAACCTGTAACGCCATACAAGAGGCTGGATTATTCAACTTGAAGGCACTTCATCAAATAAAACTTCATGGCTGTTCCTCCTCGGCAACCTTCTTGATTCTTGAAGTGCGAGTCGTTACCAGCAGGACCTTTTGTTGATGAACATGGGGGAATAATGATGAGGACCAGGTTTCCCGGCATTCCCGTCAGATGAACCGCGCGCAAAAGACGATTCGTGGCCGTACCTCGAGAGTGGCCATTGATAAAATGCACGCCGTCTGTTAAGGGACCCTGAGATTAAGTAAATGATTGGTTGGCTTGGTTCTCGCGATTTTCCAAGTACTTAAAGCGTTCGTACCCACGTGCCGTAATCGGTGTTATAGAAACCTGCCCCCATGGTTCTGGTGTACGATGGGGATGATCGACAAAATAAGCTTTTCTGTTGCTGAACCCCGAGTGTTGAATCTGTTTGCTGCCTGATTTAATATCCCGGGCTCTGAACCCATATGCCGCAGTGCCTGGCATAAGAATCCTACGTTACAGAATACTCAGCCAGCAGCTTTCCAAAAGCACTGTAACTTGGCTCACACAGGTCAAACGCCCAGGTCCAGGCTATTTGCTGCCTGCTCCGATTGAGGCTGGAAACGGACACTCCGTCGACCCGCAACTCGTGAGAAACACGGGTGATTTCCGAAATTTCAAAACTTGACGATAGGACTCACGTACCTAGGCATCGTGAGGCACCTCATTGTTGAATCGAAAGATTGAAAATTGCTTGGGACTCTTCGCAACGCTCCGTCCATCTATTAGGATGAACTTGGAAGTTGTGCTTGCTGTCATTGACTGGAGCTTCTAGGAGTGAGAACCAGCCCTGGAAAACATGCTTCCGCGAGAAAAGTCGATTGACTAAGGTACATGTATTGACTACGTAGTTGTCGACCATGAATGGCTGCTCTTGGAAATCTTCACAAACAGCCAAACCCGTCATTGTTCATTGAACAAAAAAAACACAATGTATGAGTGCTCATCGACAAATACTTCAGACTTTGCTACCAGCAACAATCTCGGCGTCTGGTTCGATCATATAATAATACGAACAAAGTTAACCGCCATCACCTTCGTGGGTAACCTGCGATTCGCGCTCCCACTTAGTCCCTTATGCATCCCTTGAGAGAAAGCTCTGAAATGATGATGGCTTAGAATTGAATCGCTCGTCTTCCGAACTAATATTATGACCTTTCCCCTGGACTGTTGAGCTTCCATTTTAAGGCTAGCTTCTAGTGTAGTTTCGTGAGAGGTACAAAAAGCCAGGCATTGTGCTGCAGAGTGTGAAGTTGACTGTCGATCAACTCCCTGCTGGCAGGATTACTCTGGCCGGAGATGCTGCTCACTCCATGACGCCGTGTAAGTATCCAAACATGACCGTGAAGAGGATAAATCTAACCCTTGATTCCCTAGTTCGAGGAGAGGCCGGTGTCTGCGCACTTACAGATGGCTTGAGGCTCGGCGAAGCCATCAAAAGCATCCACGATGCTCGAGGACAAGGTCCTGATGTGGTGAAGTACATCGGAGAGTATCGCGACGATATGATTTCCAGAGGAACAAGAGCCATCAGCGTATCCAATCCAGTACTTGAGGATCATTCCAAGGATGCTGAGTATGAATTTTATACCTGTGTGTTGGAACAGCAAAGGCTGATAAGGAGTAATAGGCAGGTACCATGGGCTGGCTGGCACCTGCCCTGGGCGAAGTGGGACAACTGGCTTAGTCATCAAGGCCGGATAAAGGTGGGGCAACCACACAGGCCGTCACTACCTACTTCGACCGACTCCTGCCTACAATGTAAGATAGAAGAACAACAAGAAGAACAAGCAATAGGATCACCAACAGACGAGTGATAATTGCTACCACTATTTGTCGTATACGACCCCGTGAACCAACACTGTGGAAAGAAGGTCCTGCCGCTCCCCGAAGAGACAATCACCATTTGATTCCAAAATATCCCTGGAGTCCATATCCTCTCTGCTCTGTTAGTTTTCAATAGATCTCCTTGTGCTCGATCTCGCATACCCGAATCGTCGAACATCGTGGCCTGGGCTTCATTATGACAAGAACAACTTGTTGGAATATTGACGGCAGAAAAGGGTGGATTTGGAAGATGGTCTGGGCCGTTGCAAACGGCCCTTCCACCTACTTACACCCAACGGAGGAATCGTGGGCTACGCCCACCAACTTCCTCCTTACACAGATATACGCAGTTCAATACCAAGATTATTGAGCTTCGTACCGGCCCACAGGCCCCTGCTGACGTGTATACCAACACCAGTCTCCCGAACCCACGGCATCATTCGCGAAGAAGCCGACTGGTGGTACAGGAATGGTGCCGGGGCCTTTCGACCCCCTGACAGATCCAAAGTCATGGCCTACAGTTGTCTTGATGAGCATTACTGACATCCTTTGAGCAGTTGTGAAGGGAACTATGGAGCTTCTCTCGAGGCGGGAAGGCTCAGTAGTCTCAATCTCAGGTTTCTGTAGGTTTAAACCACGTCAGCACACAGCTTCTCATAGGGCAATCAAAGCTGACTAGAACTAAAGAGTCATCTCCGACAATGGTTCAACTAATGTCATGGGGCTGGAACCGGGTCATACCTGTCCCTGGAGAAGCACAAGCCGAGACTTGCGCAGAGAACGCGATAGCTATATCTGGCGATCCATACTGGCCGCTGCAATATACGCCTTCATGAAAACCAGCTCGATAATGGCGATGCTCCTCAGAGTCACATAATCCTTCAGCCTCATAGTCGTCGAGCTCTTCAACACTAAGTCAACCTACCCACTTTTCGCCACCCCAAAAATGCCTCCCAGCCTCCTCATTATTATCCTACCCCCATTGTTCAAACAACCACAATAATTGCAAATTTCGTCCAAACATACTCCTTTTTTGTATAGTTATTTATCGATATATAATGGTCTTGTATACCGAATTTGAACTGCAGCAAGCACTTAATGCTATCTTGAACGGTACCCCTATTAATAGGGCCTCGATTAACTGGGCTGTACCACGATCAACACTACGAAGTCGACTCAAGGGGCATCAGAGCAGACTCACCGCATTTTCCGAGCTTTAGAGACTAAATATATAGCAGGAAGACCGACTGGCAGAGTGGATTCGCATTCAATATACTCTAGGGGTCTCTCCTACACATGAATAAGTCAGGGAATTCGCTGAGCGAGTTCTGAGAGCTCAGGGTGACCGTAAGCCTGTTGGCAAGCGGTGGATCCAAGCCTTCCTGCGAAGGAATTCCTTAGTTAAGGTCCAGAAGAGCCGAACTATTGATTCTAGACGTTTTAATGGAGCAACTACTAAGTCAGGCCCTGGTTCCGTTTGCTCGACATCCCAGAGATCAAGAAGATCAAACAGTCCAACAGGTATACCATGGATGAGACTGGCATCCTTGAGGGCAAGGGAGCTAATGGGTTGGTCTTGGGCAAGGCAGAGGCCACTGCAGTGCGGAAAAAGAAGCCTGGTTCGCGTGCTTGGGTGTCGATTATCGAGTATATCTCTGCTGATGCCAGATCTATCAAACCACTGGTTATATTCAAGGGAAAGTCGGTCCAACAGCAGTGGTTTCCCCTTCAACTTAACCCATTCGACGGTTAGAAGTTCATAGTAACAGACAATGGGTGGACGATAGACGACACTACCCTCGAGTAGTTGAGGGAGGTGTTCTTGCCACGGACTGAGCCCCCTGGCCCTAGGAGGGCTGGTGGGGTGAAGGAGCCTCGATTATTGATTATGGATGGGCATGGGAGTCATACGACGACAGAATTCATGTGGGAGTGCTATATCAACAACGTCTACTTATTATTCTTGCCTCCACATACCTCCCATGTCCTCTAGCCCCTGGATCTGGCAGTGTTTGGACCTGTGAAGTCTGCTTATAGGAAGGAGCTCGGAAAGCACGAAATAGTAGACAATTCTATTATCGCTGGAAAGCGGCACTTTTTAGACTGTTACCAGAAAGCTCGTTTGGCTGGTCTGACGTTGTCTAATATACGAAGTAGGTGGAAGGCAACTGGACCATGGCCAGTTAATATGAGCCACCCTCTGCTGAGCCCACTGATGCTCCCCAGCCCTGCCTGTCAGAGCCCTCCCGGATAGGGGCTAGTTAGAGGTAGTAAGGAGTCCAAGCAACAAAGGAGCAGCTCAGATATATATACAGCGCAGGGAGTACACGTCGAGGGAGGAGCAGATTTCAGTAATTCATCATTCTACCCCTAACTGCAGTTGGCCTCTGAGAGCTTCCACCCTGCGTCAGCACCCCAACTTGACACTGCCACTCCATTAAACAATACTGCAGAGGGGCAGGCAGTGACTGGCAAGCCCATGGAACCCGTTAACTGGGTATTAGCGACGTCTATTATTAACTAGTCAACTCCTAGGCAGGCCAGTGAGCTTAGCCAGTACGTAAGGTTATTCACAGAGCTCAGTCCAGACCTCAACACTTGACGACTACTGTTCAGAAAGAAGAAAAAGAGCTTTGGCGAGAAGGACTACCTATTGACCATATCAGAGTATAGAAACCGTTAGCTCCAGGCCCGAATTAACCGCATGGCTCCAAGGAGGAAAAGAACCGTCTAAACAGATCCCAATACCAAGTTCGCGAACATCAGGGATATAAAGAGAGCTCAGGAGGACGCAGGCGACCATCTCGTTAGTCCCAGTCGACTCGCAACGATCGAATTACCTAGTGATGGCAGTGACTGTATTGTAGTGGCAGTAGAAGGTAGTTAATTGACTGGAAGTTGATGATGTTTTGAGACCATGTTGATTGGGGTGGCGAAAAGGGGGTAGGTTGACTTACCGCAACACAAATGAGGGAGAAGAAGTTGACAAACGGCGTATCAGACCAGACAAATCGCCCCGCTCGTCGCAGAGCAAGGATGAATCGCACGAGAAGACAGAGACCACAAAGCAGAAGCCAAACGTGCAGGCAACGAAGACGTTAAGAACCATGTCGGACAGGAACAAGTTCATGGCGATGGCGGAGGCGAGAGACGCGCTCAGGAGAAGGAGGCCCGTGTTGGTGAAGTACAGCTCGGCGAGGTCGCCATCGTTGTCGTTGGAAAGGATTGAGGTGTAGCCGTCTAGGAGAACGGAACGGGTGTTTGGGGTTCGAGGTCGAGCCTTGCGGCGGAAGGGCGCCAGCTTGATGACGATCGTGAGGATGTTGAGAATCTCTTTGATGAAGACAGTTGTCACGAAAGAGGTATAGCAGTGGATATCTCAGGGATAGAGATAAGGGGTAGACAGGGGTATGGGCATACAAAAGGGGCTCCCTCGAGGGCTACCCTTTTCCCCTTTTCCATAGTTGATTAGACCACAGTTGAGATCCCGATTTCCATGAGCTACTCTATATGCTGATTCGTGACAACAGTCAGGCAACTATGCAAAAGCAGAGCGCTCGCGAAGTTGATGTCCTCATCCCAGGTGATCATTTTTCCACCATCTAGAATTGTTGATAACGCGAGGTTGAAAGATGGAAGAGATGATGAGACCAGGCTGGATGATGACGAGGAGCAGGCTGTCGAAAGCCGGGGGATTCGTATCCTTGCACAGCCTGCCTTGAAGCGAAGTAATGAGGCGTCGCTCTGAGACAAATTGATGAGCTTCTGCGCCCTCTGTCGTTCATCTTGGCTGAAATAAGGCAGTCTGAAGTTGAAAAGAATATCTCCAGTGTCTGCTCTTCAAGACTGACTTACGGCAAAAGACTGATCACCACTTCATACTTAGTAACCGTGACCAAGGAATTTTCTTCATCCGCCTCATAAGTCTTAGGTATTGCATCTTGACATTGTTCAAATTAGTACCCTACGTTCACCTGCAGCCAGAGTATGTTCTTATTCCCGGAAGACATTGAGAGCTCCTGCAGCGCCGACACTTCGGACCGTCGCCCCTGTATCTTGCTTCAAAACGCACTGTTACTGTAATTAAACTTTTGAAGTATCTTAGCAGACCAGTTGAATTGAGCGGTTACTGGTAGATGGATTTAAGTTCAGAGGTTTTCCAGAGTCGCCGAGCAACGCCCCAATCGTCTCTATGCTCGTTGCACTGCAACTGCCTTCTGGACTGAATCGATGTCTTATTGAATTGAATGATGCAGAAAATACATGATCGTAACTTTCCTTTGGCTTCATTGAATATTCTCTACTAATTGCCTATTCCATTCTCACTCATTTGAGCACTCGAAATTGTTAACCGGGCGCGAAGACGCCGCCTCTACATTGTAACCTGTTACTTGGAAGTTCAACAGTAATAACCACGCAAACCCATTGTGGTTCCAACATCTCTTTGCAATGGACGTGAACTAAGTTATATTAGTACAGGAATCGAAACGATTGGCTCCACTACACCTTCATCAGAGGTAACTTATTAGAGTTTTGGGCCTTCACGAGCCCTTCTCTGGTCGCGCTCGGCAGTGATCCATGTGAACGCTGGCAAAGACACCCACAACATCCAGCGTCTAGGCATCATGTCGATAACCTCTTTAGGCAGATGTACAGATCACATCATCTGCACCAAACGACGTCATTTTGCGAACTGATTCGGGTTCGTTTTCCTATCACATTCCCCAATAAACAATCCTTGCAATGGGGTGCTAATCAACCCCTCTGCCAATCTATCTTGCGGAGAATACGAAGTCTTCAAAAACCTTGGCAAAGTGGCTACGCGCCTGCCATTATCCCTTATTACCCCGGATCGTATCTTTGTTCAATTTCCAAAGTAAACATCGACAATCACTGAAGTTCCTGCCCTCGCCCCGGCCCGAAACAGTCTTTACCGTCACAGGAACCGCACAGAAGGCCGTCGCGATGCTTTTCCCTGTTCTTCTCGGTGCCTCACTGGCACAGGCATCCCTGCAATCCCTGACTTCGTTCTGCGGAACCCCGGACCCTACCGACAAGCAAATCGCAAGATCGCTGGTCGGCAGAGATGCGAGCAGCGGGAGCAGTCTCCTGGCGGCCAACATCTCCGTGCCCGTCTATCTCCATTCAATCGCCCCAAATGAAACAGCTCTATTGAGTGTAAGAGTACACTCGTGCGTCAATGAAGGCCGCCAGACTGACCTACGCCCCAGCAAGCCAAGCTCGAAGAGCAATTCCAAGTCCTACACGACACCTTCAGCAAATACGGCATCACAATGACCCTAGGCGGCACATCGCGCACCGTGAATGCCACCTGGTCAACAGTCACAAACCCAACCGACGAACTCGCCATGAAATCCGCCCTCCGCAAAGGAAACTACCAATCCCTCAACATCTACGTGCAAGCAATGCACCCGACCCTAGGCCGCTGCTTCTACCCCGAAGCAGACGCCTTCCCCGGCTCCGAGACGTTCATCCTGGACGGGTGCCAGATCGACGCCAACACGGTCCCCGGTGCGGACTCGCCTACGGGGAACGATCGCGGGTACATGGCGGTCCACGAGGTCGGACACTGGTTCGGACTGCCGCATACCTTCCAGGGAGGATGTACGGGGACAGATTTTGTTGATGATACGCCTGCGCAGGCTACGCCTTCTTGGAATTGTACGATTGGGCAGGATACTTGTCCTGATTTACCCGGCGTGGATCCTCTCTACAACTTTATGAACTATCAAGCAGAGTAAGTCCAAGACGTGTCGGCAAGTTGCATGTTTGACTGACGAATTCTGTAGTAACTGTTGGAACGACTTTACGCCCGGCCAAGTCCAGCGAATGCATGAGCAGTGGTCGACGTTCAGGGCGAACATCACAGTCTAAGAGTGAAAAGGGATATTCTCCTCTATTAATTTTGAGAGAGCGACGGACTCATCGTTAATTGAAGCCTACTATGTGACATCTCGCATTTAATTCGTTACTTGCATATCCTCACGGACCTGTCGCATGCACTTGTTGAGGTGAAATTGCAGGTATCCGCGGCATCATGTTCCACCCTTTTCCGCCGCACCAGGTCGTTCGCAGCTCAAAAAATCAAGCAGAAATGCTCTTGGAACAAAAAGGGAGCTGAGAGTAATGCAAAAAATGCAAAAGAAACTCCTCGACGGGGAATTGAACCCCGGTCCCCTGCGAATCGTTGAAATTCAATGACAAGCAGATATCCTCACCACTAGACTATCGGGGATTGGTGGATGTGGACATCCAGTGATAGTATGTTGAGTTGTGAAGCCGCTAGGTGTCCTATATAGGTAGGCTGCCAAGCGGGGGGCTATAGGCACCAGCGCCGTCGCGATGCTGCGCACCGACCTGGACCGCCCCCTAGAAATTTCTCTGCACGAACGAAGGGTAGTGATGTGCTTCTTGAAGGATGCAAAAGAGGGGACGTGAGCTTTCTGTGAAAAATCATTATGAAGCCTCCAAGGCATGAATACCTGTCGTTGGTGCTGCAACTAGGATGTACCAAAAGACTGCTTTTCTCGACACGCATCTCACAACCCTTGCCTTTTGCCGGTGAATATCTAGTCAGCACAGACAAATCATCCTTCAAAAGCCCACCAGTCCCATGAAGAGCTAAATATAAATCGCGGGGTTCACAGCAAAGCTCACCTGTCAAGAGAAAAAGGTGGCTTACACGCATCGCCAGAGATGGTGGCCCGCACACAGCACCTATTGGGCCCGTCAAACGCAACCAAGGAATCGACGACGGATGAGGCGGCCGAGGGTTCGATGTACCTTGGGCATTCTTTTGCTCGAACACGGGAACTTGTGTACTGAGCTCGAAAAGAAAATCAAGCTGCCTCGCGGCCATTGAGACGACCCAGTAGCCGCAGTTGGGAGCCTCTGTGTCCCTCAACCGTCACCGCTCGACTGCGGACCAACACTCCGAGCATCTCGAATTACGCCTCGCCGGTGCAGGTAGAGTCAATCATGTGAGAATCGAGCCAGGGTCTGAACTGCCACGCTGGCCACCTTCACGTCCACCCGGTCCGACTTCCAACAGTGTCAAGACTGTCATCTATTAGCAAACATCCAGTATCCGCGTCGCTAGCGCCAACAACTCCTTCATCGCCTCATCGCAGCACGACCAACGTAGCCGACAAGCGCATCACACGCCAGACCCTCCTCAAGGCCAAGCAGGCCAAGCAAGCTAGACGGTCAAAGGAGCAGACCAGACTCCAACAGACAATCGCTAGCGCGATAAAGGCAAGCAGGCTCGGCAGACCGCGCCTGTAGGCGATGGAAGCGAGGTCAATAGTGTGCGCTTGGGGACGACACACACTCTGTCGTGATACCTACACTGCAGCAATGCAGCATTGCAGTAGGCAGTCCAACGTTGGCATGCGACGTAAGCGCCCATGCGCTAGACGACGAGCGTGGGCGATTGGCTCGAAGGACGCCATGCGGCCGCCGCGCTCCTCTGCCGCGATAGTTGGGAGGAACTACTGAAATTGGAGAAGGTGTTTTGTCGATTCTCTGCAGATGAGCTACGGCAGGCCGTGCCTTAGTCCGTCTGCGTGTTGCTGGACGCAGGAAGACTTTCTGCCTGCGTGACATGAACTGGCGGTCCGGTGTGCTTGTAAAGAGGGGGTTGGGAGCGCAGAACCGCGCGATGGTTATGACGGCCTCATGTGCGAGCCCCTCTTTGGAAGCAGTCCCCTTTTACGCAGCCATCAGATGGAGAAGGATGCGTCTCGGGAAGAGTCCGAACAGTGTAGAGGAGAGGAAGGTGTTGTCGAGATGCCATCGGAGCCGCTTCAGCTTGTAACTTCGGGCTCAGAAAGCTTGGTGTGCCATCCTCCTAGACTTCATCTGCGCCGCACGTAGCGTTCACAGTCTCGTAGGGGAGACCTCGGTTCCTGGAGGGCTTGCATATCCATTCACGATGTCTTCAGTTCCAGAAAACGGTGAACAAATGCAGGATTGCGGCACGTCTCTTGGCTGCGTTTTGGACCTCATTCTTGCAAGTCGAAAACACGTTGCAGTCTCCGCTGTGCAGTTGACGGAGGCAATGGTGCATTTGACAATGTGAACGGAATGCTTGACGTCGATCAGACGGTCACAAACACAAGGTACCGCTCTCTTGGGTCACCCAGCCGGAGGACTAACGACTCCCAGCGGAAATGGGTTATGGGCAGACTGCGCCTCGTTGGTTAAGGGTGCTTTCCAAATACGATCTCCTCGGGAGGCTGGCATCAAGATCATTGATCCAGGCTCAATTCCGACCTGCCGTGTTCGTCGCTTCAAAGGCACCGCGCAGCACGATGGAACTGTTAATAGAGGTTTCCAAAGTCGCATTCAGCCCTTGTAGCTCAGGAGGCAGTGATTGCTATCATTCAAGGATGTGATGCTCGGTTTGATCGCCGACACACTGGCGAAAAGTATGGACGAACCCCAAATGTAGGGCTTCGCGAAAAAGGGTGATCCGCCGCGTATTAGTGGGCTTGTTGGGTCGTCTGGGGATGAATACCTGGAGACCAACAAAGTTGAGCGACGGGGACAGCTGGGAACTGAAGGGATTCGCAGTCGCCGTGGTCAGTGCGTTGAGCTCTGAAACGTAGGCTAAGGCTTAGTGGCCGTTTGAAACGGGAAGTTCCCCCTCGCTTGGAAACCTCAAGGGAACAAATCTCAGCTCGTCATCTTCAATCGCCCGCAACGCGTCACTCAGGAGGAATTGGCTGTGGCGTCTCTGACAAGTCATGCCTGATCAGATAATCTGCGGGCGGCGCGGAATATTTGAGACGCCATCGAACACGAGGACTTCATCCCATGTCGATGTTTGCGATCGGCTCAGGGGCTTAGATTGCGTGCAAGGTTGCCGGTAGTGCTCGTCTTGGCCTGACCATGTTGCTGGCCTTCCTCCCTGGCCGGCCAGCCAAAGTCCTGGTTGATGGATTGAAGCGTTGGTTGAGTTTTAACATGTCGAAGATTCCGCCGCGTACGTATACTAACTCTTCGTGCCTGAATCGATCGTGAAAGCGGTTGCTACGAGCCTCGAAAGCTGACGACGGTTGCGATATTTGCGATTCAGTTGTCTGCACAGGAAGCTTATTTTTCCCAACGGAGATTCCGCAGCCCTGTGCCCACAATTTCGCATTCAGAGTTCAGACCTGAGGGAAGTGTGTATTGAATCTTCAGGACACGGAGCTCCGTGTGCGCCCGTCGTCGGCTCCAAGGACGAGGCTGCTCCGAGCTCGAGTCGTGCGCAAGGAACCGTTGGATAACCACCGGTGGCCGGCACCGTCAGATTCATCATTCCGGAGAGCGACTTTTTTACCCGATAACCCCTGATGAAATTTAGCCGGATCTGTAACACTGAAGCTGCCCAAAGTCGGTAGCACCAGAAATGTCACCGGCGTGGCATTGCAGATCCCCAAACATTGTGACCTGACTGTACGAGGTTTCAGGTTCGACATGTTGGTTCGTTGAGCTGCGAAAGAGCTGTCATGATACCTTGAATGCTGGATCTAGAGATCTCGTCAGGAGAAGGGAGTTCCAGTCGCGTCTGAATTAAAGTGCTGTCGTGATGTGATAGCACGGAGGAGACCAGTGGAGCACCGGCCCTGTCCGCCAGTGTGCCTGTGGTGAATAGTGCGCTATTGCGAGGTTGCAAGGAAATGAAACGTTCTGGATGCAGGGAGAAGGGCGCCGAGAGACGGGAGAAACGGCCGGTTGAGTCGGAAGTTGCGGACGGTGGAGCTCATAAACGGCTGAACCTTGGTAGAGTGCTCCGGGGGGGGCTAAGCAAAGGCAATACCGAGGATTCCTCGAGATTGAGAACGAGATGACTGCAGAAATTAGTCAGTCTTCCTGCCTGCCACGTTTTTGCGGCCATGTGTATTTTAGGCCTATAGACCAAAGACCGATTGCTTCCCAAAAATAAAGAGACGCATGCCTTGGTCAGAATCCGCTTATTGAGCCAGTAAGCAGGAGGGTGGACCTCTCAAGATCTCGGTCCTCCGAGTAGCCGTGCTATATTTCGAGTGTCTGCTTTGCGGAAGCATGGCAGCCGACCCCCGCCACCGTCAGCCAGTCATCGTGGCTCGAATGCGGATTAGCGGCGGGCAGAAGAGGCGCACGAGGATGGAGTCGTGAGGGGTTGAATTGACCGCCTAGCCGCGCCCACCCGCGATGGTCGAACGGCCTTGAGGGAAAATGGAATGGTGAGGTGACATTGTAGACGTTCAAATGACAGACTCGACTCCTATGAAGGTACCAAAGGCGACCCTGGCACGCCACGAGCGCCACATTGAAGAGAACCAGGTGGGTTGCAGTAAAAGAAATGAGGTATTTTGACGACGCGAAAATGAAATGGACCGGCAAGTACGAATTCTGTATCCGTATTAGCGGACGTTCTGGTCGGACTCGAGGACGTTCGAGACAGCGACATGGATGGCAAGACAGGCGACAAAGTTGGCACCATGTCGGCTATCTTGGACCCAGGTCCATAGGATCTTGGAGGGATTCGAAGGGTCCACAAAGCCAAGAACGGGCTCGGAGACAACCAAGACTCTTGGCTTCTGGAGACCCGCGCGCCTTGTAACGTACACTACAACATGCCCCATGGGCCAAGAGCGTAACCAAGATTGACTGTCAGCGACTCGCTGACAGACGCCATGTTTTCTCGAGATGACAGCGCCGTCCAAGTGAGTCAGTCGCGCCGTCTATTTTGCTGCAGTGCCTTTCTTTGATCCAAACCCGCGCATGGCCGCGCCAGGGTCAGCACTTGGTTCGTGATCTTCGGAAGATGAGATTGCCGCGGCGTCGGTAAGTTCTGACTTGTGGCTGTGTGGCACGTAGGATTATCACTCTGCCCTCGGCATTGTGTTCTTTGATTCCAGATGCAGTCAGACGGGTGGGACATGAGCCATGCGATGCGATGCCACGCGATGTCATGGTCGCCAGGCTCACCGTGCAGGGTCCTGGTATTCCACAACTCGTGGCCGCCTTCTACGAGGCCAGGATCCGCATAGGCCGGCCGAGCTCAGGTTGACCGCAGCGAGAACTGATTGCCTGTGACGGTGTACGATGGTGGACGTGCAGAGAACGTGATGTGCCGTAGAGACACAGATGATAGAGGCAGAAGAAACGGTTACTGGATTTGTGAAAAGTGACGGTTGATGGAAGAAGCTGCAAAGGGCCGGCAAACAGGCCCCTCCCAGCCACTGGCAACCCCACCACCTCGCTCCTGCCCGTGCAGTGTGTCTATGTACGTACTTCGTACCGTCTTCAGGGCAGGTCCGTTGGTCAGCTGCCTTGGTGCCTTCCGACTTTAGACGCGCATTGCGCCAGGCATCCCCGCAGTCTGTACGGAGTATCTCTGTACGTACCCACCGTCAAATGTGTGTACGTTCCCGGCCTCCGTCCTCCGCGACCTGCCGTTTTCTTTCCATTCTCCTTGGCCTCGACCCCCTTCGTCTCATGTCCAACCAGGAAGAGGACAACCTTCTTTTCTGCCTCAAGGAACACGTCCAAGGATGCCTGTCTACCCGTACTATCGGCCTGCGTTGCGAGAACCCGACTCTCTTCCCCTTCTGGGTGGCACAGGAAGACGACACGCATTCCCATCTTCATCCCAAAAGATACCCTCCCGCCTCGCGTTCTGCCTGCGAAGAGTCAAAGCCACCTACCTACCTTGGGTTAAAGGATGCCCTCGACGGTGACGGCAGGGTAACCCTTCAAGACGGCAGCGACATGAACCTCCAAACATGGACCAGGGGCAATGGAACCGTAGCAAGGTAGGTAGCATCAGCAACACAAAGTGAGCATTGGTACATCCACAATGGGCTGCGTCCGAGTTTCCCTCCCTCAGTCTGTCCATGATCTATCTCGCTCTGACTCCATTCCTCAGTTCGGTCCCCATCCTGCACTCATCATGGACCACATCCAAATGCCATCATGTACGAAGTACCCTGCTAGGGGACCCAAAGGCACGACCCTTGCTCCGCCTTGCATTCTGAAAAGGAAGCCTACCTTGTCAGACCCGAACCCCAAGTCTAAGTGCGCCTCCTTCGGGTGTGTGTGGTGTGTGTGTGGTGTGTGTGTGGTGTGTGTGTGTGCGTGTGGATAGATGGATCTCTACCCTCACCTTCACACTGAGATGGGTGGCAGGGTTCGGTCGTCCGTCCGTCTCATCCTCAACTCTCTTTAGTCTTTTCTCCCCCTTCCTACCAAGCTTTCGAGCAACGGCCAACAGACTTTAATTATATAAAGACCATCTCCCAGTTCCGTCCCGTCTCACAGCATAAACCTTCCTCATATCTTCGACGATTTCCTTGTTTCCGACTCTCGATTCGAATCACTACTCTTCAAAAAACATTGTTCATCCTACTCTGTCTCTCAATTTCATATTTAGTAGTACCCGTCACCCACGTTAGCTCTGCACCTTTGTCTCGGTCAAAGAAGCACCACCTCAACCACCCCAACCCCATCGCAACGCGCTTAAGCGCCGTACCTATTCTCAGCCCAAGGAATTGCTCCACACACCAATCCCGTCCCCCCCGGTCTTGTCTCTAAACGGCCCGCCGCATTCCCCATTTCCTAACCGGACCCTGCCTGTTTCCTCCCAGGAAGCGATTCTAAGAAAAGAAATTACTCCAATCTCTTATTCCGGCCCTCGTGTGGTGTCGTGCATATTTTCAGTGTGGTGGCCTGGTTGCTACTGCATATATCTCTTACCCTTCTCCCGCCTACTACTCGCGTTTACACATCTGATCACCATCCAACACCCGCGGATCACCACCCTCTTCTCTCCCTCCCAACAGCCACCCAGTCAACAGCCAACATGCTCGCCAAGACCTTCCTGTTGCTGGCCTCCCTGGCTCTCGTCTCCGCCGCCCCGGCCAAGAGACAAGCCGGCTGCGTCTCCAAACCCACGGCTCCGACCCTCCCCGTCAACGGTAATGGTATGTAAACCAACAACACCCAACCTCAAACCCAAGAAAAATCATCACTAACACCCACACTCAAGGCGTCGAACTCCCCGCCCCGGCAGCAGACCTGGTCCTCAAGCACATCGCCCTAGGCCACGGCATCCAAAACTACACCTGCACCTCCGTCAACGCAACCGCCATCACCGCAACAGCAACCGGCGCCCTCGCAGGCCTCTACGACGCTCAACCCCTCTACCCCGCCGCCGGTCCCGCCTCCCTCCCCTCCGTCGACATCTTCAACGGCCTCACCACAAACGCAGTCTGGTCCACCCCTCTTCCCCTCACCTCCGACGGCACCTCCAAATTCGGCGCCTCCTCCACCTCGCCCTTCCCAGCCACAGCCGACCTCGTCATGCCCGGCATCGCGCCCATGAAGCAGCTCGGCGTCCACTTCTTCGACAACACGGGCGTGCCCACCTTCAAGGTCGGCGAGGATCTCTTCAGGGGCGCAAAGCTCAACGGCACAAAGGCCCCCGCCTCCGCTGACGTCGGCCCGGAGAAGACCGGCTCCGTCGACTGGCTTTTGCTCGGTGACAAGGGCGGCAGCAAGGGCGTTACTGCCGTCTACCGCGTCGTCACGGCCGGCGGCGTCGCGCACCAGTGCACCACCCCCGGCGCCACCGACAGCGTTCCGTACGCGGCGTACTACTGGTTCTACGGTCCCAAGGCATGAGGAGGGCCTTTGGTCTCTCTCTCTCTCACTGAGATGGCTCTCCAGGATGAGTCTGGCGTTTAAAAAACTAAATCGGGGTTTATAACGGCGTTCAACGGTTCCCGGTCACGAGGTTCTACACTTTTGAAGAACCCGGAATTACCTTTTCTTCTTCATCATTCTCTCACAAAATCAACCATTTGGGTATATACCCACGGCACGGACGGATCACGGGTCCGGGTTCAATTTAAGACGTAATGGAGACTTCTCACTCAGAAGAGAAAGCATCGCAGATAGATGGTGGGGCTTCATATGCCGTCACTCTCACTCCATTCAATTGTATCTACTTTGGCGTTCGACGGTACATAGGCTCTTGGGCAAAACAAACTACTTATATCTACATCTCACATATCATGTTCCCAAAATGTGCTCTGCATAGTTTTCAAGTTGAAGCTTCACTTAGGACATCTCGATTTTAGGCTCAGCCTAGAGCTGCAAGCAGTCCATGTACTCGAAAGTCTTTAGCCCCCCCCCGACCTGGCCCGCGTCATCACTTGTATTCATGTTGCCGATGTAAACATGCTCGAAGACAGGATGCCTTCGTCACTCAACTCGCATGCGACAGAACCTGGGAAATTTTCACCTGACAGGCTCAACTGAAACCTGCATGAGTACGCCGCCATCCAGGCCACCAGTGCACCACTTCACATAACCGATATGAGTCGAAGCACTCACTCAGTGCAGGCACACCACACTCGCACACACAGAGATGAAGAACCGACCAGTAGCCGCCGTGCCGCCCAAAGGGTGCAGGACCACAAGCGCGGGATCGCGTCATAGGGAATTAAGTAAATTTGGGGACTGCTGTCATCTTTGTCGTGTTCATTCAACCCCTCGGGCGATCCAGTCCCCCAATGTCTCGACTTTGTCCTCCTCTTTTCTTCTTCTTCCTTTTCTTCTCTCCTCCGGATGGATGAGCGGCCGTCATCCAGATCAATGTCAATGTCTTTTAGCGATTCTCTCCCTCCTCTTCCCCACCCGACGTATAAAACCGCGGAATGACATCACATCCAAAACAAAATTCTGAAATTGCCCGCCAGAGTCTGCAAACCAAACACCGATTTTGCTAGTCGTTCAAGCGCGATTTCGCGCAGCGTATCAGTCCATGAGGAGCTTGCAACAGCTTTATCTCCGGTGATCGAGGCCGCCAGCAAGATCTGCCTCCAGACCGCCTCCCTGGCCGCCGTACTCTTGAGGTCGGGGGTCCGAAGAGCTCCATCCTTGGTTACCTCCAGTGGGAATCGGCACTTGGCCGCCACCCTGCTGTCCCGCAGCCTGCGTGCCGGCCTGGGTAGCTCCGGGGATGGTGCGAACCAGCTGGCGGAAGCGGTAGACCTCATCCAGGATCATCTTGCGCATGTCACCAACATCCTCGACGACCTCGAAGTCGAAGTTGAAGGTCGTGGGGCAGTCGGGCTCGTCGGAAGCATCATGCCAGATGTGAAGGTAGGGGTGCTCAAGAGCTTGCTCGACGCTGATACGGCTCGAGGGGTCGAAAGCAAGCATGCGGTCGAGGAGGTCGAGGGCGTCGGGGTTGGCCTGGGGGAATAGGCTGGGGAAGGTCTTCTTGGGCATGAAGGGAAGGTTGCGGACGTATTCCTGGGCGCGGGGTGAGCCGATACGGGACAAGGTCTCTTCGTTGGGGGTTCCGAGAATGTGCAGGATCTGGTTCAGCTGGTCGACATAGTCGCGACCCTTGAAGAAGGGACGACCGCCGAGAAGCTCAGCCAAAATGCATCCAACAGACCATACGTCAACTATCAAATGGTTAGCATTTCACCCCACTGCAATTTTAGGACGCCCTCTTGGGTACGTACTAGCTTTGGTGTAGCTTTGGAAGCTCAGCATGATCTCGGGAGCACGGTACCATCTGGTGGCAACGTATTCCGTCATGTAACCAGCATTCTCCTCGGGGTCAACGGAGAAGCCACGCGCCAGACCGAAATCGCAAATCTTGAGCTCGCAATCGGCGTTGACGAGCAGGTTACCGGGCTTCAGATCACGGTGCAGGACGTTGGCGGAGTGGATGTACTTGAGACCACAGAGGATCTGGTAGATGAAGGACTGGAAGTGGGCGTCGGTCAGCGGCTGGCCGGATCGGATGATGGCTGCCAAATCGCATTCCATGAGCTCTGTAGCACAACAGGTGAGTTAGCACAGCCGATTCGGTCGGGGCGGCGGCGGATGCACGCGGTAAGAAGCGTACCCTCGTAGAGATATGTCTCGTTGAAGTTATCGGGTCGGGGAATGTCCATATCGTAGAGGCAGGTAATCTGTCACAACATGCAGTCAGCATCATTTTCTGGCGTCGACGGTGGTGCAGCCGCGTGGCGATGGGGCTGCGCGGGGTTCTTGTGACGGCTTCCAGAGCGGGCAAAGGGGAGGACTCACGTTGCGGTGTCCCCTGAAGTGCTGGAGCAGCTTGATCTCGCGCAGGGCGCGCTTGGCCAGGATCTTCTTGCTGAAAACATTTGTGACCTTCTTGATGGCGACGCCTTCTTGGGTCTGGTTGTTCACGGCGGCGCTGTGTGAGGGGAGTATTCGTCAGCTTCTTGGCCAAATGGCGGGGCAGCGGTGGTGGCCAGCAGCATCAGCATCAGCACCAGCACCAGCACCAGCAGCGCAGAGCGACAGCCGATGGGATGAGGGGAAGAGCAGGTTAAAGGTCGCACGCACCAGACAATGCCGTAAGCTCCCTGGCCGAGCTCCTTGGTCACGGTGTATCGCTCGTCGACGATAAAGTCCTGGTTGAAGACCTTGAAGACCTTGCGTCCTTGCAGATCAGCCATGTTTGCGAGGTTTGTGTGCTGCTCTTTTGGGGGGGGGGGGGGGGGGGGGTTTCGAGTTTGGTGTTGGAGCTGTTGTTTTTTCGAGCTTGAAGTTTTGGCGTGTCGGGCTTGTCGAGAAATCGAGGGGTATCTTTGGCGAGTCAATCGAGGCAAAGGTGGGGAAGCAAGCAAGGAATGCGATGCGATGCGACAGTTGCGGAACAGACAGGGTAGCGGGATCAACCGAAAAATAACGGCTCGTCCAAGCAACAGGAACAGTAACAGTAGCAGTAGCAGCGGTAGCAACGCTCGACGAGTGGGCGAGGGGAAGGCAGGCTGTATTATAAGCGCAGGGCGACGTCTGTTGTTGTATTCGGATTCTTTCCTCGGTGAAATATGCTGGATGACAATGTGGTGTTGCCGGAACAATTCTCGTCTTTGTTCCGCAGTGGAGGGGTGAGTTGGGATGAGAGGTGTAAGGAAGAAAGACGGGAGAAGGGCAAAAGTGAGCAGAGGGAGGAAGGTCCAAAGATATTGTGCGATTCCTCAGGTACCCAAGGCAAGGTAGAGGTAGGTAAGGTAAGGTAATGGGTGGGAGCAAGAGATAAAGTAAAGGTACCACACCAGGTGGTGTACGCGTTAGGATAGGACGACGGGGAAATGGCCTCGAGGGGGAATTGGGGAGGGGGATGATGGGACTGGACTGGATGGGATCAAATGGGATGGCCAGACCGGGAAGACAGCGCCTTATGGGATGGAGCATTCACAGTTTGAGGCAAGAAAAGGCGATAAAAATGGTCAAAGGCACGAGCCGAGGGGGAAGGTTCCATTTAGGAGGGACATGCCATGGACCTGACATTTGGATAGTGGACTGGACCTTCCGGGCCTTGAACAGGGACAGATAGCAACAATGGAAGGGAAAATGCAAATGGGAGAGGGGGGGGGGGGCAAGACAAGCAAGCAGCTGCATTGGCACACTCCATTTTCATTGAAGACAAGTGGGATCTGTGGGCTGGCTTGACTTGCGGGTTGTGACTGGATACTTGAGGCTTGACACCTGGAGATGATGGGACTTTGACCCAAGGCTGAGTGCCGTCAAGTAGGTATTGGTAGTACCTTGGGCAATAAATGTGAGGATGTATCCGTACTTTCAGGTTATTCGTACCTTTTAGTTGGTGATAGGATACTAGGAGGAGAATGAATGGGAGAGAGGGGTGAGAGGGGCACCGAGTACTGCGTAGTGGGCTGGAGCTCCCCCCCCCCCCCCATCCCGTCCTCTTGTGTCTCTGCCTTACGAGGTAGCCCCGGGTATGTGGCAGCACTCGATGTACTAGTGCTACTGTAGGACCTGGTGCCTAGCTGCTTGAATGAAACAGTTAGCTTTCTTGTGTGCTTGTATTTGTCTTGCCAGTGTCAGAGTCGAATAACCAAGGTACCTTGCGCGAAGGGATACATTAATGGTTCAGCATTCAGAGCTTCCTGTGTGGGAACATGGGAACATGGCCAGGTACAAGGTACAAAGATGCTGACGTTAGGCCGGAAGCGACTTGGTCTTGGCGGAAGGAGACGTGGGGACCCATACCTTGATCCCCGGTCCCGCACTTGATTTGCTGGCTGGGTCTTTGTGAGAGCTCTCATTGGTTCACCGCTCAGATGAAAGGCTCCATTTGCCTTGGGCCAGTAACCGCTGAGCATCGTGACTGGACTTTTGGAGATGCAGCTTTCGCAACCGCGCGACAAATCATCACCATGGATCGTACCGACCACCCTCACTTAATTCCCGGTTGAGTATTCCCACTACGGGCTCAAGGTGCTGTACGTCCCCTTTTATAACGGGCAGAAATATCCTCATTTCTACGAATGCATATCTCTATGAGGATTCACGCCAATGACCAGCTCTAGTACCTCAATCAAGATTCGGCAATGGAGACGAGAGTTTGGGATACGAATACTGCAATCTCTCTGCTTGATGCAGCATCCCGACACAAGAAGAACAAACTTTTTACTTCGGAATGCAGTGGCAGCTCGGCGCCGGCTGAAGAACAGGTCCCAGGACTTTGGAGTCTAGGACCTCAAAGTGAGACACTTTTCCCACCATCAGACCCTCAGCCTGGCCCGCATTTAGCCTGGATGTGAACACCGTCAAAACTTTGACATGAAAGCCAACTTCAGCCGCGCCTCATCCACGATCCCATAGGTCCAGGTCGAGAAAGGATGAATGGACTGCGCCCAAGGCAGCCTTGGTCAGAAGGCACCACTGCACCAAGGTGTAAGCTTACCTTGGATGCGTCAGCATCAGGCACACCAAGTATTCCTCATTCGCGAGATGCCGAAACATTGCGCCTCACAAGACACTACCGCCCTCGAATATCTGCCGTCAGCAGTCTGTCCGCCGTCTCTTACGCCGTCATCTTCTATGGCGTAAGCTGCTTCTACCATCAATGGGCAGCACCACCTCCATCTGTTTACTGAACCGATAGGGCTGAAGAGCTTCTCAGCCACCATGAACTGTGAACGTCTACCCAGACAATGTCCGCACATTTTCCCTCCCTCGGCCCGCCTGGCTCTCTCGAATCTCCGTCTGCGATGCCAAGGCCCAAGTAACTGCTGCTGCCGCCAAAGACGCTAGCTTGCGTGTAGCCGACATCCCGAATCCATCTCGCCTAGGCACCTCAATCCCTCGAGCTGTCTTCAACGGCGTCTACGGCTCCATCCTCATCAGGCCGTCTTGCCGTTGTCCTGCACTTTGCACCTGCATTTGGCTGGCAACTGCATCGGATCTAATCTTCTATATGCATGTTGTAACTGTAGAACCAAACCAAAGACGCGCTTAAATGCTCTCCTTCTCTACCTACCTTTACGTCTCTAATGCAGCAATAATCATTTCGCCAGTGCGGCCGGTGCTGTTCTTTCCTGCCATATGGCCCACTTCTTCTTGCCCCTGTCCTGAAGCCTTACTGTGGACGAGGTGATTGTCCACGACCTTTTCCTGCAGCCAACCAGTCATATCTCTGCTGCAACGCGTACCGCCGCCCCCCAAATCGTGTTTCGCGGCGCGTGTCGCGGGCTCTGTCTTCGCCTTCTGGCTCCAATGCTCTCTCTCTCTCTCTCTCTCTCTCTCTCTCTCTCTCCCGGTAGCAAACCCGTTCTCCGATCATGCTTTGGGGTCGATTGCGGGAAAGACGTGCTTCAGGAAGTTGGTCGAGAACCGCGTGCACTGCTCGTAGGCCTTTGCAAAGCCCTCGTCGCCTCCGTAGTATGGGTCGTTTACTACCTCTGATCTCGGTCCTCCGGAAAACTCGCCAAACAGCATCACCTGGGCCTTTGAATCGGTATGACCTCGTTGTTGGAGGTTCTGCAGGTCTCGAAGGTTGGATCGATCCATGGCGAAGATGTAGTCGAATTTGTTAAAGTCTGAGGGCGACACCTGCAATTCGTGGAAGCACGGCGGTTAGCAAGTCTGTTCTCTCTTCGAACTCGTCGGGGCGCATCTAGAGAGAGGGAACATTATCGTACCTTGCGACCATCGTGGTAATAATCCGTTATGCCGTGGTCTTCCAGAGTCGCCATCGTCCTGTCATCTGGAGGGTCACCAACATGGTAGGCCGCTATTGTTGCGCCAATGTTCGCATCAGCTTTGCTCTGCGCACGACAATTGAGAGAGAGAGATTGGGTTCGTCATGACGTATCCGCCAAATTCCGTACCTGTGCCGCAAGAATCTACCTTTGAGATAAGGCCCTTGTATTGCGGCTTTTGCGCAAAGTTGCGAAACACGCCTTCTGCCATTGTCGAGCGGCAAATGTTGCCGAGACAGACGAAGAGAACTGATACCGGTTGTTCCGTCATGATCTTTTTTTTTGCAGCGTCTTGGGGGAAGTGGTGATGTGAAGGAGAGTGGAAGTTGTCGCGCCTTGCCAAGGTGGACTTTGTTCAGGTCCGGCTGCCCCGCGGCCGCCAATCTTGGGATGGAGGGGCACTGGTGTACCGTGTCTGAGTAATCAGATCTCGCACGGCACGCACTGTAGGCAGCGAGTCCGTCTTATCAACCGTCCACCACCCTCTCCAATCCCAACACACATATATACATATCGCTACCAGACTTCGCATGCTTCGCTGTGCGGCCTCTAGCAAATCTAACCTCACACTTGTCTGCACGAAAGAAAAGAAAAAAAAACCAGAAAGAGTCTGGCAGCTCGCCGCCGACCAGCTTTATACTTTCATCTCCCCAGTACCAGAGCACCCCGATGTTACCCACGCGAAGCTGGGCAAGAATCGTGGCACCATAGGGAGATGTTTTCTACCATCACAGGTTGAAGTCGCTCTATGCCTCGACAACTTTGCTGAAAAGAACTGAATCGAGATGGCATCAGTTCGAGAGCCAGACTCTATGGACCAGGGTCGAACCAGCAACAAGCCAGGCACTGCCAGGCAAATGCTCCGGCCGTGCATTCGTACCCATCAATGGCAGCGGCGTAGGCAGCGAACTCCTAGGAGATACCAATGTCAGCAAGATGGCCTTTGATCGAGAACGGATGGTCATTTCGAATGGGTACTTGGTTCAAATGATGTGGCTTAATGGATAACGAGAGCGGAAGCCACCTCAAGTGGACGTCGAGAACAGCGGTGAATCTTCACGGCCGCTGTAAGGCCGACTCGCGAAGAACGAATCAATATGCAACGTGCTAACGGCCTCGGATTTGATTATCTTGCCGTCGATCTTCTGCCCGGCACTCCGTTTGCATTCCTGTGCTCTGCAATCGCTGAGCAACCCATCGGGCCCGGCACTTGCCAAGCCCACGACAGATTTCAGGCAGCGTGACAGCTAGGTACTCAAACTCTGGCAAGCTGGGAACGGGAACGGGAGCGTGTGGAGCAACGATCAGCTTGAGACTGTCGCTACGATTTGACGCTTGTCAATCCTGCTGAGCATGAGAAGTCTCGAGGCCCAGAACGGCCAATTATCAGGCAACATATCTCCGGGTAACGGTCCCTACAAGCGCGTGGCAACGTAAGAGAATCTGCATGGCGCCTTCCACTCATCACTAGGATTCAACCTTTTTCCAGCTGGAGCTCAAACAGCATGCTATCAGGGCTGAAATGGTGGAAGAGACTTCTGAAGGCAGAAACCGCTCGGGCAAAGACACCGAAGCTAGCGGCTCACAATGCGCCAATGCCTGCCAGATCCAGACGTTCCATGCTGACGGTCTGGTGGATAACCGTACTCCGTATGCCCTCCAAGTCTGCGAGACTAACGAGAAGGACGAGAAAGCCAATTTCGCATGATCAATAGACCCGGAACGCACGGTCTCGGCCATCCGGTTGATAGCTCCGCCTCCGAGAACACCACGCCTGTCGTTCTGCACTTTCAGTTATGCTTGACTCAGGGTCCCTCAACTTCCGAGTCTGCGAATTACGCTCCAAGGTCTATTCCGTTTCTGTCCGCGAAGGTCCACTGCCACTGCAGCTGGGATTGAGAAAGAACGAGATGACTTGCTGAGATTGGCAAACACTCGTCCGATGTTCTGGTCGAGGCACGGGAGGGGAACGGGTACACAGACCACACACCATGCGAGAAGCGTCGGACGGCTAATGCAGGTGTTCTCAGTGCGCTCCCTGCATCGGAGGATGGAGCATTTCGATTGGCCAAGCGTCTGATCTTCCTCTTGCCGACCTGCAGCTGACAGGGGCCCGCGGGAAGCTTAGTTGATGCCGGATGAGCTTAACCAACTTCCCCTGAGCTTGCATTCCTCTCAGCGCAGACCTAGGCAACTGGTCGTCAACGTCATGTATCTGAGACTTTGAGGGCGCATTCATCGATAAAGATGATCGGGAAAAGTCCAGACTACAGCAATTTCGCAAGAGGGCATCTCAGAGCCCAAGCTTGTCAGCTCCCCCAGGGTCCTTGCCTCCTCGGTTTCCGCGCGCAGACGTTTGCGGAAGATCGACTACAGCTCGGGACCGGAAGATGGAGAATGGATGCTACCTACCGACACAGAATCTCCTCTAGCCGCCTTTGTTCACGGTCAGAGGAAGACTAGCACCTACGCCACGACTACTAGACAGCACTGCAAAACCAGCCAGTCCGAGCGGTGCATTTCGTGAGAGCTCTCGCGGCTTCACGCCAAGTGAGCTGTGGCGGCCGATCATCTCTAGACTGACAGTAGACATTCTGCCACAGAACGGATGACAAGGCTCGAGTGAGCAGCTATAGGAGGGGGTTTGGCCCGCTTGGTTGAATCCTTCACCAATAATCCCCATCAGCGTCTCATCCGTCTTCTTGCCTAATCCGGGGTGCGAGACAGCTACGGCGCGCCGGCGTCGACCGCGTCTTGGCTGCGTTTGGAGCTCTCGGCGGGTTGCCTCAATGAGCTTGTGCCATTCCGGCGACCGGTTGCTGTTGATGCCACGGTCTTGGCGTCTCATTCGATGCTCTTTATAAGGCCAGCTCGTCCTCTCTCGCAATCGGTCGGGTGCTTATCCTGCTTTGCCTCTGCTCGTCCACGCCCTATCAGCCACTTCACCACACAGATCTCGACAGCCAGAGCTTTCTGCGAACCGACCTCAGCTCCAGACCACCACAGCCAATCGCCAAGATGAAGTACACCATCATCGCATCCTTCCTCGCCGCCCTTGTGGCCGCCGAGACCATCGATCAGCTTGTTGCCGAGATTCCTACCTGCGCAGTCACTTGCTTTCGTGATGGTGCCCAGTCGGTCAACTGCGATATCACCGACTTTGCTTGCTCTTGCGGAAAGGTTGAGCAGCTCACAGCCACGGTCGTGCCCTGCCTTGCCTCGTCTGGCTGCAGCGGCGCCGATCAAGCCAGTATGTGGTCCTCCCAAAACATGAAAAGACCTTCAACCTTTGGACAACTGTACTAACACACCTCTAGCGGTACTCCAGCTCGCATCTCAGATCTGCGCCCAGGTCGCCGCAGGAGGCACATCGTCCGGCACCGCCTCGGCCGGCTCCGTCACTGCCGCAGCGACCACAGCTTCCGGCACTTCCACTTCCTCCCGCAGCGGCACCGCAACAGGGGCTGCCGTCACCACTACAACGTCACCAGCCGCCGCCGGCCGGGCCCAGGTCGCTGGCTGGGCTGGAGCCATCGCCGCTGCCGCCGCGTTCGCTCTCTAAAGTCTCCTCTTTGACCTAACCATGGCTTTGATTTATCGACCTTTTTACTTCATCCCTTGTATTTGATATACTCAATGCAAGAGGAAAGATTGCGGACTGCGGAGTTTAGCGGGAAAAAGAGGAATAACCAGCACACCTGACAATGGAGGTCTTGTTGTAGTTGTACGCGCATGCATATCTAGTTCTATCAACTGATTAATAGTGGCAATATAAACCCAAAGAAACATCTATAGTTATCCCAGGTTGAATCATCTAAAAGTGCGCATTGCCTCCTTCTCATCATCTAATGTCAATACCGTCTAAGTCTATTGGGTATCACGCATCCCCGCCATCTACACGTCTTATCCAAGCCCGAATTTGCCCAACGCACTTCCGTCACCACCATCCGCACCATCAAGCCACCCGTGCAGGTCATCCATGGCAGCAAACTGCGCAGCATACCTCATCCCCTCGCGCCGCCTCTTCTCAACCATCTTCCAGTCCCACGCGCCATCGTCCGCAACATCACTCAAATCAACACTCTCATCCCCAACACCATTCTCACCGCCCTGCCACCCACCCTCGGTCGGCCTGTGCGGCAGCAACTCGCTCGCCTCGAGAGCAACGGCCGGGTGCACCGTCAACCGCCCAATCTTGAAGACGTACTTACTCACGCCCGTGGCGTAAATCTTCTTCTCCCAGTCTGCGCTATTGCCGCTCGCATCCCCGCTGGTATTCCTCCGCACCCTCGCCGTGCCAAACTTTGGATCAAGCCATTCCGTAGGACGCGCGGTGCCCTTGGGGACAAAGTGCGTGACAATGTACAACCACTTGCGGTCCCACGAGAGGATGCGAGACCACATCTCGTAGGGGGCGTAGGCGGTGATCTCGCGGCGGAAGGAGCAGTGTACGGCGCCGAGCATGATGCCCAAGGCGCCGCGGGCGGGTTTTTCGGTTTTTGGGTCGAGGACGAGCTTTGTTGTTGCGTTGTGGGTGAGTTGGCGGAAGCCGGGGCCGAGGAGGTAGGTGCAGAGGTGGGTGCGGGAGACGTCGAGGTCGGAGAAGTAGGTCGAGTTGGACTTGTGGATGTTGTAGTCTATTTCGGTGATGGGGGCGTGGGATTGGGAGATCATGGGGCGGAAGAGGGATCGCGGGCCGAGGCGGGGGGATTTGCGGATGAAGAGGTGGTAGATTATTGCGTGCCATACTCGGTACTGATCGCGGAGGATGTTAGTCTGACTTTTTCTTCTGATTTTCTTTTTGCCAATGGGGAGGGAGGAGAGGAGGAGTAACGTACGGTCCAGACAAAGGGCATATTCTTGAGGTTCAGCAAGGCAAACATGAGCATGAGGATACGGCTGAATTTGCCCGGGCCGGTGAAGAAGCTGGCGAGGACGATGCGCCAGTGGATCTTGTAGGCGGCGTAGGCGAGGCCGCTGGCGCCGGCGAGGCGGATGAGGCGGACGACGCGGACGGGGACGCGATCCAAGTCGGCCTCGGTGCGCGAGGCCTTTGCGATTGCGGACGCCATCTTTGTGTGTGTCTGTCTGTTTTGCTGGTGGTGTTTTCTTTCCGCGACGTGCGGTTGGACGGAAGATCTCTCTTTACGAGACGGATGTCTTCTTATCCGTGACGCCGGGTGTTTGCCGTCGTCGGGTCGGAGAAGAAGACGGTGAAGATGGGAATATGCGCTGGCGGAGTGCGCCGAGGAGGAGGACGACGAGGACGAAGGCCCAGAGGGGAAGGGAACGGAGGTGGCACCAGAGGGTGTTTGAGCATTGGGCGAGGAGGGAGTTCGCCATGGGTGCTTGATGGGTTTTGATTTTAAATTTCGACGACGGCCAGCACTTGTCTACCGGGTCCACGGAGCTCTTTTGCGGGACCCCCCCCCCGGTCGCTTTGGTTGGGATCGTTTGTTGGTGTTGTTGGGGTCGGAGCGTATGTAAGACTGGCGAAATTTTGTCGCGATTGCGCACTTGGGCAGCGATAAGTGACGGAGGACCCCCACTCCCAAACGGGGTTCGGTGCTTTGTTAGTGCCACGGCGTCACGGCCTGGATGCGTGCTGCATTGTCATGGAAGTCTGGGCGAAGCTGCTGGACCTCGGCTCAACCTTAATTAGGTTGTTTGTCACCTCCCTGAAATTGGATTTGATGAAATTTCTTCTAGAGCCAAGAGCGATGCCAGACTGTACTTTGTGGTCGGCCTCGGTCAAATGAACAAGGTGCATGCCATCGGAGAGTCGGGATGAAATGGCATTTGATTCTCGACTCGGATCCCTCGGGTTTTAAGGCAGCTCGTTTGAAGCTTCTTTATTCATCATCGACACTCCCTATGGTGCGGAATACGTCCACTATGGCAGAGTGGTAGAGTCACCATGACGCAGTAAGATGAAATTCACTGCATTTTTAATCCCCCCTCAGAGGTTTATGAAAAGAGTTACAAAGGCCCAGGCACCAGGCTGCAAGACCTCCCGCAAGGTACCAATGACTGCTGCCTCATTGAGAGGCATGGCAGAGTCTGGAAGCTTTCGTAAATCGCGACTGCTCTTGATGACATTGGAACCTGCTATCTGAGACTTGGCATGTTGCTCTCTAGAATCTAGCATATACTAGGCCAACCTCATTTGATCACCATTGTACACGAGCCTAAAGGCATGGAGAAACGTATCAACGAGTAGGTATCACCAAGTCCATGACCTGATTTGAGAATTGTACACAGAACCATCATCGCAACTGAAACCCTTTGCCAGCAGCATCACTGAAAGACCCTTGAGGCAAGTGATGTGAACATGATGTCTGTCTGGGAGTCCAGGCTCCAATACCTCGACCCTCACATAAGACCAATTGGTGCCTGATGTGGCCGCTGCGAAATCGAACTCAATAGGTGTACAATCTCAATGAAGCCCAAGGGGGGGCATTTGAATGCATGAAAGACTAGCAGGAACTATTCCTCAAATATCTCACAGGCTTGTTTCAACAAGTTACAAGTCATATGCTCCAGCGGCCCCTTGCCTGCCTTACACAACACTCTCCATCCTCTCTCCCCCATCATCGCCCTCAACTTAAGCAAAGCCAGTGGCAATGACCCAGCTCACATCCGCGTTAAACGAGGTAGCAGAGTCAAAAGTGTGAACACCGCCGTTCCTCGCAGCGTATCCAAGGTTGTTGTAGTGACGGAAGTAGGTGGTAGGGTAGCTCCACGCACGGAACGAGCTGCCAGTACCGCTGATACCAGACTGTGTGCAGAAAGTAGCGTCCTCCTTGAACTGCTTGGTTCCATCGTTGGCGTTGACGGCCAGCTCAAAGTTGTAGTGGCGGATGAAGCTGCCGGGTGTGTCCTTGGACTCGAACGAGTAGCACCCGCTGTTGCCGAGACCAGTGCGGACGGTCCAGCTGGCCTGCTGCTTCAGCGTCGTGGCGCTGGATGAGGTGACGACCTGGGTGTTGACGGTGGTGCCAGTGTGCGCGAGGTAGCGGTCCGTGTAGCCCGAGGTCGTGGCACGCAGGGAGATGGAGTTGCCGACGGTGAGAGCGGTGCCGCTGTTCAGGGAGGTAGTGGCGTACTTTGCCGCGACAATGTTGGCCTGGACAGAGTTCTCCGTCGCGTCGGAGGGGTATCCGGAGGTCATGACGCCCTCGTAAAAGGTACCCTGGGCGCTGACGCTGTTGTCGCCACCAATGCCGAGGATGATGGCGCCCTCCTTGCTCATGGGGTTGTAGCCCGACTTGTTGGGCCGCACGCCGCTGTAGTACGTGGTCAAGCCTCCCGAGGCGGCGTTGGCGCCGCGGAGGGCCCAGAGGTTGGGACCGCCCTTGACGACGGCGGTGAAGAACCGGTCCGTGATGGACGGGTCGCCCGCGTTGTTGCCGGCGCTGACGCCGGAGAAGAGGCCGTTCTCGAGATCGGCCATCAACCAGGGTCCGCTGCCGGCACCTGTACCCCAGCCGGTGCTGTCGCCAAAGTAGATGGCCTCCATGTGGCCGTTGCCCGTGTCGGTGCTGCTGGTCTCGGCGTTGCCGTAGTCGAAGCAGCAGCCGCCGTTGTAATGGGTTCCGTCGAGGACGGCGTACATGCCCTCGGACACGTCACCGATGGCGGTGCCGACGGCGGCGTTGTTGCGGTAGCCAGTGCCGGGGGAGACGAAGACACCGTAGGCCTTTTGGCCGTTGAGGGTGACGGGGGCGCCAATGGCGCTGGCGAGGTTGTCGTTGCCGTTGACGTCGGGGCCGCTGAAGGCGCCGCCGGGGGCTTGGGTCAGGTGGTTGCCCTTGCCGGACTGGTCGTAGATGACGGAGATGAGGCAGGTCGTTCCGGAGCAGAAAGTGTCCTGAGCAGCCGCGTTGGCGACGCCGCCTGCGGAGAGGGGCGCGATGTTCGTCGTGGCGCCGTCGGAGCCGCGCTTCACCTGGTAGAGGGAGCCGGTGTAGGCGCTGTAGAGGGCGCGAGTGGTGCTGTGGGCGGCGATGCAGGGGTTGCCACCGGAGGCGTAAATGTCGCAGGGACCGGCGGAGACGAGGGAGCCTGTGGCCACGAGGGCGAGGCCAAGAGCGTAGCCGCGCTCGCGGATTGGCTTGGACAACATGGCGAAGGAGGAGGGACGGACGACCTTGGTTTGCTGGCGGAGAACGGGAGGGGAGTTGTCACTGACGAGGTTAATGCCTGTGAGATCCTGGGGAGACAATTCTCATGATCCGAGAACCCGGGGCCATCGATGGACTTTTAAACACCGCGAGGTGCTTCGCGATGGCACGTTCTTTGCGATCCATCTTCATCTCATTTCGTTGACAATGTCCGTGATGCTGGATGAAGGGTCGCACGGGATCCCCAAGCGCCAAGAATTCCCTCCAATGAGCAGAGAGCGTATGTTGAATGCCGCGCTATTACGACCTTCCGAACTGGTGTTATACGTGCGCTTCGAGTCGTAGTGGGATTCGATGGCATGCGTCTGGGTCGTTTCTCCGATGAAGACCCTGCTGATGGCGGGCAGCGGGGAGGGTGGCCAGATTGGTTCTAGAGTGCGGGGGAAGAGTGCGGATGACCGGCACTGGAGAGTGGTAAGTCTGGAGATGAAGCGATGGACCGATGGAGAGGCATATGGTGCGGCTGTCCGGTAAAGTTCAGAGCGACATATCTTTTCCCGCGTATGTCCAAGGGGTTAGAGGTGATGGTATCGTGGTATAATCAGAGCTAGTGAACATAAGCGTTTGCCCAGTCGCCCAGTTGCGGGAATTCAACAACCTCCCAGAACGTCCGACCTGCTTTAGTCTCAGATCTTGGCTTTTGCTTGGCTCTTGCGTCCCGCTCCGCGTCCTCCACAGGCGCCTCGGCATCAGGTACCAAGCCCTCAACTGCCATTCATCTTTGCGGTAGTCGTATTGAAGGTCCAAACGTCATCCATGACCCTGGTCTCTCCACCGTGGTGCCAAGTTGATGCCAAGTGAGTAGGTCGATGTGCCCCAGAAACTTGTCGAGTCTTGGCTTGGGGAAAGAAGAAAGGCCGCGTGGACAAACTGGACAAACCCCAGACTCGGAGACAGGGGTTAAAAAGACAAGACGAACCATTTTACCCCGCCGTCGGCCCGTATTCGGGGCCGGAGTTAGGTTCACGTGAGCTCCCTCCCTTGTATGTGTAGCTCACGCTATCTGACGTGTCTAACCTTGAAGCATCTGAAAGTTGGAGCGCTTATTCCACAAACTCAGGAACCCCTCGGTGTTTCTAGCATGTCAATAACGCACCGAAGAGGCTTATCAACAAGCGCTTCCTGGAGAAGCGTAACGGTTCCAAGCGAGCCAACGACTGCCAGTCTTTTACGACAAGGAGTGGCAGATCATGAAGCTATCGACCTCCCTTGCATAAACGGCTTCTTCGGTAGGATTGACGAATGGTTTCTAGTAGTAAAGAAGGATCATTTAGACTGATCCCCATGCCCACTTCCCGGCACCATGGTGTGAATGCCGAGGGTCCGTTACCCCGCGCCCGTTAAGCTGTCCAATAACCTCATCTCGCAACTCCGCTAATATTCTCATGTCTGACCATTCAGCAGTATCATTGAGAATTCTCGGTGCCTAATGAACATGGAAGAAAGTATTCCAAACGATTGACGTCAGGCATGGGATCGGCGAGAAAAGCGCGACGGAATGTTATGAGACGAGGTCAGTGAACGCGATCCCTGTGTTATGCACCGAGCCATGCCTGCGTTGATCTCCCGTCTGATTGTTCTTGGCAGGAGCCGAGCCAATCATGATCGCAGTGAGATGATCTTGACAGCTGAGCTCCAGCGAAGCTTTTGGCGAGACCACCCTCTCGAGGAGTCTATTTGACTTGGGAAGGATCGGATACGTTGGTTCGAATAAGCGCTCCATCTCACGTCTCTAGCATCGCCGTCCGAAGGTTGTACAGGACGCGGGCGGCAGGCCACACCACAGTATCATTGGACAAGCAGTTACCAGGGTCAAGAAGCGGCTCAGAGACAGATTCTATTTCCGCTCAGCAGACATTAAAGTCCCAAAATACTTCCTTTTATGATCTAGGTTCTATCACAGTCTTCGGGCCAGAGCTCTCGCTGCCTTGGCCCTGAGGGCAAAGCTCCCCATACAGGCTGTTCTCGGGAACGGCACATGTCCTTCTTCGTCTCCATGACTGCCCTCTATCGGTTTAACGCGGTCCTCTAATATTCCTTGGCCTCATTCTCTCTACAACGTAGTCCAGCCCTGGAGTCTCTTTGCTCGTGCTTCCCCGTACCTCAACCAAATAGCTGCAGACTCTACTGAACACATCCAACACAAGGCAGTCAACATCTGTTTCCTCCGCCCTGTCCTCCAGCTCTCACTCCTAAGCAGCCCGCGCTCGACCAAGCATCCCACACCTTGCACCATGAATACTCCCCACAGGCCCACAGCCTGTGTCCACGCATACTCGTCCAGTGTCAAAACGACTCCGCACCAGGCGTGCCATATCCCGCTGAGACTGAAAGCCGCGAGTACACCAGCGGCTTTGCCGGCATCTTGTCCAAGTAGACGCGTGAAAAGGGCTCTGGCTGGAACGTATCCTAGATGTTGAAGGAATGGCTGTGCCCCGTGGTGCCAATGAATGGCCCAGAAGCTGGAAAAGCTCTCTGCTGCCCACGGCTGGAAGAAGAGCTTGTTAGGACAGCGGGGATGAAAGATGAAGTGGATACCCTCTAGACCGTACTGGATAGCAAGTAGGCCACACATGACCTTGAGCTCCGTGACAGGAAATAGATATGTCAGAGGGACAACGAGCAGAGGACCATAACTCCAGGCCGCGCTCTTTGGAATGCCCTTTCGCTTCGACTCGTCTACGGCGATATCGAAAGAGGCATATCTAGTCTCCGAGGCAAGCCGCCAGACATACGAAGCAACAGGTCTCCAGCTCGTCAGCCCATAAACCACCGCGTCTTTCCCATCCCGCGGAACAGGTGGCTTTCTCGCTCGCGCGATTGTCAGGTCCCAGCACTTGCACGCGTAGAAGAAGGTCGGTATACGGAGGCAGACCTGTGCAATCACGTCGTCTGTCGGCATGAGCAGCGGGAGCGCCATGACGTAGGCGCCCGCCGCCAGGCCTGTCGCCCTCGTTACGAAGATTGCATGCTCTTTGGGGAAGAATCGAAATGGCTCGAGGCCGCGGCCTCTTTTTCGCCCCAGGCGAGCTTGGAGTCTCCAGTCTTCGATGGCGGTGAGAGAGAGGCAGGTGAGGGAAGTGAAGTAGAGGATGATGCTGGTTGTGAGGTGTACCAGGAACGATGCGGTCGGGTTGCTGATAATTTCGGAGTTATAAAAGGAGATGGCGGTCAATACGGCCGATCCTAGAAAAATGACGATATACCAAGCCAACATGTCCCCCATCTTGGTTTCGCGGGGAAAAATGAGCGATAACAAAAGTATGAAATTGAAGATGCCGTTGTTCAGGTCACATCAATGACGCGGGTCTCAAGTAAATAACAGATGGCTAACTGCGCATGTCTGCGCTGCTTTGGGCAGCCAAGCGTAAGCGCTAGCGACTACTATGATATCACTACATGCGATAAACGGGTATTTGCCTTACAAGGATACATAAACAGCAAGGATCGTGACGTTAATAACTAAAACGCGGCCAGGAGTTCCACGGCATTGTACCCAGCCGCCGAACAGAACTGAAGAAGTTTTGCGAGAGATAACTCAATGTAGAATGATTTGAATCTCGTAGGTGAGATCCGTAGAGGTAGTGTGTAGTGATCTCTGATGCAGTGCGGTGTTCGCTCAAGGATGCCCGGATTCTTTCCTATCATTACCTAATAACTGTTTCAAAGGAATAAAATCACAGACACATTTCCAATTGCGATCTGAATCACGAAGAAGATCTATGATACCATCATTCTACTCGTAAAACTGGGATTGGTGCGAAACAGCAACTTTAAATTGACAGCGAGCAGGCAATTGTATGTACACATCTACGCCTTCGAGGTCCACGAAATTTCATACGAGATTCCTGGCACAGGCTCGTATAATTGTACACTTGCAACAGTGGTATTAGATTGCTTGAATGCTTCGAAATGTAATTAAATGACCAGAATACTTCACTTCATATCTACGTTCTTCGAAGCACGGAACATGTCGCCAAAAAGATCAAAAGTTGAGGTTTCGCCACGACCGTGATTCCATGCCTCAGCTACGATGTCATATGCACCCCATTGGAATTCTGAACTTCTAGACATCAAAGCTCTGAGTTACAGGAAAAGGCTTCTGGTCTAGTTCAGGCTCTTGCTGGGCGAAGCATGTACCGAAATATGTAAACTTCCCAGCAAAGTTTGTCGCCTGTCCCTCCTGGTGCCCATTTACCAAGATCATATTCACTCTTCCCAATCTCCTGGAATTCAGCCGTTTCGTAAAGTCTGTAACTTGAGGGCGAGGCGTGGATCCAGCACGCAAGATTATGTGAATCAACATCTTCAACTCGCTGCTGAATCAATTTCGTTGCAATGCCCTGTCCCTGATATGGAGGATCTGTCGCCAAGGCTTGCAGGATCGCATATTTCTTTCCCCCCAAATGCCGGGATTCCCACGAAGTCATGTCTCGGTGCATGATTCCACCCAACACTCGAGCAGGATCTCGAGGCGTATCCTTCTCAGAAAGTGTTTTTTCTTTGTTCGATTTTGAATCAGAGGATGCCTGAGAAGCCTTTCTCGCATCCGGTTTCTTTTGTTCCGATACCTTCACAACCCAACATGACCAGCCGAGGATCTTTCCTTCCTTGTCGACCGCTTTAAAAAGCTTGGTAGAAGAGGAATTCGATAGCCAGTGTAGAATGGACTTGTGCATGAGGTTTTGATGAGCGCCTTCTTCACGGTCGAGAAGCATCAAATTTGAAAACTGATCGGTCTTGAACGCGGCGGTGTGGATAGTAACGAGATCATCGATGTCATTGGGCTCTACGGCAAGAATTGAAACTTGGCCATGGGCGTTCTTGGCATGTTCGACGCTCATGGCGGTAGAAAGATGCGTGATTCAGTGGGACTGGAAGCTCAAGGCAACAGACCCCGGGCAGATAAGCACTCAGTCATCTATCACATAAATCAAGAACTGACGTACCTATTCATTGATGGGATTCCCAATTGAAGAACTCAAAGTCGTTTCCGACGCACGCCTTGTGCCGAAACCTACGGGATACCTAGCACAGACTAATATTGTAGGATGATAAAAAGTGCATTAATGATTGGTTCACAGTTGACCCCTTTTACTTTCTATCCCTTTCTCTTTTTGACATCAAGCCAAGGTAATTATGACTGATTTACGAGGGCTTTGAAGTTGATACGGACGACATATCTGTTGGGTAATTGTGTTAAGCCAACGGACCTTGCTCCCACACTCAAGAGCAAAGAAAGATCGCGCTAAAGATCCGACTCTATCGACAGAGAAGCTCAGAGGCGTAATAAGGGCACTCCTCCTAGCGCTTTTGGCAGCATCTGCTCAGAGTTTGGAAAAAGCAGGAATCGGAGCGAGCCAACTGTGATGAGACGGAACCACAGCGATTCTAGTGGCTGGAAATATCAAAAATACATGAGACATCACAAAAGCAATCTCTTTCCGTTTGCATCACCGCCATTGGTTTCCTGTCTGCAGTTCGCAAAGTTAGGCAAGGTTTGGTGCTAGGTCTTCGCGCAGGCGTGACTACGAAGACCTCAAGTGAGTACGCCAGCAAAGATTTGTCACTGTCATAACCAAACCACCGGGATTGTCGTGCAGTTGTGACAGTGGTGGTAAGTTCCGCAACACGCCCAAGCATTCCAGGGTTTCCAAGTCGAATCGGCCTGACAGCTGCAATAGTCTGACAAAAGCACGCGCTGTGAAAATCTAACCTCGCGCGATGTAATGACAGAAGCCCGGTGTGATGCTTCCGAGGCTAAGGACAGCCATCAATCGTCAACCCCGTCCGACCTAGAGAGGAGCATTGAGAGAAGTCATTCATCCAGATCATCAAGAGCAGACTTGCTCGGATGATTAGTCAACCGATGAGCCAAGTCCATCACCACTGCTGCCATCAGAAAACATAATTGAGGTTTGGCGTTACCTGATGGAGGACTTGGTCTTTTCGAAAACAAAGGGGCTGGTGGGTCATCCAACATGCATGATGCAGAAGACCGAAGCTTGAACTTGTTAATGTGCATTTGCCTCTGGGCTACTGCAGGAACCAGTAGCGTAAATTGTTTCTCAAAAGATCTGGTGAAGCCTGGTCGGACCATACATTCATTGTTGCACTGCACCGAAGGAAAAGGAAAAACTAGCAATGGTACCTCGCCAAAATTGCCAAAAATTTAAATAGCGTGGTGGCTTGCCATGCAAGTCAGTGCAACTACGATGATTCTGGCCTAGCTTCGGTCAACATCAACAGAGCTGGCCAAGCTACCTTACTCGATGAGAGAAGTCAGCTGCTTTTGTGGCAGCTTTCACAGACCATTGAATCCGAGTCGTCATCCCGATTTCCGAGGGCGTCTACAGCACGGTCGCTGACGCGTGGTCATCACTGGGACGACGACGGCCCGTCGAGCATCAAAGCCACAAGAAGACCCCGACTCTTGGCTTCGCTGGGCGCCATCGGCAGCCAGCTCGCCGTGCAAGCTGACATGCTTGGCACAGATGCCAATACCTCGGATTCTGCACGAACAATGTTTACATGTTGTCACTTACACGCGGAAAAAACAACAGCCATTCAACCCGCGACCGGAAGCGCTTAACAACGTGTGATGAAGGTGCCTGCAGGGAACTACTCTGGGCACTGAGGTGTAGTTTATGAACTTGGCCGGTCAGACTTACATGAAGTCTCATCGCTGAGAAGTGGAGGAGTGCATAATCGTATCTGCACCGTTTAGGTAGAGCGGACGAGACTCACAAGTGACTCCACCCTTCCTCGCGGTTGATCTGATGATTCCCACCTTTGCATTCAGTTGGTCCATCTGCTCATAGGACCTCAGCTCACCTGAAAGATGCTAGTTGATGCAGCGTCTGTCTAACGGCTAGCTAATGGGGTCATATCATGCTCGGGCGACCTAGACTAGGCCTAGCTTTCAGGAACAAGGATCAAAGCGTTACAGGAGATCCCGAGTTACCCGCTCTGGCGTTTTCAGGACTAATTGGGACAAAGCCAGCCATTTAGAGCCGCTTCACTGTTGGTTCTATCAATGATTCAGGGTTAGAGCAAACAAAGGAAAAGTTTCCAAATCCCAATAGAGCACCTCTTGAAACTTTCCACTTTCTTTGTGGGATCGACATACCCGCTGCCCCAGACTGCCGTTACTCGCGAATCGCGAGAGCAGTAAGCGGGACGGCGCTTCAGGAGAGTGACGATGTGGACCTCACTTACACTGGCCTTTCTCGACTCCGAACAAGTTGCCGACACTACGGAGAGGACAGCACGGAGATCGGCCTCACCGTTCACTAAGAGCTCTGACCTCTGGCAACCTGAACTACGGATACGATGGACCGCACTTCTGGGAGGTGCTCAGAGCTTGTACGAGGCGCCAGTCGGCCAACGGGTGCCGGAATACGCTCCAAAGAAGAAATGTCAGCTTAAAGTAGTCTAAACCTGCGATGCCAAGATACGCCGCCACTTATGGCCACAACAGCATTATATAACCAGCACTCATCGCCAGGTTGATTCAGTTATTCTCTCTTCATCTCAGTAGCCTCGATCACTTCTCACCTTGATTTTACATTCTCTTCTCAGTTAGAGCATCTACTTCACCAACAATCCTTCAATCAACCTGCTTTCACTCAACACCAGCTTCACATTATCAACATGCGCTACTCCTTGAACCTCATTGCCCTCGCGGCTCTCGCGTCGGCCGCGCCCACCGCCACCGCGCCCATGGACTTCGATGCCATCATGGGTGCCGCTGCACCAACTCTGACTGGACCTCCTGCATTTGCCACTGGCCAGACTGGCGTCTACGATGTGGCTGCTGCATCTTCCGCTGCCGCCGCCGCTGTCACCGGCGTCGCCTCTGCCAGTGCCTCTCAGTCTGTTGCCGCTCGTGGCCTCGACAAGCGCACGGTCTGCTTTTTTGGCTTCTGCTGGGGATCTTCCTCCACCACTTCGTCCGCTAAGACTACTTCCATCTGCACAACTTCAACTACCCCCGCTGCCGTCATCACTCCCAAGACTACAGCTGCTGTCACGACTTCGGCCGTGACCACCACGTCTGCCCCTACCATCACCACTGCTCCTATAGCTCCTTCGACCTGCACCCCGGTCAGCTGGACTAACACCAACGCGTTCACCACCGCTTCTGCTTGCTCTGCGCCTTTCGAGGTTGGCACTTACTGCGGTTTCATCAACCCTGAGGACCCTTGCGCTGTCCAGCCCGATGGATACGGCACCCAGGTTCAGCCCGACACCGTCGACGCTTTCCAGTCCTACGCTCAGTTCCACAAGGAGGCTCAGTCAGCCGCCAACCCTTCAGGATACGCTAACACCTTCAAGGACTTGAGCGCTGCTGTCAACGCCAACAGCTACCTCGGTCTTTACACTCTCAAGAGCTACGACGTCGCCGCCTGCGCCGCCAAGTGTGACGCTACCAACCTGTGCACGGGTATCAACATCTACGTTGAGCGTGATCCTTCTATCAACCCCTCCGGCTGCTCTTGCACCAACCCTGCTTCCATCACCAACTACAAGTGCACTCTCTGGGGATCCGGCGTCGACAAGGCTGCTGCCACCAACACTGGCGGAACTCGTGACGGCTTCCAGGTCGTGATCACCGGCTCCAACGGTTACGAGAAGACCAACACCACCACCCCCACTAGCCCCTCCGGCTGGACCAACCCCCAGGGCTGCGGCGGTGTCGTCCACTCCCACCCCAGCACCTGCATGGGACAGAAGTTCTTCCCCGGTCCCTTCGATGCCAGCCTCTGCGCTACCTACGCTTCTGCCCAGAACGCCCAGAACTCCAAATCCGTTGGCCTCAGCACCTGGGCCAGCTTCCTCGGCTACAGCCCTCTGAAGTGCAACTTCTTCAACGCCTTCATGGTCAAGCAGAACGGTATTGCCAAGGGTACCTACTGCAGTCTCTTCACCCAGCAGTACAACCCTTCGGCTGCTTCCTACACTCCTTCTTTCTCCTCTGGATTCTCGTGGAGCATTGAGAGCTCCTGGTCCTTCTGCTCCAAATAAGCGAAGTCTTCGATGATTCGATCGATCCATTTCTTCTTCACTCGTTAATATCTAGAGTATGGTGTTTGTTACAGGCTTTGCATAGTTCGACTTTTTGGTCACTTCATTCGTTGATACTGTACATTTAAAGGTCATGGTAACTAGAGCGGAGGATTTCTACTACATCTTAACTTAATCCAATTTTTGCTTGCACAATCGTCTTCAATTTTTAATGTGTTTTTGAATCTGTCTCAGAATTCGATCGAGACTGGACATATCAAATCGATTACCCAAGAGAGGTATGGGACAGTTTGTCAGCATGGCTTCACATTGTCACGAGATAAGTATGACCAGGGGAACCTTAAGGGTAGAGATAGGGGTAGATAGGGGTAGGGTACATAAAAGGGGCTCTCTTAAGGGCTTCCATTTTCCCTTTTCTATATGCTGATTTAGACTACAGTTGAGATGCCTATCTCAATGTGCTGTTCAATATGCTTAGTCGTGACACATATCATGTAGATGAAAGGTGCAGCGGAATCTGGCGAGGATAAAGGGAGAGCAGAGCCCCCTACATTCAATAAAATTTGTCTCGGGTGCCACATGACCTATGGTCCATTGAAGCGGATTGAGGTGCATCTTTCTAGACAGTCTGCGCTCAACGTTCAGTGTGACCGCCAAACCGCATGCAGTAGACGCTTCCCTTAATATGTATCACAAAATCTGTGGCGTAACGAGGAGCCCGTGGCTTAAAATTTGCAATGATACGTGATCCTCTTTGAAAGACTATGGAAGATCATTCAGTGTGACCAATCCTCATGCACTCGAAGTCCATATCGAACAGATGTATGTTTGACAGGTGTATCCGAGATCAAAAAGTACTGCAAGACTGCAAGTCTTAAAGCTCCAACATCCTCCTACTGCATTTGAGCTCATCTGTTGCCGTCAAGCTCTGAGGGCTTTCGGTACAACTCAATATCAATCTTCTAATCCTGACTTGTGCCGCCCGAGGTTGCCGTTGATGGCACTGCTAACGACATGGGTGAACGGCCACCTGGGATTCACACTCAATACTGTCGGCACCTTTATACCTGCAGCGTTCATCATCAAGGAAGCCATCCCTGAGAAACCCATCGCGGAAACTTGGGTGACCGTAGTGACGGGAGCTGGAGGCGATCTCAAGGATGCTGGCGGCGTTTTCCCCGATGTTGCCTTTTGGGACGATAATGGCAAAAGAATCGGGCGATACCGCACCAAGCTAGGTGACAAGATAGCCCAGAGCAGTGAGCGGACCGTCAAGATACCGAACAATGAGAACGACGGAACGATATCCGATCCTCAATATATCATGTTGAGCCACGATACCGATGCGACCTGCGTCGCCATGGTCCAAGTTTCCAACGGCCGGCTCAGCGGGACGGTCTACGGCGATACCGGATACAAATGCGGCCAAGCCTGGTACCACAGCCAGCGGAAGTTCAAAGGAGACAATCTCATGTCCAAGTGCGTTTGGCTGGACTCGGACCACTCCCACCCAAACTTCAACGCCAGAGCCATGAGCTTTCACCTCCGAGACATGCTGCCTTCGCCCGACAAGTTGAAGTTGTACAACAGCGAGCCGGCCTACCTGTGTAAAAGCACACCTCGGTACTCATTCTGGAAGCACCTAATCCCAGACGGAATCGTCCCATTCTTCTACCCAGTTTTGAAATACAACAATCACTCTCTCAACCCGAAACTTGAGGGCACGAATGAAAATCCTATCGACGCCCTCGATCGGTTCAAGTACAATAAGGACGTGTACGTTCAGCAAAGCGAATCCGAAAAGGAGTATCGAAGGAGAAGGAGAGCTCGTTCGACGCGCCCAAACAAGAGACAAGGCTCAAATATGGACCCTGATCACCTGGTCTTGACCGAGATACCGGGTCAGACTGCCCGAGAGATTTGCGAACATCCTAACTCAGTCGGGTATGACATTGTCTCGTTTGTAGACGGGAAATACTGCGACCTGACAAAGAGGAGTGTTGGAACAGCAAAGGCTGATAAGGAGTAATAGGCAGGTACCATGAGCTGGCTGGCACCTGCCCTGGGCGAAGTGGGACAACTGGCTTAGTCATCACGGCCGGATAAAGGTGGGGCAACCACCCAGGCCGTCACTACCTACTTCGACCGACTCCTGCCTACAATGTAAGATAGAAGAACAACAAGAAGAACAAGCAATAGGATCACCAACAGACGAGTGATAATTGCTACCACTATTTGTCGTATACGACCCCGTGAACCAACAAGGAGACTTTACGATCTTTGTGTAGGAACCATCATGGCCAACTGTTTTGATGTCAACAGCACGACTGTCATTGGGGCTCAAGGTCTGGTAGGGAGAAGGGAAGGCTTCGCCTCTGGGGCAAGCGCGAAGTCTTACAAAACAAGGGCTCACTGGAAATGAAAGTTAGAATTCCTGAGCTCTGGATTAGAGTGCGGAAATTATAGACGATTGAGGGCGATATGAGAAAATGGCCGATTGATGATGACTTACTGACTAATTTTTACCAAACAGGCGTTCTTTTCTAGTTTGATATTACTGTACTCAATAGAACCAGACAATTTCATTTCATGAATAACGTGCATGATAAGCGACCTGGACAGACAAGCGACCTGGACACTCAACCGCGAAACCATCACCAATCCGAGTAAGTATCGACGTTAATGTTTATTTTTCGATTTAGACTACTCAGATTACTCTTCCTTAGACATTTCCTCATTAAATTGGTATGTTCGCGCATTATGACCAGTGTTCCCGTAGACGCTATATCGTCGTTGGCCCGTCTTAGTCTTCGGTCGGCGACTACTACTCCGGCGCGTTTCCTCCTTAACCTAGGCTGTAGCCTCTCTTTGCGATTAAAGGTCCTCTCCCTTAGCTATAGTAAGACTTCTTCTTTATCGGAGATGGTTTTTCTTAGCTTTACGGCGTCGACTAAGTAGGTTATTCTCCTCTCAAAGAATATGGATCTTAGACTTTAATAATACAATATCATGTATAAACCCGCGCGCGCCCTTAGATAGATGCTTTATAGCTTTAATAATTGAAGTATGTGAGCTATTTTGATGACGGGCGATTCGATTTTTAATAAGTTGCGATTGTGAAGATGCTTCTGTCAGGTTGTTTAGTATCTGAGAAGTCTATGCCGGGGGTGTTGACGGGAGGTTCCTGGAGGCGTCGGAGTATGTAACTTTACGTTAAGCTTTAAGAGTACGCTCTCTGTACTTAAAGTACAAGTCCTGCTCCTCTGAATCCTCCCTGGATGTTTTTTTCCGTAATTGCTTTCGTGAAAGCCCTATAAAACGTAGGGAAGAAGTCATCCTTCGTGATATGGGTATTACCCTGACGTATCTTCTCCTCGATTTCTCGATTATATGCCGTTTTTAAAGGCCCGAAATACCCAACATCCAAGGGCTGGAGTAGGTGAGACGAATAAGCCGGTATATAAAGGGTGACGATGTTATTCTCTTTATAAAAAATCTCGAAATCCGTAGAGTGGTGACTTTCGTATCTGTCGACGATGAGGAGGCGATATCGACCTTTTGTACGTGGTTTTGAATGCCGTTTAAAGTATCGAGCCCAATCTAGGCCTCTTTTATTTATTGTCTATCTATTTTTAGACGTTGCGATGACCTAGTCGTACGGGAGACCGGATTTTATATATTAGGTGGATAGGTGATATTGGCCTGCGATGATGATGTACGGCGGAACGCTATCCCATCGAGTGCCAATTGGCAACAGGTACATTATGCCCAGTTTTGACCCACTTTTGCCCCCTCACCGCGGGAATACATGACGGTACGTCATCAACCCCTATATTTTCCCAGCTGCGTTCACCACCACAACTAACATTTCTACAGATGGGCAACTGTCGCGATGTCCTCAAGCGGCTCTGATGCGTCTGATTCGTCAGCGCTTTCACATATCACCGTCGCAGTACTTCCCGAAGACCTTGATAGCGCCTGTACAGCTCAATGTAGGCCCGAGAGGTGTGATAACGCAACTGTACGCCCACACGAATCGCCTCCGCTAGAAAGGGGCACACCGGGCCAATTCAACCCCCTCGACGTGCCCTACCGCGCCGCAACAGTACGGGGTCTATCTACTACCCCTTTAGAGCTTTTTCAGCAGTATGTGCCTTTGAGGCTGGTTGAATCGTGGGTACAGTGGACCAATGAAGCCGCAGTACGAGGCCCTGTTCAACAACACTCTCGAAGCAGCAACTGGAGGCCAACCTCTGTAGACGAGGTCTACCTGTTCCTAGGTATTCTTATCTATATGGGAATACACGTCGAGAGCAAGATATCGCAATATTGGTCAACCTCTCAAAATAGCGAAGACCCCATTCATCTGTTTACTCGCTTTATATCACGCAACCGCTTCCAGATTTTATTACGCCGCCTATGTATCTTCGATACTGCCAACTTTAGCCAGCCAGACTCTCCGCCTACGAAGAAACGGCGCCGCAGCGAAGCCCAGCCTCGTGAGGACCTCATGCCTAAAGTGCACAGGCAAGTCAACCAGTGGTCTAGCCACATACAAGAAGTAGGGGATTCTTTCTACATACCTGGTAGTAACCTCACGGTTGATGAGGCAATGGTTCGATTTACAGGTCGTTCAATTGAGAAAACAACAATACCTGGAAAGCCTACACCAGTTGGCTATAAAGTATGGGTTTTGGCGCAGTCTGGTTACTTTATACGTTGGTTGTGGCATGTTCACGGCAAGGGACCCTACGGGCTCGTTCCACAGCAGCGCTCACAGCGTCACCAAAAGAAGAGGGATGAAACTAGCCTTACGCCAACCCAACGCGTAGTTACCACACTACTAACGCTACTGCCAGTTGCTGAATACCACGTTTTTCTTGATAATCTGTTTGCCTCTGTCAAGCTCTTCAGGGCGTTGCGGTTGAACTCAATAGGGGCTACGGGAACCTGCCGGAAGGATGGGGGAATCGATCGATTACTTGTCGATGAAAAAGAAGATGAAGGGAGGTATATCCCATGGGGGGAAATCCACTGTATCCCTACGAAAGATGGTCAGGTACGTGAAAGAATAGGCCGTAATCATAGTATCTAACATATCCCTAGATCAATCAACTGAGCTGGAAGGACAACGCTCTCGTCCTTTTCCTAACAACCGTCTTTCGTGGTACTGAAGAGATCATACGAAGCCGACGCCGACCGAATAAATCCTCTGCGGCAGCTCGTGCTGCCCGGGAAGTTTTTGGCACCGAAGCCAGGAAGAACCTACCGATCCCACTTTGTATCGACGAATATAACCATAATATGAATGGCGTAGATACAGGGGATCAAATGAGGTCTTATAACCAGTATGGGCGACCAGTTCGTCGCGGTGGGTGGCAATCCCTTGCGTGGAACTTTCTTCTAGAAGTAGTTCTTGTAAATAGTTTCCTTTTACAACGCTGGGGAGAGCCAGGGTGGGCACGAGTCAACTCTCAATATGAATGGCGGCGGTCCCTTTCTGCCCAGCTAATTCAACACTTTGGGCCATTAAGTAATGGAAGGAAATACAGCCGGCCCCAACGGGCGACAGATAAAAGGAATAGTTCTATTCCGTCGGAACAGCATGTAAGGGACAGGCGGAAAAATCCCTCGGCTTGTGTAGCTTGTACTCAACAGAAAAGAGCACTAGGCGAGACTACAGGAAACTCACGATCCCACAGAAAAAAGACGAGGTCAGGGTGCCTGCAGTGTGGAGTAGCGCTTTGTAACTCGGATGATTGCTGGTACCTCTTTCATAGTCAGAGTATATAGACAACAGAAGTATCCATAATCTAGGCTTTTTGGTTGGCTAGAAGAAGTCTTGGCTGTCTCCTGAGTGGTCAGTTCCCCTCAAGGGCATGTACCTGTTGCCAATTGGCACTCGATGGGATAGCTTAACGAGCTAATGGCCTGAATGACTGTAACCTATTTACGGTTGCTAGGCTGTATTATTTCGTGTTTAAACGCCTTTCGGCACTAGTTACGACCATTCCGGTGAAAATCTGGCCTATTATAAAGCTAGTCTCGTTAAAGTTATAAATGTCTGAGTCTACGATGCCGTATTTCGCGATTGTGTTCGCCATAAGTGAGAACTACGCGTTTATCGCGTCTAGATCTTCGTATTGGGCCCTTTTATAGTCGTACTTATGAAAAAGACGCGTTCGTAATTGTAGTTGTCGCTTTATAAAGTTCGAAGCCTATCGCTGCCCAATAGGGGGCGCGTCACGGTCGGCGAGCAATCGATTCGCCATTTCTTCAATACTACGAAGCCGGGGAGGAAACGATCGGGTATCTAAGTTAAGGATATACTTAACTAGCTTATACTCTTCTAGCGGCGTCAAATTCCTTGATTTAGGTATAGTGTCGTGTCGGGATAAAGTACCCTTTAATCGAGTTGCTAAAGTTGAATGGGAAACTGAGTAGATTCGAGTAGCCGCTCGTATACTAATTGTTAGTATCACAGGCGTGATACATTTCCTCATGAGGGTGTATCTTCGGCAACAATCACGTCGATGTCCGTGATAATTGCTGTTGTTGTTCTTCCTATTTACATTGTGGGCAGGGGTCGGTCGAAGTAGGTGGTGACGGCCTGGGTGGTTGCCCCACCTTAACCGGCCGTGGTGACTAAGCCAGTTGTCCCACTTCGCCCAGGGCAGGCGCCAGCCAGCCCACGATACCTGCCCATTGCTCCTTATCAGCCTTGCCGTTCCGACACTAAGATCTATGGTTTTTTTAACTGCCTGGACGGCCAATCTCAATTGAGCTTCCTTGTTTGATGTTGTTATTGTGCTGGTTGGGTAAGCGGGCGTCGAAGTAGGGAAGTTAATAGAGTCGCGGTTGAGTGTCCAGCTCGCTTGTCATGCACGTTACCTCAAACTACACTATTAATTATGCCGTTTGTCACTGGGTGCCTGAACAAGAGAAGTCCGAAAGGTGCAGACCAGGCTTGCATGCATAGAATAGAAGTACATCTGCTCCACTATCAGCTTAGGACTCGGAGTAAATGTATACATCCGTTGCTCTGCCGTCCTTCAGTTCCCACCTTCCTTAACCGGTAGTCAAGCCGGTACGGAGACCGAGATGTCCACGACCTCCCCACCCCTCGGCCCTCTCCGACGCTCCGTGGCGGACAAGAATCCCCCAAGATTTCATGTGACGAGTGATGTAAACACCTGTTTAATATTACTTAGCCCGCATGAATTGCGAATGCTTGGCCTACACACATGTAGAAGAGAAAGAAACAAGGTCACGATTGCTCAAAGAGGATCAAGGAAGTTTCGTGGATTTATGGACAGCGACTTGGCCCCTTTAGGACGCAGGGTATTCTTCGAGCGCGAGCGATTCGTCTAGCTTCATCATAGCCATAGGAGCCAAAGTTGATGATTGTACATTCTCTATATGCTGACTGTCATGAACGTAGCAACTTCCACATGGTCTAAAACAACGCAATCGGATTCGTTGAGTTTGCAGTTCGCTGCTGCGCTACGTCCCAATGTTCCATGACGCAAGTTCCGTTGAATCTGAACACATCCACCACGGCGAACGGCTGTCCTCCGCCCACAAGATCCATTCGGTAGTGAATAAATGCAATGTTGTCTTGGAAGTTCTTGTTCATGATGGTGTAGTTGACCGTGTTCGGGGAAATGAAGGGTTCGAGGACCGCAAGAGAGTTCGCGCGGCCGGAGAGGGCGCCAGGGTTGTGCTGGATGTAGTCGTCGGCGACGTGGTTCAACAGGGCCTTGGTCGCGTTTCGTTCTTCGTAGAAGGCTTGCATGAACTCTCCGAGAATGATCTTTTGCTGTTCGGGTGTTGCTGATCGAGGAGGGCAGTACGGCGCGGAGCCTTGGCGCGGAGCAAGGGCACTTGTTGTCCATGCGAGAGCGCTGACGCCGAAGGCAAGTAATGAGTATGTCCGCATTGTCTTGTGCTGTTGTCTGTTATGATGTTTGACGTGATTTGTTTGTCCGTGAGATAGCCGTAAGGAAGGACGACTTTGAGGGTGTCGATCAGAATGATCTTATAGACGAAGCGGACTGCAGTGGAAAGAAATGCCGATAATCAGATAGATTGAGTGGCTCTTGGTAGGAGAAATAGACCGTTGCAACACTGATAGGAGTTCATCCAAACTGCGCCATGTGCCTCAATGCTAAGAAACTCTATTACTATAGACCCTTGTTGATCCCTGCTCGATACCATTGGCAATGACCATAACTGGGAAGTCGCAGTCGGATTAGGGAATGACCAATGATTTCGTGAGCGTTTTACTCATTATGTTTGCTTGCATAGCCGACGGGATTCCTTGGATGTCGTAGACTCGGGCAAGTGCTAATGAGAGGCGGGAGTTTGGAAGAACCTCGACTTCCCAACCGCTTAGGATTGCGTTGCACTAATGTCCCGATCCTATACTTCAATCCTGCAAGATTGAATATTCGAACGATCTGAGGTACAACAGACGAAGCATCAGCTCCATTCTGGAAGCTCTTGAAGAATGGGGTCCCCTGGTGACGATCCTCAGCCCATCGGCACAGTGCCGAGCAAGGCCCGCGGTAGCGCATGGTTTCTAGGTTTCGGGAGTGGATACCAAAGCAGATGTTCCTGGACTACTTGTAAGTCATCTATATCTTTCCTGACACCTATTGACTAATCTTGGGTGATGACAAAAAGTGCGGGAAACTGGCATCAAATTGATTCCGATAGGCGGTGCTCGCACCTACATCGAGACCGTAGAAGAATCTTGGCCAAAGGTAAACAAAGCTGCCTGCATATGACACTAACGCAACTCAACGAAGTCTCTCTGCATGAAGACCATCAGCACCGCCGTATATCTACACTCATTATCGAATGGCATATGGCAAAGCCTAGAAGTAGGTTCCTAAAATTACTCCATGTCATGTGGCTGTTACTGTCAGTGTATCGAATTGTTTCGAGATGCCATTGAACCCAAGGTATGGCAAGTGACATGGGAGCCAACGCGCCTTTGACCCCAATTCCTGTGTGAGCGCCCGAGGCAAATACCAGAATGCACAGCGTTGCCACGAGAATGAGGAAACCGGCTACGATCCGTATCGCCGTGAGGAATCTCTCAACCATTCTGCCATTGTGATACGAACCAGCTTCGGGCCATGAAAGTCCCCACTTTGATTCTCGAGTCAGCATCGGGGTTCGCAACGTTGAACGAGGCCTGAGCACACCCATCGGCCGCATCTTGAAAGACGGAATCAGATAGAGGAAAGCAGAGACTTGCTCGATTGCCTCCAGGGGGTTTTGACTTGATATCATATCATCTTTTTGGCCACAACACAGCCTATGGCCAATGTACCTTGATGGGGCCTGGATAGGCAAGAAAACTATGTCAAGATGTATTAGCCTCTCGACGTGACGACGTGTTTCTTCTGAGCCTTTGAGATAGCTTCAACTCGAGCACATCTAAGCAACATAACGTCTAATCATGGCTTAGTACCTTTGACACCCTTACGTATTGTACCATACTTAAGTATGAATGTGGAAAGACCCACCATGTTCTTGTTGGTTGCCGCGTAGCTTGTCGAGCAGATCCGAGCGCCTTCTCATTGGCTCATTCCGGAAAGAACCACTGTCCTCGAAAATCAAATGATCCAGTTTCACAACATCTGTAGGACGAAAGGGATGAAATGCGACCATTTTCCTGTAGGGAGTGACATGCTGTGGACCACACCTGCTCTTAGCATTCCAAACAGAAACGTCCTGGGAAAGCTCAATAGTGAGCAATGTTTTTGTCGCTTTGCTCTTCTGAATATGCCCCGAAGAGCTATCAGGCCCCGAATCCCACAGTGTCCGAGCGTTCTGATTTAGCTTCCGCTTTGGGCTGAACTATTGATATGACGGCGGTGGGATCTACGACAGTGACAACTAAGCTAACCTTCTATTCCCATTCAAGCAAACGCGATAAGCTACCACCAGACGCGTCTTGTGTAGCCATGAAAGGGGTGGCCTGCAACCCTGGGGCGATGATCTGGAACGCAGCGTTGGCACACAAGGGATGAACCGTCCCTCGTGGGAAAACTCTCAAAACCTCACTCAAGGTCCTTCGCCTTTCCCAATGGGTATCCGTTCTAGAGGCAGCTCCAGTCGCATTCCTACCCACAATAACCACATCATGAGCATCATCGGAGGGTACCCAGCACGGCGCTTCAGCCGCGCCAGACGCTTAATCAATGCGGCTGGAGTGAGCGTCTTTTTCCTGTTCCTGTGGATGTTCCGTGAACAGCTGGGCCTCGACCGTGTTGGCATGGATTCGAGCCTTCCGTGGATTCCGCGATTATCCCATCAGGGCATCTTTGACTTCGAGCCGATCAATTCGGACGTCATCCGGGCGATTTGCGACAAGACGGAGTGGGATTCGGGAAAGGCGATGCAGGTTGTGTTTACATGCGACAACAATGTCGGCGGGATTGGGAATATCCGCAACTCGATCTTGAACTGCGTACGATACACGATGCTGGCCGGAGGCTCGTTGGTCATGCCGCGCATCTTCAAGCGCAGCGACTCGGACATCTCCCACATCCGGACGGGGCGGAGACAGGAGATGGAGTACCTCTTTGACAGGCAACACTTCATCGACTCGCTGCATCTCTCGTGCCCCCAGCTGCGGCTCTACAACGACACCGACGAAGTCTACGAATCCCTAGGACCAGCACGAACATGGTCCCTCGGCCTCTTCCCGGAATCCCTTGTCGATGAGGAGCAAATCGCCAGCACGGGCATTGAGCATCCGGAAAAGTGGCAATCGCAGCTGCACAAGTGGCTCGACGACATCAAAAACACCACCGACACCGCGCCGACCGGGCGTCCCACGGAGGGCCCGATGATGGTGGACCTCGGCCGGTCATACCTCACGTACCCGATCAACAGCGACGGCGAGGTCTTCGCGACGACCTTTGGCACCATTCTCGAGTTCCGCGCGGACGTCCAGCAGCTCGCGACCGCCACGATCCTCAGCATCAACCGGCACTTCTTCGGCGCGCACCTATTCACCGAGAAGGAAGCGCTCGACAGCTGGAATCCGGTGGATCCGATGCGGGAGTGGTCCGAGTATAGCAAGCAGACGGACGCATTCTTTGACCAGGCGAGTCGATGGGGCCTGTCAGTCATGTACGTCGCGTCCGGGAACGATACGCAGGTGGCGATGCTCGAGGCGGACGCGGTGCCGCGCGGGGTGCGGGTCGTGACGAAGCATGACCTGCTGACGGGGAAGAATCGCAAGAGGCTAGATGCGTTGACGTGGGATCAGAAGGGCACGATTGACTTTCTCGTCATGTTGGGAGCGGCACAATTTGGAGGCGTGGGACCTTCGAGCTTTGCGTGGAACGTGGCGCTGAAGAGGCATCTCTTTATTACCAAGGAGATTTCCAAGGAGAAGGACGCGTTCTTGAAGGGGCCGCAAATGTTCAGTGATGATCTGAGTCAAATTTATGGCGTGCCGGGGAAGTATCCCGAGTACGCGGCGTGTTTGTGGCCATAATACCGTTGCAGGTAAGGTATTAGTTGAAAGAAAGACTCTTGTTCGCGCTTGAATGAAGGTGTACGGTATTCTCACATTACCTAAGCATCAGCTTGCCCGTAGACAGGAGGCCAGGGGGAGACATTTTGATACTCACCCTGGAGGCTTACTAAGCTACTGGATGCGCGGGGTTCCCTGAGTTGGCAACGACTCTTGGTTCTCCCCATCACCCTTTTGCGTCGCCCATCACCAGATGCCAAGACAAATGCCCAGATGGAGACTATTCCGGACCCCCAAGATCTCCCGCCAGACCCACGACTTCCGGACGAACAGCCTCGGTACTCCCGCGACAACATCATCGCCTCTCTCACATCTTTCTACCAGAGTCTGCCGCACGTCGACCCCTCTCTAGTTCGTCACGCGCCGTCGGGGGGTTGGCCAGAAATCACCCCTGAGGCGCTCGCGGCCACTGGGATGCGAAATTGTAACGAACGAGTCGTGGACTTAATCGGGCATCTGCCGTACATTGACGGCAATCCCCTTTGGATCACTCCGGAAACATTCCCCATCAACTACCGTACCGCCGTGTCTTTGATACCAGCCGTTGGAGTGTTCAAGCCCAAATGGCTGCATGCTCTGTCTCATGACCTTCAGTCGTTTGAGGGCTTTCCGCCTTGGGTGATCCCTCTCACTATGAGTGTAAACAGGGACGGTGACATATGGCTACTGGACACGATGGACGGCACAGTGACGAAGTATATCATCACGGGGCCTGTGTACCCCGAGCCGGTGGGGCGATATGGAGAGGGCGATCCTCGGATATGGAGAGAGACATTGTGCGACGACATCACTCTTCCCCTGAAGGCGTGGCTGGAGGGAATACTCGACAAGTTCAAGGCGTTTGAGTACTTTGGCCTTCCCCGTCACGACGACCCAGGCGTCCTGTCGAAAGGTCACTGGAGTGAGGAAATAAAAGTAAGCAATGTTGTGCCTAGTCTAAACGGAACTGACTGACTTTTCTTCAAGGAAATTAAAGAGATTCTTGTCCAGAACGGATGGCCAGAAGACTACAATAGTGCGGGGGGCCGCAATAAACTAGTGGAATGGGTGAAGAAGGCAGACATCTAGTGGAAGGATCAACCAAGCGGCGCAGGCACATAACAAGTTGAGGTAAGAACATCATCAGAGTTTATGAGTTGTATTGAATCTACTGTCGAGACTTGAACATATCAGATACCAGTATACATAGGAATATCAGAGTCAAACGACCGTCCAGGTTGGCTCGGAGGAAGAGCTTGGACGACGCTGTGTTCATGGACCGGCGTTGGCTCGGGGGCCGGCGCTTCAGCAGGCGAGTTGGCCGCCTTCTCGGCCGTGTCTCTGAACCTTCTGGCCACGTCTTTCAGCTTCTCAATCTCTCGCGAGCAATTGCTATCCGTGCACTCATCGAAGCCGAGGTGTTCGCGCAGCTCCTCTGGCGTTGCCACCCGTGTGGAGTTGACACCCTCCACCACCAAGCCTGCTGGCTCGACCCAACGCTTCTGTGCAGGGCCATTGGGCCACGTGTCTCTCAGGTCTGCTTCCGCCTGGTGATTATCAAAGTATACATCCTCATTAAGGAGAGCGTAGCCGGGGTGCTTCACTCCGTTGATCGTCGGTACACAGATATTGTCCGCGATACCGTAATCGTTAGAGTCATCAGGGAGGCCATCAAAGTCGAGCTCCCAGACGAGACGTGAGAGTGCCACCTTGGTCAGATGCCACTCGATGGGGACCCGGGCATCTGGGCTGATGACGGTGACGGTACTGTGTAAATCATTGGCCACAGGCGGTTGTCGGCATTTGTCGAAGATCTTTCCGGCTTCCCGGTTGTCGACTAGGTCAAGATAACGAACCATCTGACCATCTACCGAGGGTGGCTTCGCACTGAGGAGCTTCCGTACCTCCGTGTCACTATCCTTGATCATGGAAGTGAGTAAGCTGTACCCATCGTTCACAGGTGCCATGACCGCTGGCGGGTATTCATCTGGAGAGCATCCGTTGGGCGCATTGATGACAGGATCCCAGAGTGCCGTCGCCCGCTGTCTGTTGAAGGTTCCCGTGATGGGGCGTTTCTTGTCGTCGACCTTACGGTACGGGCAGGTGATGGTCTTGTACTTCGGGTAGTTGTCCACGATGGACCTGTAGTTCTTGCAAGCCTCCGGATAGACACCGTTACCACCAGCGCAAGGAATCTTGTAGCCGTCGCCTGGAAGCCTGCTTGTTGATACTACGATTTCACTAGTTCGATGTGAAGTCATATAGCGCTTTTGTCTTTTGCAAGGTCTCCCGTCATCTGCACGCTTGACGTTGGAAGGACACGAAGAGGTCTTTGCCGATGACTTGTAGATGTTAGCATTTGGCTACGACCAGAAAGAGATGGAAAAGAAACTTACATGGCTAGACTTTGGCGGCCGTGACACCGTCTTGGACGGCTTGTCGAACGAAACGGAGTGTTCCTTGCCGAAAACCTTGAACACAGCTTTGCCTTCTTTCTCAATGCCATCTGTGCAGAGTTGAATCAAGGCTGGCGTCGCAGCAATCTCAGCGATATCCAGAATTTCGCCTGAAATCATTAGCACAGAACATTCAAGAGCCTTTTGAAGGAGTTATGGATGTCGCTTAACTTACCAATGATCGGAATAGCGGCTTCGATCAACTCCAAGGGTGCCAAGAGAGCAGGAATGGCGAGTCGACAGAAAGCCTTGGCTGCAATGTCGAGAGCTGCTTGTTCAGCCGCCTCTTCGGCCAACTCCTCGGCCTTTTCTTTGGCCTCCTCCTCGAGCTCTTCTTTCGTCGGAGCCGATTCGAAGCCCTTGCAGCAGTAACTTTGGATACCTCCAGTGCATGTCTGGTCGCCATTCTTGCTGTGGTTATTCGTATCCTGTAGAACCTCAGTCTCCTCGTCATCGCAGCCACTCATGCACGATAGACCTAGACCGCGGTACCCACGCCACTTGCAGGTGCCCATAGTTGTGCCATCATCGCAGCATAGAGTGCGATACTTGTTCTTGTCGCAGCGATCGCTGGTTGAGAGCATACCGGGCTGTCCATTCATCTGAGTGACTGGATTGGTGCCCTTCTTGCAGCTCGCTCCGCAATCTGTCGTGTAGCACGAAACTCCTGCTGCAAGTCCTTGAGCCATTTCTTGGGCATCTTCTTGCTGACCAGTCGTGACTCCGGATGCGGGAGCCAGTCCATTGTCCTCTCCCTGGTCTCTTTGATCCATGGCCCAGACCTAAATCACCGAATCAGCTTGGCAACTACATGGGGTAAGAACAGAAGTTACACTCACCATTGTGCCTCCCAAGCAGCGGGAGTTGGCAAACTTGCGCTTCTGCTCAAAGGTGTCGTCGTCGTCGTACGAGACCCACTGGTTGTCATCCCAGGTAATCCACTTCACCATGGCGTCCTTGTCCCACACAGGCTTGACGCCGTTATAGTCAATGACCGAGTTAATCTCTTGCAGGGTCAAGATGCCCGATGCGTTGGAACACTGCCCTGCCAAAGCACCACCTGAAAATTGGCAAACGCCATTAGGTTTGTTGCAAGAGGGGTCAGAGAGCGTGAAGCTGCGTCCGTACCACCCAAGGCCCAGAATGATCTTGGCAGGCTTAACGCCAGCTCTCCACAGGAGATCGAGACCCATATCGATCTCAGTAACATTGGTATGGGGTGCAAGGAAAGGCCCGACAAACTTGGACGCAGCGTCCCAAGTTCCGTGTACTTCCAAGTGATGTCAGTCTAGGGGTTCGTGGTGTTGTCATGGTGGTTGGGTGAGACTCACAGTCGTAGGCCATGAAGTTGAACCAATCGACATCTGCCGCAATCGATGCAAGATCAAAATGCTGAAGATACCAATATGACGTCGGCAGCGTCATTGAAATTCCGTAGCGGGAGCCTTGCGCGGGTTAATCAAGCTGAATGATCATGAGATGATAGAAAAAAAACGTACCAAAAGCAGCCCTGAGCTCCTTGGTAAGCAGAGCGTAGTTCTTCTTGTCTGCTGTGACGCCGCCTCTGTCGTCGGCTTGAGGATACTCCCAATCAAGATCAACGCCGTCGAAGCCATACTACAAGTCGATTCTTGTTAGCTTAAGGTAAGGAAGAAGGATTGCTGAAGGTATACTTACGTGCTCCATGAAGTCAATCAGACCAGAAATGAACTTCTGCCTGTTTCCAGACGTGCTCGTCATGTCGCTGAAGGCTGTCCTAGTAGCTCCTGGGTCGGTGAAAGACCAGCCGCCAACGGAGATCCATGCTTCTAGCCCGGCGTTGTTCTTCTTGAGTGCTGTGAAGCGGCTGTAAAGCTTTCCAGTCTCGGTGTCCATGGGAGCAATCTGGAAAGTCTGCGGGTCGAAAAATGCAAAAGCAAAGTTGATGTGAGAAAATCCGTTCAGGTTGAGGTCCTCCGGCGATACTGCTTGGCAACTGCGGGTGTTTGACCATCCTTCGTAGTAACCAATTGTGCGCTTGGAGACAGAATTGCCTGAACAGGATGGTCTTGTAACATTGCCGCAACCGCCAAAATCCTTTTGGCAGCCTTTACCGCAGAAATCACTTGTAGAACCGCAGAACCTGGTGCATTTTTGATCAGCAAATGCACGACTGACATGGAGTAGTGAAGATTCATCGACTCTGTCACTCACCCGAACTCGGAACAGCAGACACTCAAAGGGCATTCCTGAGCGCCTACTTTGCCGTACTGGCCACATTGAGCTTTGGCATCACAGTTCGACGTGCAGTTGCCCTTGCCGCACTCTGTTGGAGAGTAACCGCAAAGCCCATTGGTACCACAGCAAGCAGCATTCTCACATGGAGTGTCTGCGTTGCAGGTACCAGTCGGAAGGGCTCGTCCGGTAAGAAGGTGGTCGAGAGAAGGAATTAAATAAGGAGTGATAGGCGCGACGTGGTTGCTAGAGTCTAAAGGAACGGCTGAGATGAGAAAAGGAATGGCTGCCACGAAGGCGTAAAGAAGAAGGAGTGAAAACATCCCCGCGGCCTTGGGCGACTCTTTGGAGTCTAGAATGATGGGTAACTCAGTAGCGAAAGAGTTTCAAGAGCAAACTGGCAGCCCCCCAGACACAAATATGGCAATTGCATCAAATAAAGGACCCAGCTCTTCAAGATCGAGAACCGGCGTGTCGTTCAACAACAGGCAACGACAACGTGCTCGCTTGCTCGCTCCTGATCCACCCCGGACTGCAGGGGTTGTGGTTGCATTTCGACTCGGGCCATTTGATGCAGAGTGAGATTGAGCTGATGCTATGGATACATGTAGCGTCGGATATAGCCTGTTCTAGATGGGCATACCCAGAGCGGACTGTAGATTGTCAAAAAGTCACCCTTGAACTCCCTCAACATGTCGATCGAGACTTTGATGGTCAGACGGTCTCGGCGGCTTTGACCGGCTTGGCAGAAGTTCCTCGTCAGCTTGACTTGTATTGATATCAAATGACCCTCTTTTGACCGAATTAGCATCTCACCTGCTTCCGAAGCCATCCCAAATTCAAGACCAACGGCCGCAGGGAGTAAGCAGGTCGGTTGCATGGAGCTGGCGATGTGACCCTCCAAGCCTTGTTGGGCGGAGAATCTCATCTAACCCCCGGCCCCTGTCACAAAAAAGCTTACCTGGACTTGGCTACTCTTCGCCATTCTTGGCTCGCCTCGGCACGAAATTGCCGCTGACATGAACCACTTTTTGAGTCCAGATGACTGCTGTGCCGCAGGCTACAGCACGGCTTCGGCCCGTCGTGCTTACTTGGAGGCAAGAAAGATTGAGACAACTCCTTTTCCTTGCAGTCTAGACTAGCAGCCAGACCTATCAAACTGCGTCGCAGCTCGCGTAAACGAACAAAGATGCGATTACCGACTCACTTGCGGGACGCCCGAATCCGGCAAGGATTCCAACCCTGCAGAAAGCACTTCCGTCGCGTGCAGTTCTTCAATCTCCTCGGCTTCGATATCACATGGCTAGGGTAAAGCGTTCCCTGCAGGCCCCATACTTAGAAGCTGCAGCCTAATGCAACTTCACTTAGAAGTTTGGAATCATTGTTGTCAGACCAATTTCCGCTCTCTTAGTGCCGAGTCTGATGCCGATAACATCGACGAGAGACTAGAGTCAACTAATCATCTGTTAATGTCTTTCTCTCCCGGTAAATGAGTTCAAGGTCCATATACCGAAGGCTTCGCTCATGAGATGAGCCGCAGTATCAATCTTGTGCCCGTCCATTCCTTACCAGCATAGAGGCCGCCGCTCTAGGCAATTGTCATCGTCATGGAGAGTCACTCATTCTCGGTTCTGTTCATTGCGCTTAGTTTTCTTCAAACATGTCACTCATTCAATCTCTACCCAGCCATCAATGGTGATAAGCTCGCCAAGTCACTGAACGTCACATCAGACTGCATTACAGCACTGTGAGTGCCTTGACATGGAGATATCATTTGTGTTACCTGGGCTGATCAATCAAATAGAAATCAAACTATCCCAGAATGTGACCAGACGTTACTGCAGATGACGATGAACCTGGAGAACTACTGGTGGACCGATGACAACCTCACGGCTGTCTGCGACTCAGGCTGTGCTGAAGCCGTTGGATCGTGGAATTACAATGTCTCTGACCCCTGCTTCGAGCAGACTTTCACAGCATATGGAAAGCTTGTACCCATTTGGACGGTCACTGAGCGTGTTGTTGACAATCTCATCTTCGCCTGTTTGCCATCTCGGTTCGTATTATTGCCTGGAGCTATCTCTACGGTATCATGCTGATATTTCAAAGATCCGACAATTACACGTACTGCCTCACAGAATCCCAGGAGTGGGTCGGAGCCGATGTGTTGCGGGTTGACTGTGATGCCAATCCCTCAGATCCCACTTGCGGCGGCAACTCCACGGACATCCCCGAGGCAAACGTTCGTCTGGCCAACCTGTACGAAGACGATATTGTGAGTTGGTCTCTCTACTAGTAGTGATATCAATTATCCCGCACTAACACGTCAACCAGTTGTGCAATGATTGTTTCATCAATCAGCTTTACACTCGCCTCTCGTCCATCTTCCTGCCGGACACCGACTACTCGGAGTATCTCGCAGACCAAATTTATGATATCCAAGATGTCTGCAATAAAACAATTCCCGACTTCACTATTGCACTGCCTTGGAATTATGAGACTGCAGCGCCCCTATCTTCCGTAAACGTGGGATCTTCGACGACTGCCGTGGCTACTGCTACCAGTTCCACAACCGCTGCTACGACCACGTGCGCTGGTCAGACGCTTGGTTCTGCTTCTGCATCAAAGAGGAATAATGCGTTGGACTGGATCAAAAGATCTACACCCGGTTTGGAGCCTAGGGCATCGTCATGCGATGACTTGTCATCTCAGTACGGCGTGAGCACCGGCGCACTTCAGTGGTTCACCAACAGTGATACCTGTGCTGTCTCTGGCTCGGTTTGTCTGCCACAGCGGTGCACACTGCAGAAGGTTGGAAGCAACGAGACTTGGTGAGTATTGTAAACCAAACTTCGTCATTCCAGTTCTTTTGATGCTGACGAACGTCCTTCAAGTGCGAGCATTGCAGCATCCATCGGCGGTGACACTACTATTGTGCAGTTTAAGAAGTGGAACACGTACATCCTCGGACTTTGTGACAGTCTTACTGAGGGCCAGTGGGTATGCATAAGGTAAGAAGGACTTTGATCAACTATGCTAAGTTTGAAATGGGCTGACCGATATTGCTGGACAGTTCTCCTGGCGTCAATGCTACTTACACTTTGCCAGCACCACCCTTAGGCACAGAGGCCAATGCCGGGAACCAACAACGAGGAGGTGCTGGGGGCATCGTATCGGTCACGACGACCGCAACAGACATTGTCAACCCTGTTTCAGGAGGAACAGCCCCTAGCCCAACTCAAGACGGGCTTGTCACCAACGTAAGACGCACCGTTTACAATAAGTCAATGACCAAGACACATGACTAACTCTGTTGATTTGCAGTGTAACAACTACGCCAGTGCTACTGCCGGAGACGGCTGTGAAGCGTTTGCCACGCGTAATTCGATCGTACCAGCTCAGCTCTATGCATGGAACCCTGTCCTTGGCACTGCTGGTTCTGAATGCTCAACCGCCCTATGGGCTAGTGAGTACTACTGTATCGGCACGTGGAAGCCAACCCAGACTTCTGCCGTGACTGCCCCGGGCCCAACTCAGACTGGAATTACGTCTAGCTGCAACAAGTACGCAGAGGCAATCTCCGGTGACGTCTGTAGCGTCTTTGCCTCTCGCAACAACATCACAACCGCTCAGCTCTATGCTTGGAATAGCGTGCTGGGGGCCAGCGGAGAGAACTGCGCGGGTTCCATGTGGGCGGACGAGTACTACTGTGTTGGTGTTTCTGGATCATCATCCGCAGCGACGACGACACAAGCAACTACAGCCACTGCTGCGGTCTCGACGACTGCGACCCAGGTCACAGCCCCAGGCCCAACCCAGACCGGCATCGTGTCGAGCTGCTCCAAGTTTGCTAAGGCGCCGTCTGGAGTTGTCTGCGGCGACTTTGCAAGCAGCAACAGCATTTCGACTGATCAGCTGTACGCCTGGAACACAGTTCTCGGTACCAATGGAGAGAACTGTGCGTCTTCAATGTGGGCCAACGAGTACTACTGCGTTGGGATCACTGTGGCTGCTCCGGGTCCGACGCAAGATGGCATCAACTCAAACTGTGCTCGCTACGCCGAAGCACCTTCGGGTGCGACTTGCACCACGTTCTCAAGCGCTAATGTAGTTACGTTGGCTCAGTTGTATGCATGGAATCCAATTTTGGGGACGAGTGGAGAGAATTGTGCCTCAAAGATGTGGGCATTGGAGTACTACTGTATCAGCATCACGAAGTAGATTTAGAACGCCCCCTTTTTTGCTATAAGAAGATCAATACCCTAAGTCCAATGATTGCTATGAGGTGACATGAACACACAAAAGAAACGAACTACTTTTGAGCCAAGATTTGACTTAGTTCTTTGCGGCCCCGGGAGGATCATGCGGCGTCCCCTAGTGCCGAGTTTGTAGGGAAGGAGCAAGTGGTACCGACCGCACTTCCCATCTCAACCCTTCAGCCGATGACTACTTCCCGTCTAGACCATATGAATACACATACGAAGAAGCTATCGTAGGTCCCGAGATTACAATTACCGTCACTACAAACAGCAGGCGCCCATCCTGGTCGGCGGGTCAGGTCAAACCGGGATGGGTATTGGAGTAGGTAGTTTATGGTCAGCATTCAATATGCTAAAAAGCCTACTAGAGGACAAGCTACGGGTTAGAGTTCGATTCCTGTCACCTGCACCAAGAGATGTAGCTCCTAATTCAGCACCGGGGGGTTGAACTGTTTTTTCCCCGTCTATGTTTCCGATCCCCTTATAGGACTACGTACCTGGCGTAAAAGAGACTCTCGACATGATTACAATGGATGCCTATTTCTTCAAGAATTGCTATCTGAGTCTACTGTTCAAAGAACGATTGATGATACAATGCATACCCTCTGTAGTCCGCAGCCAGACACCCCGCTCACAAATGTAGAAATATATGCCTGATATGCATAGTGGGCTGATGATCGTTTCTAGACTTGGCAGCATAAGTACTGGCATGCTTTAGAAATACAGTCGTTATGGGCCGGGCTGATAAACTCAGACCAACGAGCAACCAAATCGATCAAATGTCAAAGCCGCCAAAATTGGACCCGCATGAATGAAGCTGCGAGAATAATGACATGGCATGCACTGAAGCCTAATGAGCCAGAATGTAGTCCTGAAACTGCACAGTTTCGTTTGCCGCTTGTCGGTGCCTTAGACATGTGTTGGGACGGTCGCTGCAGGAGGCCGACCACCAACAAAGACATGCAGCTAGGCATCCAACCAGCTTCGATCGATATTTCTGGGCACCATATTCTATATGAAGGTAGCTCAATCCCCCATCGACGGCTTCTTCTGCTGGCATCGAAGCTTTCCCACCTTCCCCACAAACCTTACAATGAGCTACAAGAATGCAGACCTTGAGCGAGTGTACAGCACCTGCAGAGCAATCTTTAGCGGCGTTGATGCCCAGTTGCGCAAAAAGAAGAAGGTCAAAGAGGTTTTGATCAAGAACACGGTCGCTGTTCGATCGCTGTTCTTCAGTTATGGCGAGGAGAAGACCGCCCTCATGGCGCAGCACCTGTTGGAAACCCGGGTATTCGAGTCCGACCTCCGCGCCAAGGTCATGTTTCCGAACCTGTTCCAGAGCACCCCGCAGCAGGACGCTGAGCGAGAGGCTTCTGAGGCCGATGCAGTGAGGTCGGTTGCAAACGCTTTGGAAGAGATGAGTCAGTCTGAAGGCGAGGGTGATGATGAGCTCGATCAGATTCCCGAAGTATATCCTGAGGAAGCATGTTCCACTCCCCCAGCAGAAGAGGTTCCAGAAGAAGCGCCTCCTGCCGATGAGCCTCATGCCTCAATTGAGGCTACAGCGCCGTCTCAAACTCCCGCAGATATCTGCGATGTCGACTCGGGTAAGTCATCTTTTATCTTGCAATTAGGTACGCAACTTCACTAACAAGGCGCAAGGGATCACCCTGACACATCCACCACCGCACCCCGATCTCCCCTCCTTGTATCCCGCACGCCTCCCTTACAACACCCAACATAACATTCTCACCACCGTCCAGAGGATTCTTGAGGACTGCTGCTTTGACTTTGCAACCAAATGGATACCGCACGTTCTTCGGGGCCAAGGCTGGGACTGTTCTTCGGCGGTCGAGTTGACGAAGTGGACCAGTGTCTTCAATACAACTGGCCTGAAGTTGCCTGCGCACGCTACCACGCCGGCAGGCACCTCCATTAAGGAAGTTCTTTTCCGCACACATCAGCTAAGGCACACAGCCGTGCATAGACTACCCACAACTGCCCGCGGAGTCAACCAGCACTTGCGGGCCGCACTGAGAGTGGTCGAGACTCTTCAAGACGTTTCCCGCGCGGCCCAGCTAGAAGACTTGGTGTCCGATGTCGATGAGAAAATCAAGGCCATGGTGCTTACGAAGAACGTTCTTGAGAACCGCACTCTATTCAGTCTTGATGACATCCGCCGTCAACGCGAGGAACTCGATCGGCAGGAGAAAGAACTGATCGAGAGCATGGTGAAAGAGGATCGTGACCACAAAGCGCTCATTGGTCGCCTGCTTGAAGCTGCCGTCGATGACATCTTCGAGAAGAAGTTGGCTAGGGGTCAGATATTGGAGGAAGCTGAGAATGGTGCCGCAGATGTCTATTACGAAGCCAGTGAGGAAACTGTGAATGGGGCTGCTGAGGATTCCGACATGAGCGAGGGCAATAGAACCCCTGGAGAGGACCTGGACGGGAAAGAGAGCCCTCTCTTTTTGGTCGAGAAAATTGGTTGTCTGACTTGGGTCAAGTCTTGATGCCTAAGAGGTTTCCAATCATGGATAGATGAAAAGAACCAACATATTATGGCTTCTAGTAGGAACTCGTGCAATATTCTCAATCTTAGGCTGGCCAGGATTTGGCTGTGTTATTGTGCAGGCAATCTGCCTCAGAACGAGAATGCAATACGATGATAGTGTTGATTGTCCATGTTGCGTCGCTTTGCCACCTCGGTCTGGCTTTCGTATTGAAACTAATGGGAACAACCAGGCTCAGTCTTTGAAGATGTCATTCGCGCCTTACGTGGGCGGTGGGTGGATGCTGTTAGACCTCGCGCTCACCGAGACCGCCGGCCGGCCGGAGAAAGAGACTCGGAAGGCCGACCCCGCACTAGGCCGAATCGAGAATGGAGCGGGTCCACCTACGACCAATCAATAGAGTCAATCTCAAGATCGAAAGGTTAATGGCCGTGCTTCCTCAGATCGACCTTTTGGACCCCTCATTGATGTTGTGTTCCCCGGTTGCGGAATGCGAAAGATAAAGACAAGATCAATATCGGTACCTAGATGGAACCAAAGATGGCTTGATATTGCAATTCTGCGGTATCAGAGGTACCCGGATGCCACAGCCGGTCGCACATAAGCGGATGTCACGTGTGACGGACAGCAAGCAGCGGCCCCGCCGTCGCCACCTTCCCGACCCCGGCCGTTCAAATTTTCGTCCGGGCCAGAAGGAAGAAGAAAAAAAAGATGGCCAAGGGCGTGGGGCAATCACGCAAAGGGCGCTTGCCATGCCGCTTTGTTAGCCGGTTCTTACTGCCTTACCTTAGTCGAGTGGTCCCTCCATCCTACCGCCGCTCGTAGTTACTGCCTTCCTTTTCTTTGACTGAACATACCTTATTTCTGTTCCTAATACAATTCTGTCATTGGAATCCCCGGTCGACGACATGGCAACCATGGACGAGGAACAGCCTCTGCTGGTCGAGGACCCCATCTGCGAGGAAGACATCTCGAAGCACTTGCTCGACTTTGACCCCAATGGCGACTCTGAAAACCCCAGGGAATGGCCCGCACCCTTCAAGTGGACTCTGGTCGCATTGCTGGCTCTCACCGCGTTCACCGTGTATGACAATCATCAAACCTGATGTGCATTGCATCAAAGATCTCATGGCCACGTTTGAGCTGACATCCTTCCCAGCACTTTCACCTGCATCTCAGTCGTCCCTGTAGCCGCCCACATCATCGAAGACCTAGGCCAGAATGAGGGCACAAACTCACCAGCGGCCGCCTTGCTCGTCACAATCTGGGAGCTCGGTGAAGCCGCAGGTCCCCTCCTCATTGCGCCCCTTTCCGAAATTTACGGACGCTACCCCGTTATGAACGCCGCCAACATCCTCTTCATCATCGCTACGGTCCTCGCCGCCATCAGCACGAGCACCCCGCTTCTCATCGGCGCCCGCTGCCTCACCGGTCTCGCCGTCGCTTCCAATGTGCTTAACCCGGCCATCATCGGCGACATGTTCGTCCCGGACAACCGCGGCTCGGCGATGAGCATAGTATCTCTCGCCCCGCTCATGGGCGGCGCGGTCGGTCCGATGATTAGCGGCGCCATTGCGCAGACCCTCGGCTGGAGACAGGTTCTCTGGATGAGTGCTGGTTTGGCAACGGTTTGTGAGATTTTATTCCTCACCTGCTTCCGGGAGACGTATAAGATGACCATCTTGAGACGACGTGCCGCGAAGCATGCTGATGAGCACGGGGCACCGCTTCACCCTGCCAGAGTTGATGACCATAAGAGCTTAATTAAGCTATGGGAGTCGATCAAGCGGCCTTTCTATGTTTTGCTCAGGTCAAATGTTCTGATGGGATTGTCGTTCTTTGGATGCATAACATTCGCCTACTTTTACGTCATGTCCATCAGCTTGCCTGTCATTCTCCAGGACGTGTATGGCTTCTCGCCCGCCCTGACTGGTCTTTCATTCATGTCCTTCAGTGAGTCTTCCCCGAAAATCCGCCCGATATCCACGCACTCTAACAAACTCAGGTGTCGGATCATTCATCAGTGTCCTTGTCAGCAACTTCAGTCTCGATAGGATTTATGTGAAGCTTCGCGGCAACGACCCCGTAGGACGCCCCGAGTACCGCCTCCCGCTGGTTATCATCGGCGCGTTCACCCTGCCCCTCTCCATCACCGCATATGGCTGGATCGCAGAGCTCCACCTCCCTGTCGGCCTTCTTCTCCTCTCCGTCGCGATGCTCGGCTTCACTCTCCTGATGGCCTCCCTCCCGCTCTCAGCCTACGTCGTCGACGCCACAGGCCTGTACTCTGCCTCTGCCATGACCGGCGTCATCGTGACGAGATGCCTGGCGGGCACTTTCCTACCCCTTGCGAGCGGACCCATGGTGCAGACCTTTGGTTATGGTTGGGGGTTCACAATGCTAGGTGCTTTCAGCATTTGTCTTGCGCCGATCCCGGTGATTGTCATGAGATACGGCCACATTTGGCGCCAAAAGTCCGAGTACACGAAAGATGCCTGAGACGTCTTGAGTTACGATGCCACTATCATTCAAGCATATTACTGGGAACGGAAAAGTGATTTACGGTGCGCTATTGCTACATTTGGTTTGGGAGGTTCCTTCTACTTAACTTAGATTTGGCGTTATTGAGAGGCATACTTCAACAGCTTTGTGAATAGAATCAATTAATAGTCATTCATCGCCTACAAATCACGTCAAGTTTTCTTTTGCTCCCATTCTCTGAACGCCTCGATAGCTTCAGCAACTGAATCCCGCGCCATCAATTCCATCCGATAATCCTCATCCATCAATCGCCACCCCGTCGGCGCCAACCCACCCTTTAGCGGTACGCCTGTCATCTCCGCATCGCGAGCCTCCTGCTCCGGCCCATCACGAACATGATACCACTTCCGATTCGAGGTCGCGCCCTGCACGTTCACCGTCGTCCGGTCTTTTCGAAGTGTCTCGTACAGCTTTAAGATCTCGGGGACCTTTGGTACCGTGTTTTCTGCCCCCAGTGAGTCCTTCAAGAGGCCAAGGAGCTTCCCAATCACGGCGCCATCTTCGACGGCCATGGCTGCGCCTTGGGCTTGGTAGGGTAAACTCGGATGGCATGAGTCGCCCAGAAGAGCGAAGCAGCCCTTGGTCCACGTCTTCAACTCGGAGTGCGTGCATAGCTTCCATTTTTGCACTCTCGGTATCAACGAGATGAGCTTTGTCAATCTAGGCAAAAGATTAGTAACCACGGGCGATGCATCAAATCTCACCTGACAGCATCTCAAATAGCCGGAAACTTACGTCTCGTCCCATCCACGATAACTTTCTCTCATCTCTTCTATGTCGCCCTGGACACGCTTCTCCCCCGTTTCCATGTTATCCGGCCTGATGAGCACAAGGTTGAACTCCCGACCTCCTCTGACGGGATAGAAGACGGTGTGCCTGTCGGGTCCCATCCACACCGTGACCCGTTTCCTCGCACAGAGATCATCTACCCTGGGATCCTTGAGAGCTTTGAGGTAGTCAAATGGGAACATGGCGCGGTACGCCAAATCACCCGTCTCAACTGGCGGCGAAGCCGATCCAAGAAGTTGGTCCCGACAAATAGACCATAGTCCTGACATCCAACATCAGTAAAACAACATCTTCTAGCCTGCATATACCACTCACCGTCAGCACCAATAATCACATCCCCACCAATATCATCCCCATCCTCAAGATAGACCACCTTCTCATCAAAATCAATCCGCTCCACATCCATATCAAGACACAGATCCACACCAATCTCCTTACACGTCTGCCACAGGATATTGTACATATCAGCCCGGTGCACGACCATCCAGAGATCGCCGTACCGGGCCTGCGCATCCTTGGCTGAGAGCATGTGCAGGTGCTTGCCGTCGACGTATCTGCAGAACTCCATCCCGTCAATGACGACCCCGCATTGGAGGAGTTTGTCGAGGTAGCCTAGTTGTCTTGCGATCCTAACTCCGTTTGGTGGTAGTTGTAAACCTGCTCCGATCTAGAGAATCGGGATATCACCGTTAGCCGGTGATGGCTTTAGAACGCGGAAAAAAAAACACCGTAGGGACGGCGTCGGGGTCGGCACGGCTTACCGGGACCAGTCTATTCGCCCTCTCAAGAACAACCACCTCAAACCCCTCTCTTCGACACGCTATCGCGCAAGCGAGGCCGCCGAGACCTGCGCCGATGATGAGGACTCTCATGTTGGCATTTAGCTTGGGTGAGAAATTGTGGTCAATCAGACCGGCGATGATGAGTTTGTCATTATCTTCATTTGAATCACAATCTGTCCAGTCTTTCACGGTAGCTGCCCCGCTACTTATAGGGTATTCGGCCTGAACCTACATCATGCAGGAAACCCCGCGCCGGATCTGTGCCGCCCCCCACCACCGAACTGCTGCGTGTCACCGCGCCGAACTACCTTATGAGGAGCAGTTTGCACACCCAAAACCACATCACTTTCTAGAGAGTGAAAGTCTACCAGATACGGTAGGTTTTCAAAGGCAGGTGACATAATACCGGTAGACCGCTGTGTGTGTATTCTCATTGGATAAAGAGATATTCAACGGCCTCGTCGGCTCTTACTTGCGGCCCGAGTTGGTTCAACCTAGCGACCGAGTGCATTCTTCTTGGTCCTTGTATAAACATGTTGAACTCTCCTATGTCCCCGTCGTCCTGCAGCTCAAAACTGTAATCGAAACCTTCAAGCTTGGTCTAGGGACTCGGAAAAGCCGAACTTCGCTTTCGGGGCGGCATTCCCCAAGGAATACCCCCTCACGTTGAAATAAGGCACGACGGCAAATCCCAACTTATGCCGTCATCCTCTTGTCGGCTCAAACATCGGCGTCCTCGATTATTACTCATTTCACCTAAGTATTCCACCCGGAATTTTCCTCTCTATCCTCTCGGTGATCACCAGACACGCATCTCTCCGTGTCCGACATCTCCATGGGGCAGTGGCAAAAGTCATCCGAACCTGCACGCCTAGGTTCCACCCCCGCGATATCCGCCGCGTCTTTCCCCCAACGGTTATAAATCACTGCATCTTCCAACCTCCAAAGGGATTTCCCCGAAATCGCCGAACCGCGGGCGGCCAGGCGGGCGTTTACTTTTTTCGTCTCAACATTCATATGCAGCTTCAGCGCCCAGCCGCGCGCTGCCGTGCACGGGTCCAGGCCAGTGAAAAAACATGATCGTACAGATTGCTAGAGAGGTCACGAGGCCTGTGATAGACCGACCCTATCTTCGCCCGAGTCTCCCGACGGCATCTTCGGTCGCAAGGGGGTAAAAGAGAATAGTCATTTACTGCGATTCAAGATGCGTCCAAGACGAGCCATCCGCAATCTTCGTGCTGGATCCATGTTTATAAGCGTGCTTTCGCGATTGTTTTTTTGGAGAAAAGGCAGAGTTTTGGCGTTTTTTGAGTTCGTCAGGGGATAATGCCAAGTTTGCGATGATGGAATTTCAAGCCCTCGTGAGATATGAACACCAAGGAACCATACTCCACGGCAATTTAGTACGAACTAGTGATTTTGGCTATCTTGTGGAGCGACTCCACGGAAACCTAGATGTCGGACTAGAGAGGACAGATATCAGAGACACGGTGGTCAAGGTGAGTATCAGAGATCTTATGAGCCGACTACTTTCAGGACTCCTCCAAGCGGCGCAGGAAGCAGTGCTGAGTTGACCTACCACGCAATGCAGCTCCTTTGCCCGTTGGAAAAGACCCCCATCATCATGTGCTTGGGGTTGAATTATGCCCAATACGCCATAGAATCAAGCGTGAGTAAAAGAGTCCATTTGAACCCTTCTGGCGGTGTTCCCCGAACCAACGATTCGTAGCTTCCCGTATGTGCATTCCCCATCATCTTCACCAAACCGCCAGACGCCCTCGCGGGTCCTCACGATCCCATAATCGTACACCACGATGCGCAAGACAAGCTGGACTACGAGGGCGAGCTCTGCGTCATCATCGCCCGGGACGTCAAGAACGCGAACCTCTCCAACGCCATGGACCATGTCCTCGGGTACGCCGCGGGGAATGACGTGACCGCCCGCAACTTCCAGTTTCCCGGAGCCTCGGGCGGCCAGTACTCGTACTGCAAGTCTTTTGACGGTTTCGCCCCTATCGGACCGGCCATCTGGTCGCCGAATGTCGTCCCGGATCCGCATGCGCTACGATTTCGCACTAAGGTCAACGGCAAGGTCGTGCAGGAGACGGAGACATCTGACATGATTTGGTCGGTGGCGCAGGTTATCGTGCATCTCTCGCGGGGGACGACGCTGAGGAAGGGGACTGTGTTCATGATGGGCACGCCCGGGGGCGTTGGATACTCGCGCGGTGTCTTTTTGAAACATGGGGATGTTGTGACAGTCGAGGTTGATGGCCTTGGTAAAATCCAGAACGAAGTTGTTTTCGAGGGAAGTCGTGCAGAGTACAAATAGCAAATAGCCGTGATAGTGATTTTTGATCAGGTGTGGGCCGGCGTTGTGTCTCCATGCTTTCATTCAAGACCGACTCCCTTTTTGAATTCGGCCAGCCATTCGGAAATGTCTGCAGCCGTTTGATTCCACGGATCGTCACTGGCGAAGGCAAGTCCGTTGATGAGATTCTATGATGATAGCTTGGCCAAGCATAATCGTGCGATAGTACTTACTCATCGAAAATGACCCATCTGGCATGGTATATGAGCTCATCGTCTGAAGGGATATGCATGTTTGGGTTTTGAGGTGAAATAGTAGTCGTAACGAACCGCGATAGCTCCCCTGCCAAACGAGCATATCTATTTGGGTCGTTAAGAAAGCAAGGCATATCAGTGCCTCTCGAGCGCTCGGACTGTCTTGGCGAGTGCCCAGATCCCTCAAATATTGACTTGGCAGTCTGCAACCGCGTGTAAAGGTCGCTGGGCTTCGTTGGCATGGTATCGGAAGCGAAGCAAGGCGAGATATAACCTTTATCTTCGACAGGGTCGCAATAGCTTGAAGATTTCTGCGCGAAAGCTGGCCCGAATTGGGAGGTTGATCGTACTTCGCCGCCCGTCGTTGGTATAAGCCTTTCTGCCTCTCCTGTCAACTGATCCAGTTCAGCTAGTCCTGCAAAAAAAGCCATCGAGTTCAGCACTAGACGTGTTCGCCATGGGATCTAGACTTGGTATTAGATCTTGATACGAGTCCCCTGCAAAGGCATCAGTTCTGTGACGCAATGGAGCTAGCCATGACGTTGACTTCCATATGAGGCGGACTAGAAATCCTGCAAATCTCTTTGAAGGATTGGATGATGACGATTCTACTCTGTTAAGAATGACGCAGGCTTCTTGCTGAAGATCGTCGTCCGAGGGCGTAAGACCTAGAACGATGTGTTCTCTGAGATGCCTGCAGAGCTGAACTTCTAGTTCGCAATCCTCAAAGATATCCGCCTTGTCGATAATCTGGAGATGACTCGCGCGAAGTTTGGCTAGTTCATAGCATTGATTCATTGGACGCAGACGTGCCTTTTCAGACAGCTCTGTAGAACTCATCAACAAGTCTCGAAGCCAGGATGAAGCGTTTGAGGTGCCGCTGGGCCTGAAAAACTCAGAGGCATATATGATCGTACAAGCCTCGTAGATGACTTCGTCGTCCGAGGGCAGGCGCTCGTGTTGCTCAAAGTAATTACGGACAAAATACTCTACCTCGAGCTTGAGGAGTTCGTATGCACTTGGTGCAGAACCGGCCGGAGAGACACTTGCACAGAAGGGGACAGGTGCACTTTGTTCAAACTGGATCACGCCTTAGAAATTGGTTAGTATGTCAAAGTTCTTCCTATCGGCCAGAGTTGACTTACAAGGAGGGACCGCGTTATCAACCTTTGCGAGTATTTGGGGCTCAAACCCCCAGTCCCCTTTCCAATCCGACATGGTGTTTCCGTCGTCTCGATAGTGGTCCGCGATATGATCCCCGCGCGTCTCAGCAGTTTTCGACATCTGACTTGTCTTGTGTAAAAGTTTCAAATGTTGCCGGAGATGAGCTTTCCGGTAGTAAGTACGCTCTTCGGCCGGTCGTTCTGAGCAGGCGGCTTGGTGATGGTCGTCAAGGTGCTGTTGAGTCGGATTGGCCTCATCGCAGAAGACACATGACACCTTTCTCGGGGTGCTTCATTGTCGAACCATGCGGAGAACATACCCATTCCTCGAGTGATAGATGGAGTGACTTTTCGTGTCTTTGCCAGTCGTACTTCGTCTTGAAAGTTTCGGCGCAAAAGGTGCATTGGTAGGTATTGATTTGTCGAAGGTTCAACCGGTTTCCTCTCCGTTCCTTGACCATTGCCCGTCTTCTCCGACGATTTGGGTCCCTTCGAGGTGCCTCCATGGGGGTCGGAGATTTGCTAGAGCCATGAGAGTATGCCGAAGCATTGGACCTTGACCCCCCACTCGACTGAGATGTGCCAACACTGCTGATACTCGAGGCGTTCTCCCAAGGTCCCGCCGAAGATCGAGAGCGACCTAAGAGTCTTGGACGCCTAGATGATGCAGCGACTGCGCGAGAAATATCGGCAGCTAAAGCCGGCTCGCTATCTGGTGGCGAGTGCTCCCATCGTTGCATGGGGTTCATTTTTTCGAATGCCATCGGTGTCGGTCGTCGAACTGGCACGTCTATGGGGCTTGAACCAGCCTCGGTTCGGGCGGGCGTGGAGGTCCCGCCTGGGCGGATCCTCCTGCGCCGATGAGTGTTGGCGAACCAGTCTGTTAGTTGCTGCTTGCTCAATCCTGTCTGTTTTAGGAGCCGTTCGGCCTGATCCGGGGTTGGATACGGATGCCGCTCGTGATTGTCGGACCATGTTTTGAGGACTCTGATGTTTGCCGACGTGAAGCGACTGCCCACCTTCGTTCCACTCGCTGTAGCATTGGGGACGTCTTGTATTGGCTCATTTCCATCACGCTCTTCGGAGAGCGGGACACCTCCAGACACGCTTGAAGAGGCAGATATTCGTCCATCATTGAAATTGATTCCATCTACTGCAGAGTCGTGATCCCTCGAGTTTCTGGGAAATATATCTGAGAACGCTTCGTCGGAGAGGAACAAAGCAAGGTCGAAATCGCAGTCCGCCTCATCGGATCGCGTGTTCGTCAGGCCATTGTCGGCTATTGAAAATGACCTCGCCATCCTTTACTCCCATTCGATGGCTTGAAACAGTCGCAATGAGCGCAGATTCCGAAATCTCTAGTATTGAAATCAATTCCTCAACGTGATGCAGTGACGTTGGCGGATGTTGGTGGATGGTGGGGGTTTGGAAGGATGGGAGAGCGCATTGATCACAGTGAGGTGGGGAGGTTGTCAAAGAAGGGCGGTGCCATGGGGCGCTAATCATGCAGGCAAGATCTCAATGCCTTTGAGTCGCCGCTTTGCTCATCTCGGACTTTGCTGACCAACTCCTGCTGTGGCTGCCCCGAACGTAATCGTGTTGGTTCAATTGAGTTGAAAGGATGATAAACTATGGTGATTACATGGCATAAGATAATTAAGAAAATTGCGAGTAATGGGATCTATAGAGATATCAACCGATGTTCCAAGTTTCGCATCGTCAATGATTCCAAGAAGGGTGAAGTAGCACGCCCCAAAGTCTGCAGGTAACTTCTCAGTTACGTGCTCACTTAACTGGTGTGCGAATGATACTTTCAACAAACTCATGTTTCTTCGACGAATCGCCAATAAATAGGCACTCCACAAGGCGTAGGCATGGAAAATTCCACACACCATGAGCTAAACTCTACCGGGGGCATCGAAAAGAAGGCACATTAATACTAATCAAAGCGAGAGATAGGCCCCATCGACGCAGAGGCAGGTCTTTTGCTTCTAGAAACATCGCTCACATGTCAACGCAGTGTGTTTTCCCCGTGGGTTTTCGGGCCTTATTCATGCTCATCCCCTAACCCGCCTCGAATGTAGTCCCCACCCTTAGCGCGACAGTGAGGGCATCGTGACCCTTGCTCGCGATGGAATCTCATTATTGCCGCAACCCTAACAATCCACAATTTTCTAATTGCATAATGCTCCAGAGCCTTGCGACCAGCATACAAGAGGTCAGAGATCAACAGCGTCGATGGTTTAGTGGTAAAATTCTCCGTTGCCATCCAGCAGCGTCGGGGAGCCGGGGGTTCGATTCCCTCTCGACGCAATCTTTTGCTGGATGTCGTCTCGAGGGGCAGTGTAAGTGTGAAGGCTAGATGACACAACTTGCAAGAATAGACTTAACGATGGAGATATCCAACAGTGGGATAGTGTCTCATCTTTTGATCGGCTTCGTCACTGCATGCTATTGGCGGAACTAGCTTTGTTTATGTCCTGTATCTCGACCATGTGGCCATCGTTGTTCGCCATGGCTGCGAATTGACAGTACTGTAAAGATCAATTGCGTCGTAATGTCTCTTTAGTAGATGCCTTAAACGAGCTAGCTAACACTGCGTCATTATCAGCAAGCTCATTTCGAATGCTGCCGTGACAAGGGAGGTACTTGTCATATGGAATACCTATCAAGCCGCTATCATGGCGCGATGCCGCGATGCCGCGATGCTTTCTGAACATGAGAGCTTTGATTAGAACAATCTCCCTCCTTCTTATTACCTTTATGCTTGGAAGCATTTTTCGCGTATGAAATTTGAGTTGGAGGAGAGTTAATATCTGTAGCAGGATAACTTTGACGCTGTTGAACTTTGACAATCGTTGTGGCCCAGGGGTTCATCTTATCTTCCCTGGGCAACCCATGTCATGGCGCTATGGCGATCCTATCACGCCCACTGACACCTGCTGGTTCTGGTACCTTTGCCCACCGGACGTGCATCCCGCCGGTTGCCGGACTCCCGCTCTTCCACTACGCTCTCTTAAACCACGCCCGTCCCACCCCCCGAACCTCATCTTCGTCAACTCTTTGCTCAGTTTGTTTCTGTGACACGGCATCGAAGGTGCTTGCTTGGCCATCAATTAGTCAAGTAGTATTACCATTGAAGCAATGAACACCATGAGCAACCAGTCCAGCGGAGGGCGGGGCTTGCTCAAGGGACTCTTCCTCCTCGGGTCCCTCGCAACCCTGGCTTGCGGAGAGCAGTTCCACGTTCAGCGTGCGGCGCAATACCAAGAGCTAGATGTGCGGAGCCCCAGAATCGGACATGTCTTGGCTCAAATGGATCGCATCGCGTACGACGCAGACGTTACGCCTAGCGCGACCGCGCCTCTAACGGCTACAAGAACACCACTGTTGGATACCTTCCAAGTGGCTGAACCCGTCCTGGAGCCTATGGGTCAAGCGACTACGGTCACGTTGATGGAGCATCAGTTTGCAAACAGCTACGGCACACCCTTTGTTGGAGACTACTCGCCCCCAGACTTTGACTTTGATCACGTTGTGCTCAACTTCACTGTGGAGGTCAGGGGAAGACAATTTGATCGCTGGGGCTCTGTGTACCTGGGCGATGTCAACATCTTTGCGACCTCCACCGCCGAGCCTACGTCTTACGGTATCACTTGGACCTGGCTAAAGGACTCCACGCCGTATCTGTCACTCTGGAAAGAGCCGCAGACTCTCATCTTCCAACTCGACAACGTTATCACGGACGTCTACACGGGCCTGCTCAACTCCACTCTCACGGCTACCTTCTTCAAGAGCCCAGTTCAGAGCGGAGGACAAGCGCCAGCAGACCTCATTCTGCCAGTTTCTGCCAACAAGAGCCCAGTCACAGCCAGCTTCTGGACTTACCCCGAAGAGAATGCCACTGCTTCTGTCCAATTCCCTCGAAACGTGAACCGGGCTGTTTTCTCCACGTCTATCAAGGGACAAGGAAACGAGGAGTTCTGGTGGAGCAATGTCCCGCAGTCAGCCGTCGATGCCTTTGAGCCGGATGTAGGTAGTTATCCGGGATACTCGCCCTTCCGAGAAGTCCAAGTCCTCATCGACGGGCAATTGGCGGGTGTGCACTGGCCCTTCCCGGACATCTTCACAGGCGGCGTTGCTCCACAGCTCCATCGCCCGATTGTGGGCATCAACGCCTTTGATTTGCGGGACCACGAGATTGACATCACACCGTGGCTGCCCCTTCTTTGCGACGGGAAGAGCCACACAATCGGCATCAAGGTCGTCGGGCTAGTTGATGATGGCAAGTCAAGCGCGAGCCTCACAAATACCACGGGCAGCAGCTGGTACCTTGTAGGCAAGGTCTTCCTATGGCTTGACGACGAAGGCAGTATCACGACGGGTGTCATCTCCAAGAAGACAAATCCCGAACCCTCAATTGCTTTCTCACAGACGCTCAAGCAAAATGCAACAGGGTTCAACTCGACCCTGGACTATTCCCTATCAGTGCAACGCGACTTCACCATCACCTCGTTCCTCACCACGCAGAAGGGCAATGGCACAGCATCATGGAAACAGAGCCTCTCATACTCCAACGTCGGAGGTCTGTACGCCAACGGATACGGCGGCATCAACACGTTCTCGACCATTGGCGAGGAGACGTCAAAGGTTCCCGGGTGGGACTACAAGACGACGTTCTCGTACCCACTCTACTGCAACACCAGCACCTCGTATCTCCCGGCGGGAAATCTGACTTTATGGGCACAGCTAGACCAAGGCCTCAAGCTTCACGTCCAGGGAAATACCGTCTACCCGACCGGTCTCGAAGCTTTTGAGGGCGAAGGATCGAAATGGGTCGGCAGCGTCATCGACACTGACAGGAACGGCATCGCGAACTTTTCCCGATACGCAGACAACACCGTCACTTCGGGAGCCGGGCGTACACACCAGATTTTCCATCTCAGGGGACTGACTAGTGACGGGACTTATGAGACGCCTGGAACGGAGCTCTACTTCCGGGATGTAACTGCGTACAACAACTCTGTGATAGCCGACAAAGAAATCATTGCAGGCAAAGTTGCGACGGGGCGTGTGTAGAACTTGTCTTGGTTCTCAGTTTTGTTGATACAATGTTAAAATTCGAATAACTGTAGTTGTTGTTGTTGTATTTTAACGCCGTAGCGGCAAGGGCGCAGCCGCCCTTGCCGCAGACCTCCCGAAGGGTATATGGCGTGGAGGGCCGTAGGCCTATAGCTATCACTAGATACAGTCCAGCTCGTCCTCCAAATCGTGTCCAAAGGCAACTATGTGTTTAACCTGTCTCTGGGTGCCGCTGGCTTGCCCGAGACAGTGCTATGGTCGTCCCTAGAACGCAATTCCGCCAGTATCTCCTATCCTTCGACCCAGAGCCCGCAGGCTTCTGGTTTACACAACGTTCCAGTAACCGTCCGGAGTATATCGTAATAGGTAATACCGCCACAAGGGAAACCACAAGGGGCAAAACCTCGTAAGACTAGGTTGTAGGGCTTGCTGTTAGGTTCTGTAACGAGCATAGCTGTATATAGCCGCGGCTATACATCGCTACCCAATGGTCGTTTCGTCTCTTCGAGGGAGTCTTCGATCGTTTAAGGGGCAAAGGTGCTGAGAGAGCGAAGTCGAAAAGTCGGTCGGTGATGTTCAATTTGGGCCCGGAAGCGCCACTTGCGCCGGGAAAGAAAGTCGCCCGTCTCCTTCGGGAGGCTAGATGGAACCTATGCTCCCTGCCCTACCAGGAAGACTTCGTCTAGCCTGCGGAAGGCGAATTCGAGTCGACGGCGGCTCGTTAGGTTGAATAATCGTCGGCTCGATTCGAGGGGAAAATGTGCGTTGTTAAGGGTTTGATTAGCGTATAGCTAATCCACCCCAGCGCGCAGCGGCAAACCGCGGGGACTGGGGCCCCTCCTTAGCATGGCACTAACAGCCCGTGCCAAGCTGGAGAGATGTTTCGTGGAGGTTGGGATTAGTATGTAGAGGGAAGGGCTTGTTGGATAACTGTGAGCTTCTCGATCAGAGCTTCAAGGACCTGGGTCTTTGTCTTGTCGGGTTAGCTTTGGGCAATCTAATGGAATGTAATTGTCTACCATTCAGTCAGGTAGTTCTGGCGACTTTCCTCGTTCTCGAAGTGATCTCTGACTCTCTGGGCCATGGAGGCGAAGTCTTGCGGATCGCTTTTATAGATTTGTTAAAAGTAGAAGGTCGCAGCCTTGCCGCGGAGCATAGTTAAGAAGGCAGGACCCAGCTGTTGGGCTGTAATTCCAACTTTGTCGTAGTTATCGCGGAAAATCCTTAGCTTTAAGTTAAATACGTCGTATATCTCGCCGCTATATCTTATATCGTCGGTAAGAAGTTTCGCGAGATCAGTCAGTTATCGTGGCGATGGTTGAGTATCAGGCGAGGTAGTAAAGATAGGCGCGTATCCTTGCGTTAGTGGGTATCCAGACTGGAGGTGAGGTTGTCGCTCGAAGTGCTGTGAGAAGACTTCTTGCTTTTATTCGGAAGGAGCGTCTTGATTTTGCGGTATACGTTAAGGTAACTATTGACGGGAGAGAGCTGTGATTGAGATGTGCGAGGTGACGGGCGAGGTAATTCGAGGGGGATATTACGAGTGGTAGCTAGCTGTCGCTGTATTAACTGGGCTAGCCGTTGATCCTCTTCTTCTTGTTGTTTCTCAGCGCGTTGTCGTTGTCGTATGATCTCTCTCATCTCAGCTCGCTTGCTTGGGCTGACTGTGTCGGGGATAAAGTCGATGTTGTCCCGTGTAAGTCTGTCGAAAGTCTGGGAGGTCGTCTGAGCATCCTCAATCTCTTCCTGAGTCCAGAAGTGAAAGGAAGGGTCATCGACGATTGCCACCAGCCTTGGTGCAATTCTGTCTCTGTCCTTGGGCATATAGACGCCGTGGCTGCGGAGATAATCCCGTAGGATCCCCAGTGGCTTCGTGCCTGCCGTATTGAAGAGATCAGCATCCCAGTCTTCAAAGTCTCGTTAAAAGGACTGCTAAAGGCCACGCCTATAGAGGTCTTCCTACATCCACATAGCCACTATATACCCGATATAGGAGCATATCTTCCCGCTATCCCTCTCGTTAAGAAGGAAGTAGGGATATTTGTGGAGGCAATACTACTGTATTGGATCTGATGATGATGATGATGATGGGAAAAGCTGAGCGCTGGCTGGGCTGGATATCTGGGCAAGGTGTAGGTGGGGCAGCTCCGAGATGTGAAGGAGCTGCCTCACGTGACCCACCTGCACCTGCCACAATATTCGCCCCACGTAGCTGGATCGATATATTTACGGAAGCTCTCGGGTACTAGCAGTGAAGCCGTCAGGTTTGAGGTCTATAATTCCGACATATTATATAGGGTAAAAAACGAAGGAAGGAAGGAGCAGAGGTCGTTTTTCGCGATATAGTGATTCTTTACGTAGTGAGAGTCGTAAAGAGAGAAGTTAAAGGGGAAAATCGGTAATGAGTAGTATGGTAATAAATATCGTCGTCGAGCAAAGGGCTTCTTCAAGGGTACTGTGGTAGGTACGCAAGAATATCCGTCTACAAGGTCGACTCCGATAGCGTAATGGACGCCTTCACCAATGGGCTTATGGTAAGGCCGAAAGGGAAGTTCGATTCGTAACGGGCTTATAGTGAGGCCGGAAACTAGTCGTTAGCACGAGAAGGGGCTTGTGAAGGAGCCGCAACCGTCTCTTCTGTCGATCCTTGCTAATCTACAGTATTCTCGCAGTAGTGGTTACTATGAATTTAACCACTGATCAGTGTTGGTATCACAGGCGTGATACATTTCCTCATGAGGGTGTGTCTTCGGCAACAATCACGTCGATGTCCGTGATAATTGCTGTTGTTGTTCTTCTTCCTATTTACATTGTGGGCAGGGGCCGATCGAAGTAGGTGGGGACGGCCTGGGTGGTTGCCCCACCTTAACCGGCCGTGATGACTAAGCCGGTTGTCCCACTTCGCCCAGGGCAGGTGCCAGCCAGCCCATGGTACCTGCCTATTACTCCTTATCAGCCTTTGCTGTTCCAACAGTAGGCCTATTCCAACAGTTAGAATCGTTGTCGTCTCTAGAGATCGACCTATGAATCGTACCATAACCTCGTCAACTGTAAGGTCGGAACCAGGTATATAAAGGGAATCCCCAGTCTCTTAAATATAGGATGACCACTGGTTAACCTTCCGGTATACATCTGGCATTTGATCTTGGCCCCGGCCCCGACCCCGGCCCTGACTGGGCTAGGCTGGCTGGCTAGGCTGGAATTCAGCAGTGTTAAATATCCGTAGTCGCTAGAGTAGTAATTAGAAACGGTCCCGGGATATAAACCGCATAAGTAGGTGAATAGAGTCCTCTGTTACGCCCGCCGCAACTTGTCACTGTGGGCGCGTAGCTATATAATGCAGAACAAGGGACAATGATGCCGGAGTCATCATTATCGAAGCTTTTGCTTTGTGCCACAGTTGGTTGCCTTGTCCAGCTCGTAACATCCTCCTTTTGCTACTGGGTCGACCAGTAGGTTAATAATCTAGATTCCCTAACTATAGATTCCTATATATAATAGGATTACTAGGAAGAGGTAGATCTCTTCTACTAAAGTCTTCCTCTACTTATATACTCTAGACGTTCTGGCCCTAGGGCCCTCCTTAGATAACGGCGCTATATTCGTCCACTAGGCCCACTACTCTACAAGACCCTTCGGAACGTATTGGACAAATAGTTCTAGGGGGCTTGCCGGTAGCTACCGTACCTCTTAGGCCCGGGCCGGCACGTTAAAGGGCCGGAAGGAGCCCGGAAGACCATACTCAGTAGCTGGAGGGTCGTAAGGCCGGACTATTACTGCGTCACAGCGCTCGGGCGTACAGTCTATATTACAGGCAGTAATAAGGTCTTCCGGAAGGACCTCAACTACTATACAGCTACATATAGAAGTAATAGAAGCGTCAGAAGCATCAGAATCGCTAGAAGACATCACAGCATTAACTAAAATGGTGGTTTTAGTGGTGAAAGTAGGTTAGAAATTATAGGGGTATACTACGTACTGTTATTGTCGGAACGGCAAGGCTGATAAGGAGCAATGGGCAGGTATCGTGGGCTGGCTGGCGCCTGCCCTGGGCGAAGTGGGACAACCGGCTTAGTCATCACGGCCGGTTAAGGTGGGGCAACCACCCAGGCCGTCCCCACCTACTTCGATCGGCCCCTGCCCACAATGTAAATAGGAAGAAGAACAACAACAGTAATTATCACGGACATCGACGTGATTGTTGCCGAAGATACACCCTCATGAGGAAACGTATCACGCCTGTGATACCAACAATTATCTAGTCTGTGTCTACCTCTTTACCCGCTGGGCTCGACTTCAACAGACCGCCTACGTTCAGCGACCACCACAACGCAAGTTCTTTTCCAGGCGTACGATCCTGGTGCCGAAATGTCCTCCCTCCAGCTTGCTGGGGTATGAATTCAAGTCTTTTGCCCTTCGAAAACAATCCGATGTGTTCCACGCACCGGTCTATCGACTTCTCAAGACACTTGGTATACAGCGTATCCTCGGTATCCTCGGGGTCAATCTCGGGAAACACCCTGTCGAGCACATCACCCCCATCAAGCTCCGGCGTTAACTGATGCAGCGTCGACGCAACCCTATCCACGGCTCCATCATACAATGCAAAGAAGATGCAGTGGTTGCCCTTGTACTCCGGCAAGTGACCAGTGTGCATATTGATCATCAGCCCCGCCCGTGCCATCAACTTCTTGCCAATGTACTTGGTCCCCGAGACAATAGTCAGCTCCGGCTGCCACCTCTCGGTGGCATCCCACACTGCCCGGCAGTTGACACTATCAACCACCAGATCTGGCGCGGGCGAGATGTGGCCCTGTGGCACGAGCTTGTCAAAGTGCGCCGCGCGACGGACATCGTGGCCGAAAAGGCCGCGTCTGAGGCCGTGGTACTGTTGCCAGCATGCGTCGACAACACGGCCCTTGTTCATCAGCTGGCGCACTTGACCGTCGCTTGTCTCTTGAACGCAACGATATCCGGGAAACTCCTGGTCTAGGCGGTACCGCAAGTAGCGATGTTGCGGACCATCGGAGCAAACGAGGAGGAGTCTCAACGGAGTCTTCTGTGCCTCGGGACTTGCCAAAGTCGGTCCCGGGCTAGGGGTCCGGGACCGATAGTTGACAGCAGGAGGCAATTTGCCGCGATCAGGGTGGAAGAGAATGTGAACGGGATCATGTTCGCCTAAGAACGACCGTAAAATCGCGCGGGCCATGCCAGGCGCCTGAGCGAAGCCACCCGTGTTGTTTCCACCGGTGATGACGAGCTGGCCGCCGCCTACAGTGGGGATTCTCTCGAATACTCCGAGACCCGTAGGTGTGAATGGCCGGACGCAGTACTTGCGATGTCCGCCGGGGTACATAGCGTTAGGGCCACGGCTCTTCGCGGCTGCGTAACCTTCTGGGAAATAAATGCGCGCAACCTCCTCCAACTCGTCGTAGAGTGCCTTCATCTCGGGAGAGTTTGGATCTGGACGGCCCAGGCCGACGTAGCCGTATGCGCCACCAAAGACAAGGATGTCTTCCCCAGTCTCGCGGTCCTTTGCTACAGTGATGTTGATGTCTTCGACTTTGTGTCCTCGTCTGTGGATTTTCATCGAATTGCGCATCTTTGGATCCAGGTTGGGAATCTGCAGCCAGATACCTAAAACGCCCTGGATGAGGTTCTCGCTGGCTGTCCCATGGAGTAATACGCTGCCCGTTGTGCCAGGACTCAAGATGAAGTGATCGGCCTTCAAGTCTCCCTTCCTCGATTTCAAACCAATCACTTCGCCTGCAGAGTTGCGCTGAATAGCCTGGACCTTGCAATCCCAGATGAACTCAGCCCCGAGCTCGGATATATGATTGATCAACTTGCTCATGAACAAGTGGATGTTTACCGTGAAACCGTCCACGATGATACCTCCAGCAAGATGGTCTGTTTCGGCAGCCGGGCGAAAGACGGGGTACGTTTCCAAAATTTCTTTGGTAGAGGGTGCCTCTAACAGAGCCCCAAGGTTCTGGTTAAGATCAACCGAAGCTTCCAAAGCCACGTCCTCGACGTACAGACGTATGATGTCTTCGTGAAGCCCTACTTCCTCAAAGAGGTGAGGTTCATTCTTCATCAGCTCCCTCCAGAGCTTGCCGGACTCAACGTTGACCTCATGAATATTCTTCTTGAAGTGCGCTGCCATCCAGCCTGGGACACGCTCGAAAGCGCTGACCCAATCATTCTCGGCGGTGTTGAAATCCTCGGGAGACTTGACACTCCATCCACCTCCACGGACAGTCTTGCGGAAAATGGACAGCATGTCTTGGTAAATCTCGCTGTCCTGTTCGTTGTAGTTGTCTGCTTCGGTGTTTGTGAACATGCGGGCGTTGTGACCGCCGCTCGTGACACCTAGCGCAGTCCAGTCTTCGAGCTGGCAAGCCCGCGGGTCGGGACCTTGGTCCACGACGCGAAGCTTGTAACCGCGTCTGGCAAGGAGTTGGGCGGCCATAAGGTTCATGATACCGGCGCCGATGAGCAGGACTTTTGTTTGACTAGGTGAAGAGCCCTCAGCTTCGATGTTGGCGTTTATGCGCTGGGTATCAGCGTCGGCACGGGCTTTGGCGTAAAGCATCTCTGCTTCACGAAGGACGGCTTCTTCCCACTCCTTCTTTGAGAGACCTTCCATGTGGTCGGGAAAGGCGGCGATTTGAAGCAGGCGACCCCTAGCATGCTCTCTTAAACGAGAGATAGCTTCGGCATCTTGCACGAGCATGGACTTGGGGTTATGGCTGCCATTATCAAACCACTGGTCCATCAGGTCACTAGTGACCTCTGAGCCGTCGCAGATCCATACATCCACCTCGTCGTTGCTGCATAAAGGGGCGGATAGATCTGAATTGGGATCGTGTAGGCTGATGTAAGTGAACTGTTTCGTCCCGCCGCGAATGGAAAGAGCGGCTGTGGTAACAAGAAACCGCATGATGATTTCTATCTACTCTCCAATGAGCGTTCTCAGAGAGAGGCGTCAAAGAAATGAAGGAGAAGAACTCGTGCTCGACTGATTTGCTTGGTTTAACAGAACGCAAGCATTGTGATCCGCACCTACCTTTTATAGAAGACCATGAAGCAACTATAGCAGAGAGCCCTGTCACAAACCATCGCCGAAAGAACTCTATGATACTTCCCAACGCTTCTCGGATCACGTCTTGGGTGCCTAGGGCGAGAGGAGACCGTAGATGTGCGGCGTGGGGCACAAGTCGTCTCGTCAATTTTCCATATGACCCTTGAGATGACTGCAGCACCGCAGTTGAAGCACATGCAGAAGTACGGTGCCACCTTGAACACGCGGCTCGAAATCCCAAGACATGTCGTGAGGTGTTCATGTGGCCCCTTTCAGATGTTATGTCCTGCGGCGGATTTCCACCGCCTTGCCGCTCAGCCTGACGAATCATGTCTTGGTACTCGGACGAGTGTGGTACGACCAATATCATTTCTTGCAGAGTCAGATTTGGCTAGAAGAGTCCAACTATACTTTCCGAAGCGACCTATCAGCCCTCGCTTAGTAAACCGATGAGCCGTCTCGCCGTAGCTGATCCTTGCTTAACTGCTTGAGGTTGAAACCCGAAGCCCTGTTGAGATTTGGTTCGCGTGTAACATCACCATGTCTTACCTATAGGGGCTGCGAAATTGTTCGGGGCAATTCGATGCTGTGTGGGAGTCTAGCCTCAGGACTAGACATAAACCCTCCGAACAACTGACAGGGGCTCTTGTATGGACTGCTTGTTGCTGCCTAGACGATGACGAAATAGATATAGCGGATCAAGGCGAATAAGAACATTCCCCTCATTTGTAATTTGCCGTGCTGCGGCAGAGTTTTCAAGACATCCGTAAGGCAGAAATACAACATGGATGCAACAAACACAAGGAAGACGCACATTTCTTGAGGTTGGCAAACCAAAGACCCACGAACGAGGCTCACGATCGCAGTGGCTTCCCTGGTGGCGCTCGGGGGATCCAGCTGCAAGAAGGAGGTGGGAAGTCGTCACGCCCGCCCGGAAGACGGGGCCGGTGTTCATCAAGGGTCCTTTGCCAAGTATCCCGGTGGGGCATTTGCGAACAGGGGTTTAGCTTACTATGCAAGCGAAGTTCGTCAGAAACTTAGAAACATAAAGACATAGAGGTTCAGAAAGGTTCAACAAGGTTGACAAAGTGTTCTGTTTTAGGTATGTCATTACGTACAAGAATCTGGTTGCTTACTGGCTTCGCCGCTTCACGTGGGGAATTCCATTGGCCGCGTTGCGAATTGACGCCGCATACGGCATTCCGGATGGATCTCGTGAGATTGCGCCTTATATCTGACAGGATACGCGACCTAGGCTGGCCGACGAGCTAATGCACACACCGTTAGTGACGTGGCGGGCCGACCCCTACTTCGCAGACCTTGCGGCTTCGCGGGGGCTGGGCTCCTCTTTTTGCTTACTTCTTGTGTCAAATCCTGGTGTCCTACTTTTCAAGGGCGATTCTTGTTGACTCTCTCTCTCATTGGTGTGGTTGGTTTGGGGGAGGTTATCGTCAGAGTCAGGGGCCCTTTTCCTTCCTCGCGTCGACATGAAAATTCTGCTATTTCTCTTCGCGCTACCATTGAACCAAGCGAGGTCTTTGCAGCTATTGAAAGTGCCTTTGAGAAGTATCTCTCCTTCCCCTCTTTTATCATTCTACAACGCCTCTTCAAAGAACTTGAATCGAGGCCCCAGATCGCCAACTCCTTGCTTAGTGTCCAGCCTGGCCTCGACAAGGATCCCCCATTTGTCTGTTCTCCAGCAGCATGGCAAACCCGCAACAAGAAGTTGACCCGCCGGACTGGAGGGGACCAGATGATCCAGACTGCCCATACAACTGGCCATTGTGGAAGCGCATCTACAGCACCAGCATTCCGGCTTTTCTTTGCGTCAATGTGTAAGAGCAATGCCCTCCCAAGGCAACTTGAAGGCTCTGAGTCCTTACTGACCACTACTCGCTCAGGTCTTTCGCCTCTTCCGTCTACACCTCTGGCGCCAACGACGTGTCAGAAAAGTTTGGCGTCTCACACACGGCATCCCTCCTCGGTCTTTCCCTCTTTCTCTGGGCCCTAGGCCTCGGTGCCATCATAGCCGCACCCGTTAGCGAATACTATGGCCGCAGGATCGTCTACCTCAGCACCGTTCCGGTCTTTGGACTCTTCATCCTGGGCTCAGGACTGGCACAGAACTTTACGACACTGATTGTCTGTCGCTTTTTCGCTGGCTTCTTTGGTAGTGCCGTCGTTTCCGTTGGTGGCGGAACCAACGCTGACCTATGGCCACCTGCACTGGCGGGATTCGTCTACCCTTTCTACTTTGTGTCTCCATTTCTCGGACCGGCTTTTGGTAAGGACTTCCTTCGTTGTTCCTGTGTTCACATCATCCTAACTATGAGTTCAAGGGCCTGTTATTGGGGGCTTCTTGGCTGAGGAGAAGGACTTTCGGTGGCTTGAATGGGTCGTCCTCTTCATGGTAGCCTTCAACTACATCTATGCCCTTCCACAATTCGAGACCTACAAAAAAACCATCCTTCAGAGACGTATACGTGCGGAGAAGCAGTCCGATGCGCCTCAAGCCCACACGCCCAAGGTCGCCCTCCCCTCGAGCGCAATCATCCAACGTATCGTTCTCAAACCTTTCAAGATGCTCTTCGTCGAGTCGATCGTGCTCTTTATGACCATCTACATGGCCTTCAACTTCGCTGTCTTTTACAGCTTTTTCGCAGCGTTCCCCTACGTTTTTGGGGGCCATTACGGCTTCACCCCGGGCCAGCAGGGTCTCACTTTCATCTCTATCGCGCTGGGCTGCGTCATTGGCTTCCTAGCTGTAGTCTACATTGATCGCAAAACTTACCCAGCGCTGGAGGCAAAGTATGGTGTCGGCGCAGTACCCCCAGAGTATCGTCTCTACGGCGCCATGGTCGGCTGCGCGCTTAACCCGGCCAGCCTGTTCTGGTTTGGATGGACAGCCGACAAGGGTGTATATTGGCTCAGTCCAGTCATTGCCTCTGTACCATTTGCTGTGGGAAATATCATGGTTTATAGTAGCGGCGCGCTGTACATCATGAACTCTTATGGTTCTTTGCACGGCGCGAGTGCTCTGAGTGCCAACAGCCTCCTGAGATATGCGGGCGGGGGTGCGTTTCCGCTGTTCACGGTGCAAATGTTCTCCTCCATGGGGATTGGATGGGCAAGTAGTCTGCTTGGTTTTGTCTCGGTCGTACTGGTGCCAGTCCCATGGGTATTGTATAAGTACGGGAGCAGAATCAGGGCACACAGTCAGTATATCACGATCAAGGAGCCGGTATCCGGCAACCAGACTTCGTTTGAGGAGATGACGAGCGAGGACACGGAGAGTTAGCAGCCTGGTGTCAAACGGACATGACGAAGAAATTCTTGAGGGAAAGATAGACACACACAGAAGTGATACCGGAACAGCCAGGCAGGCTTTCGTTGTTACGATACTTCTTCCTGAGTTAGACGGGAAGCTTCAGTAAGCAACGGCCACGTAGTGAGCTTCCGAGAAGCCACCCGCATTGAACGGGACCCATATCCAACAACGAATCCCTGCGAGCAGATGCAATAAATTCGCGCCCCCACGATCAAGGCGATGTGATTTTGCCTACTCTGTCAGCCGTAGGCAGAATCGTGGAGCTTGCACAGCCCTACGGTTATCCTTTCCAGCACCTCAGGGGGGTGCTCGTAACTCATCTCGTCGAGCGGATTTATAAGTCAGTGGCGCTTCTCACATGAGTTACCCCTAGTGAAAGACCACATCATACTTCTTGCCGCTTCTGCTTGTTCGCAAAGACGAGTCATTTCCTCCAAACCGGCGTAAGCACTGCATACAATGGGCTCCATACCACTCCCTAACCCCGTCCGACTGGCCATCCTCGTCGCAGATGAGCCACTGCCTAGCGTATCGGCCAAGCTAGGCCGCTTCGACACCATCTTCACGACACTTCTCAGAAACGCATGCGAAAGCCTTGATCCACCGCAGACGCTCCAGTCTCAGCTTGCGCTGACTTCGTACAACGTGGTGGCTGAAGATGATGTGGATGCCGCTTACCCTGAGCCTGAGAGTATTGATGCCGTGCTCATCACGGGATCTCGGTATTCGGCTTACGCGGATGATGAATGGATTGTGAGGCTGACAGCTTTCACGCGGAGACTTCTGGACGAGGGCCGTGTTCGCGTCATCGGCGTTTGCTTCGGGCATCAGATCGTTGCTCGTGCTCTTGGTGGGCAGGTTGCTCGGTCTCCCGGAGGATGGGAGCTTTCTGTCACAAAGTTGGAGCTGACTGAGGAGGGCCAGAATGTGTTTGGATCTGAGAGTCTGGTAGGTCCTTTCCCTCCCGCAAATGGGGTCGTGGACGAGAATCTTCGCGTCCTAAGACCGAATAGTATAAGGTACTGATCACGATGCATTGCAATCTTAGAGCATCTATCAAACACACCGCGATGCAGTCCTCAACCTGCCTTCCGGCGTCGTCTTGCTAGCCCATACCAAGCAATGCCCAATTCAAGCCATGTATGTTCCTCGGAGGTTCATCACAGTGCAAGGCCACCCCGAGTTCTCCCCATTCATGATGAGCGAGATGCTGCAGATCCGCCACCAGGCTGGCATCATTCCTGAAGACCCTTTCAGAGACGCCATGGCGAGGTTTTCGGATGCGCACGATGGTGTTCTCATTGGGCGAAGCCTTCTTCGCTTCTTGAGGGAGTAATTGGAAGTCTTAGATGTTTCATATCAAGCCGGTAGTAATTGCATTTGAGACTATGGAGCTGGATTGGAACGGAAATTTGATGGGAATAGCTCACAGGGTCAACACAGAAATATCGCTGGGCGGGTAACACTCGTAAAGTAGACTTGCTAAATCATTACCTAGCCTTTCATGATTCATCCTACAAGCATGGCCAAGCCCACCATTCGTTTCATGACTTTCTACAACTCATCGTATTATATCCCCATTCACTGTAAAGAAGCCCCTCCCGATACGGTTCACAGGCACTGGGAGTAAAACTGATTCGAAACGGTGCAAGTGTACGGTGACACGCACTGCGTAGGCCCGGTCCATCCTTGTCCTCCACACTGTCCGTAATGCGGAGCCAGGTTCGTCGCCGTAGCCGCAGGCGCAGAGCTAGTCGAAGTTCGGACCGTGGTAGAAGTCGTCAGGGTAGAAGACCTAGCTGAGGAAGTCGAAGATGTCACTGCGGCCGTGGAGCTCGAAGCCCTGCTAGTCGAAGTCTGCGCGGCAGAGGACGAACCACCGCCACCGGAGGAAGCAATGGCACCAGAAGCGTAAAAGGCACCGCGTCCGTTGGCGCCGACGTAAACCAGGTTCTCCTCGTTGCCAGAGCCGGCGAGCTTGGCGCTGTCAATGGCGCCGAAGCTCTGGGTTCCCTGGAGATCCGTCCAGGAGGCGCCGAGGTCGGGGCTGCCGTAGAGTCTGCGGCCTGCGGAGCCGGTGCCGAAGGCGTAGAGGTTCCAGTTAGTGCCGGAGCCCTTTCCGAGTGCGATCTTGTTTGTGTTGGTGAGGGCTGTGGAGACTTGGGTGAAGGTGACACCGTAGTCGGTGCTGTGGAAGATTCCAACGTTGGTCGAAACCCAGACGTCGCCTGCCTCGGCCGGGTGGGCTTCGACGTGGCGGATCTCGGAGGCGGAGCCGAAGGAGCCGGAGGTGGCGAACGTTGCGCCGAGGTTGATGGAGCGGTAGAAGCTGGATCCGGAGGCGCCGTAGAAGACGGTGCTGTTTTTCTTGTCACTGGCGATGATGGCACCGGCCGGAATGCTCGAGACGACGGCAAAAGAGCCTTGGTTCTGACTCCTCTGTACCCCGAGTGCTGCGGTCGACCAGAGGATGGTGTCGGCGTCGGCAGAGTATGCGACTGTGCCGCCGTACTGCGTCGTGCCAGCGGCGTAGTTGATGTTCCAGGTAGCTCCGCCGTCAGAGCTCACAGCCAGTTGCTGAGTGCCTGCGGTGTTGCCGACGCGAACGACGTTGGCCACCTTGTTACCGGCGTAGTCAACGCCCACGGAGCTAGCCCACATCGGATTTGTCCAGGTGGTCTGGGGCGATGTATCAAGGTTGCTCTTAGCCTTGAATGTGAATCCGTTATTGTCGTAGTTGGCAACCAGTAGTTCTGAGCCCCCGGGAGCGCTGGCGAGTTCCTGGATAGACATCTCCTCAATTCCATCTGCAAGTGACTGAATGTTCACCTTAGCGCCTGTATCCCAGTTGGTAAGGTCGTGGCCACCGAAGATGGTCAGACCAGTTCCCCAGAGCCAATGGTTAGAGTCGAGGGGGTCGATCTCAAGGGACTCAATCATCCAGCCCAAATCTTTGGTGTCGACGTTGAGGAAGTTGGTCTTAATCCAAGGAGCCTGATCTCAATCAGCACATGAGCCCTCAACAATACATGTATCTTCAAGGGTCCACTCAAGTAAAGTCTCTCTTACCTTTGGGCTGGTTTGAACGTAACTGAAGTTTTGGTTGCTGTCGGTACCCCACGTCCAGATCTTCTTCCATGTCGCCCCAGAATCAGTTGATCTGAACAATTGCGCATCCGGCCACCAGCTGTTGAGAGTGGCAACGACCAGGGTACCGGGTTTTTGCATATCAAGACCCAGTCCACCTTGGAAAAGTCAGCATGAGAGCTCTTGCAGTCTGTCATGATGATGAAGTCGACGAATGAGGGCAAAAAGAAGACCGGCAGCTTACCGAAACCAAAGTACAAATCGGAGCCGGGAGCGACAGGGGTAATGTCCTTCCAAGTGTTGGTAGGAAGGTCGTATCTCCACACGGAACCCGAAGTACCGTCGTAGGGTCCAGTGCCGTCCGAGTACGTGAGGTAGAGGGCCTGTTCATTTTGTTACTTGGATGCTAGGAGTTTGGGAAGTTTTCATCACATACCTTCTCCGTGGGCTGAATCCTTCCCTTGTGGGGGAAATACTTGCCAGGCTGGCCAGCAACTGCCGACCAAGTTGAACCAGCGTCATTGGAGACATAGACAGATGAAGTAGTATTCTCAGCAACACCAACAAAGATGCGAGAGGTAGCTCCGCTGAGAGCGGCTGAAGTTGAGTCAAAAGTCACAAAGTTGATTCCCTGGATGTCGCCGCTGTACTCGTTGTCGGCTGGTCCGGCACGGAAAGTGCCGACTGCGGTGAAGGAGGAGACCTTGGAGAAGCTTGTGCCTGAGAGATAGCCGCATGTCAGTTGTATGCGCAGCGAACTAGAGGTTTCTGTATGGAATTACCTCCGTTGGTACTCTTGTAAAGTCCATTACCACTGCGGGCGCCGAAGTATATGATGTTAGAGTTCTTGGGGTCTACTGCAAGACGCTCGCCATTTCCTCTTCCCGGCATGTTGCCTCCGACCTGGATGAATGTCAGTGCTTGAGAAGGATGAAATGAAAAACAGCTCTCACCTTGAAAGGCAAGTCAGTGAAGGACCAGGTTGCGCCCTTGTCGGAGCTGCGGGCAATTTGTCCATTATTTGGGTCCCTAGGATCTGCGTCAACGCTGCCAAGCACTCAAAAACTAATCATCTTGCATACCAGCTGTTTGTGTACATGCCGACGGCGATGAAGACCTTGTTGGCGTCCTGAGGATCCAGCGCGAGAGCATCGACGCCCCACCGGTTCCAGTGAGAGTCATCAGCAAAGCCGTTGGCGTCGGTCACCGGAGTCCACGAGTCATCGGCATTGAGGCGATACAACCCGCCAATGTCGGTCCTGGCGTACGCTACACCCTTTGTCGTGGGATGGAAGACGATTGAGGGCACGAATCCACCGCCGCCGCCAACCTTGACATTCTTCCAGGTAAAGGCGGCCTGGATTGGAGCCGCGAGGGCAGCCAGGAGGAGGTTGGCGTACTTCATCCTGAGCCAAGGACCTCTTGTCTTTGAAAGACGAGTTATCGAGCGTGAGAGGTGGCAATAAAGTTACCTCTGGATCTATACCACGGTGTGATAGAGGATCTTGCGGGGATGGGACAAGAAAAGAGGAAGATCGACGAAGGCGTGGTTCATGTCAGGGCTATAAATGAACGTGAGTCTCTCCTAATCGACACGCCGTCGGATCGCCGGCATCCTCGAGTAACATGTCGGATCACTGGACTGACAACAAAGCTGACATGGAGAAGCTGAGCAAATTCATCGCGACTCCGCGCCGGAAATGAGACGAATCAAGACTACAACTCCCCAAATTCCATCAATCAACTCTCTAAACCCAGAGCCAAGTCAAATGAGCTTGCGGCCCTAAGCCTCCCAACAAGCCAGCCGCACTACTCCCGTTTACCGTTGAAGGAAGAAAAGCTTCCGCTTGGAGGTCCTCGAAAGAGGGGCCACCGGGAGCACAGTAGACGAGCTCATTTGTACACGCAGGTCCCAGGAACAACGTACATAGCCAAGCATCCCATCCATCCTCTCGGCCCAAGATCGTGACTACCTGAAAGGAAAATCGAGGCCTGTCATCCGGGTCATCACATGATAGTTACTACCCTCCCTCTGTGGGATGACCGCGGTCTGCAATTACCGCCATGGCGTGATGCAAGGCAGACAGCTGGTCCCTTGGGCTTGGTTCTTCCGATCTCCAGAAAGCCTTCAGGGACGCGTCCCGTCGTTCCCGTGAGGTCGGCTCGCTCATGTCAGATGCGGTGCATTTGTTACCAGGCAGTCAAGGTCTGCAGGCTGCAAGACGGACGGGCCCAGTCCCAAGATTCGGATCCTAGAGGATCTGCTTTCCCCACGGGCGCGTTGTGGAGAGCATGGGACCTGGCCAGAAGCGGGAAGCGGTAGATGGCTGAGTTGGGAATCGATGAATTGGGAAGAACGACGAGGGGTGTGTTTGCCCAAACGGCGGGAATGGAGGGGTTCGATTGGCGGATCCCCATCGGGAATGCGTGGTGGTGGGGTGGCATGGCTCGGCGTAACATCTATACCAATTCTGGTACGGAACGAATGCAGTGACACGAGTCAGATATTCCAAGAGAAAATCGAATGATGCGACGGATGCTCCAAAAACATATTATTCTTCAAGAAGCCCATCAGATGCGGGGTAAACGCAGTGGTTGGTATATAACATAGGGGGTATCGTGGAAGAAGTGTCGAGCATAAGAGTAGCTGGGTCAACAAGTAATCCAGTGTCTTTATGCTCTGTGTCATCTCTTCTTTCATTCCATTATCTCATCTCTTATGTCTTCTCTTCCTCCTTCCTTCCTTCTTCCCACAATAGAATGACTAGATGCAGGTCATTATGGTACTCGAAGCCGAGCCACCAACGGAAGCACTCAGTCCAATGTCACTTAGATACCAGAAGTGGTCGCACCGACGTTGATGACGTTACCAGCCTCGTCGACAGCAACCTTTGTCTTCTTGGTAGACTCTTTCCTGGGGTTGGGAGCCTCAAAGATGGACTTGAGCTCTTCCAGTGTCTTTCCAGCAGTCTCGACGAAGAAGAAGTAGATGATTGCCATTTCAATGCACTACAACTCGTCAGCAACCGAATCGGTCAATTTTCAAGAGGGTGGGCATGAACTTACAATCCAGGCAATGTAGACGAGGTACAGCTTCCATGCAATCTTCTCCATACCGACGGAGATACCATAGGTGTTGATCATGATAGCGACATTCAGGAACAGGAATGAAAGTCCAGATCCCTTAGCGCGCGTGCGGTTCTCAAGACACTCGACAGCATACAGCGTCTGAAGCGGCGTGAAACCCCAGGCGAAGCAGATGCCAAAGATGTAAATGGAGACAATGACGCCGTACGAGAGGTTCTTGTGGTTCGCCGACTCGGCGGTGAAGGCCGTGAGCATGACGTAGGAGGCGAGCGAGCCGGTCAAGCCAGCCAGCATCATGAAGCGGCGGCCGAGCCTGTCGAGGAGGGTCGCGCCCCAGATGGCGGCGATCATGGAGAAGATTGGGTTGATGGCGTTGAGGAGGAGTTGGGTGTTGTCGTCGGTGATGCCGGCTTGCTTGAACATCTCGGGCATGAAGTAGGATACGACGTTGTTTCCACTGTAATGAAGGCATGATTAGTTATCGGTGAACGCTGTGAAGTCGCTAGTGGAGGGTATCACTTACGACCACTGGCCGATGAAAGCCATGGCAATGACCATGAAAAGTCTGTACCGGCGGGCCTTGGTGTTGAAGAGCTCCTTCATCTGCCACCAGGGGTTCTCGTCGGTGGTCGAGCGGTGATCCGCGATGATTTCGTGGTACTGGAGCTGCACGATGGGGGAGTTCACGTCGCCGTCACCGTGGTACTTGGCCAAGATGGCGAGCGCCTCCTCTGCACGATCTTTTGAAATGAGCCATCGAGGGCTTTCGGGGAAGAACATGATGAATATCATGACTACTGCGGGCATACCAGCCTGGACGACGGTGGGGATTCTCCACGCCCAGCTTGTTTTGACGTGGTAGTTCGCTCCGTACTATGATGATCGGTTAGGATGCTTGGCCCCCTGCGATACAAGGCGGTGTTACTCACGGTAGTCCAACCAGCCAGAATATTCCCAAGCCACCAAAAGTTGTTGTAAAGACCAGCCATGGTTCCACGAGCGGAAGGGTGCGCCAGCTCAACGACGTAAGCAGGTCCGGCAGCGGAGGCAACTATGCCATGTTAGAGATTGGGATTTGCATGGGCTTTGGCGGAAAGGGGCACGACATACGAGAAGCTCCAAAGCCGAGGACAAATCGGCCTGCCACAAACTGTCCCAGGTGATTGGCAGGTGCTTGGATAGCTGTGCCGATGAGAACAATGAAGCAGCCGACGAAGATGCAGAGTCTTCGACCCCAGCCATCTGCGATCATACCACAGAACGGGAAACTGCAAATTTGGCCGACCTGGTAGATCATGAAGACGATGCCAGTTGTGGAACCGGCGCTCGAGAGTCCGAAGGTCTCTTGATAGGGTGGCATTGCGTTGATCGCTCCCATGAGGGACGAGTCTTAAAGACTAGCGTTAGCTGGTGAAGCTATATTCGGTTCACTGCGTGGTGTGTAAACTTACCGAAGCCGTTCATAGTCGAAACCTGACGAAGGCAATATCGTTAGCTCATCTCATCCAACAGGAGGGGCATGGGAAGCCTTACAAGATAGCCGATCGCCATGATGCCGTACAACTTGATCATGTTGGGCGACCACCAGTTGACTTGCTGCTCCGCCATGGCGGCAGCCAACGCGACGGAGGCGGCATTGATCTCCTTCACCTCGCCGACGGCGGCCTTCTCAACGTACACGGGCGGCTCATTGTCATGTTCGACTTCGGCCTGGCCTTTGAATTCGTCTTCGAGTTTTGCCATTGTGGCTCGGGGATTGGGCACTGAACCGCAGCGCACTCGTTTCTGTTACTTTGCTCGAAGGGGAGGCAACTGGGGAGAGCAGACGCGCGCGCGAGAGAGATGCGCGGGATGGGCCGATTCTTTTAAAGGAAGAGGAAAACCTGGGCAAGGCGTGGGATCAACAGACAGGGACGCTTGTCAACGATGGCCCAACCAACGGGTCGGTGTCCATCCTCGAACTACGGAGTACCGTTACACGAGGAGCTTCCCCATCTCGGGGCCTCCCACACCGTAGACTCGGCGGCCCCCAGTCCCTAGGATATGGGGTTAACGTTGGTGGTGGTTCCCCACCTACCGGGAGACGACCAGGCAATGGGCTGGTTTACACGGGGAAGACGGAGCCGCGGCACGTGGACGATATTCTAGCGGAGTCTTGCGGCGTCTCGATGGGGCATAAGAAGAAAGGATATGACATGATCCGTTCTTTCGTTCGTAAGTCGTTACTAGCGATTCAACGGCTGCTCTAGCACTTGGTAAAAGACGGCGCCAACTTTGAAAGACGGACCTCCTCCGCACGACTTCGCCTCCTCATGGTTACCCCATCTCGCCCGGATTCAAACCCCAGCTGTCGGAGAACAATTTGAGCCTTAGCGTGGCAGAAATTCAGAATGCGACGTGTGATTCGTGTGGTTATCCATGTCAATGTCAGATGCAAGGCAGCACGAGAGAACCGAGATGGGTTGTAACTTGCTAGTGAGGGGAAGCCAGCTCAAAATGTACATGCCACGCGCCGGTTTCCGGTTTGGATGATGAGCAGCGTCAGCCAAGGCACGTCGAACCAACGGAAGAGAGAGAGATGGTGGCGGCGGCAGGCCGATGCAGTCCCGGCACGATGCCCGGCAAAAATGCCCGTCGCGCTACTCTGGAGCAAGTTTAGGTTGTGACGGATGCGGCGCAGTAAGATCAAAATTGTGTCGCCGCAAGTCAAAACAGTTCAAACATCGGGCCACACTCGCTAGGCTCTAGGCTCTAGGATAGTATCCGTACTGTCAAGCATGTCACGGAAGAATGCCGAGGCTAACAGCCCATGGCAAGGTGGTTGGGTAAACCGTAACACAAAAAGAGGTAAAATAAGAGAGGTAAGAAGAAAAAAAAAAAGCTCGGGAAAAGGAGGAACAAAGTCCGGCTGGAGAGACTCCCCCGAACCCCAGACGGGGTTGAAGGCCGAGGCCACAGTTCGGCGCTAGCCCCGACTGGGGAATTGCGGGTCCGGGGATTGGAATGTTGGACCCTGGCGGAACGTACCGCTTCATGAGGAGAAGCAGAGGATTGGTCGCTGGACACGATGCAGGAATGGAGAAATCCTCGAATGGAGCCCCAGCATGACTCGGGACTTGGTCTAGAACAGAGAGCGAACGGTTCGTGTAACGCAGAGGATTCGGGAGGCTAGAATCGGGGGTCTGGTGATGCGTGGAGCGGTTGATATTTCATCCTTTGAAAAGAGCAACAGTCCCAACTCGCACCATTTTGAAGATTGAAGGTTGAAGATGTTGCCTGAGGTGCTCACAGTCGGAGCTAAGCACGCTTACCTTAGGTAAAAAGTAGAGAATATCCGAAATGCTCCCGGCCGGCGCTTGGAGTCATCTCAGGCACCCAGACCCTCCAGGTGTTCGGTCGACATCCCATGAGCGAAACAGGCACTGACATGACATGTCACGTGCAACTTGGTTTACTCCTGCAGGACAATACGTACTGCTTCCTTCTTGGCCTCAGGAATCAGAAAGAGAAACAAAGAACCTCAGGTTCTCAGGCCCCCCCAAGTTTAAACTCCAACTCTGAAGCATTACCTAAGCCCCCTCGGCCAATCATCAGCTACCCCGCTTCCCCCAATCCTTCCCCTTGCAGCTGGTTCCTCGTGATTCCCCCGCACTCCCTGACGCTGCACCGTCTCAGGTCGGGTGCTCAGGTGACGTTCCTGACCTTGGAATCCTGACACCTGGGAGCTCGGCTCGTATGAAGATGGTGCCAGAGGCCCAGAGCTCACCTCAAAGGGCCAAGGTATCGGCCCAGCTCCAATCCTCAAAGCTCCAATCGCCATCCTCTTCCTCCACTTCCGCAACCTCCATGTCACCGCTTGCAAACCTCCACCCACTTTCAACAGCTCATTATCGTGTGTAATTTACCTGCTATCTACACTACACTACACTACACTACACTACACTACGCTACTCAAGATACCGACTTGCATGCCCCGTCAATTCCTCATCTCCGTTGATCGTGTCTCCACCGTCCCCGTCTTTGCCTGTCCCTTGAATCCACATCCGCATCCTCCTCCGCCTCGGTCGCCGGTGCCGAGCTCTGTACCATCACCACCACCATGTCCGAGATCTCCGATGACTACGTCGACATCTCTTCCGAGACTGACCTCCATCTGAGTGTCTACATGGAGAAGCTAGGCCGCCATCGCCGTTTGGGTAGCTCGTCAAGTGAGGGCTCATCCACCGCCGGACCCTCCAGAGAAGAGACAACCACCACCGTTGTTGAAGCTCCAGTTCACTCGTTCCCAAAGAGCCTCCCTGATTGGAGCAACCTCAAAGTGCTCCATCGCAATACCCTTCCACCACGGAGCTACTTCTTCCTGTACAACACCGAAGAGGATGCCCTCACCAGGGATACCTCCAAGTCCAAGTCCCTCCTTCTTTCCGGAAAATGGAAATTCCACTTGACCACATCGCCCTTCCATGAACCCCGGGACTTTTACAAGACCGACTATGACACTTCAGAGTGGGACGACATCGTCGTACCCGGCATGTGGCAATGCCAGGGCTACGGCAAGGGCCCTCAATACACCAATCTCAACTTCCCATGGCCCGTTGATGCACCCAACGTCCCCTACGATGACAATGAATGCGGCCGGCATGTGACGACCTTCCAAGTTGGTGACGATTTTGCGGATCACCAGCTGAGACTGCGCTTCGAGGGTGTCGACTCTGCCTTCACCGTCTGGGTCAATGGCAAGGAAGTCGGTTATTCTCAGGGAGCTCGTAACCCCAGCGAGTTCGACGTCACGGACTTTGTCAAGGTTGGCGAGGACAACCTGCTCGCCGTCGAGGTCTACCAGAGATGCGACGGCACCTACCTCGAAGACCAGGATCAGTGGTGGCTCAGCGGCATCTTCAGAGATGTCTACCTCCACGCTTTCCCCAAGTTCCATCCCATTGACTACCACGTCCACACCCTGCTCGACGATGACTACAAGGACGCCACCTTGAAGGTCGACGTCGAGATGAGCCAGGGCGCGTACGTCGATATGAAGCTCCTCGACGCCGACGGCAAGCTTATCGCCAAGGACATGAAGATCTTTGACCGGCACAATAGCTTCGACATCCGCGTCAAGAACCCGCACAAGTGGACGGCCGAGACTCCGTACCTCTACACCCTGGTCCTCAACTTCAAAAAGTGCAGCCTGGTCCAGCGCGTGGGTTTCCGCCGCGCCGAGCTGGTCAAGGGGGTCTTCAGCATCAACGGCGATCCCATCAAGATCCGCGGCGTCAACCGTCACGAGCACCACCCGGACTCGGGCCGTGCTGTGCCTTACGACTTCTTGAAGCGTGACCTGCTCCTGATGAAACACTTCAACGTCAACGGCATCCGCACCTCGCACTACATCAACGACGCGCGTCTCTACGACCTGGCAGACGAGCTCGGTATTTGGATCCTCGATGAGGCCGACCTCGAGTGTCACGGCTTCGGCGTCCTCGGCAACGCGGGCGAGAGCTGGGCCACAGATAACCCGGACTGGAGGGAAGCCTATGAAGATCGCGCGAGGCAGATGGTCCAGCGCGACAAGAACCACGCCTCGGTCATCATGTGGTCCCTCGGCAATGAGTCCTTTTACGGACGGAATCACCAACACATGTACGACGTGATCAAGAGCATCGACAAGTCCCGGCTCGTTCACTACGAGGGCGATTGGAACGCGTCGACGGCGGATATTTACAGCCGGATGTACGCCTCTGCCGACGATATTATCAACACGGCGTCGCAGAAGGACTGGGCTAAACCGCTCGTGCTTTGCGAGTACATCCACGCCATGGGCAACGGGCCCGGCGGTATCAAGGAGTACATTGACGCCTTTTACAAGTACCCGCGCCTGATGGGAGGTTTCGTCTGGGAATGGGCCAACCACGTCAGATACCCCTTTCTCACATCCCTTGATCCCATACTAACAACTTCCAGGGTCTGCGTACCAAGAACGATGATGGCGAGGAGTACATGGGCTACGGAGGCGACTTTGGTGACGTTCCCAACGACTACAACTTTGTCTTTGACGGCCTCTGCTTCGCCAACCACACACCCACCCCAGGTCTGATCGAATACGGCAAGGCCATTGAGCCCGTTCAGACGCTCGAGATCAAGGACAACGAAGTCACCATCATCAATCGCTACGATATCGTGTCTTTGGACCATCTCACCGCCACCTGGCACATTGTCGCCGACGGTATGGTCATCGGCGGTAATCAGGAGGTGGAAATCCCCAAGGGTTCGTTGCTCCCTCTGTCACCTCTCTCCATTCCATGGTATCCAGCCCAGCTAACACATCACAGGCATCAAGCCTCACACCAAGGCCCACCTCAAGATCAAAGGCCTCCCCAAGAACCTCACCGCCGAAGCCTACCTCCATATCGACTTCTTCCTCGCCAAAGGTACAAACTGGGCCAAGGAAGGCCACCGCGTCGCCTTCGGCCAGCTCCCACTCTCCAAACCCCCCTCCATGTCCACGATCCTCTCCTCCCTCTCCAACCCCTTCCTCGACCCCGTCCCCACAATCCAACAAACCTCCCCCTCCCACCTCTCCATCACCTCTGCAACAGGCCTTTCAACCTGGGGCCTCGACCTCCAGCTCGGCACCCTCACCTCCTGGCGCAAGGCCTCCCGCCCACACCTCGAGCTCCTCACCTCCCCCTTCGTCATGGACTTCTACCGCGCCCTCACCGACAACGACCGCGGCGGCCGCTTCGGGCAGCAGTGGGAGGACCGCAGACTCCACCAGACGAGCCACAACATCAAGCGCGTAGAGTGGCGCAAGGAGAAGCACGGCCTCGTCGTCAACGTCCACTCGCGCATCGCGCCGCCCGTTCTGGCCTGGGGCGTCGACACCTACACCACCTTCACCTTCCACGGCGAGGCCGTCTACGTCAAGATCAAGGGTAAGCCCAGCGGCCCGCTGGTGCCGGATACCTTTGCCCGCATCGGCTTGACGTTCGGCCTCAAGGGCGTGGACAAGGTCGCGTGGTGGGGTCGCGGCCCCGGCGAGAGTTACTCGGACAAGAAGATGGCGCAGGCGTTCGGGAACTGGGAGGAGACGGTCGACGACCTCTTTGTAGACTACGAGTTCCCACAGGACGGCGGCAACAGGACCGACGTCCGGTGGGTCGAGTTCCGCGGACAGCTGCCCGATGAAGAGAACGGCGTCGTCGATAAGAGCAAGCCCGCTGAGCGTCTCGTCCGCGCACGCTTCGGCGATCTGGAGGGTGCCTCGTTCTCGGCCATGCACTACACCACCAAGGACCTGGATGAGTGTAAGCACCCGTACGAGCTGTACAAGCGCAAGAGGGAGGACACGGTCGTCAGGCTGGACTGGGCGCATCACGGTCTCGGGACCGGGTCCTGTGGACCGGCGACGCTGCCGGCGTATGAGCTCAAGAGCAAGGATTTTGAGTTTGAGCTTGTTCTGGACTAGGGGCTGGGTGTGATGGATGTATGTGCAGCTTAAAGTTGAGACTGACATGAAAATGTAAAATATGTGTTGTCACGTGGCTGCGTAAACTAGACATCACCATTGCGGCGCACAAAGTCTCGAATGATTAACATCAGTCATAGCATTACCGTAACTCCATGCACCCCTTTCCACCAGCCTACTCACTCCCGTTTTAAAACCGCCCGAAAACTCAAACATATTGATACGCCCCAATCTCAACCTTACTCTCCACAAGAATCAAACCCTCCATGGCCGTACACTGACTATCCCAATCAACACCCCACTCCCGATGCTCATGCTGCGACGTCCACCGCACCCTCACAAACGAGTACTTCTTGCCCTCAATCGGACACGAATAGAAAAACGGCCTCGCGGACGCGGCCGGGTCGCCAAGGTTAATGAACTTGAGCAGCCGGAGCTTCTTGGTCGCGTCTGCGGGATCCCAGATCATGACGGTGTTGAAGCAGTTGACGTTGGAACCGTCAGGCATGGTCATCCAGGTGCGGGCGTCGCCTGCGGTGTAGCTTATTACGCCAAAGGGGTCGAGGTAGACGAGTTGGCCGTGGGACATCATGGACTTGAGGGGCCCGGTGTTAGTCGAGAGAAGGTACCGTAAGGTAGGAACCAGCGACGGAAGGGAAAGGGGAGCGACGCTGATTAGGGACGGAGAACGAACCTTGAGCCTGCCAAAGACGCCGTCTACGACGGTGGTGTTGCCTTCTGGGCAGGCTGCGCCGCTGAAGTCCGGACACCATGTCGTCGGTCTCTCGAGGCCGATCCAGAAGCGTTCGTCTTCGGCGTTGACGAGCTTGTCGTGGACTTTTGGTTCGGAGGGGGCGTATGTGCGGAGTTGGTAGGAGGCGGCGGATGCTAGGGTTGTGCTGATGGCTAGCAGGGAGAGGAGTTTGGTCAACATCTTGTCGTTTTTGGTCAAACTGTGACTACTTAGGTTGCGTCATGTATAAAGCCCGTGAAGGGGGCGAGGGGAAAGGCGAGCAAGGAAGAAGGGAAAGCAGGGAGGAGGACGTTGTAGGCTGAGGCCGTTGGCCTGGTCTTATTGCCCGGCTCATAGACCATTAAGGTAGGAAGATATTGAGATTGTGTCCTGGTTTGACCGTCAAGGTAAGCCACAGCCTTCAGAGTACATGAGCGTTGAGTGGCGGACACAGATTCAACGTCCTGGTGGTGAGCTATAGTTGGTCAGATAAGTGGAATATTGCCTGGACATCCAAGCCTATTCACAGATCAGGCGTGTCAAGTTCGTTCTCAGATGAAAGTAAGCTAACAAAGAGAAGCGGTTCCCCGGATTATCGGTACTACTCAGTTTCATGTGTGATTGCGAGATGATGTTGACTTTATTGAAGCTTAATTCTGAGTTGGCCATTATGCAATTTGTGCCTATTGCTCTATGAAGGTGCTTGCTGGAGGTGGGACGTCAGCTCGCGTCGACTTCTTGTGGTGGTTTCCTTTATCTTGGTGATCGTGATAGCCTCAGATCTCATGTCAGCTGTCACCAACATGTCACCAACAAGGAGGTACAGACGTGTCGAACACTATTTTCCGGGCCATGAATCCACAGTTGCAGTGCGCTGAGTCGCCACCCCTGGCACTGCAGAAGAATTGATGTAAACGCAATCCGTGCTATCCGCGCATACGATCACGACTTTAGCTTGCGAAACACGCGACATTTGCGCACTATAATCGGCGGTATGCAGCGGAAGGTTGGCCGAAGAGAGGCTTTCAATCGCATCGTGAACAATCAGCAGGTTTTGAGTAAACCGCCAGAATAGAGACAGACACGAGGGGCATTGCAGTAGCTTCAACAAATGAAATGTGATTAATGAAGTGTAAATAGCTAAGCAGTCGCTCGCTCATCTACGCGCTCTAACCGGCCAGAACCAATGCACCCAAACGCCAGCCAATACCAGTCTGTCTATCCTCTTGACACTCTAGATCTTTCTAGACCTCTTTTTACAAAGACTCCTCCTTGTGAATCTCAATACCCGCAGGCGCGCCAACCAACGTCTTGCACTGCGCGTAAATGACGAATTGACCGGCAACCAGACCGCACGTCATGACGATACGGGGTCCCAGACCAGTAAGAAGCAGCCTCTTGGGACCAAACTCCTTGGCAAGCTGGAACATGCGGCTCGTGGCGCCCTGCTTCGGGTCTCCCGCACCCTTGTTGATGGCGGAGAGTAACGTATCGGCAGGATGCGAAAGCACAGCGGCCGCGACACCAGCAACGACACCAGACGCAAGCTCCACACCAGTAGACTGCAGCTGCGTCATCTCGGCCTTCCTCTCAGGTCCCATGGACCGGTAAATCACCTCGACAGCAGCCTCATGCACAGAGAACTGGCCAACGGCATACGGCACCTGCTTAAACAGCAACGGCACAAAGCCAGAATAGAACCCCCTGAACCCTTCCTCGCGCGCAAGACGCATAAACCCGGACCCCAAGCCTGTCGCGAACCCGCGCTGGGAAACGAGACGGATGCGCGTCGCCTCGAGCGGGCACAGCAGGATATCGGCAAAGAATTCGGCGGTGGCGGAGGCGCCGAGGTAGATTGCGGTGCGCTTGTCGACGGCCTTATCGGGACCGCCGGCGAGGGTGATGAATTGCTTCTTGAAGAACTCGTAGCCGGCGAATTTACCGCCGCCCTGGACGAGGTAGCCGACGGCGGTGGGGCCGAAGCCGGTGAGGAGGGCGGAGGCGCCTTCTTTTGCGACGATTGTGCGGCCTGCGTTGATCATGTTGAGGCCCTTCATTGCGTCGTCGACTTGGATTCGCGTCTTGACGACGTCGATTGGTGTCGCGGCCTGTGGTGAGTGTGAGCATCTGCATTGAGGTCTATCTGTTGTGGTGGTTCCAGCTTACACCGTGTGTGAGGGTCGCCGCGAGGGCGCCTGCGCCAAAGAACTTTCCATAGTCGACTGGTGAGAAGGTTGGGAGTTCCGACTGTGATGTTTTTGATGCCATTTTTGGAGTGGAGATTTTTCTGACGATATTCCTGAAGAAAAAAGAAGAAATTGTGCTGCGATTGTAGGTGATACACAAACAGACAGGAATGTGGCTGGCCGAGGAGTAATAAACGGGCAGGAAGGTACTGCTCTCTCCTCCGTCGTCATTGCTCCCGTAGCTCCCCCAGCTAGCTACCCAGCTCCAATTGCCTTGGCTTTTTCAGGGGTGCTGTGGGGCCGATATGTGGAGCTGAGTCATCAATCAGTGAGCGCGCAATGACGTCGATGTCCCGTTATCTCCCAAAGACGGCAGCCGCGACTGAATGCCCGCCGGACCTCTCGGGAACCAGAACCAGAACCAAACCAACAAGACTCGACTCGCGCCAAATTCCATCGCTCATTTTCGGTACTTGGGACGGGCACTTCAGCTGAGAAAAGATTTTTCTTCCTACGGGTACCCTTGACGACATTCTCGCCCTCACTAACACACTCTGGATCCCGAACTCCTTGCCCACCTTTTCTTTGCACCCGACAAGCTCCGTGGTGTGCCGTTCGTCCCGATGTGCGGCTGCTCCCGGGCCGCGATTTCAGGCGAGACTCCGACGCCGACAATCGGGACTGCGTCGATCTCGGGGTTCAAGAGCAGAAGCTTTGGCGTTCCCGTGTCCCTCTTTTTCATCGAATGAGATTGTGTTCATCTGTCATCTTGCTTCTTCGGGCCTGCGATTGTATGTGTGGGTGGGCATCCAGCGATGCTTGCCTAATAATTGGACTGCCGGCCAACGGGTCTGTCTACCTACCAGAACAAGCAGACTACCGGTGTTGCATTTTCTCTTTACTCTTGCCTGCTCTTGTTCTTGAGAGTTGTGACACAAAGTGGGCTTCGAGCGAGCAATCTCTCTGCCGGCATTCCCATATATAACATGCGCTTAGAGCAATCGAAGTCGCACGTATTCGGCAATCAGGGCAAACGACGGTTTCGAGAAGCAGTGTCTGGCGAGAAGTCAAGACCGGGACAGGTGCCTCCTACTTCGTCAAGATGAAGACCTTGGGCGTTGGAATTCCACGACTGGGCTGATCAACACTGGGAGGTACGGGTTAAGAACTGACGCCGCTTCTCTCGGATCCAGGCCCCGAAGTAACGTTCAAAATAGGTCAGCCAGTTGTTGAGATCAATCGCTGGGCTTTTCCCCTCACAATCTCCAGTACTCCTATACAGACATCGTCGCATCTCTCCTCGAGATCCGCCGCCCCCGTAAACCAACGACCACCCGGCCTGTCAGCACCGATGACGGTCCTGTACGGAGGTGTGCAGGGTGACGAAGTGTCCGACTTAGCGGGAAATCGCCTGACTCGGTTTTCCGGCGGGGTCCCAAGCACCCTAAAAGGGCAATGTTGAACGACGCTTGCCCCCAACCAACTTCTCCCAATCCGCATATTTTGTTGTCACGCCTCATTTGCAGCAAGATAGCACGCATCGTATCAGATAAGAGGCCATTGTCTGATATCTCGTACTTGAGGGGCTTTCCAGATCGTATGCCTTGTGTCTATGGTCGATCACGGTATCCGAAAGCGCAATGTTACGACTCGCGATCGCACCGGCTGCGTGACCTGTCGCACCCGGAGGTTGAAATGCGATGAAAAGAAGCCTCATTGTAACAACGCAAGTCAACGTCTCGCCAGTGTTTTCAAGTTTGGCTCTGACTCTGGCTACATCTAGTGCACAAGACTCAATCTCGAGTGCGGCGGTTATGCAACACCAATCAAGTTCAAAGACCAGACAGATCTGCTGAAGCGGCAGCATGGGAGAAAACGCAAGGAAAAGGCACAAACGCCAGCTCCCAGTGAGCCGTCGTCATCGTCGCATGCCCCGGAAACTGTAGAGCCGGCAGCACAGTCGCACCAAGTTGTTGGATTAGTTGCGATACCAGGAGATGAGACCTTCCACTCAGCCAACGAAAGCATTGAAACCTTTGACGACTCACAACAGTTGTCCCGCTATGAGGCAGCAACGTCACTAGCCCTGATATCTGGAGGGGTTCTCCAGGATTCTCCGCTGCCTAGCAATCCGAGCCATGCGGAAACGCTCTCTTTCTACACGTCGTTTGGCGATACGACTGTCCAAACTGATGAAGCCTTTGGTGGAGAGGATAATGGCAATACGAATGATGGGACAAACACCCCTTACGGAGACGTAGTCACTCTAAGCTCCACGCCGGCATACCCGCGGATGGACTCGCCCTTGCTGCGACAGCGACAATCAGAACAGGCGAATCGACAGTTGAATTCAGTGCCAACAATCCCAGTCGGCTTGTTGGAGAGCGCCAAGTTTGCCGAAGACATGGTGTTTTACCAACATTTCACGGATACTTCGCCGTACGGTACCCTCTCAATTTTGTCACTTAACGATATCCTACAGGCCGACCATCTCGATAAGGCCTTCTTCCACGCTGCACTGGCCCTAGCGGCACTGGACATTTCTCAGGCAAGGCCAAATGAAGCGCTGGGCAGCAAGGCGGCACTGCAAGCCCTTGACCATTTCGTTACTGCCCTTGGTACAGTGCGTATGGCACAGCTCGACGATGAGGGGGTCGCGACGGGCTGTCCGCCGAACCAAGACAATGCAATCTCATGGCTGGCGACTCTCTTGCTGCTAGCCAACTTTGAACTGCAGAGAGGCCAGATGAAGTTGTGGTACATCCATAGCCGGGCTGCAGTCACCTTTTTGTCCCAACACCTCAACCGTGTGCAAGATTCACCCGTGGGAGAGTAGCTCATCCGGTCATTCTCTAGAATCGCCGCGCTTCTGGATATCTTTGATAGAGCATATTCTGTACGCTACAGCATAGCATCACCAGACGTCTCGGACTCCCTGAGTAGATCACTTGTCAACTCACCGCACTCGGCTGACAGGCTGCTCTTCATTTTGCCTCGGGTCATTAAGCTGGAAGAGGAGTGGAGGAGCAACCCACAACATGACCTCCACTGGCGAGAACAAGCAGAAGGCCTCATCCAGGAACTGGAAGCCTGGCGGAGGACTCTGCCTGACTGCGACGTGCCGCCTCTGCACGAGCACACCGCAAGCCCTTACAACGAAGACGTAGAAGGGCCCGGCATCTCCATCAGACCCCTCAGCATCCCGTACGCGCCCGAGCCCGTCAAGGCAGCAACAACCTTCATGCACTACCTCGTATCCCTCCTCCGCTTGGAAACGAGATACCTCCCAGGCGCAGTGCGCCAACTACCCCCCAACGCGAAGAAAATCGTCCTCCTCGTCCTCCGCCTCGCAGCAGGCGTCCCCTACGCCTCCTGCGCAGCCGTCAACACCTACTCCCACGGCATGGTCGCTGCGATAATGAACTGCTACTACATGTCGGAGGAGCAAGAGGTCAAAGACTGGGTCAAGAACTGGATCGCCGGGTTCCCGCGCGATAGGGAGGGCATCTGGAACGTGCGGCACGCGCACAGGGTGTTGAATTACGTCGACCAGGAGTACACTCGTCGCGGCTCGCGCTATAATTGGGAGATTGTCAAGGTGCGACTGATCGATCTCGAGACGGACGCCACGCCGAGCGAGGACGAGGAGACGGACCCTGACAAGTTTTCGGTCGAGATTTATTCGCGGTGTAAGCGGGGCTGGAGCATTGACTTTGTAGAAATACCATAATAGGAAATCGGGAACGCCTAACTGCGTTCGCCAATGATGACTCGACTTTCCTAAGCTGAGAGGATCTCGGAATGCGGGCTCGGTATCCGATGACATGCAGGTCCCATCGCCGAGAATTTCTGTGTGAAATTTTCTGCATGACAGACGCCGGCCGGCGGGCCTCCGGTCGTGGACCGATCGGTGTGGAGACTTTTAGCGTGCTCGTCGTTCTCATTTACCGTATTGGGTAACTTCAACATCGTTCAGATTTGGCGTGTCTAGCTCATCTTACCTTGCCTTCGCGATAACTGAGCCTCAGCTCGAGCTAGAGAGTGATGTCAGGTAATACAACATCATGTAAGATTTTTTATTATAAGGTACATGGATAAGCGCTCTCAATTTACAACTCAGATGAACAACAAAATACCTCTAGATCTTAAAGAGAGCGCAAATCCACTTCAAGGGTCTTGAAATCGAGCCCTAAGGTAGTTGACGACGGAACGCTATTTCTCTACACATATAGACAGTCTTCATATCCATCTTCGTTCTTACTCAACATTCGAAACTTCAGGATGAGTCCCAGCGCAACTAGTACCTCTTCAGCAACATTGCAAAAAGCGAGTGGCCAGTTCGACAATGAACGCCAATATACAGAGTTGGACGCCTCCAAGATGGTCAAGGAGCTTGTACCCGAGAAAGACCAACTTCCAGTTCCAGATGCCCACGATCCCGTGAGACTCGGCCAGAACTACACCACGGCACACATGGTCCAGGTCCCATGGTCTATGCAAACCGGCTGGGGAACACCCGTGATGAGTCCCTACGGCAAGATCGCCTTGGAGCCAACAGCAAGTGTCCTGCAACATGCCACCGAGTCTTTCGTAAGTCCAAGTATTCCAACAGAATGAACTCTCTCCATGCAAATACACTTCACCCTGCTATACAATACCAACAACAACTAACGCCCTCACCAGGAAGGAATGAAAGCCTACCGAGGCCACGACTCCAAACTCCGCCTCTTCCGCCCCGACCTCAACTGCGCCCGCCTCCTCAAATCAAACGCCCGCGTAGGTCTCCCCTCCTTCAGCCCCTCCGCCGTCCTCCAAATCATCACAACCTTCCTCGCAACAGAATGCCCCCGCTGGCTCCCAGACCCCGGCACAAACCTCTACATCCGCCCCGCCATGGTCGGAAGCGGCTTCGCGCTGGGTATAAACCAGCCCCCCGAAGCCCTCTTCTTCCTCTTCGCCGCGCTCTTCCCGCAGGCTTCTTCGGGCCTGCCGCACCCGGGCATCAAGTTACTCGCCAGCAGCCCCGAGCATATTCGTGCCTGGCCTGGTGGGTTCGGATCTGCCAAGGTGGGTGCGAATTATGGGCCTGCTATGGTTTCGCATGCGAAGGCGAAGGAGAGGGGGTGTGGTCAGACGTTGTGGTTGTTTGGGGAGGAGAGGGTTGTTACGGAGGCTGGGGCGAGTAATTTCTTTGTTGTTTGGAGGAGGAAGGGGGGTGAGGGGTTGGAGCTTGTGACTAGTTCGTTGGATACGGAGGTTATCCTGGATGGTATCACTCGGAGGAGTGTGTTGGAGATTGCGAAGGAGAGGCTGACGGGGGATTCGACGGGTGGTGCTGAGCTGGCTCCGCTGGAGGTTGTTGAGCGTCCGTTTACCATGGGCGAGGTTGTGGAAGCGTATGAGGATGGGCGGCTGGTTGAGGCGTTTGTTTCTGGTACTGCGGTAAGTCTGACCTCTCTTTATCTAGATTCCCAAGTTCCCTCGGTTAACATTTATGTTGCAGATGTTCATCACTCCGGTTTCTATGATCAAGTATGGGGATACTGAGATCCAGTTTCCGATGACGGTCACCGAAGAGGGGTATAAGACACCGCGCTCAGTGTACTCTTCCGTCATCAAGTCTTGGTTGGAGGATATTATCTACGGCCGAGTGAAACATGAATGGGGTTATGTCGTTGCTGAGGAGTAAACTGTCGTTTAGGAATGGACTATTTGCATTTTCAAAGCAAGTACATGACAGCCGACACGAAAAGGTCAAGGTGTAGTCGCCTTTAGAGAAGAAACAGCATTTCCTGTTTACTTAGATTTCAAATAGTTGAGAACTGTGCTCCAACTTGTTAGAAGTTATGTCCGTCACTGCTTTCGGAGTAAGACGTGTGTATTTTTCTTGATGAAAGTAAGGTACTGTTGATCATGGCAGTATGGCTAGTGTTTGGAACGGGTCAGTGCGAGTCAATTGCCCTCAGTAGAGATACTAGATGCACTGATTAATCCAAAGAATGAGTTTATCGAGGCATTCATTGAGGCTTATTTATGATTGATGAAGGAGAAATGGCCAGTAGCGTATTCTCAACAACAATCTACCGCAGTTTGGATCCAATCCACATGCACAAATCGACGTAACTGTTAAGCAACTTTTTCTTAATCTAAATCACAACGATCATGTTTGATGACTGCATGAATTGGTATTTCTCAAATACATCTTTTAGCATAGTACCATAGGTACGATCCTTCAAACCCGTGCCTATTTAAAACTCCCAGCTTTAAGTCAAATCAGAAGAGGCAAAGAAGCCATCTACACACTTCATGGCCATTAATACATGATTCTGTCTATTCATCAGCAAAACCAATCATACTGCAAAACGGGGTGGAGCGCTTACCTTCATCGAATCGTGAGTGAGTCCTCCGAGATGAGGTAGAAGTGTCACACAGTCGTGCTTCAGTAACTTCGGGTTCACAATCGGTCTCATTCCGTCAGCTTTGCATGCTCAGTATGAGGGGTTACTGAGAAACTTACTCGTTGTAATGGACATCAAGCCCAGCCAACGCGACAGTGCCGTCCTCTATGGCATCACACAACGCTTCCTCGTCTATGCAACGGCCTCTAGCCACATTGACAATCCGAATACCCCTCTTCATTCTAGAGAAGATATCCGCCGACAGGAGGTGGTGCGTAGTCGGAGAGTAAGAGCATGACAGAACCAAGCAATCCACGGAAGCAACGAGATCCCCAAGATCCTTGTGAAATATCACAGGTGGCAAAAGCCCCTTGACGTACTCATCCTCATTCTTCAAAGCTTCCAAGACTCTTCGAAGATTGGGCCTATCGATGCAGTGAACCTCCATTCCGAGGGCAGCCGCCTGTCTTGCGACGGTTTGGCCGATGGAACCCATGCCGATAACGCCGAGCTTCTTCCCAAACGGGTCGACTGCATTCTGAGATGAGTGTCTTAGGGCCGGTAGAAACTGCCCATTGCGGAGCATTCTTTCGTAGTCATTTAGCTGACGGAATACCGAGATGATGAGGTAGACTGCGACCACGGCAGTCGCTTCACTCCCGCCCGTCGTGTTGAAGAATTCGACACCACGGGCGTTAAGGCCCGGGATATCCTCTTCTTCAAAGCCATGCCCAAAGTTGACAATCATCTTGAGAGTTGATGGAAAATGTGGCAGCGCTCGTCTGGTCCAGCCTAGCGCCACTTTCCCGTTGTCAGTTGGAGTGCTGATGACGCCAATCCGCATGATTCCATCGATGTTCTGGCAGGTGCCGGATGTCATGGACTGGTAGAAGTCGTCCAATTTCGGGAAGTCGTATGTCAGTATTTCATAACTTGAGTTGAAGTCTGCCCATACTTTGTCGGGTATGTTGTCGCAGGGTGAACCAATGACGAGGATCTTGCGTTTTTGCTGCATATCTGGTGAGGGTGATGGTTCCTGGGTGAGTGAAGGGGCAAGTCCGAGGATGAACTGGAAGACAGCTGGTGGAAAGATGACCACTTGCTTGGAACTTATTGCGTCAGACTGCAAGATCTTGTTGTATTCTGTCGAATTTGTCGTATTCTTTCTCATGCCAATGTCAGGTGTTCTGGTGTAAGTCAGCTCCCTCGTTCTCAATTCCCCTTTTGGGTAGTAATTCGAGGTGGACCATGACATCGGCCCCCACGCTGCACCACTCGTAATCCGATCTCGCTTGACGTGGGTCTCGGTGCGACTAAACTGGACTCGGAAAGCCCGACTTCCCCTCTTTCAACACCAAAATTAGCGCCTAGAGTCATTTATTGAATCTGGTGATAGTGCTGAAAGAGGCTTGATCGTGGTTCAAATCTCGGCTTTTGCTGACTAAGAGACGCGCCTCGATCGCCACAATGGCTTCAACCCCGGCCCGCCCGGTAAACGATACGAATGAAGCACTGGCTAGCTTCTATGCCAAGTGAGTGAAAATTGACAGGCATCCTTGCACCTTCGGCTCGCTAATCTCAAAGTCAGGGTTGATGAGCTTGAGAGTGTCTTCATCGATAGTACGTCCAAAAATTTGGGTTTGGCTCTGAATCAAAGAGCCATATTTAACTTCAACCTCGAATAGGACTGGGAGATGCAATCAAGATTCCGTCAATCTCTGCTTATGCCGACAGTAGAAAGGATGTGTTTGCGGTGAGTTAGATGAAGGAGCCATATGTCATCAAGGCATATAGATGGCAGCACCTAATTTGAAAGCAGATGAGCGAATGGGTTGCGACCAAGCTGAAGGCTGTCGGTGTTGATGTGACACTCAAAGACCTTGGCAAGCAGGAGGGCACAGACCTTGACCTTCCTCCTCTGGTACTAGGACGCTACGGCAGCGACCCCGAGAAGCCAACGGTGCTTGTGTACAGCCATTACGATGTTCAGCCTGCATCTATCGAGGACGGATGGAAGCATGAGCCGTTCGTGATGACGGTGGAAGAAGACGGCAAGATCTGCGGCAGAGGCACCTCAGACGACAAGGGTCCTCTCATTGGCTGGATCAACATGATAGAAGCTTTCCAAAAGGTTGATGTAGACGTACCCGCCAACCTGGTCTTCTGCTTTGAAGGCATGGAAGAGACCGCATCCTTTGGCCTCCGGCAGGGCCTAGAAGATGAGGCGGACAAGTACTTCAAGGACGTCGACGTGGTCTGCATTACAGATGTTGTTTGGGTGAGCGATGAGCAGATCAGTGTTCCTCAAGGACTCAGAGGCATCATCTTCTACCTCGTCACCATCACTGGTGCCAAGGTGGACGCCCACAGTGGCGGATTTGGTGGTCAAATATCAGAGCCAATGACCGACATGGTCAACATCATGTCTTCGTTGGTCGATTCGAATGGCAAGATTCTGGTACCTGGGATTTACGACAATGTCCAGGCCGTCACAAAGGAAGAGTATGAAAGCTACCAGAAGCTCAACATTTCGGAGGACTCTTTGTATGGTGGCACCGGGGGCAGAGGCCTCCATGATAACCAGGCTGACGCTCTGGTCGCTCGGTATGTTAATCCGCACTCAAACCTCAGATCAATATGCTAAATGCTACTTTTGTCCCATAGATGGAAGAAGCCATCTCTTAGTCTACACAGGATAGAGAATGCCCTACCCGGAGCCGGAGCCGTCACATCCATACCTGCTAAACTTGTTGGAAAGTTCAGCATCCGTATTGTGCCTTTCATGAAGTGGGAGGAAATTGATGAGCTGGTACGGAAACACATCAAAGACCGCTTTGAGAGTCTCGGAAGCAAGAATGACATTGAAATCGAGTGTCATCCGAATGACTGGTTCTATGAGGAAGCAAGTCACTGGAACTACCAGGCCGCTATCCAAGCGACACGGGACGTATGGGGTGTTGATCCTGCCCTGACCTGCGAAGGTGGAAGGTTAGTCTTTGCATCGAATTCCAGTGTGTGATAGACCAGCACTAACTGATCCCAGCATTCCCATCGCTTTGGATTTCAAGAAGACCTTGAAAAAGAACGTGCTTCTTATGCCCGTTGGTCGGCCTACCGATGGACAGCATTCCACTAATGAGAAGTTGGATAAGAACAATTAGTGAGTCAATGTGCAGCACCAAAGATCTCCAGTTACAAGAAGGCTAACCCCAAATAGCATCAACGCCATCAAGCTCTACGGAGCTTATCTCAAAGAGGTCACAAACTTTTGGCGTCAGAGCAAACAAGGCTTGTGATTAGATTCTAGAGATAACAATGAGTTGTAAACCGCAACTATCTTTCCACAACGGTCTCAAAGGGTAAAAACCAACCGAGTCAATTTCTGGATCGTATCTGTGAGAGCAAGGGTAACAGCTAGCGCGGGGTGCACCAAATTGCCGTAATAGGCAATATTGAACGACCAGGTGAGGGGCATTGAAAATGCGGGGCACGAAATAGTGGAACACTTGAATCGCATCTATGAATGCCTGACGTAGCATCGCTCGATTCCTCGAGGTTATCAGTTTGCAAAACTCGGAGTACTAGAGCTCACTGCGAATTTCTCTTCTTACATGTTGCACTGGACTTTGTCTCTTTCATCCGCCCAGACGACGTCCGCGTGCAGCACTGCAGCTACACAATGTGCCCAATCAACGGTGTCACAGATGTCAACACCAGCTCCAATTTTCATGACTTTTCAACCCAGCATACGGCTCTTGATCTGACGATTGACTTTGATCGCAAGATCTTGTTTGGACAAATCGCTATCACTGGCCAAGCAAAAGTTCAAGGTCTTACCGAAATTGTTCTAGACACAAGTCATGTTGTCATCAAAGGAGTAGGCCATTCAGGGGAAAAGGCACCGTGGATATTGAAGCCCGACAATGGAGAGAATGGCAGTCCATTGTATATCGAACTTGGGCGATCTTACAATGAGGGAGAAACCATTGAGCTCACAGTACGTTGAGTTGTTGATCCTGCTATATCATCAACGATGGAGCTAGCTAATTGAGACGCTGGCAAGGTGGACTTCGAGACGACCGAGAATACTACCGGCCTTCAGTGGTTCAGCCCCTCGCAGACGGACGACAAACATTATCCATTCATGTGTGAGTGCTGAGCTGCATTGCGACTTGTCGGTCTCAGCTAATGGTCGATAGTCTCCCAGTGCGAACCGGTTCATGCCCGCTCCATTTTCCCATGCCAGGACACACCATCCATCAAAAGCACTTTCGACATAACAATCCATTCAATACTTCCTGTCGTGGCGAGTGGTGTTCCTGAGGCCGAGATAGTCTTCTCACCGATCAGAGATACGACCGAACAGAAGACATACAAGTTCAAGATGGAGATTCCAATCTCGAACTACCTGTTCGCCGTAGCAAGCGGGTGAGTCGTTTGAAGATCACCCTCACATATACCATGAATTACACAGCTCTTAAAAGAAACTTGGCTGAAGGGAAAATTGTGCCGAAAAGCTATGTTTACTGCGCCCCTGGTGACTTGGAAGCCTGCAAAGAAGAGTTCAAGCCAGATTTGCAAGCCATTATCAAGTCTGCAGAGGTAAGATACTGAGTCATCACGAGAGGAGTTCAACTCACACAATTCGCAACACGCTAGAATCTCATCTTCGAGTACCCATGGCCGCTTTACAATCTTGTTGTGTTACCAAAGTCCTTCCACCTTGGCGGCATGGAAACCCCCATTTTCAACTTTTACAGCGCCACAGTTGTCTCGGGAGACCGAGAGAACATCTCTGTGGTCGCCCACGAGTTCGCGCATAGCTACAGTGGCAATCTCGTCACTAATGCGTCCTGGGAGCACTTCTGGCTGAATGAAGGATGGACTGTCTGGACCGAAAGGAATATCGTGCGCGAACTCAGAGGAGACGATGAGGTCGAGCTCCAAGCCATTGTCGGTTGGCAAGACCTCATTCAATCCATCGAAATGTACGGTGGCAACGACAGCGTCTTCACTAGCCTGGTACTTGAGTTCGAAGGTAAGAGGCCGGATGATATTATGTCCAAAATCTCGTACGAAAAGGGCTACACCTTCCTGTGCTATCTTGAGAAGACCGTTGGGCGAGAGAAGTGGCTTAAGTTTGTCCCACATGTAAGCATCACATTTTGCTGCCGACTCGAATTTGAGAAAGCTGACATTTCGTCAATCAAGTATTTCCGGACATTCTACGGCGCTGCCGTTGACTCAACCCAATTCAAAGATTGCGTTGTTGACTTCTTCTCGCTTGATGCTGCTGCTACCTTGGCACTGAGTCGCGTTGACTGGCAATCGTGGCTTCATAAGCCGGGCGCACCTCCCAAGCCAGAGTTTAGCTCTGAGCTATACAAGAAGGCTCTTGAATTGGCAGATCGATGGAATAGCCTCTCAACCGATTCTCTCTTTAAGCCATCTTCCGATGATGTCAAGGGCTGGACTGTAGGGCAAGTGTTGCTCTTCCTCGATTTGCTCATTGAAAGCCCGCAACCAGTCCCGGCGAGATACTGCAAGTGTCTTGACGATCTCTATGATGTGGGAAAGTCTGGTAATCTCGAAGCTGTCACCCGGTACCTGCGCGTCGCGCTTCGAGCCGGCGATCATGGCGTTTTGAAGCAGACTGAGGAAGTCCTGGGACAGACAGGAAGGATGAAGTTTGTGAGGCCATTGTAAGTTGCCACGACGAGAGCACAAGTAATCAGTCACAACACTAGTACTGACCCTTCACAGATTTAAGGAATTGTTGTCGGTTGACGAAGGGCTGGCGTTGGAGCTGTTCGAGAAGTATGAAGACTTTTACCATCCCACTTGTCTAAGACTGATCAGAAATCTGCTCGAAGAACAAAGGCTCAAGAACAACTAGTCACTGTCTTAATTTCCCTTGGCTTTGAACTTCACTGAATTCAACACGTTGGGGGGCATCACACCGATACGGCGCTCCATCCGGAGTACACATATTTACATAGACTCACAACAGACTTTTCAAAACTTTAATTTCGGCAGTTCGATTACATTAATAAATCATGCCGGTATGCTGAATGGCACGCAATCGTGAACTGGGCTACACTGAGGACGAATCACCTCGATGGGCATTGTCTCATTGAAACCAAAAAACTGGGTTGAAAATCAATTAGACATGCGGTTCATCCATTTGAGTTTGAAACTCACAGTGGACAAAATACAAGTATCCATCCGAGTGTCCAAAGAAAAAGCAAACGATCACGATCCCTTATACTTTCCTATTTCCAGCAATTCTAGAAGACTTTGCCGGCCGAGTTTAGAGTGCGACAGCACGGTCCGCCCCTAAACTTGGTTAAGGTTCGCTAACTCTCGGTCGATGGCTTTTGCCCCCACTGGATTGATGATGATCATGGAACAGTTTTCATTTCGTAAATAATGAGAACGTGACATTGTTGAAACATTTTCATTCGGATGCAGCCGCCATCGGGTTGGTTGCACTGACAGTGTCGTATGACGACACCCTCCAATATGCTCCCAGGGTATGTCACTGCTAGTCTGCTGTAGCAATAACCAATCCTACCTTGTCCCACGACCATGTCAAAGCTGTGCGTATTAGAAGCCAAATGGAAACATCGCTTATGGCCCAGAGACCGAGGTGGCAGCTTGCCAAACCTGAAGATCGGTATAAGTACCGACCACATGTTCTCCTTCTTGCAGATGAAAAGTCCCCATCAGCGCAGTCGCCGACACCTTGGTGGAGGAGTGGTTCTGAGAACTTCGGCAACTCCTGCGCTGGAACGAAATGTCTTAATTCAAGATCTTGGTTGTATTTAGAGGTTCTGGAATGCCATATTTGATGCCAAGCGCTCCGCTGGTTTCTTGTTTCTGGCGGAAACGAGTCAAGCACGGACTCGGCCTCCGATAAACGGTGTTGCCAACACGGCTCGCACTGTCGTTTCCCTTGCTCTGATTTGCTTTTTCCTTCTTCGATCATCACTGGAAGGGGGCCCATGTTATCTTCGTCGTCAGCTACGCCACGTGGAGGCCTGAGTAAGGCCGTCGTCGCCGTCGCCGGCTGGGATAGAGTCTCGGACCTGCCCCAAGCCGAAGGTGGGATTCCGGACCCGATAACCCTTTTTATCCTTCCGGCGGTTGTGCATGTTCGTCCCAATTCGTAAGTTGGCATGTGCTTGTCTTGTGCTTGAAACTTTCATTCGTCCGATGACCCATCCCTCCATCCACGGATCCAGACCCTCGGTATGTGGGATGCCAGGTGGGATGCTATCAGGGAAGTTGTAGGTTTTTGAGTCTCATCATGGTCCACAAGACACAGATTACGGATAGGCAAATCGGGCCTCGGTCGACTTCCATGCTAAGATTTTACCTTTGGATGAACGCTGCATCATTGACACCCCTGTCCGGCATCCACCGAATGGGCAACTCGAGACGAATAGACGCCGGGGGGCAAATCTTTATCTCAAGCATCGCCAAGTGTCGGATTGGAAGCCCAATTCGACCGTGAGTAAGGGTAGAGCAGGGGCCACCTCGAGAGGGTACAATTACACCTCGACGGTCCACCCAACCTCCGGTTGGAATCTCCCTTCTACTCCTTACGCAGAATCAATCAATACAGAGATATTGATACTTCGTCACCCCCAGGACCCTACGGTTCGAACCAACTTCCCTGTGATAGGGATACCAACACCAAGTTTGCAATGGGGCCAGCGGATCCCCAAGCCGCATGCGCGGCTTCTTTCATAGGGCCGTCGCAACTTTTCTGCATAGCCGGTGGATATCTGCGCTTCGGAGCTTGAAGAATCTTGAATTCGAAAATTTCCCCTCCGGGTCCTTGGGCTCCTATCTTAGGAGAAGTCTAGGGAGATCCCGAGGTCTTGGCAAGGTCGTGCTGTCAGTATAAGTGAAACTTGTCTCCCTTTTCTCCAAAGCATAAGAACAATAGGCTTTGCTCTTCACCAAATTGCTTGTCGCTTTCTCTGCAGATCTTTTTCTAGAACTGCCCGTCTCTCGCTGATCGACATGAAGGCACTCTTTTGAGCCTGGCCTCGGCCATTGCCGTCGCTAGCGCATCGCCTGTCTTTCCCGCCCACGGTCACAACGGTCACAACGGTCACAACGGCCACAACGGAACATTCTCTAACTCTACTTGCACTTCTATGAACCAGAGAAAGGCATGGTGCGGGACTGTGGATACCTGAGGCAGTGGCTGGTGCCCCAGGCACCAGCTGCCCGATCCACTTCCTGGTTGATCCAGCCCACCGCAGCCACCTTTCACCTTCACCACAACATCACCAACCAACCGTCAATACCAGTCGTATTGCCTCATTCCTTGCCTCGTTGGTCCAGATGAGCAGTGTGTACTGCCCTCACATGGTGAGTCGAAACCAGGATCTCTAAGCGAATTTCCTATGGGCATACTAACATAAGTGAACAGGCACACTTTGGAGAACCAGGAGAAATCCGACTACCTCCAGGCTGTCAAGTGCTTGTTCGAATCACCCGCCAAGACGGGCATCAAGGGTGCGAAGACAAGATGGGATGAACCTCAAAGCTGCCACGTTGAACAGTCTAACTTCATTCACGGAGTCGGGTAGGTTTCCTGAAAAGTCACGGCCCAGTATTTGTCTAATTCCCACATTCAGAGCCTTCCTTCCCTGGCACCGCCTCTTCCTTCGTCTCCACGAAATCCTCCTCCAAGAAGAGTGCGGATACACCGGTGCCCTGCCCTACTGGGACGAGCAGCGCGATCTTGAGGTGTTTGGAACCGTCCAGAAGGCCTCTGTTTGGGGTTCGGACGAGTTCAGCTTCGGAACCAACGGTGTCAACACCACCCAAGGTACCAACTGCGTCATCGATGGTGCTTTCGCCAACACGACCCTTCGCATGGACCAAGTTTATGGCATAGACTACTATGAAGAGTACTGCCTCTCTCGCGAGTTTAACCAGACTGCATTCACTTTCGCCAACCAGTCTTACGTTGACGAGTGCTATGTGAAGGAGACTTACAATGAGGCCAACTTCTGCTACGTTAATTCCCCTCACTCTTGCGGCCACCTTGTAACTGGCGGTACTGTAAGTAACATCATCATCTCAATCCCCAGTAGTATTTCTAACTTCTGTATCAGATGGAGAACCAGAACGCCAGCCCTGGTGACCCGATCTTCTTCCTGCACCACGCCAAATTGATCGTCTCTGGTGGGACTGGCAGCTCGCGAACCTCTCCTCCCGCCTCAGGGATATGAGCGGTCAGCTCATTCCTTCCACCTTCATCATGGAGCAGAACCGCTGGCTCACCCCTTCTGCGGCTTACCTCGACTATGACGGAGACGCGGGCAACGATACCACCCTGAACCACGTTTTGTGGATGGCTGAGATCATTCCCAACAAGACTATTGCTGATGTCATGGATCTGAGATCCGAGCTCCTGTGCACGGAGTACATTGTTGCTGAGAATTAGAAAGAGTGCTTGCACTATGATGACGCGAGATGGTTGATCCCCGATTTTGCGGGTGCAGATATACCCCTAGACATAGATTTCCCAAGATAATAGACATAGACTCCCAAGCTTTTAGCTGCCAATAGCCGAAATTCAACATGTGAGATTGACACTAAAGACCGATGGCACCTTTTTTTCTTTGACGTTGTTGTTCATGGTGTAAGCTCGGGACACGGCAAGCTATATTGGCATTAGTACGTGTCTCGGATATACCAGACATCAGGAAGAAAGATTGTCGCTCGGCTTTATGTACAGTCCACTTCTGTAATCCCGATGATTGAATTCGCCTGCCGCCAAAAGTCCAGATTCCATTGATCAAAGCCACAAAGCAACGGCATTAGCGCCGGGACTAAGCTGTCTCGCGACTCGGGAATATCAACCTGAATTCTTCGATGAGCATCGACGATATTGAGTTCTAGAGTATAAAGCTTGGCATGTGAAGCATCAAGACTTACTTGCAGATTACAGACCCGTTTCAAGTACAGTGTGCGCAGTAGACGTCATAACCCCTTTCGCCATACAAAATATCCGACGTTTATTCCCTGCTCACCATGTCTTTCCCCGATAAGCAAGTCCTTCTCGTAGGTGCCACTTCCGGCATCGGAGCAGCAATGACGGATAAGCTTGTAGAAAACGGTGCCAAAGTCATCGCCGTCGGTCGGCGCCAGGAACGACTAGATGCATTTGTCAAGAAGCATGGCTCGACCAAGGCGGCTTCCATCAGGTTCGACATCACAGACAGGACAGGTCTCGATGATTTTGTGAATAGGTCAGTCCCAAGGAATATTACTGCCCACAAGCACCCCGCCCCCTCCCCTTCCCCCACCTCGGAATGGGGTACTTGACCCGAAACGTGCAAACGCCTTGGGCGGACTTGATAACTCCATGCGGCAAGCATAAGCGACCTACTGTTGACACTTGAACAGGGTTGTTGATGGGTTTCCTGGTCTGGACTGCGTCTTCGTCAACTCAGGAATTCAAAGCCCAATCAAGTTGTCGGAACCTAGCAGCGTTGACCTGGACGCCTTTCGCGAAGAGATCAACGTCAACTTTTTAAGCGTTGTCGACATTTCGGTCAAGTTTCTGCCGAGACTCCAAGACAAAGCAATACCGACAGGTTTGATCATTACCGGCACACATCTTGCTCTTATCCCTGCGGTGACTTTGCCGGCATACTCTGCCTCCAAGGCAGCTCTTCATGCCTATGTTTATTCTTTGAGGCAACAACTACAAGGGTCTAGCACTAAAATCATCGAGATTTGGCCTCCCCTAGTGCAGAGTTAGTCATTCAATTTGCTATTTGTGTTGGTATCCCTATCACAGGGATGTTGGTTCGAAACGTAGGGTCCTGGGAGTGACGAAGCATCAATATCTCTGTATTGATTGATTCTGCGTAATGTGTAAAAGGGAGATTCCAACCGTAGGTTGGTTGGGTAGTCGCGGTCTAATTGTACCACCTCGAGGTGGCCCATGCTCTTGCCCTTATCCGCGGTCGAATTGGACTTCCAATCCGACAATTTGTAATATCAAGGACAACACTGATATTTTTCCTAGCCGAGTTGCATGATTACATTGGTAAGGAGAAAGGTCGATCGATGGGAATGCCTGTTGATGTGTTTGCCGACGAGACATATAAGCAGCTTGTCTTAGGCACCGAACACATTCTGGTTGGTTCAGTCGGTCCCGAAGAGCCATTTTTGGAGTTGGTCAAGGCAAGACAGAAGCAGTCAGATGATCTATCGAAATTTATGCTCTCTCTCCCTCCTATCTAGGGAAGGTGTCAAAAGCTTTGAGACTTTTAGTATCTTGATTCTCTTACTTCCTTAGGGTGCTCTACTTACGCTCATCCAGGTGTAGCTCATGCCACAATTTAAAATTACCAAGGTGTCCAAGCTCGTTCAGAACGTAATGTAAAATATTCAACTCCATTGATTGCATGTACCTTAACAGGATAGCTTATAGCGATGCTGCCTTACGGTGACTGAATTGTAAAGAAATCATAGCACCGACTTTTCGCGCTTCGTATACCCGCTTTCCCAAAACCCAGGCCAGTAATCAGGAACCTCCTCAATGATGAACCTAGAAAGAGCTGCGCTGGTCTCAGCCGGCTTTTCCATGTTCGCCCAATGTCCAGCTTGCACAGTAACTTCGGTGAGGTTGCTACAGGCCTGGCGCATTGGCTCGGCCACTCGAGTGGTCTTGGTCTCGCAAACGTAGTCGAATGCTGCATGAATGAGTAAAGCAGGCTTCTCAAATTTGCCATCGTTTGGTGCCTTTGAGTTGAACTCGTGGTTACGCTCGTGATTCATGTAGTAGGCTGATCCCGGCCAGTATCCTGTCTTTTTCATCGCTTTGGTGAACTCATCAAAGACATCTCCCTCAAGGAGGGGAGCTGGGAGTTGATCCGGTGATGGAGGTTTTGGGATGCCGCCGAACCAACCTCCGTCCTTTCTAACTGTAGCAGTGAATGTGGGCTTAGGGGGATAAACTGGCTTGCCCGGTTGCCACAAAGCCTTGTTGATTCCCTCAATATCCTTCTCGTACCAGGCGATACTCTTCTCAAAGTCCTCTTCGTAATGGCGCATGTAGTCCCATTGCCCGTAGGGATATTGGTCCTCGGGATAGACCTGGCGGTCAACAAAGGCCAGGATGTTGTTCAGTCCCAAGTCGAGTGTGCGATACGGAACGCAGACGTTCACCAGCGCCTTGACAACTTCAGGATGCTGGGCAGCAACTGTTGAAACACACGGAGAACCCCAGTCGTGACCGATCCAGATGGCCTCCTTCCGACCGGTGTGTGCGAGGAGTGCCAGAAGGCCTTCGAGAATGCTCTGCTGGGAATAGTCCTCGATGACTTTGCGGGCTGTTGATTTGCCGTATCCGGGCATGTCCGGTGCGATGGCCCGGAATCCTAGAGCGCTGAATGCCTCAAGCTGAGGTTTCCATGCTAGTGCAATTGCTGGCCAGCCATGGACGAATATGAGGAGAGGTCCATTGACTGGACCAGCGGCGAGATAGTGAATGTTTTTGTTGTCGGCGTAGCCAACATCGTGTTCCTCAAAGGTTGGCATTGTGAAGATCGTGATGAATTGTATTGGAACGTGTTTCATCCGTGGCTTCGGGAGCCTGGTTCTTATACTTCATCTCATAGTCATTGCAGAGTACCTAAAGGCTGCAGTGGAACCAGACTTTAAGACTCCGCAAATACATACCCGCCTCTCCGCGGACCTGATGTAACAATCAATCAGTAAATCATGTCCACAAAGAGTAGTACGAAGTGTAGCTGAGTAAAACGTCGCTGCATATGCAACCATCTGTAGCCAGCGAAAGTGGATATATTTTGTTACCGCTTCGCCCGAATTGGCGAGCGGCTGATCTGAGCATTGCTGACTGGCCGGAGTCCTCATAGTCCGCAGGCCATGTTTCGGCTGGATTATTAATACCAGCATTGGCGCATGTACTTGTGAGGTAGTGTCACCTTTGAAACCCCGCAGTGCCAATCACTCCGGCGTGTCAATGAACTGACAATCTTCCTGTCCGTAACCTCGGCTTCGGAGGTCTTGTATGAAGCGTAAGGAGGAGGAATATCCAACGAGGGCAATATGATGTGCTCTGGAACGCAAGTATCCAATGAGAGGTACTCGAATACGTGGCAAACTGGTGCGCAACGTATTAATTAGCCCCAAAGCAAGTTGGGCAAGTAACCAGGAACGACGCTCTAGTGTTGCCCGCATCGGTCGCACGCCCCCGTTGATTGCTTTGAAGTGGAGTACTACCAGTTCAAAGCTCTGATGCTTTAGCTTCCTCGTCAAGCTGAACCTAAGATAGTACAGCAAAATGTAGATCGGATCAAGAAATTATGCCGCATCCCGCGTTACGGCTCTCCGATTTCCCCGATCAATCTGTCTTCAGGGCAAGCAAATGAGACACAGCTATGACTCCTCACCTTCTAGTAGCGGGTCTAATCGGAAGCGATGCGGCTACAGTTTTACTGAGGCGGTGTCAGCAAAGCCTTAGCAAGAAACATAGTACTTTGCAGGAGAAAATGGTCCCGCCCGCGGACACAATTTTCCGACTCACCACGCTACCTGATTAGACTAACGGCAGCTACACTCGACAAAACCGCCAGCGCACGGTGGGCACTTCTACCAACCGTCACAGCGCTGCCCCCATAAGCATCGTCAGATATTGACCTGTGCACTTACCAACACCGTAACGTCAAAAGCCAGTTGTCCTAAGCAACGGCTATATGTGCTTCGACCGAGACCTTGAATTACACGTCGACTATGTGCCAAGAACTGACTGATGATAGAAGTTCGGTGGGTTTATCCCGAATGCAACATTGCCGAGACTAAACCATTCCGTCCAGCTTGCTAGGTTTTGTGGTCGCTCCCGCGGACTTACAGGCTACCAACGGACTCATCGGATCTTCAGGCGCTCATTGATGCGCCCCATCATAATCATGGTATGAAAATGTCTACTTCGGTGTTACCGCGGGCCCGCGTGTGGCAACAAGCATGCGCACAGTCCGCATGAAGAGTCAAGAGCATAAGTCACAAATTGCTATGTTGTTTAAGTTCAAAGGTTATTAAACGGCCGCATTGCATTCATTCTGAAAGCTTGGGTTCCACCACTGGGTGGAGAGAATAAACCTGCTAACATTCAAGATACGTACGCATCTCCTCGGCAATAATAATTGAATAGTAAACATTCAATCAAAGAACCTTAATCATGACTCACATAGACCGGTTTCATTGACAACGGTAGATCCAGCAATGCCCACTAAGTTGTGGCCGGTCAGGCTGGAACCTAAAAAACATCATGATGTTTGTGGCTTAACAAATCCCGAACCGAATCTGTAATTTAGACCTGACACTGATACATGCTGGCCAAATCAACCAGATGATGCTCCTTTCAATTCGGAAAACATCGACGCATAAGCTGAATCATACTTTGGCTTATTTATCGTATCGATGAGTAATCCTTTCGTTCCTCTCTCTCCTCTCTATCCCTAACGACTAAGGCCCGGATTCAGAGCAGTTTATTATGAGTCAAAGGGTGTTGGAAGGGGGTATGAGTCCGACTTTCTTGAGTACCTATGCATGAGTCATTGCTTGAATTCTCTTCTAACTCGGAAGGCCGCATTCTTGTTTCGAAGCTTCATTGCAGCTGGATTGTATTACAACACTCACAGACGGCTGGAGCAGGTCACGAATTGTTTGCCATTAACTTGAAGCCATCAACACCTTGGGCCATTATTTTTTCAGTACAAATGGGGACATGTTTCAGCGACCAGTGCTTATCAATGATCGCGCATAGCTCTTGAGATCAAGATGTTGTTGATGGAGAGTATAGGAACTTAGGAAGTAAGGGACGACGGGAAAGGAAATTCCGACTTCAGACTGGCATCAATAGAGACGTGCCACGAGAGACAAAGAGGGGGTTAGAGTATTAGTCTAGAACTTACAAAGCACACCTGTAAAATGCAGAGATCAGTTCTAGAACGAGCAGAAACCTAAACAAATGTCCTTGGAGTATCCTTGCGACAAGTTACAACAAGTAGCAAAATATCGTTTTCACTTGACCAGAGTCAGCGTAATGCTCAGACGCCTAAGCAACTTCCGAATGGTACAAGCCTCCAGTCATTCGCTACAAAGTTCTCCCGAGAAGACCATATAGACAGTCCCCGAGCGACCATTGGAGGAGCAACGTAATTGCCGACGTGGGATTACAGGTCTAGTGATGGAGACGTCCGGTGGAGGCCACCTTGCGACGGAAAGTGGATGGCGCCCACCGGGTCCTTCACCCACCGGGACTCTCACCAGGCTTACAGTCCCCAGTTGAATGCGGCCTTGGCTGAACATCTACCTTGGTAAATGAGGAGTGCATGGGAAATTTTGCAGCGTGTCTTTCGTGATAGAAGAGTCCTGTACCTTATGGTGCTCGTTTGTTGCATATTGCTCAGTCGTCGAGAAACCTTTTATAGAGATGATGGACATTGAGCCATCCACAAAATCAGGACTAGGTATTTCACCTCCGCGGTGCCCATATGTTCAAGACGTAATTATGGGGCATAAAATAAAGCAGGCGTTCAGAGATCTCTGCAAGTCGTTCCAAGAAGCATAATCATGCTGTCATTCTTTCGCGGAACAGAGGGGGGATTGACCCCGGCTTGTGTAAATCTTCGCGGTTGGTATAACCCCAATCTCCTCTTCTATGATCTTTGGAAAATGCGAAGGGTAGTAAACCCCGACGCGCCTCTCTCGACGTGCGGGGCCCCGCACGCTTACACTTGTGACATACGGGAAAGAACAGGCATGTTGAGAGCCGTTGACCATGACCCGAGACCATATCTGGAAGAGGAACCGATGTTCTCACTATACTACCTTGGTAAGTAATACTGAGTTACAAGATCAGAGTCGCTTCAAAACTTCGGCTTAAAGAAGAACGGCGCTAAGAGGACAAGCTTATTTGGGCAGTTGTCCAGTGACTTCAATCCTACATTATGGAAGGCCTTGGTCCAATCGCCGCGGGATGATATGTCTTACAATTCAGTACATTCTACTATTTAATCTCTAGATGCCCCCATGGCTTAATTGAGATTTTGAGTTCACACAAGCAGCCTCGAAGACAACCTTTTCAGAGCACCGAACCAAGTCGTATTACCACTCGTGTCTGGATTCTATCACTCACCGGCTAGACCTACCTCGACCTTCACAAATGAAGGCATTCAACATCCTAGGCTTTCTTGGCCTCTTTCTCGTTAACGCATTGGCTGTTCCAACTTCAGATTTCGTCAATTGGAAAAACTTCAAGGCCAACGGAGTCAACCTCGGCGGCTGGCTTGTTCAAGAGGCTGTCATAGATGCCGGTTTCTGGGGTCAGTACGGCGGCAATACCACTGACGAGTGGGGGCTTCGTCTTGGTTCCCAATGTGGTCCCGTTCTGGAACGACGTTATGCAACCTACTTCAAACCGGCCGATATTGACAAGCTCGCTAAAGCTGGTGTTACCATCCTCCGTATCCCCACGAACTACGCTGCTTGGGTCAAGGTCCCAGGCTCCCAGTTGTATACCGGCAACCAGGTCCAATTCTTGAAGAACATTGCGACGTATGCCATTACGAAGTACAACATGCACGTCATCGTCGATGTTCACTCCCTGCCGGGTGGGCTGAACGCGCTGGGTATCGGAGTAAGGACGGCAACTACGGGTGGTTCAACAACGAAACCGCCCTGGAATATTCCTACCGCACCATCGATGCCGTTACTCAGTATGTTCAAGCCTCCGGGTTTCCTCAGTCATACACCATTGCACCCCTCAACGAACCGGCGGATAACCGCGACTTCTCCAAGTTTTGGTACGCCGGATGCACTCAGCATAGATGGTGCTGCATGGGTTGCAAAGTTCATCAACGGCGTCCTCTCGAGAGTCGCGCAAGTCAACCCGAAGATTCCAGTCATGTTGCAAGGTAGCTTCCGTCCTGAGCCGTTTTGGTCGCCTTACTTCCCTACGGACGCCAACCTGGTTTTCGATGCCCATCATTACTACTTCGCCGGCAGGCTCACCACCTCTGAAAACGTCCCGACTTTCATATGCGAAGATGCCAAGGGGTCCATTAGCGATGGGAAATTTCCCGTTTTCATCGGCGAGTGGTCTATTCAGGCTGTCGATAATAACACCTTTGCCAGCCGGGCCAAAACCCTCAATAACGGGCTTTATGCTTGGTCCAAGTACACCCAAGGAAGCTCGTACTGGACCGTCAAGTTTTCGGAAAATGCCCCAGTGAACGGTCAAGGGACTCAGAGCGATTACTGGAATTATGAGACATTCATTGATCTTGGCATCATAGACCCAGCGTCTTCTACAGGATTTTGCCCCCAATCTTAGGGGGCTCCGAGTCGATGATCGTCTTGCAGAACAGAGGGCAGCTTTAGTAGATCTTCTCAAATTTACTTTGTACAAGGTACTTGTTCTTAGCATCCTAGTTATCAAGTTCGTCATTTCTTTCTTAATCGCAGGAAGGCCATAGCTGCCGCTTCAACTTAGCCCCCAGTTGCATAAAAGCCGCACGGTAGAACCCAGCTAGCGAATTGAAGATACGACTAGGTCATACTCACCAAACTAACATGCGTCCTGATGTGGCTACAATTAATGATGAACACGTGCAGGTTGAAAAAATTGCGTTGTTTTGTCTTCCCAGTAATCAACCCCTTTTATCCACACCCGAGCCACCTATGCCTTCATTTACATGATGGCTCGTATTCGAGAGCTTGGCGATAACCGCCCAAAGAGTTAACATCGACAGGTGCCGAAGAGGATATCATTTGCCCTTCTTATGAGCCTCAACCTCCTGCTTGAAGAAGTCAGACATGGCCTTAGCCCGCCGCCACTCAGGCATATATGCCATCTGGACCGCATGCTTGAACCACGGTGTCATTTCCAGCATGCCCCTCTGAGCTGCCCTGCCCGCTCTCTTCAAAGCCGCTTTGGCAAATTCCCTGTCATCTGATGGTCCCGGTGCCATGGCAGGAGCGTTTGACTGCGTTTTCACGTCATCAGCCACGAGACAAAGCACATCGACCTTCTTCTTTTCGGCCCTCATCTCTCTCGCGATGGCGTTGCTGAAGGAAGAGACGAAACCCTTGGTTCCGGAGTACACAGCCACACCAGGCGTACCCATCCTACCCCCGGAGCTGACGTTGAGCATCAAAGAAGGACCATTCTTGGCGAGGACAGGGAGCATAAGCCGGGTCAACTGTGCCATGAATCGCGCGTTGAGGTTGATGGTGTTGTCCACCTCTTCGGCAGTGTAGTCGTGCAGAGGCCAGATCGCGGGCTGTCGAGCGGCCACACCTCCAACGTTGTTCACCAATAAAGTGATGTTCAAGTCATCCATATTGTCGACAGCAGCCTGCACCTTTTCGGGTGTGCTGGTGCTGGCATCGATCTTGAGAATGCGGACCGCGATCTCGTTCTTGTGTCGACGAATACATTCGGACTCGATGAGAGCGCGTGCGTCCTCCAGGTCGTCCTCGTTGTTGCTAAGTAAGACAATATTGAAGCCTTGAAGGGCGAGTTCCTGCGCGCAGCCCAGCCCGATGCCTGCGGATCCACCGGTGACGAGTGCCCAAGACTCATAGGAGCCCTTCTTCTGATATTTCTTCAATGACACAGAAGGAAGAATCCATATCGCAATGACGTCGTAAAATTTGTAGGCAGTATAAAGAATCCAGATAAGGCCAATGGCCTTGAGAGTCTGGTCAAACATGACGGTGGTTGTTGAGCTTGAATAGCCGTAGGATGAGTTGATGTGATGGAGTTGAAAGAAGAAACTCGCAGGTTTCAACAAGGATGAGAAGAAAGTCTTTCAGCGGAAAGTTCCAGGAGGGCAATCGCCTAATATTTCGCTAAGGTGTCTCCGCTATCCTAGCGGCGTGGGGACGGGGCCGTGGCGTTGAGCATTGACTGTTATCTCGAGCTGGGTACTTGGGTGATCAAACTTGCACACTTCAAACTGTCATCAACAAATCCTCTATTCACTGCACCTCATCTCACGACATGGCAACTTGTCTGAACCCAGCCATGGAGGCGAGATGGAATGTAAGCCAATTTCAACTCGACAACTTTCTCTCAAATCATGTTGAGTAGAGCTAAGTGTTCAACCCCGGTGATTGAATCTACCAACTAAGGCAATAGGAGGAAATAAATAACGATTCGATGCTGAAAAATCATCACAATTTCACAAATGGGTCTCTTTTATCATCCCCGTCGGACATTGACAGTCCCATCTTGCCGATAATCTCCTCTAGCTCATTCTTGAGCGTCTGTCGAAATCTTTTGTCTTTGGAGTACATAACAGACAGTAGCGTATGGAACTTCATTGCGTACACCGCGTTCCTGCCGTCGAAATCCGCTGCGGGCTCGGAGGCTGGCACCCGCTTAAGATATTCGCGGATGCAGGGCTGGCCAAGCTTGTATCTCGGGTTTCGGCAGATACCAATATCGGCTAAGACAGTCAATACTAGCCTCGGGATTCCACCACGGCAGTTCATTGTCCAATACTAACCTTCGTTGTGTCCCCAGTAGGCGCATGCGTCGAATAAGCACAATTCGTCTGTTGATGCCTTCGGTTTGATGTTGCCAGGCCATAGGTCTGAGTGAATGAGACAGGGTTTGATTGATCGACCTTCTGATTCAAGTGGACCAAGGTATCTCGGTATTACCTTGTGAAGGAACGCGGTCTTGAGCGCTGTCAACTGGTGGTCTGTGCCGTGGACGCGGTCATCGTGGTCGAAAAGGCTCCTCATCTGTTGCCCCCAGAACGATTCCCAAAAAGGATTCCATGTATTGTCGACTGGCACGTTGGCGAGATGAGTAGTGACATGGAAACCGAATTCCCCGGTTGGGGATTTCCCCATGCTGTTGAGATGAAGATCCGCCACTGAAGTGGCCCAGTCTCGAGCGCCAGGGAGGTCGTCGTACATTTCCACAAATTCGCAGAGGTAGAAATGCGTGTCCGGGTCACTTGCGTACGTCCCCCAGCCGATGGGCTTGGGAACCTGGCCTGGTGCGAATGTGTATAGAGCGTTCTCGGCTTCGAATGTGCCTTTCATCATATCTACCCCGACCGCACCTGGGGCTCCCTGATTGAGAGTAAGAATGGGCATGTCAAAATCATCGTGAATTCGCAACCTTCTTGAAGTACTCGCTTATTGTTCCATCTTCCAGTTGAACCACAATCTTGACTGTGGCCACCCAAAGGCTCTGGCCTGACGGGGCCACCGAGAGTACTTTGCAGCCTGCGGGAAGCTCTGTTGTGATGTGAGCACAAGGTCGACAGAGGTTCCTCTGAATCATACTGAGAGTCTTGGAGGACCGGGCAGAAGTTGCATACTTGCCAAGACAGCTTCATCAAGCTGAACATTTTCACCCAAAGGATCGGCCTGCTTCGGCTTTCTCTTCTCCATGATGAAGGCAATGCAGAAGCCAATCCTACCTCCCAGGTGGGATGCGACTTGTCCTCGATGAACAGCAACTTCGAACAGCAAAGTACGTTTCGTCGTGCAATGAAGACTCCGACAACTCAAGAGTAGAGCTCTTGGGCATTTATTTTGATGGGACCCAGCCTGATTTAATACCCCCTTATTGCACACGGCGCAATATGGGCGGCTAGAGGATCAACGCGGGGTAATAGCTCACCGAAGAGCTGAAGACACCCAATCGTCACCATCCCCCCTGTAGCCGCCCGGTTGGTTACTGATGCATTTTTTCCCCCCGAGCCTGATCACGTGTATACAGTAGGATCCAGCTGGTCCAGACTATGAACGCTGGCAACTTCTGAATCCAGTAGACTGGCGCGAGAAGCGACATTGCCTCTTCTTGTTACGATTTCTGGCATCTTGGTTTCGGACTGGATGCTCGACACCAGGGCCATGTCGATGGACACAGGCCCTCCGTCGTCTGTACGTGCATACCGGCCCGCTGGTACGGGTCCAGAAGCCCACTCTTCTTCCCCCGCTTACGTTCGTAGCTCTGATCTAATGTCTACTTCCTTCATGCTAGCTGGCTGGCATCACCGCAGAGCCGCCATCGTCACTCTCTTCTCCTCCCGAAAGCGATCCTTCTCGAGCTCGCGCGCCATCCCTTGGCCTACTACAAAACCGACTTCGCAGATTCAGCATTCGTTCTTCCCGATCGTCGAGATCCGACAGTAGCATTCAATCCCTCTCGGCTGCAGATATCAAGGGAGCCCTCGGCCTGAACCTGCTCCATGAGCCTTCAGAGCCAGCCATAGACTTTGTTTTTGTAGGTCAAAAAGAAGGCCCAGAACACTTCTTATGTGGTAGGACTGATACCCACTGACCTAGATCCATGGACTGGGGGGAGGATCGAAGAAAACATGGAGTCATTCAGCCGAGGCCGGCATGTTTTGGCCCAAAGATTGGCTGCCAAATGAAGTTGGCTTCAAGCACGTCCGCATCCACAGCTATGGGTACAACTCGGACTGGACAACAAGGAAGGACAGTCGCTTGACTGTCCACGATTTTGGACAAGCGCTGCTTGCCGATCTCTACAATTCTCCTTGCCTTCGCAAGAACGGCGATGTAAGTGACTTTCCTGCTATATCTGCCTGTCGTTTCTTACTCACAGAAATACAGACACCCATCATATTTGTAGCTCATAGCATGGGCGGCTTGGTGGCCAAAAAGGTGTGTTAATGAGAGCTCTGCGAAAGGGACTCACATCTGCTGACTTGATATTTTCACAAGGCGTATCTCATAGCTACGCGCGATCCGACTTACGAAGCCATCGGGAAGAGAATCCATACCATGTTTTTCCTCGGCACACCTCATCGGGGAGCTGATTCGGCAAATTTTGCGAAACTGGTTCGTCAGTCGGCTGGCTACGGGCCCAAAGCCTTCCTCGACGATTTGATACCTGGCAGTGGATCGCTACAGGTATGTTGATGCAGCAGCATATCAACGGCGGTTCAACAATGAAGTATCTGACATTGCTTGCATGCAGCAAATCAACGACGATTTTCGACATGTTTGCCACAAAATTAATCTGTGGTCTTTCTCTGAGAGTTTACCGATGAGCTTTGGCCCCACATCTTCCTTGGTCGTGGAAAAGCAATCAGCCATTCTAGGTTGGTGATACCGACACATGCTCTTTGTTCTTGTTCACCTCCTGACATGCTTTTCTTTACCGCCACACAGGCATGCCCAAAGAACATGTTCAGTATATCGAGGCCGACCACCGAAAAATCTGCAAGTTTGACACGCCAGTCAACCCAAACTACTTAATCTTACAGCGAGCCTTTCTTACCACGATCGAGGAGATGGGAGCTACTAGTAAGCAAACCCACGATGGATCTAGTCATAAAGTTTCTTGAGCTAATCAAGGCTTTGCTAGCTTTATTCCAACGTCGAGATGAACACCGGTCCCAAATGAAGAAAGTCGCCGCACTCCTCCGTCTCGATCAACGACCCGACGCGATTCTTCTTGCGACCAAAGAGAAACAACACTACGGGTCTTGTACATGGTTGACGGAAGACGAAACATTCCAAGAATGGATCGATGGCCCCGAAATGAGCTGGGACGGCACAAGCCCGTTATCAGAGACTCCAAAAGAGCTGGCACCCAAGACATTATGGCTCAACGGCCGCCCGGGGACAGGGAAAACGGTTGCCGCTGGTCATGTCATCCGATACCTTCAATCTTGCAACCTTGACTGCAGCTTCTATTTCTTCAAGCACGAGGACAAGACTCCCTCTACTGTGGCCTTCTTACTTCGGTCTCTGGCATTTCAGATGGCCGATTCCAACTTCGAGGTCCGACGGGCTCTGGTTTCGATGGCCGAGGACGACATAACCATCAAGCATGACGATCATCACATGCTCTGGACCAGTCTATTTGTGGAACGTATCTTCAAAGTAGAGCATACAAGGCCCCAGTTCTGGGTCATAGATGCGATCGACGAATGCTCGTCCAAAGGGCTGCCAGCTTTGGTTTCCATGTTGTCCAACATAGACCAACGATTTCCCGCACGTGTGTTGATAACTAGCAGGCCTGGTGGTCAGGTTGGTCGATACCTCACGCTGGAGCGCACCGAGTTTGTGGAAATATTCACTGGCGAGGAAGGTTCACTGAAGGATATTGAACTATTCCTCAACGCCAGATTTCTTCACACAAGCGACATTGAACAATACCGAGATATGCAGAATCTTGTCGCCGATGTCCTTGCCAAATCAGACGGCAGTTTCTTGTGGGCGTCTCTCACCATAGCGAATCTGGAGAACGCCTACAGTGTAGAAGATAAGCAAGATATTCTGCGACAAATTCCACCCGAGATGGACAAGCTTTACTCCCGGACGCTTGCATGGATTTCAGCGTCACCCAGCGCCGAGCTAGCAAAATGCGTTTTGAAGTGGACAATCTGTTCGCCCAAACCGCTTCACATCAGAGAGCTAGCCGAGGCTGTTAAGCTTGATATTGTGAAGACCTTAACAGCTAACGGAAGAGAACTCGAGAACATGACCGGACACCTCGTTGTCGTGGACAGTCAGTCCTACATCCGGATCGCACATCAGACGACGTCAGCTTTCTTAAGCCAGCAAAGAGAAGATGGCTTCTGGGTCGACCGTGTAGCTGCACACTCCGTCATTGCCGAAACCTGTCTCAACCTTCTCTGCAGTGCCGATTTTGCACCACCAAGGACACGTCGAGGAGTCGCGACGACCAAGATGCATACTACCTCACCTCTGTCAGACTATGCTGCACTTAACTTCTCTTACCATCTCATTCAGGGTTCTTCAGCTACCGACTCTCTTCTCATCCTTTTGAATAAGTTCTTTAGGACCAATGTCCTGACGTGGATCGAAAGGACAGCTACAGCTGGGAATCTTTGGACTCTACAGCTCACTGCGCAGAGGCTCAAGATGTATCTAGGTCGTCGAGCCAAGTACCAGTCCCCAGTCAGCGTGGAATCACAGACTATTGCAACATGGGCAAATGACATTTACCACATCCTCGCTGCCTTCCATTCTGTTCTGCTAGCCGCTCCATCTTCGATTCACTTCCTTGTCCCACACTTTTGCCCACCAAAGTCGATGATCGGGCAGCTCTTCGCAAAACCTACCAAGCGAATAAAGATTGCAGGTCCGATAGATGAAGATTGGAACGACAGGTTGACAGGATATTTATTTCCAGAAGAGGCTTGTGCGATAGCCTGTTGCCCACGCCTTCTGGCCGTTGGCCTTTCCAGCGGAGACATCAAACTTTATTACCTCTCTGGGTCTGGAACATTCGATGCAGCTGCTACATTGAAGCACGGGAAGAGGGTTCGTCTTCTCGCATTCAATCGAACCTCTTCCTTGTTGGCCTCCTGTAGTGCTCGTAAGTTGCAACTGTGGGAGACTCGCGGGTCTCATGGGACCATAAGGCTATCTCCTGTTTGGTCACAGAACATCGACTTCACGTCAGGGTCAATATCCTTCGACCCTGAAGGACAGTCAATCATCTTGACCAATCCTCAGGGCAGTTCTCTATCTTTCTATGGGATTACCGACGGCCAAAGAGCGGAAAGCATACTCCTTCACGCGCCCTCAGACTCAGACTCATCGGACGAAAGCGACAAACAGGTGGCTTCGTGGACGCCAGCTGTACAGATCCGCCTCGACTCAGATCACAAGCTTGCCGCACTGGCTTATCGAAATGCCTTAATTTCCATCTGGGACTTGACTGCCACTGAGAATCTCGGCAATTTTGAGAAGGAAGGTTTCGAGCATGTCTACGCCACCCCACAGACCTTAGACATGGTTTTCAATCCGATTGCCGAGCTCGAACTACTAGCAATATCGTACAAGGACGGCGATATTGTAACTTGCAATCCGTGGACGCAAGAACAAACGAACAAGTACCATCTCCCAACATCGCTCTCTGTCCTATCCACCACCTCGGATGGCAGGATTCTTGCAGGTGCGGCAGAGGATGGAGGTATTTACCTGTTCCTCTTCGAGACTTTGCAGCCCATATACCAGATTGAAAGACCCGATGATCAGCTGAGGATTTACAACATTGTATTTTCCACCGATAATCTGCGGTTCTTCGATATCCGGGGGCAAAGTTGCAATGTTTGGGAGCCATTCATATTGGTGCCTAAAGATGGGTCCGATGATAGCTCTTCGGAACCATTCAGTGAAGAAATCCCGCTTCCTGAGACTACGGCATCCCATGCCCATGTGTTCCAGTGGGGAGAAGCCATCACTGCCATCGAGCCAGCCGACGACAGATTCTTGCTCGTCGGGCGTCAAGATGGCACAATTGATGTAAGCGAGTTGAGCACCGGCGATGTTGTCGAGAAACTTCGGATCCACGATGCATTCACGGAGATCAAGTCACTGGACTGGAATGCCGATAACAGCACGCTGCTCAGTGTGGACACCACCGGGCGTCATATCCTTACGAAAATCGCGTCCTTAGGAAGGGCATCTAGAGCGCGAACCACTCGGTTGCTCGACCGCCGAAATGACGGTAACATTTTCCAAGTCATCCTGAGTTCAGATGCCGAGTCACTGCTCGTTTGCGCAGATTCCAGCGCAAAATTGATCGGTATCAATGGAAATGTGATGGGCGAAGAGAAAGACCTCAATGGAGCCTGGTGGATTAAACATCCATCGAGTCCTTCTCACTTGCTTGCATTCCAAGAGAGCCATGTTCACATCTACGAGTGGTCTACACTGCACAAAGCGGGCACAGAAATTAGGATTTCTTCTATCATACCTCAATCACTCCTCCCGAAGGTCCCCCACGCGTGGATCAGCGGCACTGGTTCTGCCTATTTGGCACAGGGTCTTCCTCATTCGCCCGAGCAAGCGAGTGGTATCGTCGCAGTTGAGGCGTCTAAGATCACGACTACAACAGAGATGATCGCGAGTCAAAGTTTACGCATGACATCTGCGCCCATACAATGCGTAATCGGCTGCATACGATCGAGTCTGTTCTTCCTCGATACGGCTGGATGGGTTTGCTCTATTAGCCTGAGACATCTCGCAGAGGCATCTCATTTCACACGACACTTCTTTGTTCCATTGACATGGCGTACGGGAACTGATGTCGTAATTAAGGTCGTTTCAAAGACCGCGGTAGCATTTGGAAGAGGGGAACAGTTGATCATCTTTCACGGGTTTTTGGAGTTCGAGGAAAAAGTAGCGTTGTCAAACATCTAGAAGTAACAAAATCTGTGTTTCTATCCGCAATAAATTGCCCTATCTCTACATTCAAGAAATGCTGCATAATCCCGTGGCGTAACTCAGTATCATGGTTTATTCAAATTTCAAACTCTTGCGAGCTGGACTGTTGCAGTGCAGCATATTGATCTACCAATCGGCATTCTTCTCGTCACCTGATGTTCTCCGATTCCGCCAATCACTTCACAACCCTGTACGACCTTCTTTGAGCCAAGTTACTGCGGGGTTGACGGGCTTGGGCGGGACAAACCATGTGTCGTCAAATTATACACGATAACGACTTGACTAGAAGACCCGACTAGACATTTCAGTGCCAGCTAGTATCTGGTCAACCCCTCTGGATTCAAGATCGATTGCTAGAAGAGTTCCCGTCACAAGCTGACGCCATGTCTGCAGCCGATTCGCTAGACAGGCCAGTCCAGAGTATTTCAAATAATGACAAAGAGATAGCTCCCTGCGCCGAGACAGCATCAGAGGAGCCGTATTCAATATTCACAACTGGCGAGAAGAGATGGATTAGCTATGTTGCGTCCTTCGGCGCCATGTTTTCCACCTTGAGCAGTTATATTTACTTTCCAGCCTTAGTACCTATGGCTACAGATCTCAACGTCTCTGTTGCCCTCATCAATCTCACCGTCACCTCGTACCTGATCGTAGCAGGCATTGCACCAGCCTTCATGGGCGATATCGCCGATCAAGGCGGTCGAAGGCCTGCATACATCCTCATGTTTACTCTCATGGGTACGTCAAATATTGGATTGGCGCTGCAGAATTCTTATCCTGCCTTGCTCATTTTGCGTATGGTACAAAGTGCCGGAGCATCTGGTGAGTTGACAACACCATAGTAACTCAGAAAATACTCTGTGGCTAAATGATAAATCGCAGGATCGTACGGCGCCGCATACGGAATTGTTGCAGACATCACAACAATCGATGAACGCGGGTCCTACGTGGGATCTATGCTTGTTTTGTAAGTCAACTCTGGGTCGAAACCTTCTATACCCCCGACGTTTCAATAACATCGCGCTGATCAGATTGAAAAAGTACCAACGCTGCTCCAAGTTTTGGTCCGGTCATAGCCGGGCTACTCACTGAGAAGCTAAGCTGGAGATGGATATTCTGGTTTTTGGTCATATTAACTGGTACTTACCTGCTCACCGTTGTCACCCTGCTACCTGAGACACAACGTCGTATTGTCGGCAATGGGAGTGTAAAAACCCAAGGAGTTCACAGAAGTCTTTTTGACTCCCTCGTTCGGCACCGAAAAGTTGATGCCTTGGATCGAGATGAAGGACTACAAGGCGGCAAGCGGCGGTACCACATCCCCAACCCTTTCAAGTGCATCTCGATGTTGTTCTCCAAAGGCAACTTCACCGTTATACTGATGGGTTCTATAACTTACGCGGTCAAAATGACATTGCAAAGCTCACTATCAGCTCAGTGTATTGACGTCTACAACTTGAACTATCTAGAAGCGGGACTCATTTATCTACCTTCAGGGATAGGAGGTGCTCTATCGTCTTATACGACAGGTCCGTAGCATATGGACAATTTTGTGAAATACGACTTAGACTTCGCTTAGACTGACGAGTTCGCAGGTAAACTCCTGGACAGAAACATCCAGAAAGTGTCAGTCAAGCAGGGAAGAGACAGCCTATATCGTCGAGGTGACAATATATCGGACTTTCCGATCGAGGAGGCACGCCTCGCCGGTATCTACATGCTAGTTACTCTCAGTTCAGTGACCACCGCAGGCTATGGAGTGAGCCTCATGCAAGAAGTGGTATGTGGTACATTACAGACTGGTTCTAGGCTTGGGTCAGATGCCCCAAGCTGGCAACTTTCGGAGATTGGGGCCTCGCTGACCGCACTAGCACATTGCCGTTCCTATGATAATGCAATTCATCAGCGGTGCCACAACATCGAGCATATTCACGGTACGTGCGAAGTGATGATACGTTTGCAGTACAGCCACTTTGTACGGTCCCTGACTCATTCCCTCCAGATTTGCGGCACCCTTCTGACGGACTTGAATCCCAAAGCATCAGCAACAGTCCAGGCGTCGTACAATCTTGTGCGGTGCATAGGAGCTGGCGCTGCTATCGCGGCTCAACAGCCCTTGACAAACGCCACGGGCTTAGGGTGGAGCTTTGGCATGTTTTCACTCATCATGTTATTTGCAGCTCCGTTGGCCATGCTGCTCGAAAAAAGGGGTCTAGGATGGAGGGCTTGCGCTCCAAGTTCACCTTAACTCCAGAGGAGAGTCAGACGAGAAAGCTGTTATCCGGCATTTCCATCTCTCACTAAGAGCGTTTTCGATTTGGCATACGTGAACTTCGATTGTTCACGAATGGGGCAGGGGTTATCATCGGTCATGTAAGGGCCTCGAAATCGTAAGGTAATGGCCTCAGTACTAATAGTCATATTCCCCCTTACGCTCCCGGTAAGGTAAACAAGAATTCCCGAATGAGGACCGTATGGAGAGCGCGAGGTATTCATATTATTCTTGCTTCTTCCAAAGCCCCTCGAGAGTGGCGTCACCGCAAAATCGCCTAGTGCAGTGTGATAGCACGCCACCATGCTACAGGCTACAACCTCATGGCATACTTACTATGCACGCGTTCAAACTCTGACGGGACGTCAAATGTCCGAAGTCATCATTTTATTCCAGTCTACCCATGAATCAGATGGAGGAATCAACGCCTACTGGTGGTGCATGGCGCTTGTCTGCATGTCTCATCAACTTACAGCCTTGCGATTGCCCGCCATTTCAGCATATTCCGCTCAGCTCGTTTTGCAGAGCACCCTCGGCAGTTTCTTGAAGTGATAAGTTCTTCTTCATGTGATTAGCGTCTCACCTGGCTTTGAGTTTAAGATAGTGCAGTTGTCCTTTGGGATCCTCTCCTCATCAGGGGCCTGCATGTCAAGAACCTCGAAGCATTTGGCTGATGATGGAGTGTACATAATATACGATCCCTCACAGCAGCCATGCTCTAGATTTTTCTCCAAGCGTATATGAAACTACCAGCTCGGCTCGTGTAGCTACAGTACAGGCGCTTCTCAACCTCCGCTTGGATGGTTCAGCTGATATGTCTTGGAATCTGGCTTAGGTAGGGAGGATGATAGTGCAGGCATCGACGCCATGTATGTCTAGTAAGATAAGCCTCAAAGATATCTGCATCATCGTAGGTGATGGACACCCCTGAATCTCGTCTAGGTGACCTCCAACTTCGAAGCGAAGGGTTCTGCTAAGTTGCCTATCCAGACTATTCCCATCAGGATTGCAATACCTACTTGCCTATCAATGAGCCATTCCAGTCACACTACTCGATAATGGGAATTAAGCGACAATAATCCATTTACTAAAGCCTAGGTTTCGTTCATGTAAGGTACCTTGCGAATGTGGTTTCGTCACCGGATTGCCTTATTCGCCTCAGAACGCGCCCTCGCCTCCCCTCATACACCCTCTTTTCCCGTCACTTGCTCTTCAGCTCTTGCAAATCTCATGCTTACAGATAGTCGCAGATGAACCAATGGGTCGATTGACAATAAGACATTGCCACAGTGTCTTAACCTAGCCCTTCGGACTTGACCTGCTCTGAATGCTCTTCAGTTTTGACCTTCTCTATTTCCCAGTCCTGCTATCTGGCGAAGGCTTTGCAGGATTATTGGGGGGGGGGGTTCTTTCCAGCCCCAATTTCTTTGCTCAAGCCTTTATATTCAACGGGTACCCTCGAGGTCGAAGCTACTAGCTGCCGAAAACTCCTTCGTTTCCATGCACCTCTCTTTCAGTCTTTCTATTCAAGAGAGCGGACTACATGTGAGCCTCCCGGTTTTGGGCCACAGCCTTTTAACACTTGGAATTGGACCATATCTGGAGCTCTCCATTGCCACCATGGGTACAGGTTCAACTCTTTTGCGATTGGCAGTGCTCTTGTCCTTGGTTGTTGCACTTGAAGCCGTCCGCTTCCATGCAGGTTCATCAGCAAACACGGTCAGGTTCGGGAACGAGGATGCTACTTTTGACTCGTGGCCTGCTGCACTACAACTCCTCCTAATCTGCGCTTCGCTGCGATACCTTTGAAGAGGCAGGCTGCTACCAGCAGTGGCCAATATTGTGGTTACGAGGACAACGAGAGTATGACCGTTCTAAAACTTGTCTCTTTTTCTCCTTCGCTCTATCACCTTTTTCGTCTTTCCATTCATCACGTCCCCTCTCCTGATTATGTTTAGACAGAACTTACCTTAACGTTACTCGTCAACAGAACATGAACCCTGGGACTGCCACAGCGAAACTTGCGTTACCAGAGGCAGTATCATGGGATGTGGATCATCTCCAATTACGTCCTGTCTAGAATACGACGACCCCATCTGCTCACAGAAACTCGAAGGGCCCGGCACTGTTTGTTGGTAAGTCTCCTCCATGCTCCTTTCTCATAAACTGACCTTGTTCCACGCCACTCCCTCCCAAAAATGGCTAACCTTTTCTCAAACTAGCACTGACATCACATCTCCTTTCTGCGCGACCGGTGTCAAGTACATAACCCGCGACTCCATCTTCACGCTCAAGGCTTTCAACTGCGGCAACAACCAGTTTTCAGGTGTTTATTACCTCTTCGACACCTTCAGCAGCTCAACTACGAGCAGTTCCTCTAGCCCATCACCCCCGTCGACTATCTCGTCAACCACACCTGTCAGCACTTCTTCCTCAGAGTCAAGCACGGCGACCTCGTCTTCAACCCCCAAACAGAGAAGGCCGTCCCTATCGGAGCAATCGTTGGCGGCGCAATTACCGGCCTCGTGGTCATGGGACTGATCGTCGCCGCAGTCGTGTGGATGATACTCCGTAATCGCAAAAAGGCCATCATAGGCGACGAAAATCAGGGCGGCGCGGTCAGTACAGACCCAATTTACACCTACGAAGCGGTGCCGCCCAGGGGAGCCACTTCGGAGTGGAAGTCTTCGACCCCAGCTCCCGTGTACGAGCCTCACAAGAGCAACCATCAGTCCGCTAAGTCGGGTGCGTATCAATATCAATCGCAAACGCCGTCGCAGAGCCCGGGCCCCACTTCGAGATCTGGGGCATTGCCCAACGACTATTCTTCGAACCGCATATCTGAGGTGCCGGCTACCAACCCCGCTGGGACAGGAGATAACGCTTCTGAACTGCATTCCGACTACATTCAGCGATCTTAGTTCGCGCTCTGGGTCTTGTACACTTTCGCCTGCTCACGCTGGCAGATGGGTGTAGCCAACTTTATGAGTGCAAGGGTGAACGGAGTTGGAGGGATTGAGAGGAGTTCAAGACGGATATTGGCCTTTTCCAACATGTTTGTCTTTAGATCAAATCAGTTTCACATGTTTTTCGCATTCATGACGTCTGTTATAATCGAGAATCCTCTATTTCGCTAGTTCCATAGTATGGGAAACCAAGTCCCAAGCTTACATGCATACTCTTCGACGAGGTTATAGATCCAGCTATAGCCAAGGCCTTCACCGCTTTCATGGCACACATAACTCCAAAACCGTCATGCCGTCGTCTGTGTTGTCACATTTCAATATCATTTCCTCTCCAACCGATCTTTCTCTCGAAACACCAACGACTCGAAACCCCCAGCCGTGCTCTCACAGCTCTTTTCAGCCGAAAGTTCCGATGCGCGCCGCTTTGGCATCCGTAGCCCCGGAGAGTCTAACCCAAGGGGCTACATATAATTACCAAACCTCTTCTAACCCCCCCGCAATGGCCGCTGAAAACTTGAAAGTCAAATCTGCACATCAAGCCCCTCCCTCCTCCGTGCGGTCCAAGATACCGAAGCTGCCGGGCATTGATCCGACGTAGGCGGCTTACCCGTTGCGACCGAGTGATAGACATCCTTGCGCGGTTCTTCTTCCCCCTAGGTAGATCATGTTGCCATAATCTCATCGCAACTTGAGGCGCACATAGATGGAGGCCAGAAAGTGACATTTGAATAGACTGGGCAACTCAAGAAACTAACCTCAACTAAGACCCACATACCTCCTATCTCCTCAATACTACCTCCACTCAATAACCCAACTCACCTTCTCCATCAAAATGAGCAAACAGCCATCAAACTCCAGCAAAATCCTCGGGTTTCCAGGCGGACATATAAGGGGTCAGGCGCAGAAGATCAACATCTCGCCAGACATTACGTCGCTCCGAACTGAAAACATCGTGAGTGGCCAATTGCAAGGATCCTACGTGGAGTTGGTCTAGCAAACGTGGAGCCCTTCCCCTGTTTCAAATCAACCGAATTTTTTAAAGCAAGTAGTCTATCTCAAGTATTTTGTGACTTACCTGGCCTTTACGGGACGCCAAGAGAATAATGGATTTAGGACTTTTGGAAGGGCGGTAGGGAGGAAAGGAGGATGGGAGGGGATTCGGAGGCGGGTCTAGAAGATTAGAATGGCGGTCGACAACGATGGGACTGCGATGAAGGTTAAAGAGTTAGAAACAAGCTTGTCTTGACGAGTTGTGCTGCAGCACAGCAATTTCGCATCCCATTTGAGAGGTTGTTCCAAGAAACAAAGAGACTACCACCCAGCAGCTGTCAACGACTTGTATCTCGCTGCTTTTCTAACAAGGGGTCTCTTGAACCCCGAAACCGATAACGTCTATGCCGAACAAAGAGTAATAAACAATGACAAGAAAACGAAGCGAATAGCAGACAGCGGGGTCAAGCTCCCCCGGATGCAGTAGATCAAACAGTGTACCAGTGGCCGTAGCCATTTCTTTTCCTCCTTCTTCCGTCCGCTGCGACAGCTCAAAGTCTGTCGCGATCATGCTGTTGTAATCCAATGCCCAGAGTTATCCGCCGACCCCAATGTAATGATGCCAACACCCATGTTGAAGATAAAGAAGACAAAACCCAGGTTTCCCCAAACGCCATTTGGTGTTGCGCCGACACCATGTATGCAATCGCCTAGTCCTCACGCTCCCTTTCACTATCATCGCCGCTATCGGTGAGGTCGACTGCCTTGTGCGCTTCGGCCTCGGTCATCTCTCGCCATGTACTCCAGCTCAACATGCCGAATGCGATCATTATCATGAAACCGCCGATGAGAGCTGCAGCACTGAGAGGCTCGCCAGTGCGCAGCCAGTCTGTAATGGCAACGATGAAGATTGTCAAGAGGCTGGCGACACTGGACAAGACAGGGCTCGTCAGACTGATCAAGACGAGGAAGCTGCCGGCAAACGTTGCATTCATGACAACACTGCAGAAAAGCATCCAAGCCGTGTATCCCGTTGGTAGGTCAAACTTCTCGATGCCGGTCCAGTGCAGAATGGGAAGCGGAATCCACAGCACCGTAAGCGTGAAGAGACCGATACATGATCCGAACGTGTTGGCGAAGATCATGCCGCGGTTAGGGCTACAGCCTTCAGGTGGGCAAGCATATCGCTTGTAAAGCACCTCGTAGAGGCCGTAGAGGACAGACCCAATACCGATGATCAGGTTGCCGGTGACACGGTTCCCGGCCGCCTGCTGGTGAGCGGCGTCATCCTCGCCGGGGCTAGTGTCACCGTATGCGACGATCAAGACACCAGCAATGGCCACGATAACAGCAAGAGACTTGTCCAGGCGCAGAGGCTCCTTGAGCAACGGAACAGAGAAGACGTAGGCGAAGAAAGCCGAGCAGTTGTAGATGGCCGTCAAATCGGAGGGAGTCGTCAAGTTGACAGCGACATACCAGCTCAAGCCACCGACTGTCAAAGCAGACGTAACGAAGGCCGTCGTCTTGATAATATAGGTCCACGGAGAGACGCGGGGCTGTGGGCTGGGTCGCGCATAGTCGAGGTCCTGTCTCTGGACCATGATGGCGGTCGTATGAAGCAGCTCGGTGTGTCTTCGCCAGAAGGATGACCACGCGACTTTGCGCTTATTGATTCGCAGGAACAGCAGCTGGACAGGCCAGAGCATCACCCAGGAGCCATGGGTGAGGTAGAGCATGCAGTAGGCCTTGTCCCAGTGCAGCTCCTGTTGGATGTAGGCCGACAGTTCGGTCTGGATGACAAAGGAGACCAGACTGATAAGGAGGACGAAGGCCGCGATGATGTACTTCCTTCGAGCATTCGCTGTGATTGTCGAGGGAGAGTGGGCTCGCATAGTCGAACCTCGAGAGAAGGCCGGTCGACTCGGGGTCAGCAAGGGGCTGGCTCCTCGTGAGCGTGTAGAATAGCTCCTGCCGCGGTGGTCATCATCTTCGTCGTCCTTTGCGTTCAGAAGAGGTTGGCCGGAGCGGGAGTTGTGGTTTCGGAGGAGGGGGGGACGTTGGCTGTCCATTTTGTCGTCTTCGTCGTCGTAATCGTGTTTGAAGTAGTCGTCGTCGGCGGATCGCAATGCATCAAATTCGGCCAGGCGCTGGTCGAGCCCGGGGCTCACTCCAGGGCTACTGGTACCACTACCGATATAATCTGAAATATTGGAATCGCATGTAGTTGCGCTCAAGGGAGGGTTATGGGAATGATCGTGTCGCAAATGGGGGAGGTTGAGGGTTCCATCCGGCCCTGTGTTGAGTCTTGGAGGCATAAGAAGGGATAAAAGGAACGTAAGAATGGGAGGGGGGGAACCAGGAGATAATAGCGAGAGTCTGAGAGCGAGAGATAAGAGAGACCGAGAAAGAGTAACGGTAAGGTAAGGTACACAGAGAAAGGCTCATCAAGTGAAGGAGTGACTTGAATGGGCAGTCCAATTGCTGCACAGGCAGAAGCTGCAAGTTTGGCTCGAGTAAGGAAGGGAAGGGGTACGCAGTTGACGCAGTTGACGCAGTATGCGAGTCGAGTGCTTGTGCTTGCTGCCGGACTCTTTTGGGTCGGGAATGGATGTGTACAGTTGGACACTTTTTTGGTTTAGGAGTGGAGAGTGGATACTAAACTGAGGTGGGCGCGCAAGTTGGCAGTCGCAAATGGAACTGGAGAACCCAGGCCTCGGGACGGGATGCAGGAAGTTGCGGTGGACGGGCACACGGGATTCTTGGAAAGGGCACTTCCATTACAATGGGCCCTGGGATGCGTAGGTACAGAGTACTCACGATGTATCTAATTGCCCGGTGTGGTGACGAGTGACATACCCAGAACTCAGCAAGGTGACTTTTGATAGGACCATCCCTACAGCGCCGAGACCCAGCTAACTTGGCTGACTTGCTGCTTTCCACTTGGCGTCGGCCAGATATTGGCGGGCATGGGCGGTTCGCGCGGAAGGGGTCTTCCACCCAATCTTTTCCCCCACTCTCCTCGGTCTACTGCACGCAGCACACGCAACACCTCCAACACTCAGCCCTCCAACCTTACGCAGCCTCTCCATCGCTATCGCTCCCACACCATTGTCCGTAAGGTAATTGAGCATGCTAAGGTATCCGAACGGGAGGTCAATAGCTCGTCTGGTCGCTGCTATTTTGCGCACCGTCGTCTCTGCCCTACCATTGTACCAAATCAAGTACCCAGATACCACACCCTTCCACCAATTCTCGCGCACGTCACAAGTTGCGGTCAGGAGCAGAATGACAAGCCTGTCACCTGCGTCTGATAACTCTGGCGAGGTCAGCCTCTAACATGTCTTAGCGTTTGCCCGGCTATCATAGCTGCACCACTGCGGCGGTATGGATACACCCACTTCACCACGCTTACCAAACGACGGAGGGTAGAGAGGGCCTCAAAACGGCACTCCCCCTCGGCCCATGTTCCATCCTTCAGCCTGACGCCATCACGCATGGCGTCGCATGACTGGAAAGTCTGGCATTGGTCCCAACTGCCACACCCACAAAAGCACGCCCTCACATCCCGCGCCAGAGATCGCTTCATGAACAGGGTACATTCATGTGCCTCGATTTTGACATCTGATACGACCATTTGCCCGTTTATACTACAAAGTCTACAAAGAATCAACTTTGCCTGCATTTACCACGGCAGTTCTTACAAACTCGCATCAGAATTCTGCCCACTCATCGGAGTTCAGCCCGATCACTTGGCCCCGTCCTTGAACAGGGCTTCCCGGGTGTCGTACTTGTACTCGAGATCCAGGTGCCAGTAGTTGGTCGTGTCCGCCTTGGAAATAGCCCACGCCTCATCGAGCGCCTTCACCACATCGTCGGGAAGGGGACCCTTCTCGAGGTGGTTGAGGTTGTCCTCGAGCTGCTGCACGCTCGAGATGCCGATGATGATGCCGTCGTTGCCATCACCCGTGACATTGAGACCCGAGTGATGCACCGTCCAGCGCAGCGCCGTCTCGATCATGGTTAGCTCGGCCTTCTCCACCGCCTGCTCGATCGTTTGAAGCGCTTTGAACGTGCTCTCGCGGAAGTAGCGCTTGCGGTAGTTGCCTCCCGTGCCGTGGTTGTCCGAGAAGCGGCCCTCTGTCGGAACAATGTCCTTGGACTTGATCTTGCCCGAAAACAGCCCGCCGGCGATGGGGTTATACACGACGAGGTCAAGTCCGTAGCGGCGCAGAGCCGGGATCAGCTCGGGCTCGATGCTGCGTGTGATGACATTGTACATGCCCTGGTACACCGTCGGCCGGACCCAACCGTTGTACTTGGCCGTCAAGACCACTTCGGCCACCTCAAACGCGGTAAAGTTGCTGAGGCCTAGCTTCACGAACTTGCCTTGCTTGTGGAGCTTGTCCAGAGCCTCAAGCGTCTCTGCAAATGGGGTTGCACGATCCTGTAAGCCACTATTAGTCACTATCCGAGACCATACTCGGGAACAAAGTTCGTACCGCAGCATGGAGGTACAAGATCTGTCAACGTATCATTAGTTTAACCCCTGACTAGATAACGCTTTCGTGTTCACTCACATCAACGGAGTCGGTGCCGAGCTCCTTCAAGCTAGTTTCAACGGACTCGATGACCTTATCCCCGGCATGATCGCCAGGCTGTCCGGGATATTGCACCTTTGTGGCGAGCGTCAAACCTCTCTCCTTCCACTTGGCCTCGCGAGTGAAGGCCTCCTGCTTTCTGCCAACGTATACACGAGCCGTGTCCACCTCGTTGTAGCCGCGGGCCTGGAAAACATCGAGAGCCTTGTTGTACGTCTCGAGATCGGTGATTCGGGCACCGGCGGACTCCTCAGGTCCGAAGGTCATGAGACCCAGGATGATGCGGCGGTCTTTGAGGTTTGAAGCGATGAGAGGCATGGTGAAAGCTGGGGGATCCTTGAGTAAGACGAGTAAGGCCGGGTGGAGAGGAGCTAAACGCCAGGGGGTAACTATTTTGAGAGAGAGATGGACGAACCTTGACAAGTGCCTGGAAAATGGGAAGCGTCGAGATATATATGAGGTTTTTTGGTTCAGGATGGAGAAATCGCCAGAATGCCAATAGTTTGCGTTCTCGAAGCGATGTCGTGATCAAAAAGGCTCGACAAGCTGCTTCGAAGTGGACTTCATGGGAGTCAGAACGCCATGGACCCCACCATCTTGGCGGGGTAGGTGAGATACGTGCGACATCTGAAGACGTCACGGCGCCGGTGCGGCCAGTGGGAGGGATTACTAATGGCGACCTCGCGGTAGAGCTGTAACTTTACCATGCCGAAACCCCCCCGGAATCGGGTAGGAGTCAGCCAGTTACATGTTGAAGCTTTGGCAACCATTCATTTCCAAGGTGTCTATTGGCAAACACTTGTATTGTTTGTTCGAATAAGTTCGTTATCTCCTAAGCTGTCTTTTATGAAGGCGGTAATCTTGTCTCTACAACAAAGTAGAGCTTTGATATATATCACACAAAGGTTCGCGTTCCTTTCTACCATACTGACGGTAAACAGGACGAGTGAAGCCGGGAAGAGATTACTTGTTGGCAAGTGCCCATTCCCATGGTGACTTCAAAAAGACCCTTCCTTTGGGAGGGATGTCTGGGCCTTTTCTGACGATAGGCAAGGAAGCTCGGATCACACATGGAGGAAGAAAGGCACGTGACCCCGGTACTTGCCTTCCTTTGAAGCGCTCTCATCCACTCTTTCATTCATCTCAAAAGATGGAAAGGAGAGCCCCACAGCCCCGTGTTGACGCTCGGGCCCTTCCCCTTCACGCGCGTAGCCGCTTGGTTAAAGTGCCCTTTCGCGTAAAAGGCAATCTAAAGAAGGCGCGTCTCGCGTCGTCGACGTGCCCTTTCCCTCAAACCACCAAAGTGCATCCACTCCAAACCTGGTGAAATTTCCGTGATACCGGTCCCTCAACCCCCGAGCCTCATCGACCCTCGCCTCCACAACTACCACTCCTACCCCGAACAAAACGCCACACCAACTGTTCCAATCCGCCCCATCGTCGATATCCCTCTCTTTCGTCGAATCGACCGAAAACGCTTGCCAACGTGCCTCCTGATCTTACTACGAGAACTCCGCAGGGCCTGTCCCTTGCTCCAGGTCGGCGACGATGGTTAATAAGGGCAATGCGCAACCCGGCGTTTACAGCGCCACATACAGTGGTGTAAGTCACAGTTTTCTGCAGATGTAGCAAAACTACTGCTCGACTTTCGAGATACTATCATCCGACGGTGTCAGACTGGGCGCTTACTTCCCTTTGGGAAAAGGGGATAGCCTCAATAGTCGGGGTTGGCCCAGAGACGACCCATGATATTTCGGATCTGCATTTTTGCTACAATTGAACCCATCGCTAATTGATTGAATCTCTAGATTCCCGTTTACGAGTTCCAATTCGGAGATGATCTCAAGGAACATGTCATGCGACGGCGCCAAGATGACTGGATCAACGCAACACACATCCTAAAGGCCGCCGGCTTCGACAAGCCCGCCAGAACACGCATTCTCGAGCGAGAGGTACAAAAGGAAAAGCACGAAAAGATTCAGGGCGGATACGGAAAGTACCAGGGCACATGGATTCCTCTCGACAAGGGCGTCGCCCTCGCCCAGCGAAACAACATCTACGACCGCCTGCGGCTCATCTTCGAGTACACCCCAGGCGAGCAGAGCCCACCCCCGGCCCCGCGACACACGAGCAAACCAAAGGCACCAAAGAAGCCCGCAGTGCCCAAATGGCCCGCTACGAACTTCCAACAACAGCAGCAGCAAGCACCACCACAGGCTCAGCCCTCTGCTAACCAGATGCAAGGCGCGCCGCCGCCAGAAGAGTACGAGGTCGGCAACTCGATGATGAATGACGATGATACCCCTGACAACTTGACCGTCGCCTCCGCCTCGTATATGGGCGAAGACGATCGCTATGACATGTCCCACCAATCCACGGGCCACAGAAAGAGGAAGAGGGAAGAGGCCATCCAGGACCTGACGCAGCAGCAGCATTCCGTCTACGGAGACGAGCTCCTCGATTACTTCCTCCTCTCTAGAAATGAGAAGCCAGCATACCGGCCTGAGCCGCCGCCAAATTTTCAACCCAATTGGATTATTGATTCAGAGGAGCATACGGCGCTTCACTGGGCATCGGCCATGGGCGATGTCGACGTCATCAAGCAGCTTCGGCGCTTTGGTGCCAACCTGAATGTGCAGAATGTGAGGGGGGAGACTCCCTTCATGCGGGCTGTGCACTTTACCAACTGCTACGAAAAGCAAACATTCCCCCAGGTCATGAAGGAGCTTTTCGAGACCGTCGATGCGCGTGATGCGACGGGGAGCACGGTGATCCACCATGCGGCAGTGATGAAGAACGGCCGGGTCGTTAGCCACTCGTGTTCGAGATATTACCTGGACAACATCCTGAACAAGCTACAAGAAACGCATGAACCTGCCTACGTACAACAGATCATTGATGCGCAAGACGAGCAGGGAAATACCGCCCTTCACCTGGCAGCAGAACGCAACGCGAGAAAATGCATCCGGGCACTCCTCGGGCGACAGGCCTCTACCAGTATCCCCAACAACGAAGGTGTGCGGGCGGAAGACCTCATTGCCCAGCTCAACGCCACAAAGAAGGAGCGCGGCCCTCAGCGGTCATCATCGCCATTTGCGCCTGATTCCCAGCGCCACGTCTCCTTCCGTGATGCGGTGCCAGAGCGCATGACAACGAGCAAGAAGCTCGGCCTGTCGTCCTTTAATTCAGAAGCCGCGAATACGGTACAGTCACGCATTACACCGCTCATTATTGAAAAGTTCCAAGACCTCGCGGGGAGCTACGACGAGGAGCTGCGCGAAAAGGATCAGGCGGAGAAGGAAGCCCGCCGCATCCTCTCCAATACGCAAGCCGAACTCGCTGCTGTACATCAGCACATGGCCGAACTCGAGGCCCAGCTCGAAGCAGACGACGGCGCAGCACAAATCATCAGCGAGGCCAACCGCGCCAAGCATCAAGTCATGTCCCTCATCACACATCAGAACCGCCTGCATGTGCAGCAGGCCGTGGACCAGGAGATTAACATGCTCAACGGCGACGCCAACGAGGCCTCGTACGAGGACCGTCTCGAGCTGGCGCGGCAGCTGCAGACCATGCTCTCGGAGCAGAGGCAGTCAGAGTCTGACTACGTCGAGGCGCTCAGCATGGTCGGCACGGGCGAGAACATAGACAAGTATCGCCGGCTCCTGCGCAAGTGCCTGCCCCCGGCTGACGCGGAGAACCTGGACGAGAATCTCGACAACCTCATCGAGATGATGGAGGAGGATCGTGACCTGCCGGGCGACGGCAATGGTCTCGAGCCCATGGACGTTGGTATGGGCGGTATTGGTATTGGTATTGGCATGTGACTACATGCCACGTATCTCGAGCAATCACCGGTTGCATAGGTTGTAAGCTGGGGATGTCAAGAGACATTGGTCTCTCTTCTACAAAAACTTCCCTATTCGGGGAGTTGGTCTTTGTCAGATCCACACAGCGTTTCCGGTCGTGGGACGATGCTAGACCGCACTTTGACTTGTCACGGCGCGAGAGCATGGTTGGGCGGCAGGCAATTTTTCAAAATTCAAAAGAGGTTCAGGATTCATTCGCTGGTGTCTTTTTGGCGGTTTAGGCAGGATAGGGCAGGATAGGGCAGGCAAAGCAGGCTAACTTATGTTTTTTGTTACTCGTCGCGGTTTTGATCTCATTTGGGACCGGCGTTTGGAGGTGGGCGGCAGGAGAAGCGAGAGCGAAGATGTCAGAAGATGGATGTTGGAGGGGGAGGGGTGGGTGTGAGTGTGAGTGAGCATTGCGACTGTGGATAAGATTTAGGCCTTGGAGGTCTGTTGTGTGTAATGTCTCGCGGATTCGATCAAGGGAGAACCGCGCAATGATCAAGAGAGATTCTCCACGCATTCAATTACATGGGCGTGAAAAGAAGAAAAAAACAGATGCTCGTCATAAGGCGAATATCTCCCCTTCTGGTGTTGGTAATGCTGATGCTGCCTAGAAAGTGGACACGGCTGGGGTACCCGAGCGTCCTTTCTCGGTCATCTGACGACGGCCGACTAAGACATGGATGGACGGAGGCGGCAGCCATATTTCACGCCCGGGTGCGATCAGACTCGAGATCGAGCTTGAAGGTGTCAGCCTGGTCATGTCTATATTATTTTGTGGGTTGTGTTGTGGGCGAAGAGGCTTTCGTGAGGCTGGCTGACTTCCGTCTCGGTAGTGCTGTCAGTCAGCCAGTGCAACGCCATCATCCACATCTTAGGTACGCCTCCGTCGACTTCGGTGCGCTGGAGCCCAGATGCGGAACAACAAGAGATCGTCATTGGAACATTGCTCATAAACGTACGGATACACGTCGAGGCTTTTCAGAAAATATTGCCCAATTGGGCGATACGGTTGATGAACGTGCCTTTGCTACCAGAAGTAAGATCGCTTGAGCAAGTGAGAAAGGCGTCAGCTCAATAATCAAAAGTCATCGCAACGACCATGACTAGACGTTGCAAGAAAGCCATCTGACAGTCGCGTGTCGCCCGAGGCGCCCGAAGCCGTAAGTGGCATTGCGCAAGTCCGATCCGATAGGTCTTGGCGGAAGGCTTCTTCATTCTTACCACGCTTCATTCGCCTCCGACTTTGGATGAAGGCTGATGAAGGTCGGACAAGTTTTGTCAAGATGCAGGGCTGACTCAACCTTGTCGTTGATTTTCGGGCGTGGGACAGAGCCGCCAGATCCGACAGGTAGGTTGAGCCGTCGCTCGTAGAACGAAAAGAATATGCCTGAGAATCCAGTATGCTATGATATCCCAATCAAGGCGCTGATGAGGGCATCCTTACCTAAGAGCGAGACTCACCAAGGTTGCACCGGCAAATTGTAAGCTTGGCATGAATCATCAACCGCATGTCTTATGGTATAGAAAATGGACTTTTGGATCTTGTGCGTAGGTCAAGAGTAGAAGGCCAAGGTTACTGAGCGTGCCGCAAGAGCCAAGGCTGAGGGATGTCGTAACTCAACCTGTCGCATTCGAGCATGAGGCTCCGAAAGTGAATAAGTGCTGATGACCTTGCAAAAGCCTCGCGCGTAGCCATGGCAATAAGCCGTCGGATGTAGGATGCCGCGCTCATCCACCAAGCGATCACGACAATGGAGACCAGTTAATGCATGGTCCTTCGCGTCGCCGACTTTTCATGGTAATAGAATGCGGTGTTGCGCCCGACTTGGCAGTGTGATCATTCACAGATCAACAGGGAAAAGCTCTTTAGCACCGGGGAATTTCCCACAATAGACGAAAAGAAAGGCGGTCAGCGGACTTTGCGGTGGCATCAGGGGAACAAACCAATGTTGATTGGGAGGGCCGGACTCGACCAAATCGACGATGCAAACCGAGACGGCGATGGTGCATCCGCGTGTTAGTCTGTGAAGCTATTCGATGCCGGTCAACCAATGGATTGCCAATGAGCAGGGGATATGTAAGGGCTTGGGAAGACTAGTGGATGGGGAGCGATTAACATGCTGACGCCAGTCCATATCAGAGAGCCGGGATCTTCGTAAGGCTGAAGCGCACGAGGGTCCCTGAATGGCTTCGCATTGTTTCGGTGGGTTGGGGGCCAGGGTTGGATGTGGGAGCATTGCGGGCGGTAGGGAAGGCTGTTGGCAAAGTGGCGTGAGTGGCTGCGATAAACGCGTCCGAGATGAGTGACGTTCAGTTGGGCCGTTGACACCAGAAACGGGGGCAGATGGTACCTCGAATGCTTGCGCTCCGGGTGACCAACCTCGTTTTGTGACACATCTGGATGACGATTTGCAGATTTCATGCATGGTGATAAGCAACTGCGTCTCGAGGTCAAAACTAGACGGCGAAGGATAAGCACTTGGCCAAATCCCCATGCTTAGACCGGAGGATATGTTACACAGGGCTTTCTCGCCTTTCGGCATCCCTTCACGCATCTAGCGATTCCGCCGAGTCGCACTGAAAGGGCGAGGTTGTCATGCAAACCCTTGCATCTTGTCCAACAGCGTTTATACGGGCGTGAAAGAGTCCTTCGTAATAATTACGAGTCGGTCAATGGTGATCTCACATGCCCTCATTATTGCTCAACCCTCAATGGCGACACGGAATCCACAGGTGCGCCAGTGGGGAAGGATCCCATCCGGCTGTAATGGAATGTGGGCGTTGGACCGTAGCCAGGTAAAGCAACGGTCGCTGGCTCCGTTTGGGGGCGGACTCGTGTTCCGGACCATGGAACAACAGGCGGGACGATAGGGCGATGATTTTGGTGTACCGAACCTGTGTATGTACGGGTAGCGGGAAACCAAATCGCAAGGTACAGTAGCATGTGCGTGTGCCAGCGGATGACGCGCAGCATCTCCTCGGCGAATTGCTGCAAGCTGTTGTCGCCGCCTCTGTAATGTTAAACCCGGGGTGGCCGGAAGGCGAGACTGGAAGGAGGGGTGACGACCGGATTCGCCAGGAGGCGAGAAAGAGAAGGCCTCTCGATTTTCTCGTAAACGCAACGGCCAAGGCCTATCAAGGTAATCTTGGGAGAAGGGGCCGACGAGACAAGACAGGAGCAAAACATGCCCGTACCAGTGTCCCGGTTGAAAGAGGTCAGTCGGGATTGCGATCTGGCTCCTGAATGGCCCAGTTTGGTCGTGGAGCGGAAGCATTGGGGGCGGATCTGAAGTTGGCGACCTGGTCCTGGGCTAAGAACAGGAATAGAAAAGGCTCAGGAACGGGGGGCGGCAGCGGCGATCAGGCCGCGTCGGCTCCGTGGCTCGGCGCCCCATCTCGGGGGAAGAAACTTTCAGAGACAGGCTAAAGCTGCTGTGAATGCAAATCCGGAGGCCCAGTGCTGCGGCAGTGGTGGAGATGCGCTTTGCGTGTTTGCATGGGGCGACTATGACTGGGTAAGGAGTAAGGCCTCGTATTCTCGGAATTTGCATGTTGCCACAACGGCTGAACCTGTGTCTTGCGTCAGAAGATTGGACTCGTAAAGGTTTGAACTTCGAGGATGATTCGGTACCGTATGGTTGGAAACGAGCTGAAGGTGTATTTCCACCTTGGAAAATACAGACAATGGTTGGATGAGGAGGACGCCGCGAGTCTTGAGTTGTGGCTGTGCTTTGCCGCTGGCGGCCGCAAAGCTGCATCTGGCAAGCAAAGTGGACGGCCGCCATCGAGGATCGCCGTGAGCTGGCATCGGGGGCCGAAAAAGACGAAAAGTCGGTGTCGTCGTCGTCGTCGTAGTCGTTTACTAATGTCGATGGAGGTTGGGAGGGAACAAGGCTGGAGAGAGAAGGCTTTCTCGCAGGTAGACAAAAATAGCTATGATGAACAGTTGATGGGGGGAGGGAGGCACATGAAATCTGAAGAGAATGGGGCTTGGCACTGCAACTTCGGGGACCTACCTTGGCAGATAACGGGACGGGATGGAAGGGTGGAAGCGGCAGGCACTACACCGGATGACAGTTCCATCTCTCGCAGGTTGATACCTTCCATAACTTGGGATGACAAAAGGATCTCATCCATCTTGAAATGAAGTAGTTTAGTACCTAGGTAAGGTAGGCACCGTAAGGAAGGCAAGTACGTCCGTAAAGCAGTCACGATATCTTTCGGCCGTTGAGGAAGGGGCTTTACACGTGCAGAGTGCAGACTGCAGAGATGCATGTCATGCAAGGACCTGTACAGGAACATGGAAGGCACGTATGGCAGATGCACCCAGTCATGTCAATCGTCGTTGAATCTGCCTAGGTACCTGAGGTACCTCAAGGAACCTTAGGTAGGTGCGGACATCACGGTTCGCAGGTGCGCGCAAGGGAGGAAGGTGAAGACGGGAGAGGAAGAAGCCGGGTCGTGGCTTCCCTTCCATCGTTGTCGTTGGGTGCTGAAAATAATTACAGCGGATGATCGCCCCCATGGACTGCATCATCTCCCGCCCTCAGTGTTTCGTTTCGACCGAGGTGTGGACGGGTGACGGGTGGGACCAGCGGGATAAGTGGTCCAAGCGCCAGTCACCTTGGGGGCGGCTCCCAAAAGGGCCGTCGTGCCTGCTGAAGTGGTTTACGGCAGGTACGCTCCCTGCAGGTGTCCAGCTTGCTGCTTCCCGTTGTGTCTCGTATACTTTCAATATGTTTTCAAGATACAGGAAGTAAGGTAAACTCCTACCTACCTACCTAGGTAGTCCAAACGCACGACATGTAAATCTGGAAGGTATCAATACAGATCCTGGAAAGCACCTTGCTTTTGAGGCAGGAAGACATGAGCTGAGGCCTGCCCCCTAAAAGGTAAGGTACTTGTGTACGTAAATGCAGGTACTTTGAGTCTGAACGACCGGGAGGAACCTAAGGCAATGCGCCGGGCTCTACTCCGTCTCCGTCGTCTTCCTTTTTCTTCTTCTCTCCCATGTGCGTGCCATGACTGCCATCTTGCATGAGGTAGGTTGCTCGAGAGTCTACGAAGGAGAGTCCAGACTGATTGCGGGGAGCAGAAAACTCCCGGGGAAATTGCTTCGACCCTTGGATCCCAAAACGAGCGAATGAGAAGCCGCAGCCATTTCAACGCCAGCTGAACGAAGAGGACTGGAACTTTGCATCGCCAACCAACCTGGAACCCAAACTACATTTCACCCAATCGTCTCCGTATCCGTACCGTACTCACCTCAACCCCTCAACCCCTCGACATGGACCCTCGAGCTCGACACGCCCATTACCAACGACGTTTACGGTTCCAGTCCTGCGTCCCGGGTCCTGTGTCCCATCTCCCGTCCTCGTGTCTGTCCCTACCTTACCTAAGAAACTAATCATTCCAGGTTGTCACCAGCGTCACCGCACACCATCTTCCAGTCGCACGCCACGCCGCCTCTGGCTTGGCCTGCTTTTGCCTCTGCGCCAGTTCAGATCTCCCACCGCGTTCCTGGCATGTCACTCTGTCTGAGTCTCTGCATCTCTACGTTAGACTTCGGCCATCTCGCATCCGTGGCATAATACCCACAGGGCGGATGTTTGCCACCTAGTCCCGTCTTCACTAGGTACCTACCTAGCATTTCGTCCACCAATGTCTCCGATCCTAGCGGCATGGAAATTTGACAATCGGCTCGTCAGGCTTGATCTTGCCAATAAAATGGGGACCAGACACACGACGTTGTCTATCATTCGTCAACAGAGCCACCCAAGTTCCAACATCGAGACTTCGATGCGAGGTGTTGTGGGCCAGTCAGCACCACCGCATCCTACCCTGCGTGCTTGCGTGCCTTCATGCGACTACACGGCCATCATCCATCCCACCCGTCGCATACGGCCATGGTGATGCGAACGCTTGCTCGGATCCTTAATGTCATATTCGTCTTCATCCAAGCCCGGCAGAGCTCGGACTCCTATCGCGGCTGATCCCCGCCGACCTGGTCCTGGAACTGGTCCTGGATGTTTTGGTGACTGAACCTCACCGCAACACTCTGCACCCGCGCCATCTCATCACCATCGTGCATTGTCCACTTGCGAGATTCCGGTACTTGCTCATGCGCAATGTCATGCAGACCCAGCTCACCAATCCATTGCCGATTTTTGCACGCCGGCCGACCTCTTTTCGGCATGCCGATTTTCGGCAGCTGAGGGCCGGTGCAACACAGCTCACCTCTGTCTCCTTGCCTCGTCCCTTGAGGGCATAGCGCGATGCCCAACAGCCAAGAGTCGCCGACCAACACAACCCAACTCCGGTTTCTTACGGTGCCTCTCCAAACTCCCATCATTTACATCACCATGATCCTCTTCCCGGCCCAAGGAATCCCATCAAGAGGGGGGGGGGGGACGCATCGATCGACACCACAGGGCTGGCTGCGTGACCAATCGTTCCAAAGAACAGGCATGGAAGAGGAACAAGCTTGTAAGTATCACACCCCCATACGGCCACACACTAGCAGGGCTAAGACCCAGATAGCGTGGCTGTAGGGCTACCTGGTTCAGCTGAGGTGAGCTCATGGGCCCCCAGCCGCCATCCCCGTTCCACTCACCCACACTAACTCACTTTGCAATGCGACAACGCCCTCCGGGAGTCTGAGCTCACAGGCAGTCTCGACTATCTGCAAGCTTGCTTTTTTGCGACGGGTGACCTGGTCCTGAACACAATGAGTTCCCCTCCGCGACACGACGTCTACTCTGTACGAATACCGGTACCTGTCCCACAATCAAGAAGATACATCATACAGGTCGCCGAGCCGACACTACCAATCGTGGTTTGTGTACGGAGTACGAAGTACGAAGTACATGATCCATCAACCACTATGGATATGTCAGCAGCATCCCCGTCGCGGCCTAGATCGGTCATTTGAACAGCGTGCGACATTCTCTCTCCACTGGCAAGACACGCCTTGAATCGCTCGCGACTCCAGTTCAGCTCATGTTGCTTCGTTACCATGTTGGCCACACTAGACTAGAAGCCCCTTTCGCTGCGATGGATACCAGTAGCCAGGTGGGATGGCCGCCACCATGGGAGGTTGCGCCGTCCTACGGTCTACCAGACCCAGATCTCGGCGCAGCAAAATCCCGTCTCGTCTGGTGGACCGTCTGGACTCCACGGCCGCCGACTTACACGGCCGAACCACGGCCAGGGCCAGGGCCATTCCAGCTTGTCTTTCCCTGTCATGCGGATGCCCAGGATCCTGACGGGCTGAAAGCCTGAACGACAAGGGACTGGATACTTTGCTGCCCCCTCCCCTTGGGGCCCTTTCCGAGAAAAGTCGACCCCAAATGTTGGTCTCCATTCGAACATGCAACAGGCGCCAACACGCGACGAAGCAAGTCAAGAGTCCGAACTACCTAGTACAATGGATTGGAATGCGAGCATGTTGGCGCTTGCTTGCAATATTCGAGGTCGCATCCATATTGACACTTGACTTCACCGCCTTATTGGTATTCCCTCCAACATCTCGTTCTTCGTCCCACTCAACGAAGCCCGCCTCTTATCAGAATTGTGCCCGGGCGTGATGATGCCTTTGCCAGTCTTTGTGCAGCGGTGCTGACACTGTCTGCCGCCACCTTCCCTGTCCAGTCGAAAAAGTCGGATGGGGAAAGCCCAACAACATTCTTGTTGCCCACCCAAACCAAGCATGTCAAGTCTACGGAGTAATCACTGTCAAGCATATGGACTGTGATGACCGCATCTTCAGAGTATCATGGTCACTTTCTCCACCCTTGGGCGCATCCATGGCCACCCCATGGTCCCCATCCACGCCCGCTTCTGCAACACCGCTTAAGCTTGAGGCGTTTCCAGACGACCAGTCGAACTTGTTAGCCGCACACCTTTGCTTGCGCCGCCTTGCGGCAAATCTAAGCAAAGGCTTCTTCGCCATCGTGAACCCTAGAGCATTCGAGGGTCTGGTTGCTGTTAGTGCCATTGGTGTTCTCAGGTCTCTCTCTCTCTCGCTTATTTTCTTCCACAGAGGCTGGCTGGCTGACTGGAAGCTCTGAAAACGGGTCCCCCTAGGCTGAGTCTTTTGTTCCGCGCGCCAGTCCAGGATTTTGGCTGTCATCGCACACCTCCTTTTTTTCCATGTCACACGCCCCTCTCATCCTTTCATCTCTCAGACGGAGTAGAATTCCTTCCAAAACCCTTCTACTTCATAAGCGGGGCCGGATCTGGCGATACGGTTCAACTATCCCCATATTGTCTCGTCTCCCGCGATACGGCGCATCAAGTATCGTGTCTATATATATGATACTGTATCCTGCCCAGCTTGCCCGCCAATCCTTCCACCCCACCGTCGCTCTGGTTTGGTCTACGATCCTCATACCGTCCTAGATCCTTATCAATTCCCCTTGGATCCTAGGTCCCTCACGAAGGACTTCCTTTGTCACTCTCGAACGACATCAAGGCGATTGTCCACGGGAGCACGGCGCATAAATATCCTCCTTCGTCTCAACCCTCGACCACTGCGACTCACGCCTGCCAAGCAAGGGAACCGGCACCTCAACCCACCTCAGCTTGCAACCCCCTTGGGGACTTCGGAACCGACCTCTTTGTAAGTCCGCCGTCACTTACAATTGTTGGGTGATGCCGCTGCCAGTGATGCGTGGGAACCATTCAAATTCGGCCGATGGTTTCAGAGCTTGCGGCGCAATGAGCCTCGCGCCACCCTAGCGCGCGGCATCCACTCGAAATAGCACCATAAAAGGGATCAAGCACTTACACATCGATCATGTAGACATACAGACAGACATCCGCCAATCTCTCTCACTCTCTCACCCTCACTCAAGGCTCGCCCCCATCATCTTTCTCTCATCGGCCACCCTCCTCGACACAGGCAAAGTAATCGGTCCAGCCCGGATCATTATTCGGCAGCTTTCCCTCCCGACTTACGGCAGATGCGGCGGCCGAGGCCCACCTTCACCTCCCCCTAGTCGCTTATGTCCAGCAGCGCCATTTCATTACTCGCAAGCCACTGCTAGGCCAAGGCCAAGGCCACCCAGACACAGGCATACCCCAGACGTACCACCACCACACTACCTATTCGTACATCCAAAGTTCATCGGCCAAAGGTACCGCTACCTCTCAGGCTGACAGAGACCCTCCCCCCCCCCCCCCCCCCCCTACGACCCTTCCCAAGCATCAGCCGGACTATCTTTAAGCAACCATGCCCGCCCTCACTCATGCTGAGCTTGCCTTGGGCGAGCCGCGCACAACTGGTCGTTCTTACCACCACGTTTCTTTATCTCATCTTTGCGCTGGTCTTCTCTTACTTACCGTCCTGGTCGTCTTACGCTTGGTGGCATGTGGCGCTTTCTGGACTACGGCGAGCAACAAGTTCAAGAAGTCTCAAGAACACAATCAACACGCCAAAGATCAACTCAATCAGTTGGTCAATCAGCAACGGCTCCATCATCTCTTCGTCCAAGACGGGGGCTGGGTCATGGAAGAAAGGTCACGTGGGGTCAGCAGTAACACCCTAGTTGCTGGGGCTGAGTCGACTAGGAAGATCAGTCCGCAGGACGGTTTCATGAGGGGAAATGAGAAAGATTCGGCTGAAGGCACAGAGAAGAGGAATAGCGGCGACGTGATGTTTGCGGACCATGTCCTTCAGATGGGCAAACCTCCGGGTCATTCTCCCGCCCAGTTCATGTTATCGAGACCCCCGCAGCCTCCTCCTCTCACGCCCCCGGAGCTATCGCCATCGGTCTTCACCTACGACGAGCGTAGAAGGAGCTTCACGAATGGTGTCTCGGAGCTGGATGCATCGTTCTTCGAGCAGCCGAACCCTGACTATATGTCATCAACATCAACTGGCACCTCGACAGCAACTCAGGATGCGCAAACTACGAGATCCTCCCCAGCACCCCGCCGGAGATCATACACCAAGACGCTCCCCATTGGAATTCCTTCTCAGTCATCGGCTCTGATTCTTGACGATGACGCCGGCATGGTTCTTTCTCCTTCGTCGTATCCCCCAACGTCACCTCTACTACCGGGCCCTCCCCCTATCTACGGCGAGATCCGTTATGATGAGGCCACCAAGCAAGAGATTCTCGTGCGAGGCGAGATCATCTCCTCCCTGGACGATGCGGGAACCGGGTGGAAGAGGCATACGAGAGTCTATGGAGGCGGAGTCTGCCTTGCCTGCGCAGCATCGGGTGACGATGGCCACACCCATGGCGGTTTCTATGGAGAGAACGTCTTGCCAGAAGAGAAGCGCTACTAAAACGAAAGAGAATGGCAGTCCTGCGTTGAAACGAGAAAGAGAGAGTGGTCTATCTAATCAGGGTCGATGATACCATTGGGACGGGTCCTTTTCCTCTGGGACGTAAAGTGGCGATAGACGCAAGCGGAGCTTCATCAGCATCACGGCGGCGGCACAAAATGGGTTTGGTATACACTCTCATATCGGGGAGGTTCTTTCTTTCTTCACTTCGTTCAAAATCTTACAGCATTTTTACTCGTATTTTCTGTTTTTTGTTGCTCATACGGGACTTGTCTGTTCCGACTTTTGTCACGCTATCTTATTACATCTTGGGTTACCGGGTAGGAGAATGGGAGAAAGGGGTTTCTTTATGGGATATAGTGGCATGTACTGGTGGATGGGTTCGAGGGTTTTCATGTCTTCTCTTTCTGCAATTTCACGCTTCACGATGTTTATGAGTTGATGATGATTACGATTGCCAATGCCGATTTCCGGTTTGGTGTTTCGACTGCTATGTTTCTGTGTCTGTATTGTGGAAAATTGAGAGCATGTATGTAGTTGAGAGAAAGAGATCCGGTGTATGAGTGAGTACCTAGGTATGCATACAATATATATCTAAATCCCGAAGCGAAATCACGAGATGAGTTTATCGTACTTTTGCTGCCTGCTTATACCGATGTGATCCCAATCTTGGTTGCTGAATCGCACCTCTCACTCCCTATCTCCTGAGCCCCGTTCAGAAGAGCTGGTTCATCTGAGGAAAGGCTCTGGTGTTAGTTGGTTCGTGCCTGGTTTCTGGGCTGGGATGATGGCTCTTTCTGGCGAGGTCTGCTTACATCCCTTTTCTTCAATTAATTTCGCAAGCCGCGGAGACGAGTTCGGAGACACGAAATATCAAAACAGTCACCGTGGAAATGGTACTGGAAGTCTAAGCGAGAGTCTTACTGAGAAGCTCCTTAAAGAAGCTCACCAGGAATCTCACTAGAAGTTGCAACAAGGGTCTCGATTGGAGTCTTGTGTGGACTTGTCACTTCAAGCCTTTCCTTGGCTGGTAGCTATCTTGGAAGCAGGAACAAACAGAGATCGATGCAGACGAGAGGTAGACGAGGTGATGGAAGGCAGCACACGACGATCTTCCCGCCTACCTATCTAGGTTTCGAGTGAGACTTTGGAATGGCCTTTTTTGTTCTCGCCGGGAGAGTTTCCTTGGTTTGGGTATTGATCTTCGAGTCTCACGGAACTTTCGTCCAGGCAGCGAACAGCCAAGACAACCCAGGGTCCCGTCAAGTCTCTTGATGAGGAGGCTTACTGAAAAAACGCTCCCAAAGTTCTTCCACCTCAGGCGTGCTCCACGAAGCTGAGGTGAGAGTGTCTCCATCTCATCTCTGGGTCTCCTTCTCCTTCTCCGTCTCCGTTGCGGGATACGTCGCATAAGGATGTGCCTGGGTAACCGCGTCAACTCAAAGAGGCATCACTATTCGTACCCACGAGTCTCCATCGCAACTCAAAGACGATCCACCAACCGCTCTCTACCCTCAAGACCCCGGGCGCCGGGCAATATTGCGGGACAGGCACGGGCACTAGTGGGCCTGAAGGAAGTCAGCTCGATTACTGAGATTGAGCTCCGAGGATCGATCCTTCCAAGTCAAAGTTCCGAGGGGATTAGCTTCGATTCGGGGGGTGATTCGTTCGTGAGTCCCAACCTCGCAGGGATTGAACTCGCAGGTAGATGGACCCACGAAACAATCTCACCCCCTCTAGCCTCTTCAGATGTTGCAACCTGATGTCCTCGCTACCAAGACGCATTTAGTGAGGTTGCCTGGTCCTCAAGTCTCTGCCTACCCGTGAGATGGAGCGTGGGGTAGGGAGACCAAAGTCTCAAACCAAGTCAGCGTTGAGAATAAGTCTCCGATGACAAGAAGCCTCCGCGAGCTTCCCACGGCGAGTGCCATGGCGGGTCTTGCTGCCAAGGACTCAAAGGCCATCGGCGATATTTCGAAAAAGGGAATCCCGCCTCCCCAGTCGATTTTCCTCTCAATTGCGGCGGTGATCGCGTTTGAGATGCACTTGTACCTGGACAAGGTTGGTTGCGCCCACCAACCCCCTCGAGAACTCTAATACCCTTGAACCTGTTCTGGGTCCCATGCTCTCTCGTCTTCTTCTTCGTCTCACGTCATATTCGGGACATTCCAGAACAGCAAAAGACGAACCCCGCCTGGGCTAGAACGAACGGGATTCTCGAACATGCTGATCCTGTTAGGCTGCCGGTTTCGTGACTCAGTCCCCACTCTCAACGGTCCTGAAGGGGGGTCATGGTCATGGGTAAACCAGGAAAGGCAGTTGAAAGTTGATACCGTTGTAGGAATGCGGCAACAAGCGAGAGTGGTCGACTGACCAGCTCGCGCATGTCTGCAATGTGTCTGTATCTACGGCCGAACTGCGCTGATTTTCTTTTAGTTTACCCCTCTCTTTCGACGTGTATGTATGTGTGTGGCCTCATGTTCCCCGTCAGAGAGGCTCGCTCGCAGTTGCGATAACCTCCTTCGACTGACGGCTGCCGTGTAACACACTACGCACAGATACACCGTTCTGTTGGGAACGGCGGTGGTGGTTGCGCGTAGGATCTTGATCAGCGAACCCGCTGTGGGTTGTCTGGAGAAGAGAGAGGGAGGGGTGGGCGAGAGTCCTTCCCTAGGGTAGCGGTGTATCGTCCTTCATGTTTGCTACCCGAAAACCGACAAACTGACACGTCGACGACACCCGCCATGCACGAAGAACATCCTTCCGCCGTGAGACACCATCCATACTCCAGATGACGGCGCGGAGACTCGGCCAAAGTATGGCGAAGGGGCGACGACGAGCTGCAAGCTCAAGACGGAGATGGCGTTTCTGCGCATGAGCAGATCGTGAGGTCGCGCCCACGTCAGCTGCCTTGCTGCTTACCACCCTCCCTCTATCCTTGCTTGACTGTCACGTTTCGACAGCTGTATCTTGAAACTGGCGGCCGAACGCTCGAATGGAGTCGTCGAATCTTAGTGATCTTCTGCAAATCCTACCAAGCTTGGAAAGGAGTGCAGTTCTGACCTCATCAAAGGATTCCGTGGGAATCTGATATAGGGCCACTGTCAAGGTTAGAAAAGACTCTCAAGCATATTTGGTGAGTTTGCCAGGTAACAACAAGCGGGAGGATTCCGTACCCTGCGTAGAGTGAATCTTAGGAAGAGAGAGCCGCAGGATCCGTCGTCAAAAGCTGCCGGGGTAGCTTATTGGTTTGCTATACGAAGATGAATAGGAAGATTACCTGATTGGTTGATGAGCAGCCGTCGAAGCAGAGCTAGCGAGGAGATGGGCAGCAGGAGACATAATCTTACTCCCTGAGGATCTCAGCCCTATGACATGTCCAGGCTGGGCATGCAGACATATTCCCTCATAGGTTCAGCGAGAGGGGTTGGTCGCCGAAGAGGGCCTTGGCTAAGCCTGTTGATATGCCGTTCAAAAATTGCCGCAGTCCAGGCCCCAGCATGAGCAGAGATGATCAAGACTGGCCGTACAGACTACGTCCTCGGTATAGATACATATACGATCCGCAAGACTCAGAAACTGGGCATCGACTCTTTTCCTCGAGCCAGATTCTACACTCCTTAATAGCCATGCCTCCTCTAAGCCATACCACTCGGTATTCCGGCGAAGCTGTTGCTGCCACAGACGACGTTCGAGAGGCACCAGGTTCTCTTTGGATTTCAACAGAGGGTTGACACCACAAAGCTGAACATAAAACCCGGAGCTGACCCGGTGATTCGGCTGCCCATTTCCCGATCCATTCAGACACTTGGCTGATCATCACCACGCCTAGATCGTTCTCAATGCGCTCTTATCTTGGTGCTCTCACGCAGTCGTCATTCGCATCAAGTCGTGTAGACGTAATAGATTCACGGTGCTTGCTCCTAGAACGTTGATCAGTTGTTTCCGCAACACAAGTAAAATGGCGCCTTTAAAGCGCTGAACACCGGAACGCTCTACGTTATCGATGCCCCAGTCTTTCGAGCGTAGAGGTCGTCGACTGGAAGAACAGAGAAAGGATCTATTCAGTGCCGTTCGCTGAGGTAGGTACTCGGCTTTGTAGAGCGAATGCTGTTGTATCGAGGTCCAACTCTTGTTGAGGGCCGTCAGCTCCTGGGTCTTCAACAGGCCACGGGTTTGGTCTATCACTGGCAGTCTTGCACAACCCTTTCTTGATGAGGAGGCATTTGTTGTAACTGTCCCGAATCCTTGGAGCAGTACGTCAGAATGCGCTCAGGTATGACTGAGCCGGCTGATGAACTTAGCCGCTCACCGATGGTTTTCTCGAGCCAGCCGTTCCTCGCTGGACAAGACTGGTTTTGACTCGGGAATAGCAACATCCATAGTTGAGTGACGAAGGCCCGCGTGTTCCTGTGGTATCCAGGATACTGGCGCCAGGTCCGCGGCTACCAGTTTCATCGTTGACGCGCCTCGTGGCGATCCAGGGTACCGTAACCAAGTATCTTTGGCTCCTCGGCGGTAAAAACTCAACAGCATGCGAATCGTCCCCCGTACTGTACCATGCGCGCTTGTTGGAACAAAGATCTTTGGTCAACTCTACTCAAGATACAGGAAACGCGCCATCTCGCCCAATCAGAAAGCTCTCATGTAGATCGCAGGCTCTTGGCCATGAACGCAACGACGTTTGCTGAACTATGGTAGCGGGGTAGAGGAACGCCACGCAGAGAAAGCCACTATCGGGTTTGCTTGCTGTCGTCAACTTATTCAGCACCAATCACAGTATCAGTATCGTGATTACCTCCGGCGGTTACGGGCCCAGACAGTTGGGCCGATGATCAATGGGTAAAAGTTGGAGGGCTGGCAATCGACTGACTGGAGCCACGTTGGCGATCTCCAAGCCTGCAGATCCGTTCTTAACGAGCACTGTTGCTGCATTCTAAGCGCTCGCCGAGAAAGGGCTTGCAGAATGCAGCATGCAGGCGGTCGTCTGCGAGCAGACCATTGCAATGGACCACAGGTTCGGATCCCATTTTGCCTCTGGGGATTTCTTCTTTACACAGGTCGGCGTGAACACCCTCCAAAGCCCGTTTCACGAGGTATTTCCCTGCGATCTCCAAGTCGATTGACATGTAGTCACGTATTAGTACCACATTTCGACATTATGTGACTCGGACCTTGTGCCATGATCAATCGTGGCCAAAACTGAACTTGTATGCATTCGCTCTTATGAGAAAATGATTAGAGGGCATCTGATAGTGGTGATGCCAATCATTGGGCTTAGCACTCCGACGGATCGCGGCAGCAGGTTCAAGGGCCCATCCCTTGAGAGCCGGCCTGCATGATGGGACGAACGGTGGAACGAGGCAAGGATCGGTTCGCATTGCTCATGACAAAGCCTTGGGCGGCCAAGTGGGCGGCGGGTAGCTCTAGATCTCAAAGCCATGCCATGCCCTTTCTGTGCAATGATTTCCCGTTCCTGTCGGAATCCCTCTATTCCCGTGAAGCCGGGAACGCCAAATTCGCACCGCGGGGTTCGGCTTCTGTCAGCAACGTGGGAAAGGATTGCGAATGAAATGAGGGTTTGGGATTGAATGTCTGGTGTGGCTTTGCGACTCGTGCAGGAAGAGCCACAAATTCTTTCATCGCGCAATTTGCGTCAGGGCAGACGCGTCTGCGGCGTCGCGAGGCCCGTATTTCCCCAAAGCAATTTAACTCAAGGCGCGCCGGGAGGGGCTATAGCCGTGAACGCTAAGTTGGCACGTTGGCCACCGTCCGTCGTGTCTCGTTCAGAGCGGGCTGAACGGCTTTCTCCTAAAGGCCTATGGAGTTGGGGCCATAGTTACCGCCACTAAGCAGTAGCACCTCTCACGTCTCCCTGGTTGTGACTCTGGAAGAAGGCCACCTTTCAGTATCGGAATGTGATGCGATGGCAGTCGGGCGCGACAAGAGGTGGACGAGTTCGAAGTGTCTTAAGTTTGACACCGGGCAATTGAGACGAAAATGCTCTCGTGACAGGCTTGCACTCAGGACCTTCCTTGCTGACAGTCACAGCCCCGAAGTGGGCATATCCCGTCGAGATCCGTCAAGAATGTCACCTTGTGGTACTTTTCAGGAGGTTTGATGCCCACATCCTAGCGGGCGCACAGAACCGACGACGCCGTTGGGACTTGAAGTGTTCCTTTGCGGGTGTGTCTCAGGTTCCTTGCCCCTTGCTAGAAACCTTCCTTGCAAGGCGTGGCCTCCCCTGGCATACATGGCCGAAAGCAGAGGGGATCAAGAGGCAGTGTGAGAGAAAAGTCTCCGTAAGAACCTGGGGTGGCCGGACGCAGTGGCAGACAGGTTCGTATCCATCAAGTTCGCGGGTCCATCCCATATGGGCCCCATCGTAGCCACCGCCCGCCTCCTTGTCCGTTGTTGTAACCTTGGTCCGGGCGGGCGACGGAGAATGAGGGCTCAAAACGGCTTTGGGGGCATAGTTGGCTGCGCCAGCGTGTTCCGCCTTGAGTGATTGACGACCAGGAAGCACGCTTGTCATCCAAGCTTCAGGACACCAGCTAGCATTCGTGGAGCTGTAGAGGAACACATCAACTTCAAGGCATTTTCATGTTGATTGGGAACCTGACTGCGAAGCTTCCCACCATGTTTGAGCTGACGGAAAAGTTGTGGTGCAGAATGAAGAGTCCAGCAGGTGGGAAGTGGGAGAGACACACTTGTGTCACCAGAGGCTGCCCGGTGGCGAGGAGCTATTCTGAGCAGCGACTCGTTGCGTGATGGCGGGGTACCTCGGCATGTGGAGGTATGTAGCCAAAAAAACGGCGGACAGGTGCCACGACGCCATGTACCACGTTATCGAAGGAGGTGAAACAGGCTTCCCTAAGCTTTCTGATGGGAAACAGGCCAGCAGACAATGAGTTGGGGAGATGCTGGAAGCGAGACATGGAAACAGCTGATGTCGCTTGCCCCGATTGTCACCCTTTCCAGAGAAGCTAAGAGCGGACGGCATCAGACTTTATGCCGCCTTGTTTGAAGGAAACGAGCGGGAAGACCGGAGAGCTAGAAGAGCGAGGAGAGACGCGCAACGGAGTCACAGGACTGTTCAGCCTCAGGCGGACAGATCACGGCGTATAGAGTTGTCTTCTTTTTTTGCGTTTCCGAAGAAATGATGAACCACCGTTGAGTCGTTCACAATTAAGTTGGGAAGCCTTGGCGGGGAGATGCGGCATCTGTGGAAAGTATCGTGTGGTGTACGGGGGAACCCCTGGAGGAGGTCCAAGCAGTCAAAGCTTGCCATGGGGATGGAGGTGCCGCCGCCGTGTTGTCGGTGCCAATCTGCTCTCGTCCAGTGTGCGGCGAAGCGTTCTTTGTGCTGATGTCAAACATTCTTGAGCACGATCGTCTGTAGTAACACGGCCAGATCAATCTGGTCGAAGTCATGGCCCCAAGAGGAAAAATCCGGGTATCCAACACGCGACCAGGATATCAATCATCAATGGCCATCGAATTACTCCGTACTCGTAGATGGCAAATGCGTCATTGTGTTTCCGATGGCGCCGAGGGTAAACGTCCCAGTCGATGATGAGAAGCGCGGTAAGGCCCGATCGGGTGCGGCTGCCGTTATGGCTGACCAAGGCTCGTAGTCGCGGGTAGCCCTTGGGCTTGGGTCACGGGTGATGAAGGATCACCAAAGTCTTGTTCTAGTGTTGGGAAAAGGGCCACCTTGGCAGTGTTTGAACGGCTGTCGATATCGTTGCTGATTGATGAGACGGCGTTTTGCTGTGGATTCCCCCATTGCCAAGTGGGAGAGCTTCGGCTCCGTGTTGATCAGCACAGAAATAGAAAAGACGGGATTCGGTCGGGGTCCTCGCATGGGATCTGGACACTGGTGGATGGCTCTCGATCCAAGCTGGACCGGGACGTTATGCTATGGCGAGCATGTTCCATAACGCCGGTATCGTAATAAATTTGTCCACAAGGAGTGCATGGTGGCATGGAAGCATGTTCGATGTAGCGGTGCGAGCGAGAACGAGAGCTAGACCCAATAGACGGGGAGACCAGCGATCCGGGCTCTAGCGAGAGTTTAGCCCCTGAAAACGGCCAGAACTTGGAGAATGGTGGGCGGTACACTACTGTGGTAGGTAGATGAGTGGTGAGTGGTGCTGTGCATTGACGTGCGGTTGTAGTGGTGGTAGGTAGTACCGGAGCCAGCTCTCAGAGGCAGAATATGTATCCGTATGTACTTGTGAACACGTCAAGTTGGAGGTTTTGATCAGGAGCAGTGTCACGATGAGACTGTTGTTGATGCAGTAATGGAGTCGAGGGGGTTGATGCTTGCTCGTGCTCAGGTAGCTGGAAGTTGGAACAGGTGCTGAGGAGGAGTCATTGCTCTGTGGTATGGTGATGGCGAGGATCGGTGCGATAGCCAGAGCCAGGGCCACAAGCAGAACCAGAGCACAAAGCAAGGCATCGTTTTGTCGCAAGGGGAGAGATTCCCATCATACGGGATGGAATGCCAGAGGCGGTTGTTGTCTTGGATGGATGTCTTGGATCGTGTTGGATGGTGGGCGGGTGATGGTCTCCGTGATGGCGCGGGAGTCTGAGCGAGTGCCGGGGCGGAGGGCCGTGGAATGATGGTGCTCAGGGGATTAGGTACCTAAGGTAGGTAGGTAGTTAGGGCTGCTGGCCTTGGGTGCTTGGAATTTGGTGTGCACTGTGATGGAAGGTAGTGGTGTTGTATGTCTGTAGGTTTGATTTGATGCAGGACATGATGGATGCATCGCACTGCTGCATGAGCTGTGCACACATGGCTTGGTTGCTTGGATCAGAATCTGGAAACAGTTGCAACGACATCTGCAGGGCAGAGAGGTGAACAAAGACTCGAAGCAGCAGCAGCATCTCACCCTCGGGCAGGAGGCAGTGGTGACAGAATCCAGTGATGTGCAGGATGCAGCAGCCAGAAACGCGAGGCCAGCTGCAGCCGCAAGGTACAAAGATACTTGCTTAAGGCGGCACATCGTTGCAGATGGAGGGGCGAGTTTACCTTTGACCTCGAGTCACGTCTTCTAGCCTAAGAAAGACTACGCGGTGATTGGCCGGTAAGGCTTCAAGTCATCACATCGACTAGCCAAATTGGGGTAGCCGTCAAGTACTCGGTACCTGCACTCGGGGTGAGGTGCCTGCCTCCAAGGTCGAAGTAGGAGCGATGGAAGAACAAGACCACCTGACATGCCCACCACAGTAGGATTCTCAATGCCAAGTACCCGTGAGTACTCAATATTACCTACTCACTCAATGAGTCAATGGTGATATTCCCGTCCTTTGTCTTGAGGTATGGTATCCGTACCGAGTCTACCTTGACGAGGATGAGTCAACTCGGGTGGTTCGACTGATGTGCAAACAGACGGGCAAGGCATTCAGCACTCAGCAGACAAGTCTTGCCGGATATGACCCGCGCGGATATACTGTGGAAAACCTGGAAGGTACGGAGTACATATGAGTTTCTTAGAGTTGCGGATAATACTATACGGATAGAGTGTCCGGAAAGAAAGCAAAGAAAAAAAACCTGAAGAAATCGAGAAAGAAATGGGATCGCTGCTCGGCTGCCGTCAGTAATCATCCCTGGCCGTGCCTTGTTACCGAGTCGCATTCCTCGACTGGCTGTCTGCCTCAGCACTCAACTTTTGATGAAGCCACAGCTGGACCCATCATGCCGCCGCCGCATTGCCGACGCGGTCTTGCCCTGATTGACACTTCCAGGTACTCGTGTGTGGCACTGATAAAATTTGAGCAGTCTATTTAGTTTTTTCTTACGGCTTCGCCTTCATCTTTCTGGTATTTGCTGGTAGGTGCCTTCCTTGTCTCCTTCTTCCTGCAGGCTGTGGTGGATAGGTGAAAGTGGAGTCTGTCCATTATGGCAAGTCCAGATGCAGACACAACAGACTTCTCTATCCTTTCTAGTGCATCTTCATAAATGAAAAGGAAGAAAAAAAGTCAAAGGGTGCGTTACGGGAAGGCACCTCAGGCAAGGCACAGAGGTACATCTGGATCTGGCGTGAATGGCATGGTTGACCCACTCCAAGGACCCTTGTCCTCGGTTCTTGATCACATCATTGGCACATTTTGTCGCCCGTCCTTGACTCCACCCTCCTTGATTGGTCAGGCTGCTCTCGCCTTGAGTTGGTAGAGTTGGGTGGTGGAACTGTGGAACTGTGGGTGGTGTGCATCACGACCGTCGACCTGGCAGGACCTGGGCCTTGTCTGGCGGCCTGGCCTTGTTCCATCTCCACTTTCTTTGGGCTCCCCTGGATGGTGCACCTGCTTGGTGCCTGCCCTTTCACACCCTTGTCTACCCTGGCCTTCCTGGCCCGTCCTGGTCTGGTTCCCTCCTTCCCCCCCCCCCTCTCTTCCCTCCACCTTTCCATCCACCCCCGTCTCCTGCCTATCCGTCCCATTGTGAGTGACTCCTGCCACTTGCTCCTGCTTCACTGGACTGCAACTGCTGCTCTTGCTCTGCTCCTGCTGTTAAGGTACTGCTTCTTCTCTTGCTGGGCGCTGCTGCTGCTCCTGCCGCCGCTGCCCACACCACTGGACCACACCACCCACCCCCTTGCCTTCCTTGCCTGTGCTTCGTCCACTCCTTCCCTCCCACGCCGCCGCGGCACCCACCCATCCACACACGCACACACACACACACGCACCACATCCCATCTCCATATCTTGCCGTCCACTCGCTGTCCGTCTCCATCTTCTACTTCTACTTTTGAACCTCTCTTCCTCTCGTTAGCTCACCGCCCTTCTTTTTTCCCCCCTTCAACCTTTCTCTCCCCCTCCTCTTTCCCCCCCGCCGCTCTGGTCTGCGATTTGTTCGTTATCGTCGTCGTCTTTTGGAAGGATAAACAAGGAAAATTCAAAGAAAAGAAAAAAGAAAAAAAACCCACAAAGCCCAAAAGCTCTCGCATTCTCTTGAGATCCGTCTCGCATCAGTTTTTTCAACCAACCGCACAAATTCTTCAGGGGTTCTGGAAGGCTTGCTCACCACCACTCCGCAATTTCGCGCAACCACCACCACACGCACAATTCTCCCCCATCCTCCGAAAGGGGACGAAATAAAAAGGAACAAAAAGGAATCCGGTCCATCCCGCCAGCAATCGCATTGTGCTTTTTGCATCCTGTCTTGACCATCGACAAACAACAACACCAATCCATCCGAGAAATCACTTTTTAATCGACTGTATTCTACTTCGACTTCGCCCAATCCGTTTCTTCTTCGCAACAAATTCATCAGAGAAAAAATCCACTTCGTAATTTTCAGCACCGCTCCGTCTCATCCGACGCAAAGCAAAGCAACGCAAACTTTCCCAGGCACATCATCAGGTTCGCAGCTACCCAAAACTCTTCGGTTTCTTGAGGAAGCTACAAGTTACCTAACTTTCTCTCTTGCCGGCCCTGTAGCGACAATCCTCACGCTTGCGCCTTCGACCTCGGTTCAACAAAGAAGAATTGGTTCTTTGTGGTCCGCACCTCTTTCCTCGACCACAACCGCTTCTTGCCAAGTGTCTCTAGACGCCTCAGTGCTGTCTACACCATCGGCATCACATTGTCGCCCACTCTTTCATCATTACAATCATTTTTTTGCTTTCCCTTGACCTCGACGCCCGGTTACGCGACCATCTAATCTCACCCAACACCCACGCCGTCACTTCGTTATCATCCAAAACCCTGCCGATTTTTGGATTTCGACTTTTTGGCGCCTTCACTCACCCGCCTTCGTCGACACCCTTTTGTCACAACTCCAGGACTAGCTCCGGATTTCACCAAAGATCGTTCGGATACACACCGCAATCACGGACAGGACTGCCAACCGAGTGCCATAATATCTCTCTTGACAACCTGCGCTACGCATTCTTCCTCAGCTATCCTTCTTGTAATTCGACCCGGTCGCCTCAGCCGCTTGCAAAGCTTCCATACATTCTTTCTCGATTTACCGAGTCCCGACAACTCGGACAAACCGGCAATTTCGCCAGCTCATTTTTGTGACCGACATCGATTCCCGCCTGAGCAATGGACGCAGGCGGTCTCACTCAAATGAACTCGACAAACTTTTCCTCGGGCAACAGCCTCGCCATGCCTGGCGGAGGTCTCGCCTCGCGCCGCGGTGGCCCCGTCAAACCCCTCTTGCTGTCCAGCGCCACTCCCGGCAGCAACGCCGCCGATAATGGAGCGCCCACTCCTCGTACTAGCCGCTCGCATCTCCTTGCGGGTCTGAGAACCGCCCCGAAGTCTGCTACCGCCGCCAACTTTTCTGCTACCAACAATGTCAATGTTGCTTCGCCCACATCTCAGTCTTTTGCTGCTAGGAGCAACAACCTGAGCTCCAACATGTATGCCCAGGCTCAGGGCAACCAGTACAACGGTCCTAAGACAGCCATGCCTCGGTATGCTGGTCAGCAGCAACATCAGCAGCAACAACAGCAGCAGCAGCAGCAACAGGCATACCAGTCCGTTTCCTCCAGCCAGCATTACAGTGCTGAGCAGGTTCTTGCTCCTCCCGAGATTCATTTCGATGAGCAGGAGCAGATGGACCCGAACTTGTATGCCCAGCTGGTTGCCACCAACATGTACCTCGCCCAGCAGCAGCAGCGCCTTCAGCAACAGCTTCTCAGTGTCCAGGCCGCCGCTCAGCAATTCCAGGGCCTGAACTTGCAAGGCGCCCAGCAACAGATTCAGCAGCAGCAGCTCGCCATGTACCAGCAGCAGCAGCAGCTTCAGAGCATCCAACAGTCGATGATGGGACAGATGCAGCAGCAGCAGCAGCCCCAGCAACAGGTCTACACGTACTATGACCCGGTTACCCGCCAACAGGGCTACTACATTGACCAGGGACAAACCGACCAGCAGGCCCAGCTTGCTCAGATCTATGCCGCCTTGGCCCAGCAGCAGCAGCAACAGCAGCAGCAGCAGCAGCAAGCCCCTCGCGTTCAGGTGTCCCCGCCTCCCGAGAACCACGCCACTCCGTACCGCACCACGACCCCTCCCAAGCGTTACGAGTCGCCCTCTGAGGTTGCTCCCCTGCCTCCCCCGTCTGCGAACGCCTTCCGCCGTGGCCATAAGAAGGTCATGTCGCTCGCTCTGAATGGTAACAACCAGGCCAGCCTTTCGCCTTCCCAGGAGCCTCCCAAGTCTGCAGGACCCAAGACGGCGTCTTTCCCGTTGACTCCTCTGTCTGGAGGCTACGGGCCCGGTCAGGGACGCGCCGGCGAGCACCCCATTCGTCAGCCTCGCGGACCCCCTTCCATTGAGGAGCTAAAGGCCAAGCCCATCGCCAAGATGGAGGGTAGCAAGAACTTTGCCACCCGCGCCCGCCGATCTGCAGTTCACAACCTTGTCCGTGCTGGACGTGAACGTAGAAAGGGTCCAGGCAGCTCCAACGGCAGCATGAGCCCGGTCTCAGAGAGTGCCGAGGAAGAGTCTGGCACCCCTATCACCGACAATGAGTCAGACTCTGGACGCAGTGGATCCGGCAGTCTTGCCGGCGATATTGACTGCTCCCTGCCCAGCTCAAGAACCTCGACCAACGGCAGCTGGGGAGCTATTGGCTCCGACCGCCCAAGCTCCCGCCAAAGAACTCGCAAGAGCGTCGACAGCATTGGCAGCAACGAGAGCGGTGAGAACAGCTTCGCCAGCGTCTTCAAGAACTCGGCCCAACGCGCCGGTGTCGAAGTAGCGGACGGACAGCGCAAGGCGCCCATGCTGGTTCTGACCAGCGCCGAGAAGCGCAAGAGCGGCATTCTCGCATAGACTTGTTGGTCCCCGGACGTTACGACGACTATGCACACCTATGTCTTTCCTTATTGACGACCTGCACGAGGGGGAGGTTGACCCTCAACCCCTCGCATTGCAGGATTGAACGATGGGTTGGACGGTCCGGCGCGCTCTTACGAATCATACGGTGTTCTTTTCAAGGGGTTAGGCGGTTCATTTTACATTTCAGCATCCGAAGCTTGGTTGACTCACAAATTCATTTTCACTTCTACTACATTCTTAACCAAGTTATCGGATTATCGACAGTCTCTCGCTACTGATATTCCTCTTATGACTCTGGACAAGCAACATCTCAAAAGGCTAAAACAGTCTTGAGCTGGACGGATCGAGAGAAAGATATACCATTGGGGCAGGGGAGTAAGGGAAGATTTGGGCCAGGCTTGGGTGTATTTCTTCTCAAGTGAACATGGAACTTTGGTTCTGCGGGACGGGACTCGGAACGATCTCCTGAGATGGAATGGGGATGAGCCCGGACGACGTGAGACACTTGCTTTTCGTTTTCTCTTTACGGTCCTCGTGGGAGTTCTTTACAGATAAGGCAAACGCGCACAAACCCCCAGTCGTTTCGTCGCAGCTGGCTGAAAAGTCGGCACGATGATGATGATGGCGGCTGGCAGGACAGGAATGTAGTTAGCATAGGAATAGGCACAATACAGATTGATGCCCAACAATCTCCGAACTGTTTGACTTGCCGGGTGATTCATGATCAAATGGGTTTTTGTTTTTACTATCTACTCTCTACGCCTTGTTGCCCGCCTTGAATGATTCCGCCATCTTGTCAAACATCTTTCTCCTATCCGTCTCGACATGCGCAACATTCTTGGCCGGCCCGACAATGATCTCATCCTCTTCCCCCTTTTCGAGCGCGTCCCAGGTCTCATCGGTGAACTTGTCCAGAGGCATGCCAAAGTTGGCCTGGCCTGCCGCGACGAGGTCCGGCTGCTGGGAGTGCAGCTCCGTTTGCACGGCGGGCGGGACGACCTCGACGACGCGGATGTGGGAGGAGGACGGGCTCGACTGCAGCTGGGCGCGGAGGGACCAGGCGAGGCAGTGGAGGGCGGATTTTGTGGCGCAGTAGTTTGGGCAGCGGGGGATTGGGACAAGGGCTAGGCCTGAGGAGATGAGGATTATGGACGCCGTTGTTGGTGTTGTTTTGGTGGTGGTGCCGGTGGTGTTGGTGCTGGTGTTGAGAGATTGGAGGTGTGGGAGGAAGTGCGTGATGAGGTGGATTGGGGCGAGGTAGTTTGTTGTGAGCTCTCCTGAGACGGCCGGAAGGGAGATGCTGGAGGGCGAGGTGAAGTCTATGCTGCGCTGAATGCCTGCGTTGAGGAGTATTGTGTCTAGGGTTGGGTGGGTTGATGTTATTCTGGAGGTTGTTTGTTAGTTTTGATGTTGCCGGTTTGTGAGATGCCGGGAGGCGGGTTGTCTATGGTAAACTCTGGCGACAACATCACGCTTCCATGAAGGGGAGGATGTGAAGATAGACTCACTTCTCGACCCACGCCGGCAGGGCCTCGAGGTCAGCGATATCAAACGGCTCGGCGGCGACTTTATCGGCGCCGTGGGCGGAGACGAGGGCCTCGAGGCGATCTTTGCGGCGGCCTACGGCGATGACAAAGGTGCCGTTTGCGATTAGGCGCTCGGCGAGGGCGAGGCCTATGCCGGATGTTGCGCCTGTGATGAGGGCTGTTTTAGAGGGGAAGGGCATTGTGGTGGCTTTGTTTTTGCGAGTAAGGGTGCTTTGGAGTTGAATCTTGGGGGTGGGAGTTGTGATATCGGCTTGATATGCTGAGAGGTGTGAAGTTGTCATGGGATGGGGTGGGTTGTTGAGCCGACCTTAGGGGCCGAAATGTATTAGGTGTGAGGGTCATTGTGACGTTCCCCCGCTTCCACGATCGCGGGTCCGGCGGGGCCGGGGGACATGGAGCGGGGCCCGCTTTCTTCGAGCGATGATACTCGGGACGATGTGACGTCTGTTCGTGGAGACGGGATGGGAGTGGGGGGTTTGATGTCTCGGAGATCGGGCGAAGGGGAATCGTCTCCCTCATCTGATGCTGCGACTGTATAATGGAAGGACTTGTGTTTATCGGACGGTCGCTTCCTGGAACTGACTGGGTTGGGCCCGCGATGAGAGATATTAAGCGGCATTGATAAGAAATCTAAGGCTTTCTACCATCGCGTTAATCGCCCACATGTATTCGTGACAGAATTCACATATGAGGATTTCGGGCACAAAAGAGAAACCTTCGTAACATGAACATAACTCTTTGATATCCCCAAGGCACTGAAACGGCTGAATGACTGTCTATAATCACCAACCCACATAATGAGGAGGCTCAACTGGTCCTCGAGACCAAGCTCCGGGCATAGGCCCTAGTTTGGGTTCCAAGTAGGAAGACTGGGGTTCGAGGCTCTTATATCTCGCAGAAAGAGCGCATCAACGTCCAATCTCCGGCCTCAGAGAAAATGGGAGGAAGGATACTGGCGTCGCACGACTTCAGTAAGATGGCTGTGCCGCAGGTGGCCTATCTTATGTGTCACATCACCCGAGGAAATTGCTCAGAAAGGAACTCAACTTTACTCTTCCGAAAGTGCCAATCTTTGCGCCTCTAGCTTATTCATCCGAGCAAACTGATGCCCTCACGACAATCCATGTTTGGCTTGCACCGGCCCACGATGCCCACTTTCGACTGCTTCCCCTCGAAGTGCGTGAATGTAACTGGGAGCTTGCTATGGAACCTCCTCAGATCATGTACAGCGAAAAACCTCCAGCCTACAACCACTACCCCTGGCCATCATCTGCGGCGCTTTTACGCCAAGGTGAATGTCGCCCCGGAAATGAAACGCGAAAGGTTCGCTTGGATCGACGTCGAGATCGACACCATCTACCTGGACCAATATGCCTTGGACGGAATCGATGCCGAAAGTCCGACGGTCCGCAAGCTAATCATTCTTGGAACAGATTCCGAGTCGTTCTACCACAACTAACTTACAGCTAAGTACTTAAGAAGAAGCTTCTGGAAACTGTCACAATTCTTTTCATGGGGTCACCAGAGAAGATAGATGAGTACCGGTGGGCGGGCTGGGATGACATGATGGGGACCTATTATTCCCCGTGACGACCCTGTGGTCTTCCACACGCGGATTCTGTACTCTGAGTACCCGCCTTGTGAGATCAATCTGGACCACTGGATGAAAGGATAAGCGAGATTTCCGGAGAAAGCCAGTAGCGTAGCATCCTGACTGGTACGAGCCGGGCTATGATACTTCCGACTCAGACGACGACGTCTGCGGACCAAATCGCTTTGGCAGAGGCTACCGCCGTCGTGTCGAGGGCTATACTACGCCTGCTTGATCGCCTCACGAACCTGTTAAGTAAGGGTTCCCAGGGGGGCGAAGATATCGGGGTAGATTGAGAGGAGCAGCTCTGGAGTGAGTGGCAGGATGTCGCCTACGGACTGGGTTTACTTGGTCATCTGACTGCTACCGCCGAGGACGAACTCAATATCGTAGCTGTCGACGTTGGCGGATAAGTGGATCTGAGCGGGGGTTCTGCCATGTGCCTAGCGCACTCTTCTACCGGCATATGGAGATCAATCACCTGATCTGGCTGCAGGTTGTAGTTCCGTAGCGAAAAGTTCCAAGGTGGCGGCGTGCTGGGGGCTCTTCGTCGTCCTAGGTAGATCTGGGCTACAATATCCTTGTTCCTCGGGGCGTTTCTATTGATCTCAGGCATGTCCTCTGGACAAAACCTGTCGATGAGGAGATTCCGGGTCGGATCGGGCAGGGCGGGGATGCGTTCGGTGATGAGCGCCGTAGAGGGAAGGTCGAAGGATTCGTGGGTCTCGCTGGCGAAGACGTGCTTGTTGGTATCCTACCATGCTGACTGATTCGGAGCATAAGAGAAGACTTTCGGGACTAGGCAGTTGAGTTGGCTTCGTGTAGAGGTCTTGGGGCATCTGAGGCGAGTCTCTTTCTGGAGGCCGCTGATACTTCCCTCCAGTGTCAAGTGTCTAAATGCTGTTGGAAAGACCGCCAAACAAGACGCCTTTCTAAGTGTCGTGAAGGTTGCAGTAATCCCTTCTTGAAAGCCGAGAGACTAAAAAAAGCGTTTTGAATGTTATTGGCAGTCTGATTTATACCTGGAAGTTTACGTCAACTAACATTGAAATGACATGATGGCCGAAGCCTATGGCATCAACGGAGAAGCCGCAGCCTTGGTTCCACATGGTATCCGAATTGAGAACTTTCAATGTTATCCCATCAACTGCTAGATAGCGTCACTATATCCGTCTCCGGTCTTTCTCTAGTTTTGCTCTATTTCCCTTAATTATATCCGCCTATAAACAATCCCGAAATAGATCAAACTTAGAGGAAGACCAGAGACGGATGTAGTGACGCCATCTAGCAGTTGATGGGATAGAACTGACTTTATCTCTTGTCAAGCTATTGAAATGCTTGGCGTTCTCACAAGCTCACAAAATCATCGCGAGCGATGTCTCATCTTCTCATTTCAATAATATCAGCTTATCAAGTTGCAGGTAACATCCCAGATTGCACCAGCCACCTGGCCCCTATCCCTTCCTCCGTACCAAACGCCTTTATCCTGACAAAATCACTTACTACGAGATAAACCCAACTTGGTAAGTATCCTCATGAAAGACGTCTTGGAATCGTACTCGCTGGCGGAAGTTACAAGTTCCTGTCTAGCGGCATCAATGAGCGCCAGCGCGTTCTGGCGCTGCATCTTTTCGATGTCATTGGCCTTTTTCGCGGCATCTAAGTCCTCGTTGAGACGTTGTACCTCCCTGATCAAAGCTTTCTTCCTTTTCTTTTCAGATCGGAGGCGATCCTCGACGCGATCAATGTAGTCGTCGTATACCTTTGGATAATTCCACGTTAGTCAGTTCAGTCAATATATTTCGATTTCCACGGGAAAGAGAAGGGGTTAAGGTCCAGTTTACCGCTTGAATTGTTTTGAGCTCATCTTCAAGATCTCGAGTCCATCCTGCCCATGACTGACTCTTCCAGAGCGCTTGGCCAGGCTCAGGGTCAGGCCATGGCGTAGACGACATTGAGTACGCGGGAGATGACTCAGGTGTAGCCACCATGGTTTGACAACCATCTTCAGATCTTGGCGACTGTGCAGCTTGGTCTGACATTGTACCGTTTCTCTGGAAGTCTGGGAGTTGAAGTTGAGTTTAAAATTAAATGTAAACTCTCACGAAGTTTCACGAAACTTTACAACAGAGGAAAATGATTTGGTAAGTTTAGTCGAAAGACAGACGGATTGTATGATAATCGATTCCCTATCGGTACTGACTGGTAGATGCTCTTGAATAAAGTGAAATACAGTCTACTTGTATTGGTACAGGAAAGTATCGACATATGTCCTCATGGTGTGTTTTGATCATGGGGTGTCGAGAAGGTTCACTGACATTCCTTCCTAGCAACATTCAACATCTAGAATTGAAGCCATCTCATTCCTTATTCTCTAAAGTCTTACAATGTTGGATTCAGTCTTAGATTCCGACGAAAAAACTATTGTGAACAAACATGAAAGTTTTGTTAACTAAGCGGGTTCACATGGAACTGTTTTTGTGGTATTGTGATAAGTAAAATCAATATCATTACTACACCCCTACCTACTTCATTGTCTTTCTTCCTATTCCACTTCTTTGACATATCAGTCTCTCGCTTTATACAATGAGCCATACAGAAAACTCTGGGATCAGAGTTTGATGAATCGTACGCAGGATGTTGTGCCACAAAAGTAAATAGTGCCTATGAAACAAGCCTCAGCATTCGCCACAAAGTGGCTGACGAAGGCTCAGCGTCAATGGTACTACTCTTACACCAGTCCATTTCCCCATGAAGCACAGCTTCAGCACTAGACCTAGATTTTTGAAGAAGTCTCTCAGAAAGTCTAGCTCATTCCGATTAGCACCTGCTCAAAGTCATCCACCATCCCAACTACCTAGAGGAAAGTTCCGTTGACGATGTTGCGATGGATGTAAAAGTCTGGAACATTTCCAGACGCGCACGTGCCCCTCACTGGAGAGCTGCCCAGAAGCCCCAGATGCCTAGGCCAGGGGCGGGCCAGGGGAAACTTGGCGCCGTTTGTTGCCCTGAAACTCCTGCAGACACCACTCAATTTCCCTTTTGCTCCCGTCGAATGACGCTACGCGACGCCACTATTTCCCCAAAGTTCCATCCTTGATTGATTATCACCAAGACGGAGAGATGGGGGCGAGGCGCTCTTGGCTCTGCTCCGAGCGTTACTCAAAAATAGAAACTGACTTCACGCCCGCGACACGGTCGAGAGTCCACTGCGATCCCTCTGTCTGCTGTCATTCCAGAACGCAGTCGGCGCCAAGTTGTCAGTTGTTCGAGGAGGCTGATTCGGGGTGCAGCAAGATCTTTGACGTCTAAGAGGATGAGGCTTGGAATTGATGGCGACGAGTACCCGTGTCGGATGTGTCGGATGACATTGTCAGTCAAGTTGCCATCACCATTCGAAAGGCTAGTCGCCCGAAAGTCTCCCTAATGAGGAAGCTCTAGAAGCGGGTAGGAATCTATACCATCACAATCATAACATCGCAGTATCAGAGGATCGTCTGTCACGGACTGGCAAGCTGATGTCGAGTGAAACTGGACGTGAGAGGAGAATACATACATGTAGGTTCAGCAGCACAGGAATCTTCTGACTATGGAAGGCCGTCCCGCTGCCTAGCCAATTTGCGCTTATCTCGGAGGCGAATTGTTCAAGTAATGCAATTGAGGTTTCCATGGTGCTCAGAACTGCATGTGGTATTTCCAGACATGTGACGTGAGGTGTTATTGATTACTTACTCTGTACTACAGTAGCATCCTAAAAAGGAAGAATCCTCCAATGCCAATTCGTCAACAAGGATAATGCCAAGAGTTGATATCTGCCCACTTTTGATATAACTCACAGCTTCCCCATTCATCAACTCATCCACAAATTTGCATTTGCCAACCTTCCAATTCCTGCTATTTCATCGAAGCCAAATTTCGTGGCAGTCTTTCTTGTCGCTCTACTCTCTCGGACTCCCCCCGCATCCCCCAGTAATACTATTTGGCACTTACATGGATCGCTGTCAAAGACTCTCTTGGAAGGAAATAGCTATGGACAACTTCTTTGGATATTGAAGCATCTTTTCTTTACAAGCCTTCCCCCTCGAGATATTCCATACTTCTGCTGTGCCCTCGGAGGATTCCACTGCTTATTATCCGGGACGGGCCGTGAAGTTGGGGCAAATGCCGGGTCACGCGGGTGTATATATGGATAGGTGCTGTTACTAAGCAACACCATGGCTATAACTTCTTGACTTCTTCTGCCAACCGGCCCACGGCACTCAAAGTCGACGACTCTGCATGTGTCTTCGATCCATCCAGGTACTCGAGATTAAGTTTCTAAGCGCCAGTCGCCTGACCAAAAGAGCATCCTTCCTAGCAAGCGAGCTGCCCGTCAGACGCCAAGAGATAGTAGGGTTGCAGCGGTTGATAGGTTGGATGCGCCGGCAAACCTCTAAGAGGTGGAGAATTGCCACGCCAAGACGCCAGTTGTTCAACGCCTCGCGTTCATCCCCCAGTCGTTTCCTGAATCCTTGATACATTGGGGCACTCGCACTCGCGAGTGGATGTTTCTACGGCCTACCTCCGTCCTCCGCGCCCCCTCCTGGCCTTCCTAATACGCTCGGGTCTGTAAGCCATCATGCTACCTTCCCGAAGAGAGGGCCGACCGAAAGCCTCGTGGGCGAATAACTTAGTCGCCTGGCCGTCCGGCGCTGCGCATCTCCGATGCGGGCGAGCATGTTCCCGTTGGCCTTCCGAATCTGAAGATACAGCCGCGCCGAAGCCGATTGTCTGCACCTAATTTAAGCATAATGCAAAACTCAAACAAGCGTGAGAGGCGTGACGCCGCGTGAGTTGGCGAGACCCAGTACCGGGCCAAGAGATCCTGCACCTCATCGACGAGCAGGCTAACAGCTCCCCAACGGTTGCCCCAACTTTCCAAGTTGCCCCCAATGGGTCCCAACCTGATTCCTATCTTGAGGATCTTGTACTCCTTCCTATTTAGCTATACGTATACCATCACATCGCGGGGTAGGCGGTAGCCTCCGAAGGCACCTTGAAGGACTCACCCGACTAACAGTGCTAGCCACTTCGCGGGGTAGCTTTCTTCCCAAGTGCCCTTTGAGGAAGGCGGCGAGAGATCTGGTGATATCATGGCTGCGGTGACATCGCAGGGCGGAAATCACTCCGAGTCCTCTTGTGGAAGGCCCTGTTGATACCATGGAAACCTGCAGTGACATCGCAGTGCAGATGTCGTCCGAAGTGCCTAGTGAGGAAGTTCCGCTGATCTCCTGGAAGCTTGCGGTGACATCGCGGGGCCGTTGTCTTCTGATGTGCCTGTTGAGGAAGGCCCAGCTGGAATTAAGGAAACTTACGATAACATCGCAGGCCGGCTTTGAGGCGGATTGGGAAGGAGGAGTTACACGATGGCTGGGGCGATGTGTAGGACTCCATCTTGGATAGCAAGTTAGCAACAACAAGACCATGATTCTCGTCACGATCCTTGAGCCAAGACGAGTATATAAGTTTGCATCTTCTCATCCAGTCTGGAAGCTTTTTTGATCAGCACTCTAGACTCATCTGACTCTTCAGCAGCCTCCTAGACTCACCTCACTTCCCATCCACCCGTTGTCTACCTCTTCAGAACGCCAATCATGGAGCTCACCAAGTTCCTCGGTTTCCTGGCCATGGTCCTCCCCATCGCCTACGGTGCCCCCACCTCGGCCGCGACCAGCCTTCACCCCAAGATCCTGGCCGCCATGAAGCGCGACTTCGGTCTGGATGCCGAGGCTGCTACCAAGCGCGTCGCCTTCGAGCACCGCTCCGTCGATGTCGTTGAGTCCCTCAAGGGCTCTGCTGGCTTCGCCGGTGCCTGGATCTCTGAGGACGGCACCACCCTCAAGGTCGGTGTCACTGACGAGTCCCTGGCCGCCGATGTCACCTCCGCCGGTGCCACCCCCGTCATCCTCGCCAACCCCCTCTCTAAGCTCGAGGAGGCCAAGGCCGCTCTCGATGCCATTGACATCGAGGCCCCCGCCCGCCGCGACGAGGCCTCCGCCTCCTCCGGTATCGCCTCCTACTTCGTCGATGTCGCCGCCAACAAGCTCGTCATCGAGTCCCTTACCGGCAGCACCGCTACCGCTGAGTCCCTCGCCAAGGAGGTCGGCCTCGCCGCCGGCGAGTTCGAGGTCCGCACCGTTGAGTCGATGCCCTCCACCTTCGCCACCGTCCTCGGTGGTGATGCCTACCTCATCAACCGTGCCGCTCGTTGCTCCATCGGTTTCTCCGTCACCACCGGTTTCGTTTCCGCCGGTCACTGCGGTAGCGCCGGCAACACCGCCACCACCTCCGCCGGTGCCTCCCTCGGAACCTTCTCCGGCTCCGTCTTCCCCGGCTCCGCCGATATGTCCTACATCCGCACCGTCTCCGGAACCACCCTCCGTGGCTACATTGACGGATACGGACGTGGCGACCTCCCCGTCTCCGGCTCCACTGCCTCCGCTGTCGGTGCCTCCATCTGCCGCTCCGGCTCCACCACCGGTGTCTTCTGCGGTACCGTCGGTGCCCTCGGTGCCACCGTCAACTACTCCGAGGGACGTGTCACCGGTCTCACCCGCACCAGTGTCTGCGCCGAGCCCGGTGACTCTGGTGGTTCTTTCTACTCTGGCGCCCAGGCCCAGGGTGTCACCTCAGGAGGTTCCGGCGACTGCTCTTCCGGCGGTACCACCTACTTCCAGCCGGTCAACGAGATCCTGTCCACCTACGGCCTTACCCTTGTCCGTGCTTAAACAGTCAATCATCTCGCGGCCGTCGGTAGCAGCACCTGAGCTGATTTTATTCTTTTGAGTATATTTGGACCCCTTCTGTATGTAGAGAGATGAGTATGAGGACATGAAAGCATGATGCCTTCCGATAGGAAAAATATATTTACCATCTGCAAGAAACACCTTTCAAATGAAAATTGCTGCGGTGAATAAGTTGAAAAAAAGATAATTGGGTTTCCTTGAATGTGTCCCATTGTGAAGTTTCGCTTGGCACGTCCCAATGCAGAGTTGACCTTTGACCCCCCCCCCCCCCCACAGCCACACCCGAGTGGCTGGTTTAATGTGTGGCTGGTCATATGTGCCCAAAGTCTCTCCCGGAAAGCCAAAGCTCTCTCAGCCCTGCTAGTCGAAGATGCGTTGAAGCTTGCAGGATGCAGAAGCATGATGTTCTTCAGATGCGTACTGCAAGTAGGAGGCAGGCGAGATGTTTTGCCACCGAGTGGCTGGGAGTCATGATGACATCGCAGATCGTTTACTCACCCTCTCGATCCTTGACGACGACAGGTTATGCGATGGCGCCGAGTTCACTGCGTCTCTCTCCATCTTTGGCAACATAAACCAACCTCATTCCTTCGACTCCCAACGTTATACGAGCGCGAGAGGTAATGCTAGTGCAGCGGCAGACTCCTCGACGGCTCGCACGGCTCAGCCAGCGGGTGTTCCATACCGTGAACCGACTTGTCATCCCGCCTGCCCTAAAGCTCAGTTCTTGAGAGACAGGCATGGACGGTCTGGCTGAGGTAGGCTTTCTTTATCCATTTTAGTTCGCAGGACGGTTTTAGATTCTGACTTCAATACTTCAACTAGTCTGACCAATGAGGTTGAGAGACTGACTGATTGCGTCGTTCCAGACATGTCTCTGTTGCTGGTTGAGCTACAGTCACAGACAATGAAGCCTTTAACGATGGGCTTCGCATGATGTATGAACCACTATGACACATCCGGCCGATTGAATGGGGGATATCATCACAACGGCCCTCATCCGTAGGAGAGGCGAACAGGCTGCCCATGATCTGCTCATCGGGTGACTTCTGGAAACGTCGGCGGAACCAGCAAGGTCTTACTCGAAGCATCGAGAGTTATGTCTTCATATCTTCGACAGAGAGTCTTTTACATCGTAGGTTATTTAGCAGCAGTTTGAACAACCTGGGAAAAGCCTGGCATATCAAAAGATCGAGGGCAGAGAGACGCCACCGGCCGCGAGCTTAACCATAGATGCGGAACCAGACAGTCCATCGAGCTTACGAATTCTCGACCGGCAGCTGAAACGGCCACGCAATAGATCGATATAATACATAGGTTTTCTCGGCATCTTGGCTGTACCAGCAGACTTCGAGCACCGAGAGTACTGCACCACCAGCCTTGGCTTTCTTGAAAAACACCAGAAGGAGCACCCGGCCTCGGGCCAAGCCAGGATCTTGCACCAAGACCACCATTGGCATTCTCTGTGAGGTGTTCGAGTCCCAGATGTCCTGTTCAACACATGCATCCACGGATCATTGCTGGGATGCAGCCCTTCCGGACCTGCCTACGCACATCGACACATTGGTGAGTTCCTGCAATGCATCCGACCTCCTCGTTTGCTTCCACTGCTGTGTGATTATGCAGGAACTTGAACTCTTGCTGGGAATTTCGCCGACACTAAGCTCGCAGCCGAGCTAAGAAACCTCGAACGCCCTAACAGTCGAGGAGGACTCGAACTTCGTCGGTGCGTCTTCGCCTTCGCAGCCCCTCCCCCCTCCCTCCTCTTCTTCTGGAGCCTGCAACCTTCGGCAGGCGGCCACTCGGCCGGAGTTTCTTCCCGTCGACAAACCCCTCATAGGGCCTTGCTCTCTGGAAAGAGGATCGACAAAGACCCACGCAGACCTTCCTCCAGCTATTGCTAAAACACCGTGGATATCTCGGCATCCGGTGACAGGGAGACTCAAGTCGGCTGGAAGGTCTTGGAGGTTGACTTGGCTTGACCGACATTCTAAGAGACTCCCCAGACATACCGGATCAATGACAAGAATGAGAGGTCCGTCATCGAAAGCATCACCAAGTAGAGAGTAAGAAGACCCTGGCAGGAGACTCTTCTTTTCGAGGTTCTCGCCCTCTCCAGTACGCACGGTTGCCGCCCTGAGAGCCGACGACATCGACCCCCGACGTTCTCGATCGATCTAGACCTGGTGCACAAGAGCTCATCCCGTGGGAGTTTGGCCGCCAAAGGTCTGTTTCGCATGCTCTGCGAGATAATGATAGAAGGTCTTTCTGGAGATAGAATTCCAGCCTTGCCCCAGACCCAGAGAACTCAAATAGAAGCAGCATGGCTTTGCCCGCCACATCCCGCAATTTGGTATAGATCTGTGTGTTTTTACGGCTGATAGCTGATCAGGGAAACAAATAGAAGCCGCCTCTCTTGGCTTGTTTCGATGCTAAAAGCAGTTGTCAGCCTCTTCCTCAAAATGGTGTAGCTGAACGACCTGGAGCCATTCTAGGAGGGCCATCGTCCGAACCAGGACACAATCCAGGACACGGATCTCTGCTCGGCAGACCCACAAGATGGGGAAGAGTTACTGTCCGCAGGCCGAACTCAGCGGCCGGCTTCGTGGTCCTGTCAAGCTTGACGTCCGACGTGGACCCTGGAAATGGGCTCTTGCGATATGAGGAGAAAGGTCTTCGGTCTACTGATACACCGTCCGGGTGCAATATCAGGATGAAGTCAACATTCATGGCCAACCTACAGTGAGCATGGCAGAAGTCTCTTGCATGCTGCAATAGGAAGATGTTAGGGATCCAGTCATCTGTAGTCATTTTCCAACGGCGTAGAGAACGCGTCATCTGAGAGAGTGATATCGTTGTTCCATTCGGATGAACCTTGGTTGGTGGTCTTAACGAGCCACCCTGTCGGTGTTACCAGGTTCATGTGCCTCGCCGAAGAGGACATATCCGACAAGAGGGGGCAGGCCGTGATCAGGTCGTCCGGAGTTTCCCTCAAGGCGGCCGCATACACTCTCTGCGCGGTGGAAAGGCACAGCATTGTCCTTTCATGCCATGCATCTCCTCCACTGCAACGGCGAAAAACGAGAGAAGCTGTGCAAGCTGCTTCGGAAAGGTCTGGGCACGTGGCGACGCGTTCGCCCGCCCAGGTGGTCCCCGGTCCAGGTCCAGGTTCCCGGCAATCTGGAGAAGCCTGCGGATGTTTCCTGGCTGTTGAAACATCAGGCCATGCCTAATACAACCACGAAGCAAAATCAAAAAATAAATAAATTTGTGGCAACTAGAACGCCTGCAGTCAAGACTTGGATGTCTTGACTTGAAGGTGTGACTATGTGTGGTGTGTTTCTGGTGACACAGAGGCGCATCTATGAACGCTTCTTCTTCTCAAGCTCGCCACAACCCCGCGCCCTACTAACGGTTCAGAACCCCTGCTTCATTTGTACAGCACTAAGTGTGTGAGCCTGACTTACGGTGATTATCCGGCGAGTCATCTTATGGCTGCGGATAGCCCTCTGGCGTCCTCTGGCTGAATCAATGGCAAGCAGCGACAGAGAAGCGGGATTTGGTAGCACTCTGAGAGCCTAGCTACGCCAGATTGGAAGCAATGGAGTGATTCCAAGGTTTGCCCCCCTCCCCTCCCCCATCAAACGGGTAGCCGTAAATAGAGAAGGCGGAACACCGATGCCAGAGTTGTGCATTGTGCATGGACGTTGGGGAAAGGGCTGGAGGTGAGCCTGAGAGAAATTCGGGTGTTCCTGAGGTTCAGGAGGAGCGTTATGGTGTGGCGCATTGAGCTTCTCTCGGCATGAACTATTTTGATGGGCAAAGGCGTCGACCGTGCCTGAGATGTGCTGCCAGCCTTTCCTCGTTGGAGAGGAACTAAGACGGTCCGCGCGCCCGGTCAATTTCAACGACAGCTAGCCAGTTCAAGCCACTTGTCTGACCATTGCAGTCTCCGGGGGGAGGATCTGAAATTGCAACCGGCATGGCGGCCGGACTGGCTGCATTGGCGTTGCGCCAACCTCGAAAGTCTACCCACCCAAACCAACAGATTCACAGTGGAAGAATGGGACCTTTCTCACGCCGGCAGGCCTCGGGGAACGGGGAGAAGTTCATACCCCCCTGCTTGGCATCTGGTCCCTTTCCGTTCGTCTTTGTTACGCGGTACGCTTTCGAGTTCCGCGGGACGTTATGGCAACCCAGAAACCAATACGGGGGCAGCTTATCGAGAAGATCGACGGCCGGGATGCCGTTATGCTGGGTTCTCGCAGAGCCCAGTGCCTCTTTCTCCCGCGCCCCCCGTCTAATAGTTTCTGCTTTTACTTCTGTTGTTGCTTTTTCCATCCATCTTTTGTTATTCTTGATATGCTGACATCATCCACTTCAGCCGCTTGATCCTCGCCGTTCCTCCACTCTCAAGGTCTAGCTCGTCGCGCGGCGCGCAGGCAAAGAGACCACGGACCCTTCGGCCAGATGAGTACAGTACACCGTTAGCTTTGCCCAGGAAGTCAAAGAGATTGTGGGAGCAAAGACAGGAGCGACTAGAACCAACCCGCGCTGCATCATGATGGCGACGATGGATTACAACGTGGCTAAGATTGTAGATGGATGTTCATGGCTTTGACCCGGGCTACGCACCTCCCGCGACTAGAACGACAAATGACTCGGCTTGATTGGGTCTGAGGTCTGGTCTGTGAGCCATGAGATTAGAAGCCGGATCTGCGAGCGAGGAACGGCTGGCGTTCTGACTGATACTGCTGCTGCATTGCACACACACACACACACACATACTGCACAATGCACATGCTGCTGCTGCTGCTGCTGCTGCTTGTCCTCCACCTTGGACATCGACCTCCTTCGGATACCTCACACCCCAGTGTAGAGGACCACGCCACGGCAGACGGCAGATCACCCTTGGCTTGTGCTCCCGGCGGCGGACTAGACATGGAGAGAGCGAGTGCCTCCCCGTATCTCTTCCGTATATATCATGATCGTCCCTCCGCCTGTTCAAGCGAATCTTTTTTGAAAGGACACCAGCTCACTATCCTTCTGGATCTCAACCTTAGATCCTATCCATTCACTTGTTCAAATTTCTTTAGTCCTTACAGCTGCCCACCATGTCGGTTTTACGCTACATTCTTCCTACCCTGGCATTGGCGCTGGGAGCCATCGCCGATGCGAAGAGCTTCACTTTGGATCTCACCTGGGAGACTGCCTCGCCCGATGGATTCGAGAGGAAGATGATTCTGGTGAACAACCAGTTCACTGGACCGAGGATTGAGATCACCGAGGGAGATGATGTTACCATCAAGGTCAACAACAACCTGCCCTACGCCACAACCGTTCACTACCACGGTAAGCTTCGACACAATCTTGATCAAACGTTCGACTGGTGACTAACACTCCAGTAGGTATTGAGCAGTTGAACACCCCCTGGTCCGATGGTGTTCCCGGCCTCACCCAGAAGCCCATCCAACCCGGCAAGAGCTTCGAGTACAAGTGGAAGGCCACTCAGTATGGTGCCTACTGGTACCACGCCCACTACGAGGGACTCATCGAGGATGGTCTCTACGGAGCCATCACCATCCTCCCCGCCGCCTCCCACCAGAAGCCCTTCAGCCAGATCTCCTCTGACGGCGCCGCTATTCACGCTATGGAGCAGGCCGAGAAGAAGGTCGTTCCTCTTCTGCTCGCTGACCACCGCCACATGATCTCTGAGGAAGTTCACGACCTCTCCAAGGCCGCCGACATCCAGTTCTCCTGCTACGACTCCTTCCTGTTCAACGGCAAGGGTAGCGTCATCTGCCGTACCCCCGAGCAGATTGATGCCCTTTTGACACAAGAGCGCAAGGACGTCCTGGCCAACGTTGCTGGTGCCCGCATGACTGACAAGGCGTATGTCACATCCTCGCGCGGCCTTCCACAAGCATGAGTCTCGCTAACACTACCTAGATGCATCCCCGCTGCTGTCATTGCCCGTGGCCAAGGTGATCTCAGCAAGGTTCCTGCCGGCGTCTTCGATGGCTGCCAGCCTAGCGATGGTGGCCTCGAGACTTTCAAGGTTGAGAAGAGCAACTGTGACACTGAGAAGTGGGTTGCCTTTGACCTCGTTGGTGCCTACGGCCTCCACACCGCCATGTTCTCCATCGACAACCACTCTATGTGGGTTTACGCCATGGACGGTGCCTATGTCACTCCCCAGGAAGTTGAGGCTATCCCCGTCGCCAACGGCGACCGCTACTCCGTCCTCGTCAAGTACAAGCAGCAGGGTGACTTCACCATCCGCGCTGCCTCCGTCATCGCC